ACCACCTCCACCTCGGTCCAAGGCACCGATAACCACTATTACGTAACCCCGCCCCTCTTCTGATCTGTTGATTTTTTGGATCGCTCGTCCCGTCAGCGCTATACGCAATGCAGGCCGGCCCCTCGAAAGACATCCTCCGCTTCACAGGACACAGACACCTCCGCCAGCGCATCCTTCTTGCCGTCCTCTCCGGCAAGTCCATCCGCATCGATGCCATCCGCTCAGACGACGTCCATGTCGGCCTCAGAGACTATGAAGTCAACCTCCTCCGCCTCGTAGAAAAGGTCACAAACGGGAGCACAGTCGAGATATCTCTCACAGGTGAGTGTGTATCTGCAGGAGCGTCCGCTGAAAGTCAGGTACCTCATTCCTCTTCCATCCTGGATTATTACCTGGTGGCAGCTTTACGCACACCTGTCATATTGGCAGATCGATAGGTTACTATCTCGAAGTGCTCGTTCCCCTTGCGCCTTTCTGTAAGAAGCCCTTCAACATCAACCTCTATGGCGTCACTGGAGAAGAAGGCAAAGACATGACTGTACGTATTATGATTCCAAAAAGCTCGTGTCCTGACAATGCCCAGGTCGACATGATCCGAACAGTGACTCTCCCCCATCTCCACCTCTTTGGCGTCACCGACGGCCTTGAACTCCAAATAAAAAAACGCGGTGCCGCCCCCCTTGGTGGTGGTCAAGTCATATTCAAGTGCCCCATCGTCCGCCAACTCAACACCCTCCAATTCCTCGACAAGGGCAAGATCAAGAAGATCCGCGGCGTCAGCTACTCTACCCGAGTCTCTCCGCAGTTTGCGAATAGGATGGTCGAGTCTGCGAGGTCGATATTGAATAGATATATCCCCGATGTGTACTTGTACACGGACGTTTACAAGGGAGAAGACTCTGGAAAGTGGGTACATTCTACCGGAAGGAGTGCGCAGCTGACATTTGGCAGATCACCGGGGTACGGCCTCACCCTCGTAACACAATCCACTACCTCTGTCGTCCACTCTGCCGAATGCCTCTCTCTCCCCAGTACCGTCACCACCCCCGAAGATATCGCCCTCCACGCCAGCCGCCTTTTATTAGAAGAGATCAGCCAAGGTGGATGTGTGGATAGCAAGCATCAGTGGATGGTTGCGCTTTTGATGGCACTGGGCAAGGAGGATGTGAGCAAGTGCCTGTTTGGCAGGTTGACGCCTTATACGTGAGTGTATCCTTCGTCGGAGTGGGCAGGGAGCTGATTAGAGCACAGGATTCAATTCTTCCGAGACATGTTTGTCTTCTTTGGCACAAAGTACAAGTTGAACGAGGCAGAGAGTACAGGAGAAGTAATGGTCAGCTGTATCGGTACAGGGTACAGCAACGTCAACAAGACGATGGCGTAGAGCGTGTATGTATATCAGCATTTGCATCCTGTCAAGCGCAAGTGTTACAGAGGATCTCTTGTCGGTTCCCGGCTACCCCGCAGAGTATGACCATCAGCAACGGCCCACGATTGGAAAGCGCCACAAAGAGAGCGCATACAACCGGCGTATGCATGACCAACAATAATCTCTTATAAAGCATCCAAAACATCAAGTCATTATAAACATGACAACACATTACACATAAGAATCATCACAATCAGATCCATCCGACTTTCCAGAAAGTCAAATAACCTGCAGATCAAGACGGCGGCAGATCTACCATCCCAGCAGAATGACCTGTCAAAAGAGCTTTTTCCTCACCGACCCTTTCTGTTCCGGAAAAGCCGCTTCATGCACCTTTTCATGAAACGCATCCATCAACCTCACTCTCTCTTCCACATCACCCTCATCATACACTTCCTTGCCCGCCACATTTTTCCGTCTCTGATACAGCGTCTCCAGAAACACCGCTCCCTCCCCCAATAGGTCTACCGGACCAGCGTTGGAAGGGAATACGACGTAGGTCCCTTCTGTTGGGGACAGGAGGGGATAGCGTTCGTAGAAGAAGGTGGCAGCTGGGGATGGGGGCGGGGGCGCGGCTTGGAACTCGTCGAGGGGGGTCGAAAAGCTCGCAAGATAGTCAAACATCATGTCAGAGTTTGCAGTGTTCTATGACCAGTATCAGTCATCTTCTTTGACAACCTGAGGAGGAACACACCTTGATGAATCGCTTATACTTGCCCAGCTCTGGATCACTGCTAATGTCCCGATCGGAAAAGAACGCCATGGCATGCAAGATCTTGGCGAGTGTTGTCAAGGTGCGCTGTATACCCGCGCGAGGCAAGCCGCGCGCTAGGTCAAAGAGGTGCGGGCGCATAAGAGCAGGGCCGATCAATCGAAGCTAGATTTGGGACAGAAGTCAGGGCATGTACAGGTTGAACGAGCTGAGCTTACAAAGAGGAATGAGGATACTGATTTGTAGTGCAGCATTTGCCTGTCGAATGGGTCAGTCGAATTTCCCGGAATCGGTAAAGCACCAACTCTTCATGATTTTGCTTGACCATCTTGTACAGATGAGCAAAGACCTTACGCAGAGGACTACCATAGTCAGAACATCACTCGTGTGGCAGCACCAGACCTACTTTGGAAATGTGCCCCTCTGAGCTGTATCTCGCGTCAGCATCTATCACGTTTTCGATACTGATCAACTCACCATACATATCCCCCCAACAGCCTTTGACCAGCCGGTCCATCACGTTCAGTTTATCGCTCCTGACCTCAATATCATTCTCCAAGATGGTCGAGATAGTCGGCCCTATCGACAGCCTCAAAAAATCGGCGCACAGCACCTTCATAGCTGATTCCAAGCTCCTTGTCAAAGGTGTATTGTTTCGGAACAGAGTGGCTCCGTCTATCCGTCTATCAGCTATACGACTCTGCATATGATAGGGGAGAGCAGTACCTGATTTAGCCTCAATGTTGACCATCTCGAGCAACCATGGGAAAGTCGGATTTTTTATTAGGCTCACTTTGAACAAGACATCATGTGTCTGCTCAAGGTACCCTCTCAAAGACATTAAGTAGATGGATCGAGCGCCCAGATCACCTTCAGTATACAGCTGCCCACAGTCAGTCATCACCCCTAATAAGACCAGAACGCTTACGTCGGTGACATAGGTCGAGCGATGAAGGATAGGGAGCTCCTGGTATGATACTGCCATCCTCAGCTCGCCGACAACGGCCTCGTTGGAGAGCGACACGACGGGGTATCGCTCGTCTTTGGCTGGAGAATAGTTGGGCACGAGGGATAGAGGGACGGTGGCTATCGGGTGGGACTTGTTGGAGCGAAGTAAGCAGATTGACATTCCTACGAGGCATTAGCATGGCTGTTATGTGCCTCAAGTATGTATACTCGCTACACTCGGAAAAGCTGGGGAGGTCTTCAAAAACAAAAGGCTGAGCCCAGAAAGGAATCCCGTAATCCTCCTCGGCCTTTGCCCATATTGTCCGTGCTATGAGCGTCTTGTCTGTCCATCTGCCGTGAGATTAGCTCTATGCCTATCGAATTTTCCTCCGCTACTTACATTTCGACACATATATGCTCCTTTGCCGCCCATCCCGCCTTCAGACCCTTGCCACCTGGCAATACCACATCACTCGATTTCGAACTCCTGATATCAAACGACCCGAATCCCAGCTGAGTCCCATACGATGCCGTCTCGCGGGGAGACTCGGCAGGAGGTGCAGCTTCCTGCAGATCAAGGATACGCACACTCAGACGGCGTAATGTTCGCGGCGTCTCCTTCATATTAAATGACTTGAGGAGGAGGTACCATTCGCCAAGGGACTCGGCGTCCTCAAAGACGAGTAGGACAACCGTGTCTGCGTTGGCTTCCGGCTCACTCTGATCCGACATGACAGTCGAACCGACTGACAGTACATTTGAAGAAGGCTCGTCGGGATACTCTCCCAGCGCACCAGAGCTGCCATTCTTTGCGAAAGAATCCGCGAGGGAGATGGTCACGCCTCTTCGGCGGCGGGTAAAGAGGTTTGACATGAGCCCCGGCCGGCTTTTCGAAGCATTGCGCTGGAGGGCATAGCTGGGTAGGCCATCTGCTGGCTCCGGAGTGCTGGCAGTCGGGATCCGAAAGGAGAGTGTATGAAGATGACCATAGACCGAGTGATGCACCTTTGTTACGTCCTCTATTGAGGGAGAGTGCCTGACCAAGGCGTTCAGAGGGTGATGGAATACGGTACAGTCGGGATTGTAGATGCGTAATTGACCTCCATACTTGCCCCCTGTACCTTCCAGATGGGCCTCAAGGGTACCCCTCTCCCATTTCGACGAGTATTTTCGCTTCTTCTCTTTCGATTCTCTTGGCTCCTGGGGTGGTAAGGGCAGGTCGAGGGGTAGTAGATGCGGTATGGATTTGGCATCTGCTCACGTCAGCCATAATTTCAGGGCGCACATCACTCACGTCTCAGAGTGGCCCTTTGCGTCGCAAACTGATCGTATTGTTCCTGAGGAGGCTCTGGCGGTATCGGGAAAGAGGCAAATGAAGCGTTAGGCTGGGCCGGGGAAAGGAGCGGGGGCAACGAGAAGGTTGGAGATATCGGAGAAGTAGCAGTCGTTTTCGTCGCGGGTTTTGAGCGAAGCTAGACTTGGTTAGCTGGGGGATATGGGGGGATGCTAGTCACCAGTTCAAGGCCCGCAGAGCGCTTGCGCTTTGAGTTGTTGTCGTAGTGGGGCGGCGGGGGGGCGGCGGTGGTGGAGATGCGGTATGCGACGGGGGACGCGAAGTCGTACGGGGGGGGCATCGTGACTCCGAGGCCTCGTGAGCCAACATCTCGCATCTCCGTACACTTATCCTGCACGGACCACCTCCACCGCGCCTCCACCACGCCCGAATTACTTTATCTGCGCCCCCGCTATGGGCCGCGTCATCACCCATTCCGAATGCATTTGCTCCCGCGCCCCAGCTGCAGCAGCCGGACCGGCCGAATGTTCCATCTCATCCACTTTTCCTTATCACTCAAAAATAATCAGCGTAAGCCCCCCCCCTTGCCCTCCGAACCGCCCCTCACTAGCCCCAGCATGTCCCCCTCCCCCGACCCCAAATCAGGCTCCATTCCCTCCATGGAGGCTTCCGGTGAAGCCCTCAACGACGAAACCGTCATCATCGTTCTCGGTGCCAGTGGTGACCTCGCCAAGAAGAAGACCTTCCCCGCCCTCTTTGCCCTCTTCGCCCAGGGCCTCCTCCCCGCCAACACCCACATCGTTGGTTATGCCCGTACCAGTACGTTTCTTCCACCCCATTCGATGACGTCGCCCCGACCACTATGACAAAGATTTCCACCGCACAAGCGAACGTCGTACTAATCATTGGCTTCAGAGATGGACGGGCCAGAGTTCCACAAGCGTGAGGTCCAGTACATCAAGGGCGACGAAAAGAAGATCAAGGAGTTCCAGGAGCTGTCGTCCTACGTCGCCGGCCCCTACGACGAGGACAGTGGATACCAAAACTTGCTCAAGCACGTTGAGGAGCTTGAAAACGGCCGCGACACCCGTAACCGCGTGTTCTACATGGCCCTCCCCCCCTCCGTCTTCACCACTGTCGCCCGTGGCCTCAAGAAGAACGTCTACTCTGAAAAGGGTACCAACCGAATAATCATCGAGAAGCCGTTCGGCAAGGACCTCGACTCCTGCCGGGAAATGATGAGCGAGCTCAAGAGCGAGTGGGCCGAGAACGAGACCTACCGTATCGACCACTACCTCGGAAAGGAGATGGTCAAGAACTTGCTCGTCCTCCGTTTCGGAAACGTCTTCTTTGACGCTTCTTTCAACAAAAATTACATTAGCAACGTTCAGATCACCTTCAAGGAGCCCTTCGGAACAGAGGGACGAGGTGGATACTTTGACGAGTTTGGAATCATCCGTGATGTCTGCCAGAACCGTGCGTATCAAACGCCACCTTCCTTTGCGGCTTGCGTGCTGATACACATCTAGACCTCATGCAGGCCATGTCTGTGCTCACTATGGAAAGACCCGTTTCATTCTCTGCCGAGGACATCCGTGACGAAAAGGTGCGTTTCCGCATCAGCTCGTGGACCATTGCTGACCCTTTCACAGGTCAAGGCTCTCCGATGCATCCCCCCTATCGAGAAGAAGGATGTCCTCCTTGGTCAATACGTTGCTACCGGCGACAAGCCCGGCTACCTTGACGACGACACCGTGCCCAAGGGCTCCGTTTGCCCCACTTTCGCTGCCATGACACTGTTTGTCAACAACCCCCGATGGGAGGGTGTTCCCTTCATCATGAAGGCCGGTAAGGGTGAGTCAATTTTTCCTCTTTCCGTGACGAAGAACTGGGTCGCTGACACGGCGCAGCTTTGAACGAGGCCAAGGTCGAGATCCGAATCCAATACAAGGATGCTACCCAAGGCATCTTCACCGACATCCCCCGAGACGAGCTCGTCCTCCGAATCCAGCCCGACGAGGCCGTTTACCTCAAAGTCAACAACAAGCTCCCCGGCTTTGAGACCCGATCCGTCCCCGTTGAGCTCGACCTCACCTACAAGAAGCGATTCACCGATGCCCCCATTCCTCAGGCATACGAGGCCCTTATCTTGGATTCTTTGAAGGGTGACCACTCAAACTTTGTTAGGGACGATGAGTTGGATGTTGCCTGGAAGATCTTTACCCCCATTCTCCACTGGATCGACGGCAAGAACGGTGGTAGGTTGGATACTGTGCATTGTAGAATTGTACTGACTGGATCTGGTAGACGCCCCCAAGCCCGAGCCTTATGACTACGGATCCCGAGGCCCCAAGCAGATCGACGCCTTCACTGCTAAATACGGTTTCAAGCGAGCTTCTCAGAACTAGTGCGTCCTTGACTATCTTCACGCATGACATTGCTGACCAAATTCCACAGCCAATGGCCGCAGACTTCTGCCAACCTTTAAACGAATTCGATGTCTTGAATAGGAAACGATGTCTGAAGTATCTGGAGTTGTGAGAAGCTGGAAGTGTCAATAGATGGATTCTGAACGAGTTTTCGTTACTGTATATGATGCATCTCCACTGAGAGATGATAGCCTCAAATTGATGCGACCGAACTGTATTACAAGAAAATGATGATTGACATGACTTCGTAACGCTGCGTTATCAAATGCTATGGACACCACAAGAAACTTCTCTCAGATTACATCTGATCACACTTCCCCACCCGACTGATGGACCCTTTCTCAACGCCTATGCCAGACGTGGGCTGCGTCATGCAGCCCCTTCATGTCAGCCGGCCTCGGGAGCACCAGGTTTCGCAGGCGTCAATGCACGTCCACACCTTCTATCGTAAGTGACAATCCTATCAAAAGTAGACTCACGTGCAGTGCCCATGCCCATCGTCTTCACAACCTTCCTCATCCTCATCCTCGTCGTCTTCCTCCTCACTCTCATCCTTGAACGTTCCCCTTCCTTCAGCGACATTCTTTGCCTTTGCCTTGATCGCCTCCTTCCGCTTCAGCTCAATCTTCCTGCTCCGAATGGCACGTCTGCGCGCCCGCTCGGTACCATAGTAGAGGTCGTACTCGCAAAAGCAGCAAACATAGTCATCCTCGCTGGGACGAACCAGCGTGCGTTTCTGCGGTGCGCCGGGAAGGGGAGCGGTTACACGTTCCGGCCGGGTGGCAAGGAATCGCATGGAAGGTGGAGAGATAAGGTCAAAATGATAGGCATAGGGCTCGAAAGGGTCGCCTTGAGGTGAGACGGTGCGGGAGGGGCGGTCTAAGCGTTGACATCAGCCGCTATAGCGATGGCAGGCAACAGGAACGTACAATTGTCTACATGGTGGGGGTTGCTTTGGTTTGCGAGAACACTCCTCTTCTTCTTCTTGGGCTTCTTCTTCGGTTTGCCATCTCCATCGCGAGAGACGGTCTGAGATATGGCAGGGGAGGCGGGTCGCTGGGGAGGAGCAGGCGTGGAGACAGGATCAGTGGAGATGGTAGGTGCGTCGAGGGTAGCCGCATGGACAGGCGCAGATGCAGGAATGGGCGCAGAAGCCTCGTGCTTCCTGTCAATCTTCCGCTTGTTCTTGCTGGGAGGCTTGTCCTCGGCAGGAGGAACAGTGGTGGACTTGACGACAGATGTGGGTTTATGAGTGGCGAGAACGATACCCCTCAGCTCGTATGCGAGCTTCAGAAGGGCGCCTTGCTCCTTCACCCGTGACCGCAAAGTCGTCGACGCTGGTATGCATGATAAGTAATGCACATTGCCAAAGATGGGTGCAACTTACCCTTGCACTCCTTCTCAAACTCGAAACTACCCTCGGGCGCCCATCCCTTTCGCTCCACAGGTTTTCCGCCCACCTTCCTTTTCCTTGCCCTCACTCTCCACTCCTCCGCCCTGTCCTCTCTCCATCCCGGTCTGTCTGGCGTCCACGAGTTGACGCCTACATCTTCCAGAGCCGGCAGCAGCTTCTCAAAGTTGGTTACATCAGGCAGCGAAGCCTTGTACTTGGCCACCGCCGCCGCCGCCGGACCTGTTGCCCCAGCAGCAGTCGACGTCGCATTGATGGCGGCCTGAGCGTCGATGTAGAGCGCAATGAAAGCAGCCTTCCTCCTCAAGAAGAGGCCCTTGCGGAACTCACAAAGAGCATAAGCAAACGTCCTTGCAAACTTTCGCTTGAGGGGGAAGGCGGGAGCTGCGGCAGTCTTGGAAGAGGTGGAGAGGGCAGAGGAGGAGTCGGGAGGGTTGTGATGGTGCTCTGAGCCGCCTGGGGATTTGAGCTGGCCGTACGCGGGGACCTTGCGCTTCTTGCCCCCGGGGGCAGCGGGGAAGTCGTCGTCGTCGAAGTTGTCCTCTGGGGGAGGCTCGCGGGGTGTACTCATGGAGGACGATGGAGAGGAGAAAGAGATGACAAACGAACAAAGCCCTCCAGCAAACCGGCACCCATTTGATCCCGTCCCAAATTGTGGCACCCACGCGTCCTTCAACGAACGTTGTCGTGGTCAGCCATCTCTTGTCGTTTTGCAGCCTTTGTGTGGCTATGAGGTGCTGTATGTGATGCCTACAGTTACTCGATGAATTTCAACGCATGGTAGCCTTGCAACTGCCAATGTACTGGTCAAGTCAGGCATTTCTACGGCCTTCTGCTCATTTCGGTGGTGACCGACGGCCTTGTTATTGAGCTCCCAGCTTTTGCACTCACAGATACTAGAATGTACAGCAAGAGATCAGATATACTGAAGCGACAGACCTTGGGAAAGCTAATAAAAGACTCTAAGCTCTTATCTTACCAAAGATCACCATGAGGGAATTATTCAGTGCAATGGACAGGGAAGCGGGGGCAGTATCTGGGCGTATAGTACTGTGGAGTGTCTAAGATGTTCTTTATGACCTCATTTGCTTCCCTGTCAGATATCTGGTGACTTGATTAAAAGCAACCGCTATGCCGAACGAACAATGCAACGAATATGAGCCACGAGCAGACGTCTGACCCATGAGTAGTAACAACAAAATGATGACCTAAAGCAAGGGGCATGATACCGTTGGCCACCAAAATCTACGAGTAGATATGTATGGAAGTAGAGCACCATTCGTTTGCAGATGAGGATAAGGGAACCGTAACCGACGAGTAGTACCGGATCACTCAACTTCATCATGATGCCAAGCATCTTCAACAGCATCTTTTCTGGCGCAACCTCCATGGAGGACAGGCCGCGATAGAAGATACATCTTTCGTACCATACTCAGCTGAACCGTGTGATTGACATCTGCTGATATTATAACGTCTATCTTGGCGAGAGGGCGTCATCATCCTCTGGTGATGATTGAATATGCCCTTCCGCCTGCCGCCCAATATTTATTATCTTCCGCACATGCTTCTCCATTTGTATTCCTTCCGTTGCTAGCTTTTACGATGACGCACAGGAATCCTTTTTCTGATGTGTATGCCCTTGCCACTCTCGGCGGCAGCAAGAACGACATAAACGCCCCACAACCATCTATCGATGATGGCTACTCTATGACCACCAACCACTCGAACTTCGCCGCCAGTGCGGCTTACGTCAATTCTCGAACGCAGCTCAACACTGGAGCTACTTCTGGAAGTGTTGATAGCCATGACCAGCCTGATATTAGGGTGAAAGATGTTGAGCGTATCTCGCTCATGATCATATATGCCGTGACCATTATGTTCTCCTGGAGTGGGTGCTTTGCCAAAGTGGTTATTCTTGGCAGATGCTGATCTGTGGGCTTATCCACCAGTGATGGGGTTCAGTGCCATAGGCCAAGTACTTCACTATAAAAGGGTAGACTGCAGCAACGACAGTGGTTTCTATTCAGTCTCCGGCTGGATCGCCACTACGGACAATTCCACAGGCCTTCCTGTTAATGTGTGGGCACAGATCGTATATGGTAGAGAGAATGCGTGTACGAAGTTCAGTCACAATAGGTGAGTATAGTCTTTCGTCAGGCTTCAAAGACATCCTCCTGATATAGTACATGTCACTAGTTGCTTTTGTGACACAAACACCTTGACTGAGCCCGACTGGAGGTTTTTGACCATCAGCGACCAAATCTATCTCTTGGGCTTCGAAAGCAAACTTCCGTGGCCTATCGACTCGCCTCCCACGTCCATGACAAGTCACATTCTGTCCAGTTCTTTACTCTTGGCCTACGCGGGTGTTGTTGCCGCCCTCCATGTCATCTTCACGCAGGTTCGTCATTCAGTGTTTGCGTTTCTTGAACCTTAGCGCCTGTCACCTAACGCTCCTCCTGAATCCTAGCCATGCTTGTGGCCACTGCGTGTTGTGACGGCCTCGGGGCTAGTCCCACTGGTAGTATGGAGCTGGATAGCCATCAAACCCATCGTCAAGTATGAAACAACGCTTAAAAAGGCTCTCCTTCTGTCCTACAACACTTGGAAATTTGAAGGCCATTCTACAAGGAGCCCTCCGGTAAGACCTCTCGTACATTACTCTGCTTGTTGACAAGCTGACTTGACGATGGACAATAGGGAACAGGAACTGCCTTGGCTGGTATCGTGATTATAGCCGTCTTGATTACGATACCTGTAAGGGCCAAATGGGGGTCAATGGGGGGTGCGACGAACGTTTAGCAAGGGGGGGATAGGCCAGAAAGAAAGAATCTTCGAGACCAAGTCGTAAAGTAATAGTTTGCTTGTGAGACAATAATAGGGAAGCACGCTCGTGAAATGAAGCTCGTATTTGTTGAGATATGGTCCCGTGGCGTGTTAGGGTCCAGCAGATCTTACCTTTGTTACCCCTAGTCTATACCTCGCTTCTCTCCATCTAGCTGTACCTTTCTTTTCTTCCGCTCTGTCTCTTATATATATTCACGTAGTTGAGCTCCCTAGTTCCCCACCATTCTGGTCATCTGTGTGTTAGAAGTGCACTGTGACTGATAACGGGAACTAGGTATGTACACCATTCTGGTCATCTGTGTGTTAGAAGTGCACTGTGACTGATAACGGGAACTAGGATCTTCACAGTATTCTGGATATGATCGGATACACGACGCATATCATGAGCCTACAACACACATGGCATCTGCTGATGTTTGATGTTTACAACAATGGACTTGAAAATACGTTACAGCTTAGCTCTAGCTTCTGTCATGCCGTGCAATCTTTGAATGACTTTTGTCGCCTCCCTGTCAATACGCTTGACAAGGTCAGAACAAGTTGGGATGTCATCAATGAGACCGACGGCGATACCAGCGCTCATCGAGGTGTCAGCATCCTTGATTTGAAATACGATGGGAACAAACTCACGACCAGATACCAGCGTCATGATCACCCGTCTCATACACCTTTCTGCCTCTGGCGCCGGCGACAAGCTCCCTGAGGTCTTCGAACTTGGCCCCTCCCGGTCTCCGCTCAAGACGGACGACTTCCGTGGAGACGGCGTTTCTGAAGACACGCGCAGTGTTCTTGAGGGACCTGTATTTTCGTTAATGTGAAAGTCGGATACGATAAGATTTAGCAACACACCTAAAGATATGGATTGTATCTCGTTCAGTAGAGGCCACGATCTTCTCCTTGATATTCTGGTGGATAGGCGATTCCGCCGTACACATGAAGCGAGTACCCATGTTGATACCCTATCGTATAGTATGAGTCATTTGATGGTAGTAGACGGGAGGACTCACAGAAGCACCAAGGGCCAGAGCTGCAGCGAGACCACGGCCATCAGCAAAGCCACCGGAAGCGATATAAGGAATGGAGAGTTCTTTGGCGGCTCGAGCAAGCTTTGATACAGAGGTCAGAAATTTTACATGCCCGTGAAATACCACAGACTCACCAATACTACCCCACCAATATCTTCCTCTCCAGGATGACCGGCACCTATGCGTAAACAATCAGCTGAAAGGCCCCCAAAAGCAGGACATGACACGTACACTCGAATCCGTCGATACTCAACATATCTACACCCATTTTTTGTCCAGACAACGCGTGCTTGACGGTCACACATTTATGAATAACAAACCGCTTTGGGACCGACGAGCTCCCTTCCAATTTATGGGTCTTGATGAACTCAATGAGAGGTTTGGCTTCACCAGCCACTATCAGCAGCAATTAAGGGACCACTAAAGACTGGAACACTGACGATTATTGCCAGCAGTCTCGAAGATGTCTATGCCTTCCTCCATGGCTGCTCTGGCGTACCCAGCACTATATCACATCAGCACACAACCTGGCGGGTTGATATAGAAGAAATTACTAATCAGGTGGGTTGATAGAAGGAAGAAGAGTGATATTGACTCCCTATCATGATAGACTCGGTCAGACTTCGCGTGCACTTTTAGCCCGGTGACACTCACAAAGCGCCCGCTCTGCTCTCCACCGATTAACCGCCTGGTCTCCTTGATAGCATCCCTCAGAGCATCTGGACTGGGTTGCGTGAGGGCGGTAAGCATTCCAAGCCCTCCAGCTCTGGCTACAGCTGCTGCCATGGGTGGTGTGCCCACCCACTGCATACCCCCTTGGACGATAGGATACTTTCTCGACGCGTGAGCTACAGTTATGGTGGAGAAGGGGCTATACTGACCTTGATGTGGAGCAGGCGAGTCAATTCTGTGGTGAGAGGCATGCTGGAAGTATGAGGATGGATGTAGATGGAACAAGGATGAGTCTGTTGTTATCGTTATATAGCGTGCGTACAGGCGGTGCTGACGAACTTTCAGACTCCGGCTACGCTAACTACCCGAAGCGGCCATTCCCGCCTTGGCCACTGGCCGGTGCAAACAGGGTGCAAAATGCGATGAAAGTCGTATGTATCGGGTGCATTTGAAGGTGCATACAGGGATTCAGCAAGCCACAGATGTCATCGAACTGGAATTACAAGCTTGTAGTACACGTGCAACAACAACGAAAGGTGTCTTTTTAATCACACCTTTGAAACGAGTTTCTTTTTCTCCGCGGAGAGGACGATAAGCTATGCACAGATGAGCAACGTTCCCTGGAAGCAATACATCACTCTGGTTGAAGAGAAAGAATTCACTTTCTTGACAAATTCGTAGATTCGGCGTTGAGCGACAAACATGAAAGCGGCGGTGAGGACAGATTGGAGCAATTTCAGTCCCAAACCGGCATAGAGACCTGTGGCCCGCAATGATCAGCGGGGGATGGCAGCCACATGATTCGTCAGACATACCATTGAAGCCCTCTGCTTCAAGAATATGCAAAACAGCTTTGATGGAAGACTTGTACTTGTGGGTCGCCGCTTGCTATAACGCCATCAACTCAACCCTTGATCTATCAAGTCATTATGCTCACAAGTCTTGACTTGACAACAATCTAGAAACGTTGAGAGGTCAGTAAAGATACTATCGAGCCGGGTAAGGAGCTCACATAAGGGTAAGTACCACTAGTGGCGACCAGCTTGCTCAATGCACCCAGGAAGAACAGGTCCCAATCACTCAGAGAACTTCGGCCAAGCGCTGTCTTGCCCGTGGGGGTGGCGCCTTGTTTCGCGAGTCTGAATCCAAGAAGGAGAGAGACAAGCCTTTCGAATGTCGTATACTGCGCGTAGAGTCAGAGCACGCGCGTCTTTCGAAGATGAGCTTCGCACCTGGATAACGGGGTTGAGGACCAGAATCAAAGCCGGTCCTATGCCTCTCCAGAACCCCTTGAGTCCGTCCTTCTCCAGAATCTCTTTCACGATCGTGATAGCACTTGGCTTGACCTTCTTTGCGTTCCCCTCCACGTCGGTTTTGATAGCACCGGATGCGTTCCGAGCGGTGGTTGCGTGGGTTGCTTGGGCCGTCTGCACCGTCCAGATAGGGTTGGTGGTGAGGGTGGTGATGGAGCCTATGTAGCAGGCAGTCAGTTCGATAAGTGGTTCCACGCGGCATTGTAGGGCGTACCGGCGATCAAACCTGCGAGGATCCCTTCAGTAGTAGTCAGGGCGCTAGTGGGTGAAGTCGAAGTGTTCCCTCGGCGGCGGATCATCAGCGAGCGCATCTCCTCGTCTTTGGACATCGTTAGATTGCCATACTCAGTGCTAAAGTATACTGTCACTGACAGAATGCGTAGTACACCCCATTAGTGACAGCAATCCCAAAGAGCGAGCTCGTGAGACCAGAGTACAAGCCGAGGACACCTTCGGATTTGATGACCCTTGCAACAGCCTCTCTGGTGGTCTAGCAAGATAGGTATCAAGGTCAGTCGGGAACCAGAAGATATAACCGACTGACCAGCTCTTCCTTCTTGGTCTGCACGGCCGCCCTCGTGGACAGATTGACAAGAGGGCTGTTATAGGTGTTAGCGACCACAATGTCTTGAAGTCCAGATCTGTAAGCTTACTATGTCAGTGCCTTCAGGTCGCATGGTAGTCAGCGGACGCCCGCTAATGACACATATTTTGTAAACGTACCATAGCGGCAGATCCACCCACAGAGCCCGCAAGGGCGTGGATCGCTGAATCGCTCATATTTGTGCTGTGCTGATGCTTCAGGGATGGTCGGGGATGGGCTTTGGGACAGGATGGGGTGGGTAATGGGAGAGACCGGGAGAGAAAAGTAGAAGTGAGATGGATAGATGGCAAACACAGGGCTGCGAGTGAGGGTGAAAGTAGCCGGGTGGAGGCTGCATAGCCGGGTATGCCCGCCGTAGACGCGACTGATTTCTTCTCGTTCAAACAACAGATTCGAGAGCTTGAGATAGGGCAAGGTCGCAGAGATAGGAATACATTCAGCAGAAAGAAGAATCGAATGACTGGTACACCGCCGAGCACAACCCCAAGCCTCTTACTTTTGGCACCTTATTGAATCCTTGAATGAACCCCGACCGAAACACGTACGCCGGCGTTCAATATTTCTTCTCATCCTCCTCAGCATGAACGAAAGTCTGTCCGTGACTGAGCAGATCATATCGAGTGCCCCGAAGAGCTTCTGCCGGCCCGATACTCAGATCTACCTCGTCCAGCGGGATGTATTTGGTCCTGCGCCAGAATTTATATCCGACGTACACCAGGGTCATGAACGGGATCGTGATATAGCTCGCGACAAAGTTGACAGAGTCAAAGCCCCCGATGAAGACTGAGAAACCGCTGAAGATGAGGATGGTGGTGAAGAAGAAGATGCACACGTAGGCGAGGTAGGGCTGGAACCATCCAACAAAGGGTAGTTTCTTCCTGTCGATCCCTGGCCTGTGCGTCAACGGCTGATGCGAGGAGAATGGCGCTACTGGACACTCACCTTGAGCCTTCATAGCATGGTAAAAGCGAACATATGCTGCACATATCGTGATCCAGGTGATAAGACCATTGAGAGCGGTGAGGTTACTAAGCCAGGTGAATGCCTGATTGGAACCATTGGAGACGCTCAAGAAGCACAAGAGGCCGAAAGCTGTAGCTACAAGAACCCCAAAGTAGGGGATACCATTTTCGGTGGTGCGCAGGAAGAATTTTGGTAATGAACCTCCGCTGTAGTGTCAGCTTTGCTGTTCTGACTGTGTGTGAGAGCCAAGCTGTGTACCTTGTCGGGCAAGCGACATGAGCGCTCTCGAGCATCCATAAAAGTTTTCGTTGCCTGCCGAGAGTGCGGAAGTGATGACCTTGGACTGTGATAAGCCAAATGGTTCAGAACCATAATATCGTTGAACCTACCACAGCGTTGACGATAGAGGGAAGAGCCTTGACACCCATCTGTTTGCAGACTATCACGAATGGCGAAGCGGCCGCCGTCCCGTCACCATCATTCACGCCGTTTGTGAGATCCTCAGAGTGTTGGCTGATGACGAGGCCGATGATGAGGGTACTGAGGACGTAGATGCCGACGATACGATAGAAGACTGCAGTCTTTAGCGGCCCGCAACCTACAAAATACAGCAACTCTTACCAGTCCGAACGGCAACCAGCATAGTCTTTCTGGGGTTGTAAGCCTCTCCGGCTAAAATCGCCAGAGTTTCAATACCGGCATAGCTAAAGGCCGCCTGGTCGGTGGTCAGTGATGCAGGATGTGAAGAGGGGCAACCGCTCACTGAAGTGAATACGGACCAGAACCCAATGAAGCGAGCTTTGGACACGGGAGTCAAGTCGAGAAAGGAATCGTTGAATGGCTCATCACGCCAGTATCTGCCGCCGATGTACTCGTGCTTGGGAGGGATACCACCTAGATCGGCGATCAGGCCGAAGATAATGAGGCCGATGATGAGAGCGATCTTGAGGATGGCAAATGCGAATTCAATCTCTCCAAAACTGCATCAGGCATCAGTCAAACTCATTCTTCCTGTCTCAGTCATAAGACGTCAACTTACTACTTGACTCCAACAATGTTCATGATGATCATGAGCGCCAGTGTGGCAATCAAGTAGATATACACATGTGATGTGTTCTTATCCCAGAAGGTAGCCAAGATTCCGATAGCAGTAGGCTCCGAAGCGACAGTGAGACCAGTACCAATGACGCAAGAAATACCAAGCATGAATCCAGCGGCTGGGTCGATGTATTGGGTACCCATGGCGATGAACCCTCCAACGTTCGGCGCAAAGCACATCCTGCAGCAGACTCAGTGACCATTCTTTGGCGCATGTACAACTTTTTGAACTTACATCTCACCCTATAGCCGACCAAATCAGCACATGCTCAAAGATGCTGAACTGCTTGACTCACGAGACACATCATCATAGAACCGACTAACAATCCCATGAAAGTATAACCTAGCCACATCCCCACCGGTCCACCGTTCTGTGTTGATGATCAGCATATGATTGGATCGCAATAACTTTGCTCATCTCTGGTGGACTCACAATGAGACTGCTCCCAGTTCCCAAAAACAATCCTAGTAGCCCATCCAGTCAGTACACCACACGACGGTCATGAATGGGTCGATGGTGGGATCTTACCAGTCCCTAGTGTCCCAGCGATAGCGATCATAGAAACGACTCTAGGTTTCTAGTGGCCTCCAATGGTTCAGCCATCGATTACAACTTTCGCAAAGCCCGACGACTCACGAGATCTCTCTTCATACCGAATTCTCCCTCATGGGTCTGCGCTAGCTCCGCATCATTCTGGTCGAGCGTGTTTGCCTCTGCTATATAGTTCGAAGCGAGCTGTGAATGGCTGACATGGTAGACGGTCTCTGCGTCCTTGTCGAGTGTTGATGTCGCCATGATGATATGTGTCAAGTCTGAAACTATGGCCGATGCTGCAACTCTGTGGGCCGAAGAAGATGAGAAGTGAAGGGGGTGCTCGACAGCATCAGAATCGGTCACCTCTCCTTGACCTCTCCTATCGTATGATCTTTCGGCCGGCTTCTTCGGACTCGGCATCAAGTGCTCATCACATGTGATAAAGACTGGACTCCGCTCGAAGATGGATTCCGTTTGGCCAATTGGTCAGAGATAATAAGAACGGTGCCTGGGCTGTCACGGCTATCAACGGCTCCAAGTCGTGGCCACAGACAGGCCCACAGCTGATTATCCACCGATCACCAGATCGTGGGTAACGTCAAAAGCTACTTTTCCATTTCATCCAGGAAATCAGCTACATGGCCTGTGGTCAGCCTTAGATCTCTAAACATGCTTGAGATAGCGTGGGCAATTTGCAATTACGTGCGATAGCTGGAGAAGGTTGTACAGCTCAAAGACATATAAAAACTGTATTCCGAGACCGAAATGATCATGATATTGACTTTGCCGCAAAACATGCTATGGATACATATATAGGCATCTATGTCGTCAGGACATCGTTTTCAAGAGTTCTCAGAACGCTTCTCATCCTCTCCCTTCTTTTCTCTTCTCTATCACTTCTGAAACTCCGGCTTCTCCCCCGGCTTGAACCGCATCACTGGCGGCTTGGGCGGTTCTGGCTTTGGCTTTGGCTTACCCCCACCCCCCATCCCTCTACCACCTTGCCCTTCCAAGTTAGGCGGTCCCTGGAAAGGCGACCCCATCCTCTCCAAAACTTCGAGTCTCGCAAACTTTTGCACATCTGTTCCCGACCCGCGGGTACCGAGAGACGCAATATAGTCTTCGGACTGGTGGTTGGGGGGAGGCGTCCACATGCGGGTGTGGGAGGTGTGCGCCGTGGGGTCGAGTTTGGGATTGACGAGGAAGGGGTGGGCTTCGGTGTTGAGGACGTAGTCGTCGAGCGACAAGACGTCGGGCTCGGACTGGAGCAAGAAGTGGTACCTGTCTGAGGTCAGCGTTGGCCTCCACGCAGAGAGAATGGACATACTTGAAAGTCTCGGCTAAAGCAAAGCTTTCCATGTTGTCGCTAAACTTGATCTTCTTAGCAGTCACATCGTGAAGGCTGCTAAAGCCGCCGTCGACGGTCGAAGCGTTCATCCACGAAGTAAACATCTTCCAACCCTTGTCTTGCCATTTTCTATCACCGGTGAGTCGGTACCTGCGAGACCATCAGCTGTATCCCACCCAGAGAGATAAAGAACGGACATGTAAAAGATGGACTCGATAGTCTCGGGCCTGTTGAGGCCTCTCGTAGACACCTTTCTGGCACCCGCGGGAGTCCCCTTGAGCCTCTGAGCGTACTCCACCGGCCCACTGTCCTTGTCCTGCCTATCCGCATAGAAGACCGGATCATTATCTCCATTCCACCTCAACACCCCGCTTGTGTCCCTATGCATCCCATCCCGCACCTTCTTATCGTCGGTGCTATACAATAGCGGGTGGTTTCGCTCGGCATTGAGCGTCACGTTCTCGTACATCTCGCCCACCTGGTGGGGCTCAAACCACTCCATGACTTCGGGCTGAAGGCCGGTGGGAGTGCTCGCAGACAGCCAGTAGCACGAGGCTGTCACGCGCTCGGCGTCCTTCATATCGCCCGGACGGTTGAGGAGCTTGGCACCGAGGCCAAGCATGGCGCCGATAAAGCAAGTGAGATGTTCGAGCTCGGGAATGAGGCGGCCGCCCTCGAGCTTGCCGACGGCCAAAAGGTCGTGGTCCGGGACAATGTCGATATCGACGTAGAGCACCTCCTTGGCCTTGTCGATAGACCTCTCATAGACATCCTTCCAGACCTTGGACACCTCGTTGGCGGAAAGGAGCTTGTAGGTCTTGATCAAGTACTCGTAGTAAGAGTCTGCCAAACCGCCAAAGGTCAAACCGCCATGGATCTGCTGGTTGATTGGTCCGTCTGGCTGGAACCACATGGGGATGAGAGGGTTGTGGACGGTACGCGGGATGACACGCTCGTGAATATAGTCCATAGCGCGCTGAGCGAGGTCAAACCATTTCCTGTTCTGAGTGATCTGGGCAAGACGGATAAGCTCGAGAGACATACTGCCGACCTCGGCGAGAGAGACGGTACCAAGGCGAATCATCTCGTCGGGAGTACCGGGGTCCATACGGCCAATCGGCAGACCAGAACCGGTCTTGAAGGCAGTAGAGAGAATTTCAGCGAGTTCAATACCCCTGTCGAGAAGCAGCTGGTCGCCAGATAGATCGTAAGCGCCGAGAAGACCACCGAGGTAGCGAATACCGGTCTCGAAAACGGGCAGGCCCGTGACCTTGTCTCGCTGGACAGCCCAGACCTCGCCATTGTTGATTTCGTCAGAGACAAAGCCTTGCGACCAGTCGCGGCCGTTGACCCATTGGAACTTGAGCTGGTTGATGTGAGGTCGGCAGAGGTTGTACTCTTCAGAAAAGCCCATGAGCAGGAGCGTGTCGAGAGAGTCGATGATGGTGGCACCCCAGCCGTTGAAGGGATCGGAGGGGGTACAAGATACAGGTCGAACCTCATCGTGGCCTGGTCATGTCAGCTCACGTGTCTGATAAAGATGCAATGACTCACCCCAAGCATGCGCCTTGTAAGCTTCCCAAGCATGCCTGAACCCCCTCTTGACAGCCTCCTTCCTCTCGACCCGCTCTTTCCTCTCCTTTTCGCTCTCCCATCTATCCCGGCCACCGGCGAACCCTTCCCACTGCACTCTCTTGATATCCTCCGTCTTCTTGTTATCCCAGTCTTTGGGCGCCTTCCACTGCTGAGACCAGGCATCGGACGGCATGCTATTGACATGCTCGGGGGGCAAGTCTGGTGGGTCCGACGTGATTTTGCGCAAGTCCTCCTCGGGGAAGGGGGTGCCATAGGGCAGCTCTGAATACGACACATTAAGATCAGGGAAGATGTCGGAAGGTTTGGGAAGGAGAGAGACGTCCGGGTGCATGGGAGCGATATCCTGCACCCAATCTCGGACAAAGTGGTTGCCATGCTCGTCCACCACCACGTCCTTCCATTTCGAGGTCTTGCCCGGGGCTGTGCTAGTCGTCGACGACGATTCTTCAGCAGCATCGTCCCACGGCCCTGGCCCCCAGCCTTTGCCGTCACCGGGCGCAGGACGGGGAGGAGGTGCAGGAGGCCCGGCGAGGTAGTAGAGGATGAAGGCGGCGGTGATGATGCCGCCGAGGACCCACTTGGGCTTGCGGGGGACAAAGATGCGGCGGGCGATGTGGGAGGGGGAGGGGGGCAGGCCCTTCTCGGGGTCTGCAGCGTAGGCGGGGGTGTAGGGCATCTTTCTGCCCTTGAGCTTGGGGGAGAAGGTGGAGGATGAGCCCATGGCGGGAGATGGAGAGAAAAGACAGGGAAGGCTGCATCTTGTAGCGTCGACGCGTCGCTTTTACTTCGCCAAAACGCCGCCCGTCGCCCGGCTACCGTTCTGTCTATGCATCCCTGTATCTCTCATCTCTCATCGCCTGACTGGCACGGGGTATAGTAGTGGGATACTGTCAGCATGCCAGCGGCGTAGGAAGGCGTCGTACTTGCCCGGTATCACCAAGGAAAGATATGTTTAATCTCCGTGGCAGTGTCAAAGTATCCGAGCTGTTGTCCATGAGTCCATAGCAAACAAAGTATCTACAACAACAGACAATATCAGACACTTCCCTCTCCCGACCTCGCAGACCCAACTCCCAACGGCACCTCATGCCTCCAGCTATCAATATTCGCCGCCGGCCCCTCATGCCCCTCACCTCCCATCATCCCCGGCCCCGCCAGGTTCGGCATCGACATCTGCCCCATCTGGCCCATCATCCCCATCGGAGGCATTCCCATACCCATGCCGTAGCCCATAGGTTGGCCGTAGGGCATTCCCAAAGGCATCTGACCCATCGGCATCTGGGGCATACCCCACATGGAATTGTACGGGCTACCCATGCCCATCTGCGGTGCACCAAACGTGCTCCCCGGCCCACCCATCCCGCTCATACCGCTCAGCCCACTGAAGTTCCTCTTTTGCATCTGCCGTTGCACAACATCCGCGTGTTTGTACCCCAGCGGTAGATCATCTTCGACCACTTCTGCCCTTGTGGGCGGTTTCAGCCCCTTGGATTGGGCTTGGCGGATAGCAAGAGGCAAGTCGTCTTCTTCTGCGCCGTACTCTTCTGAATACGATTTGGAAGGCGTTGGGGAGCCGAAAGGGAGGCGGAGGGGTTCGGTTGTGGTGAGTGGACGGAGTTGAGATGAGGAAGAGACCGAAGGTGAGTGATGAACCAGGCGGGAAAGTGGCACGTCCTCGTCCGAGTCGTCGTCCTCTACCACCGAAGCTGAAGCGCTCGATTGGATGATTGAAGCCGACCCAGACGCGTTCTGGACAGAGGGTGAGCGTAGTGACGCAGACTTGTTGGCAAGCTTCGACAGAGGGACATTCGCCTCCGAGTCGTCAGAGTCTGAATCTTCTTCCACCACGGGCTCTTCGGGTGTAGGACTGCCCGCGACAGAGCCTTCCGCAATGTAAGATTTGTCGTCCCGTTCCTTGATCGACTCTCTGAAACTTGCAGTCTCCTGCAGAGGCTCAACAGGTGGCTCTTGTCTGGCCGGATCATCCACCTTTTCCCAATTTTCCCTCGACCACTCTTCACTCAACTTGGACTTGGCCCTACTCTTTCTCTTCTTCTTCTTCTTCCCTTCTGCCTCCTCCTTCCTCCTCTTCTCCTCTTGATTCGCCTTTTGTAGCCTTGCCTCTTGCTCCTGCAGCTGCCGCAGCTTGACCATCTCCCTTTCCCAGATATAGTCCACCCCAAAGACCGACTGCGACTTGTTTTCCCTCGAATTCATATCCGGGGCTTCGAGCGCGTAAATGTTTTCGTTCGAGTTCATACGCAAGAGCGGCTGACGGCCGCCGGGGCGGAATGATCCAGGCCGTTTACTGGTCGAAGACGATGGGGAGGTGGGAGATAGGGAGCCAGAGTCGATATGCATGGATGAGCGGGACATCATCGCAGGTCGAGAATCGCCCATGAACGTCCTACCCCCTATCAGCTTGCAGTCTCAATCATAGAAGAGTACTCACCTCGACCTCCCCTTCATATTATTCTTCCTAGCTTCCAACTCATCCATCAAACTCCGTCCATACAGCTTCCCAGCCTTCTTCTCCACAAACGCCTCACTCGTATCCCGCCTCTCCACCCCAATCTCCCCATCCTCCTCTGCCCCTCCGATCCACTCTGGGTCTTCCCTCCGCCCGTCAATCATCAGACTGCTCCTGAACGTGCGTTGACTAAGGCTCAGAGGGATACCAGGCCGACGGCCTTGGGTTTTGGCGTCTGCAGGTAGAGGTTTCTCGCCGAGGACGAATCCGTCTCGGGTTTTGGGTTCATAGCCCACAGAAGGTGCATCGGCCAGGGGAGAGGGCATGACGAGGATGGTTGGACGGAGAGAGGTGCGGTTCATACGCGTGACAGCGCTGGGAGCATACCGCGAAGGCATGAGCGGGCGGCCGAATGCTTCGGGAGTAGGGATCTCGTCGTACTCTTCCCCGTGCGGGAAATCCAGAATGGGAGAAGAGTGATACGAATCCAGCGAAGGACGGGAAAGATGGGGTAAGTCGGTTGATCGACGACTGGACAGATCTGACGACTGGCGGAGGTGGTCGGAAGACGGAGGCTGGTTGCCGTCAAGTGTCAAAGCAAGACTGAGAGGTCGAGGAGCGACTATACTGCGAGTGCTGTCGATAGAAGACCTTCTTTGTTCCTGCAGCACCTTTGGGTCAAAGCGAGAGCCCATTTCCGGACGCGGAGCAGCCACCGCAAAGGGGTTCGGCCGCCCATCCTCAATAACCTCCTCTTCCTCCCCAAGTCCCGTGTCAAATCCCAGGCTGAGGGAGGGGGGAGGAAGGAGCGCGGTGGCAGGGGACGGCGAGCTGGGGAGAGGAATCATGACGGGGTCGGAGATCCTCCTGTCACGCACCTCTGGGCGCATGCTATCCTGCAGGCCCATAGCACTATACGGACGCCCCACGAGTGTCCCACTCCTCTCACGCCTCTCCAGATCCTGCCCCGTGCTGTACTGATCCAGAGACACGCGCCTGTCGCCATGTGTCGTGCGCTGCGGGTCGTCGTGAAAGTGCTCGGAGGCGTATTGCGACTGGGCACGGATGTGCGGGGGTACGGGGTGGGGGACTAGTTGGGAGACGACGCGTTGCCTGGGCGGGAGGTCGGATTTGGCAGATACGAGATGTGAAGGAAGCCCCCAGTCTCTGACGTCTGCAATGTCTTGTTCATCCCCGGCTTGTTGAGGGGCTGGGAGAGGCAAAGGGGCCGCGGCGGTGGGTGTCTTGTCGCCAGTGAAGGTGGCCTCGAGCGGGCTTGGAAGGACAGGGGCAGGCTGGGAGAGGATTTTCTGGCGCCTGGCCTCCTGCTGTGCTTTGTGGTAGGGGATGAAGATGGCGGACTGGCGCCAGTCCTTGCGGGTAGCATGCTGGGTGTCGTCGTCGTCGCTGTCGTTGTCGTACTCTGCGGAGATCAGCTATGCCAGGGGGGGTAGAAGGGGGGCTGACCTATGAGTGCGCGAGCGAGGGCCATGCGACTGGCAGCCATGGTAAAAGAGATGATGTGGAAGAGAAAGGAATCAGATCTCGATCTTATACACAGGGCCGTGCCGCATAGGGAGGGGGCGGTGCACGGGCCACATCACCCAACATCCTCGCCATCCCTCTCCCCTATTGACATGCACCGGGTATCCTTGGCGAGTACATGTACGGATGCAGAAGCACAAGCATTCTCTCGTCTTTGTCTCGTCTCGCCACGGAGTGGACAAGAGCCCGTCGGTCATAGATACGCGGCCCATATAAGGCATCTTGTTTGGTTCGTCCCCTTCTGGCTCTGTGACCGCCATGCTTCTTACGATACTGCAGTGGGTCGCGTACTTGGAAAGTCAGTCGTACCATTTCCATATACCAGAGCACAGCCGCAGCAGCGATCCATTCGAACAGATATAGGGACAACTCGGCCAACAAGTACATCAGCAGCCAAGCATTCCTAATGTCTTGTGCCTTTGCCTTATCATTTTGCCAGTCAATGTTACATAGCTGCGAGAGAGAACCAAGGTATAACGTCCATTCATAGTACTGTTTCAACTTTAACGACGAATGTGCCAAACATTCCTTCTACTTGCATCCTACCCCAATGTCAGCCTCGCCAAAACCACTTCAACACGTTCATGACTCACTTTGATTGACAACACTCATTCCATGTTCCTCATACTCCCCTTTCGTGACCCAAAGCTGATGGAAAGTACCCAAAGAAGCCAAGATGGACCCACCCACCCAGGAAGCATACTTGCGCTCAAAGGGAATGGTGGGAGAGTGGATCTTGATCTTTTGCTACATGACCGTTAGCGTCTGCTTTTACCAAGAATCAAGGAGAAGCGTACACTAGGCAAAGTCGCTCCCAGCTCCACATCCAACCTCTCCACCAACCCCCTCGTCAAGCTCGTATTCCCAACCACCACAATGTTTTGCAGCAGACTCGCCCGGACGTCGACGTCGCATGCCATGATGCTGTCGTGCACGAGCTGCGAGAGGGGGACGATGTCTGTGAGGCTGCGGGAGTGGGTGGATGTTTGGGGGGCGCGGAGGGCGGTTGGGGGGGTGATTTGCTGCGCCGGGTTAGCTTTCTTGAAACACAGAAGGAGGGGGGGCGTACTCGGTTGAAATAGTGATCAGGGTCGAAAAGCATCTCTGAAAACCTATACCTCTCCTCCCCAAAGGCCTGGTGGTACCCATCCGGAAACTCATAAGTCACCTGCGGCATCTCCGCCGCCGTCCTGAAATCAAACCCTCGATAATTGACAATCTCACTACATGCCTCCTTCCACCCTTCAACAGTGTTTTGCTCAGCCCAGTGTTTCCACGAATCCGTCGTCGACGGGAATCGGTCCTCGCGCAAAAGCGGTTTGGGGATGACACCCGGGGCAGAGGTCGGCTCCCGCTTTTGGATGAGCTGCCTGGGCAGGAGCGAGAGCCGCTCGGCGCGCAGAGGGGAAGGGTTGGAAAAGTGATTGTGGAGTTGAGAGACGACGAGCTGAGAGCCGAGGGGCTGGTGCATCGTACCAGCTCGGAGGGCGTAGCCTTCGACAACAGGGACAGTGCTGGATTGGGCGTAGCCGACGTCGAGGACGAGAGCTGTCGGCTTGCCCGCTGCAAAGCTATCTTGTCGTCAGCATGCTATGCAATGTTGAGCGATGCGAACTCACGCAGACAAAACACCACTGGACCCAAAGTACAGCGCCGGCATCCCTTCTCCCTCAAAGATCATCTCTGTCAACAGCTCTCTGGCCTTGGGCGTGTTCCACGCAGGCTCTGTGATCATGGCGGGGTGTTCTTGGGGGTTGACGCCGAGGCGGTCGTGGAGGATATGGTGCAGCAGAGCAGCAGCAGGCTCGGCATCATTCACTATGCAAGTGTCAGATTATTACCAGCGAAATGTACAGTATACGCACCAAGACCATCCAGCATAAAGTTGCCCACCTCCATCCCCTTCCTCCACACCCCGACGCCATCCTCGCCTACATGATACTTTCTCTTCCCCCCCTTCCCCTTCCCCTTCTCACCTCCTTCCGCAGCAGGCTCTGTCATTGCCACGTCCTCTCCCTGCTCCGCCCCCGCCTCATAGCCGTAGAAGGAAGGGCAGACTACGCGCGGGCAGTCTTCGCCCGCATAGCCTGCTCTTGTGGTGTAGGAGCCAAAGTCGAGTACGAGGGCGGATACTTCGTCTGTGGCAGCGTCAGTGCTGTGCCCGCCGCCCAGCAGGCCACTCACCGCCGTTGTATACCATGTCGTGTGGATGGATGGATGCAGGGGAGATGCCAATTCGAGGTGAGTTTTGGACTATACGCGCTGTTACGTAAACACCCACAATCCATGACCTCTGCCATTTTTCGTCCTCTCTAATAGTACTATACATTGCCCATCCCCTGTCCACAGCCCCCCTATATCCCTCCTCTTATATCCTCGCCATGTCCAATGCCTCCCTGAAACCCCCCCTCCCCCCCAAATTCGCCCTCCCTCCCCAGCTCCTCGCCCAGGCAGCCGATGCCTACCGCCAGCCCGCCCCGCCCCCCTCCCTGCCCCCAGCCCAGAATCTCATGCGCCACCAGGACCCGTCCCACGATCCACAAGACAAGAACCCATCCCAACCGAACGGCCCCGGCGTCGGTGTCGTGCGCTGTCCCGAACAGCGGCCGTGGCAGGAGCGGCAGCGCCATGCTGGCGAAAAGCTCGCGAGGTTTGAAGAGTGGGAGGTGGACCATTTCGTTGCTGATCTGTCGATGGTGCTGAGGAAAGAGTATGACTGCTGGGTAGAACAGTGCTGGTGCGTTGCTGCTCATTCGCTTTTGTCTTGGTGGTCCACTAACACGGTTGGCTGCAGGCAAGAAGCCTTCCACCACGTCTTCACCCATACCTTGCCAGAGCTCATCATCAACCTCATCATGTCTGGCGCAACCCCAACCTTTCTCCGCCGCAACGTCGTCTTTGGCGGCCAATCCCTCGACCACCTCTTCCAATCCCAAATGCTCCACATACTATTCGAAGAGCTCGAACACCGTCTCTGCGGCGACCGTCCCCACGCCGACCCAGGCCCCTCCAAGCCCTCTGCCCCCGCATCCAAATTCTCCCCCTTCCCCTTTGCCGCCCCCCCTCCCCCCGCACCGCCCATCTTTCGCGACGGCGTCTGCTTCCACAACCTCGCATGCGACCACGGCATCCCCGAGGAAGAAGACAACCACGGCGCATGTCTCTGCCAGCTCACCACGTGCATGGCGTGTTTCGGGCACTATGCCGTCTATCGCCGCGGACCGATCAGCCTGTTACCGCATGAGCTGTTGAATACGCCTGCAGCGAAGGGGTGGCTGGGAGGGGTCGAAACGGAGGCGCATGCCCGCGCGCGGCAGGCGTCGTTACGCCGTCAAACGCAGACGACGCAGGCGCTCCCACCAGGTAAAGGCTTTGTGCAGATGCCGAAACCACAGCCGCCGACAGCGACAAAGACGCAGAATCCGGAGCAGAACAAGGTGCTGCCGAAACCGCCGCAGATCTTTCCGCATCCACAGATGACGGATGTGTTGGCAGTGGAAGAGCACCTGAGATGGAGGTTGAAGGAGTTGGGAGCGGGGGATAAAGCGGTGGAGAATCGGTATGGGCCGTCGGGGAACAATCCCATTGCGTTGGAGGGTGTTGGACTGCCGAATGTTCAAGAGGATGTTGAAGAAGAGCCCAAACCCAACACGACGCCGTCAAAGAATATGAAGATGGCCAAAGTCAAGGGAAAGGGCAAGCTTCGACGCGTCCCAGTGTCGACAAACAATATCAAAAAGGACAAAGACGGCAAGGAGGTGAAAAAGGCGATTGTCTATCTGCCGAAAGAGTGGACGGATGTAGTGGCGTCAGAGAGAAATACGGCCACCGTTCTTACATTCCGGCATTTCGTCAAGGTAATCCAACTCCATCGAATATGTGCGTGACTGACACCGAGCAGCTTCTACATCAAATAGCAATGGCCGCCTCGCCCTTCTCCCATCCCGACTACCCGACCGACATTGAAGAGCTCGAGCGCATGCACCCCGTCGCGCTCTATCGCCGTCTGGCTGAGCCGGCTGTGGAAAGGCGATGGGGCGCAGAGGAAGCCAAGGGGTGGAGAGTCTGTATGGACAAGTGGGGAGAAGAGTTTGGGGGCAAGGAGAGGAAGAAGGTGTGTCTTTTTTCTCTTTCTAGAAAAGGAATGCGGAGATATAGAGAGTTCGAGCTGACGAGACGATGTGGGCTGAAAAGGGAAACGACGCGTCGTCCGGCAAAGACCACTCCTCCGCCATTAAACACTACACCCGCGCCATCTCCCTCGACCCCAAAAAGACAGTCTACTACTCCAACCGAGCCATCGCCTACAACAACCTCGGCCTTCACGGACACGCCGAGCTGGACTGCACCTTTTTGCTGAGTAAAGACCCGAAGAACGCCAAGGCGCTGTACCAGAGGGCTTTGAGCAGGAAGGGGATGGGAAGGTGGAGAGAGGCGGAAGGGGATTTAGAAGAGCTGATGAGGTGGGGAGAGAGCGAGAGTGCGAGGGCGCTTCTGGCGCAAGTGAGGGAAAAGAGTGATGGGGAGGTGGTTTAGGGAAGTAATAGCCAAAGTAGTATTGGGCAGTGAGCGCATAACTATACACTTGTCACCATGTCACAACAACTCTTGTCTTGTCCCGTCTCGTCGCAGCGTGACTTTATTGAAATACAGTGTCATGTGGCAAGAAGCTGGCAGAAGCAGAAGCAGATATTTTCCATGTCATAGTACATGCGTCTTGAAAGACTGCAGAGTAAATGCGCCACACTTTGCACCGCCATCTCTTTTCTGTATGTGCCGGCCGAGAGCTCTATTGCTCCACACCTCAACACCGCCAAACTCCCCTCAAGACCCGAGACAACCCATCCAAACGAATGCTCTTAACGCCTGACACCTTGGTTTGTCCTTGTCGTTGTTCCTCGTCGGGCGTTGGCTGCAATCGCGCAACACATCAGCAAGGTTCGATATACTGCTTCCACAGAAGGGAAGGAGCTCACCTCGTTGAATGGTAGCTCGTCCTCGCGCAGCACCGATACCCCTTCCTCGCATGGCATTGGGACCGACTCGCTTGAACCTGCAAAGTGCGTCAGTATTATTCGGCCACGATGATTCTCTGAACAGCCCCTTTCCCCCGGATAGCCCATGACCATGACTTCCCGTTCGCCATTCTTCGCTGCCCCCTTCAATCACCACCACATTATCCCGATTCACGCCCCCTGATCACTTTCGGAACGGAATAACTCACATAGGCGCCTGAGCAAGCAGATCGGGCACAATGATGAATCTGATCATGCTTCCCCTGATGTACACCTGTTCCAGCTGAGAGACTCGACCGTCCCGGGCGGTAACGGTTATTTCACGGAGAGCGATGTTGAGGGTATCTTCGGCTGTTGTTTGGGATGATTGTGAATTCACACGAGTTAGGCATGCGGTTAGGAACGGGAGAGAAGGAATACGATGAAGAAGCCAGACGAGAGATAAGTGGTCAGCGGAGGCTTCGCGTACAAGATGTCAAGACGCACCTTCCATCAACTTTCCGCGGTACATCTATGCAGTCGAAGTATCAGCAAACAGTCCCAGCTAGTACTTCAGATGCACGCCTCCCCTCGATCAACTCCACTCTCAGATCGAAACAACGCACCTCGCCAGTCTTCAATTCCACCGTGATGATATGCCCCAAAGACTCGTGGAGAAGCTTGACGGGAACACCGAGGTTGGCCATTTTTGTTTATCGTAGGGTTTGTGGTCGGGACAGGGGGTAGGGTGGGAAGGGAAAGAGAGGCGACGGCGGTGGATGGATGTTGTTGTAGGGCGCCGAGGGAGAAAGAGGAGATGAGGAAAAGAGCGAGGTAAAGTGGGGGGCGCGAAAAAGAAGGGCGGGGTGGAGGGTGTCCACCTGCTGAGCTCGTCATTCCATACCCATTCACATGCATCTCCATTGTATATCTATCATCTGCATCTACAGCTTCACACAGAATGGGTATCACCCACGTCACATCTGCCTCCTTGCAAACCAGCGGCGGCCAGACGGGAGGCATGGATCGCCGTAATGCCCTCGTTGGTATCTCGGACCAACTCTCGGGCAGTTGTCAGTACCCACTATCTCTTTGTCGACCACATGACTGAAGTCAGGTGAAGTGATGATCTCCCAGCCCCACACCATCTCCGCTATCCACCATCATCAGTCGCAAGACACCATCATCTACTCTATCTCTGGTCGCGGGGCTTTGATCACTCTCGAAGACGGCAAAGAAGTCAAGAGAGAGATGAACCCGGGGGACTGGGCCTTGATACCAGCAGGAGTGGAGCACCAGGAGGCCAATGTGGGGGAGGATGAGGTACACTGGGTCATTGTCAGAGGAGGTAGAGTGCCGGAAGTGAAGAACGTCGAGGGATGGTCGACATGATTACTCATCAAATGTAATTACCTCGTCTACCTGTCTACTATATGGGCAGTCAATTAGCTTAGCTACATTGCGAGGATTCAAAACCGAGTTTCATCTCTCATCAGTTCAATTCTAGTACATGATCACTAGCGACTGTAGGACCGTCTCCCAAGTTTCCGCTCCCGATTCATATACTACTCTCTCAGGGTATCTATTGGTGAGCAGGAATCGCTATATCCATAGACTCTGCGTTGAAGATCAAGATGCTCAATATGCATAATTATGAATCAGATGCTGAAACGTTTGCCCTGTTACGTGTTTTGATTCTTATCGTACACTAGAATTCGTCAAAGATAACCCCTTCTCACAGCAAGATTAGCCCTGATACCCCATATCCTAAAGATCACAACAGACTCCTGCTAATACCAAGCCCCTAATTGCAAGTACAAACCCCGAGAGCGTTATACCTCTTCCAACTCGGTAGCTTTGGTGACATCTTCTCGGTGTTCCACCCTCTCCAGTTTCCTCGCTTTCGAATCGTGCGCCTGATACACGTCGGGGTGCTCGAACGCCGAGCCTTTGTGCCCTGCGAACCCGAAGAGAGCGTCCATCTCGTCGAGACGGAGACCTTTCTAGAGAGGCGTTAGCCCTGCTCTTGTTGGGTGAGGACTGGATGTGAAGAAAAAAACATACAGTCTCGGGAAGGAAAAAGTAGGACCAGATAGCACTGCCCATGAGACAAGCTGCAAAGAAGATCCAAGTCCCCCAGCCCATCGCTATAAAGATCTTTGGTGTCGTCTTGCTACTCTTCCCATCAGCTTATGATCAAACAAAGTAAGCATAAGAGACCCACGTGATGACAAACTGCCATAACCACTGACACATGGCCGCATAAGCTCCACACAAACCCCTCAAACCAAGAGGATAGATCTCCGACGTGATGATCCACGGCAGACCATTTGCGCCAAATGACCAGAACACAGAGTAAAACATGATCATCGTCGTAGCCGCCGTACCCCCCATCTTTGTCGACTTGTCAATGACATCCCTAGTCGTCGGATGTCCGACTTTGACGTAAACGCCCACGTAGATAAGACAGAGGGCACAGGCGACATTGGACACCATCCAAGGCTGGCGGCGGCCCCACATGTCGATAAAGTAGACGTAAAAGATGATGGAGCCGATGGCTTTGACGAGACCATAGACGCCGGTGTAGAGGTTGACATCGGTGATTCCTAGGGAGCCGAAAAGAGTTGGGGAGTAGTAGTTGATTGCATTGGCACCAGAGTAGTTTTGCCACATACTGAAGAGTTTGTTAGGTGTGGAAGAGTAAAAGGGGAGGGGACTTACAACATGACAAAAGCAAGGGTCATCCTATTCCTGATCCCCTTCAAGACAACTTCCCTCCCCGCGCCTCGCAAGTACCCCCACAAGCCGGGCTTCCCACTGACCACCGCGCGCTCATGCAGGATTCTCTCGCGGTATAGCGAGATTTCTTCTTGGATATACGGATGGTCGGCCGGGAGTTTTCGGAGGTAGGTGAGGACTTCGAGGGCTTTTTCGTCTTCGTCTTTCTTCATGTAGAACAGGGGAGATTCGCGGAGGAAGAAGGTACCGGCCATGAGGATACCAGCGGGGCTGAGAGTCTGTCAGCAACGGTATGAGGGAGGTAAGGGTTGTGGTACATTAGCTGAATACCCATGGGCAGACGCCAGGAGACGTTGCTAGCCAAGTCGATGTGTTGAGATACACCATAGTTTACCCACTGCAGTAAGTCAGCGCATAGTCTATGAGGACAAGTGGGAACGCACAAAGCCAACGAGAGAACCAATTTGGTACGCAATTTCGAAAAGACCGGTGAGGCGTCCACGGATACTGGGAACACTTTGTTCACTGATATACGCCGGCACTGCTCGAATGTGAGTACACTCCTCTTGAGCAAGATGACCACTTACCAGTACCAGTGATGCCTCCAACTGCGAGTCCACAGATTGATCGGCCGGCGTAAATGTAGTCGACATTCTTCGGCGGTACCGTCTGCAGGATAGCCCCGACAATAAAGATCACTGTAGATACTTGCAGCGTGATCTTTCTCCCCCAGGATTCCATCAGCGCCCAGGAGAAGGCTGCACCAAAAAATGCAGCTGCTTGAAAGCAGGATGTGATATTAGAGGAAACGTCGGCATAGTCGCTGGCGGAGAGGCTGTCGATCTGAAAGTATTCTTTGAAGGAGGATCGAGCTATCGTAGTGCCCATGAAGGCTCCATCATAGCCGAAAGTTATGGCACCCCAGGCGATGAGTAGGGCTGCAGAGTAGAGCCGCCAATTGTACTGCGCGAATCAGCGGGGAGCGCAAGAGGATCTAGAAGAAAACTGGACGGCTGACGTACCACTTCTGGGGGTGTAGGGCGGTCTTCGACGATCTTCCACGCCATGGTGCGCTGTGTTGGGGGTGATTATATGCTGGATAGTATAGCTACAGGGTGTACAGAAAAAGAGGAAAAGTATGTGAGCGAGGCGAGTGGCGCGTCTATGGGTGTCTAGTATTTGAGTATGTGATTGTCGGGTGGTGCGGTGTGTGCCGAAGGGGTCAAGGAAAGGGCATCTGAGGAGGTGGACGTGCAGTTCAAGCTTGTTTCCATCGAAAGAGGGGCAGAAAAGTGCCCCGGAGTCATCCCCCGGGGTAGCCCCAGGGAGCTCTCAGGCACCCCGCGCGGAGAAGCCGACTCATCCCGAATACCTCCTCTCTTTGGTTCTCCCACCAGATCCCAGACGGCTGCGCAGGCCATTTCGAGAACATTTTACACTTAGAGCTCCCTTGTTCGGGTGCGAAGGCTTACATGACTATCTTGAACTCAGATCAAATTGGTATTGCCCGGCGGTGAAAGGCTTCTGCGACCGCCGCATTCCTTTGCTCTTGCCGCGTTGAGCCATTCAGTCTGTGCATTGCTTTCGATTACCGCCTGTTACAATTGTACTCCTATCATCAGCACCTGTCTTCGAAATGTGCACGTATAAAATCCCTGCTCATAAAACCCCCTCCCTCTCTTCTTATTTCAACCATCATTCAACATGTCCGAAGAGAACCCCTCGCGAGAAGATGACCAACACCAACAAGATTCTTACCTCGACCACCTCCCAGGTACCGTAAGCTTGGGATTCGATGTTGCCGCCTACCCCCATTCTTATTCAAACTCCCCTCCGCCTCTCGACCCAAACGACCCCACCATCTCCTCGGTCGCCCCCACCGCAGCTCCCTTCTCCCAAATCCTCCCCCACTCCCGACGTCGCCCCGCTGGCCAGTTTCCGCCTTTACCAACCCCGCCCCGAGTGAGAAGTCCGTCAAATACAAGATCGTTCCTCAGCCGCAATAACAGTCAACAAGAACAGGGCTTGGATTGGAATGAGTTCAGGCGGACCTGTTATAAAGTGGCCTCTTTCGACGAGATGGCGAGGGATAAGGACGCGCCTGAAGTATTCCAATTCCTGCTGATTCTCCAGTCCTATAAAGCTGACAAGACCTGCAGATTTCTGAAAGCAGCGCTTTAGAGCGAAATACAGCCTTCTCCAATGCCTCCATGCTCTACGCTAAATGGCATACCACCTGGTCTAAACCCCAAGAATTAGACGGAGTCATCATCAGTGCTATCTCGAACTGCATGACAGAGCCTACCAAGGAACAGTTCTCTCTCAAGTGTGATGAGGTGAAAATGAAGGTTGAGAGCGCGACTGAGCTTATCTCAAAGCTTCCCCCACCCTCCACCACGGAACCAGAGGGCGATTTCTTCTGATGGATGAAGAGCCTGATTTCCATAGCCGAAATTTTGAGACTGGTATGAATGTGGACGCTGGGGGGTTATTTGAAAATCATGCAACTGTGATTCAAGAAGACCAGAACATGGTTGTGTCGCAGTGTACTAATGACAGAACGACAGCGTGATAAGCCAATTCATAGCACATCTGATATTCAGAAAGGACGATAACACAATCCAGGACAAGGACAGCCTATTCTCTAGGGACCACATACGAACGCTTTTCATCCTATGCTATCCCTTTTCAGGCCTTCCCTGTCTGTCTCAAGCAAAGTCACGCCTACTCCTGAGCCGAGCAACTGACCCCCCATACGCGGCCAGCCATACCACCTCATTCGGCTCTTCCCTACAAAAAAATATCGTCCTTGCCGTGACATAGTCAAACTCAGGCTTCCTGTTTCGTTCAAAGCTCCTGAAAGGAGGATTCCAAGTATCGTAGTATGCGGCGGCTACGATGGACTGCTCCGAAATAGTAGGGTTCAGGTTTGAGGGGGTGGTGTAGTTGAGAGCGGCAAGGGCTTTCGTCGTTTCCTGTGAGTATATAGGGATCACATGGTGTGGATGTCAGATAGGAAGTAAACACGCTATGCAGAAAAGACTCACGTCAGTGGGATCCACCTCGTTCTCTGGCTGTCCCTCCACCTCTTTAATAAAAGTGTGGCAAGCCTTCCTCATCTCTTCCCAATGAGTGGGGCTCATTATGAATTGCGTACTACCCTCACGGCTCTCGGCCCCGCCGCCGGTATTTGCTGACGGGTCGAGGGGCGCGGTATCAGGCTCATCAACACTTTCTGACGGGGCAGGGGTAGTGTCTTCGGTGGGAGCGCCATAGGTTGAAGGACCATAGCCGAGACTGACGTTACCGGGGATGGGCCAATCTTCTTCTTCTTCTCTTTTGCCGTCAGACATCTTGTTGTTGTTGGTCGGCGAGAGTGATTGAAGAAGACGCGAGTCATACACAAGGGCACTATATATACCATTACAGTATGAGGCTATATCTGCATTTTGGTTTGATGGGGAGTTGGAGAAGTACGGGAGGGTTTTGGCGAGTTCCTTTTGACAAGTCAGTCTCAGCACCATAATTCCACTTCCGCACGTCTGTATCATGTCATTGCCCGCTTCTGTTCCTTTCATAGCGCATTATGAATGGACACAGAGTGTGTAAGATAGCCAAAGGGTAGAGCTACAGCTAGTCTGCCATTTGGCGATGGGGGTTTAGGAGGTGGGTGGCGCCATAGCAAGCCCATCGACGATATAGTCATATCGAAGCCGCCATCATGTTATGCCAAGCACATCGACGTCGTCTTTGTAATGGGTGAATGATGGCAGCTGCAATCAGATGTATGTCCATATACGCCTCCAACTGGTGCAATATGGCACGCAATCAGCGTGCAGTTTGCATTGAAAGCATTCAACAAATGATGTGCCACCCGATTTACGTCACCCCATAATCATTACGGTTATAACCCATGCAAAATCAAATTTGCAAAAAATATTTCCGTTAGCTCAGAGGTCTAGAGCTGTGTGCTTATGCGGTTACCATTTCTCACACCGGTCGAGGGTTCGACTCCCCCACGGAAAACATTTGTTTTTCATTTTTGCCTCTTTTTTTCATGTGTTTCTGTTCACTTTCTGGCAATCAGGCTTGTTGTTGGGATGTTGCATTCGCTTGGCCCGATGCCTCTCTCGCTGTAGGCCTGCGTGTGCGGCGTCCGTGCTAGGGTCGCGTGAGTCGTACGTAGCTGGTGAATGATAAATCAAAGCGGCCATGTCCGCACCAGCAACGATGTCAACAACAAGCAAGTCGGACACGGGACTGCTTTTGCTTTCTCACCCCGATAACGACACACCACTCACAGAGGATGGACCGCAGCATACTCGGAGCATCCACTTCTCACAGAGCACCCCTCGCATCCCGCCTCCCTGCCCCCAACGCTGCCCCCGCCGTGCGCTCGTCCAGGTCCAGGTCGGCCCAACTTGCGGGGATCAAAGGCGCAGCCGTTTACGAAGATGACTCAGGAAAGGCAACTAAAGGAAAGAGCGACATAGTCAAGAGTGGACCTGGGAAGGATGAGAGCCTGATAGCCAAGAAGCTGAAGGCACTGGAGAAGAGAGTAGAGTGCAATGCCCAGGTGAATCGAGACCGATGTGAGTGTTTATCTGAATACGATGTGCGGCACTGATAACCTATCAGTCACTTCCCTGGACGACCGCCTCACCCAAATTCATCTCCAGCTTCACAGCCAAGCCAGTCTATCTAGCTCTACAAACGCTGCAACCCTCTCTACCCCCACAAAAGCCAACCCCGGCACAGGGCCTTCGGCGGTCCTCGAGGGCATGAAGAGCCCACCAGTACCGGCTTTGCAGAAGAAGATGGACACGTATGTGGAGTGGGAGCGGAGTATGATAAGCGGCGATCTCACACTCTCTGGCATAGATGACGTGCAAGAGGAAGAGGATGACGGGGAGGCGGTTCAGCGTGGGAATGAGGAGTTGGAAGGTGGGTGATTGCGCGCTTACGACTCGTCTGGGCCATCGCTAATGTGGACCAAGAAATGAGGGAGAAAATGACTCAGCAACAAAATCAGATTGATGCTTTAGTAGCGCAGAATGCACAACAGGCGGAGCAAAGTGCGTTCGCTTGTCCTATCGGCGATACAGTGCTTACATACATCACAGTCGCCTATCTCATCTCCCACTTTTCCCAATCTCAACAAACTATTGAAACGCTCCAGTTCGACATGGCTGTAGAGCAGGGTAAGTTTGCGGATATGGAGAGTAGGCTCGAGGCGATGGTAGAGGAGGCGGATGATGTGAGGGACGCCAGTTTGCTTATCGTATGTACCGCTAACGACGAGGGGTTCTGGAAGCTGACTGTGAGCTCTAGGATACTGCTCCTGAGGTGGACGATATGACTGTTGACGAGCCCGATACATTTCACAAACGTAAAGTTGAAGAGGAAGATGATGAGGGTGAGTCTGTTTGCTCTGCCCTTGACGCCTTTAGGCTGACCTTATACAGTTCCGTCGAAACGAGTATCGCTATAGATTCACTGTTCTCCCTATTACGAAGTCTCCACGACGTCTCATGTATGTATACTTTTATGATGCTCACCCGTTCATGATCTCCTTCATGTGTCTCAACTTGCAAATCGCCTAGCCAGAGGCAACTGTCGCAACCCACATCCTATGTCATCTGTGAAACACTCGAATTCGTCATAGGAGACTACCATGTAGCTCAAATGGTACGCGTCAGATGTCAAAGGATACACCACAGCCGAGTAAGTCCAGCCACCCATGAAAGGATAGTTGACTGACTCGACAGGCATAAAATCACCCCGACCGGCGCAATCACACATTCAATCCCAACACTCTCCAACCCATCCATCTTCCCCTTTACCATAACTATCACGACATATCCTCCCTCATTCACCCACCCAAACTTTCACCACCGCACATCTCCCCAACAACATCCACAATGGCTGCCGCTTGCGTCGCTTCCCCTTCCAAACACTCCCATCCTGCTCACTACACCTACCTCTCCCCTCTTGACCTCTCCCCTACCACTTTCGCCTCCACTCCCAACCTCCCCGCTCGCCGCACCTCCAAAACCGCCCAAGACCTCCCCAACCCCGCCCCTTCCTACGCCGCCCTCCGTTCCATGCACGCCTATGCCCTCAAGTATGTCATCGCCCGACTCCGATGGGACCAAAGCAACAACCTGTACCTCCCCGGCCAGGATGGTGTCTGGAACCATGACCAAGTGATCCACGAGCTCGAAGATGAGTTGAAGAACGTCGAGGACGCGCAAGAAACGCTGGATCAGTGGCCGGAGGTCTTTGCTCCCGTTTGGTTCCCGGAACCGCATGGTCCAAAGACCAAAGAGCAAGATGAAGAGATCAAGAAGCTGGAGGAGAGGAAGCAAGCGATCATCGACGCCAAATTGCATGAGGCTTTCCCCTGGATCAAGCAGATCTTCATCGGCCCCATGACCAAGAAGCAAGCCGCCAACGACAAGCTCCTCCGTGAACAATTGCGTAACGGCTTCTTTGACAACATGTCGTTCCTCTTGCCAAGTGAGAACAAGAGAATGGCTGTGGAGCATAACCAGAAGAAGGCGGCCGCACCAAGGAAGAACTACGAGCAGAGGAGGATGGAGAAGGAGAAGGCCAAGGTTGCTGCATACCTCGAAACTCACCCTCAGGCTCCTCGTCAAGTCGCCGGCACCGCCACATCTACTCCCGCTCCCACCTCCGCCAAACCCATCGGTCCTCTCACCAAGGAGCAAGCCCTCGCCGCCCTGCCCAAGCAAGGTCCTGCTAGCAAAGATCAGGTGCTGCACGAAGTCCAAAGACGACAGAGGCAGATGATCTTGGGCTGGCTCCATAAGCCTTGGAACAAGTACGACGAGGAAGCCTCGGGGCTGATTGAAAAGCTCGCTCTATTGGCACGGGACAGGCTCGGCGAGCAGAAGAAGGCGGCGGAGAGGGCTGGCGAGAAGGTTGGCGAGAGGGCTAGTAATGAGAAGGCGGCGGAGACAAAGAAGGAGGCTGCTGAAGATGTCAACAAGGGGGTCAAGGTCAAAGCAAAGTAGATCACCTCAGAGTGTAGGATATTTAAAATTCAATGCAGGCCATCATATCAGATCATAGGGCTATCTTCATCCATATAGGCCGGGTTACAAAAGACAAGGATTACTCACAAAATCAGCAAGATTGATTACTCTATTCATGATGTACGTACATGGCCAAGGGAGACCTCTTGGCCCGTATCGCTTGATATGGTGGCTTCAACACCCTGAATATCGAAGCACATTTGACCGAGTGGTTAAGGTGTGTGACTCAAGCTTCTTGCTTCCCTGATTCCAGGGTTTTCACATGGTCTTCGTACCGCGCAGGTTCGAATCCTGCAGTGTGCATTTCTTCTTTTTGCCTTTTTGCCATCACGTTGCTTTTTGGGCAATCGCGTTGCCTGTTGGACAGTCACGCTGCTTTTTGGGCATTGCTGTAAAGAGGAGTCAGGAAAAGAATTGATCGTATACGTATCATGGAGTTGCTGAGTTCATGAATTACCAATCCCAAGCATGAGCGAAAGAAGCAATGCGGTTGAGGAGGTTGAGGACCAGGCTACTTCTTGCATATTCCGATTTCTATATACAAACACAAGCACCAAACAAAGCTATCAGAAAAAGAAACAGAGAGCACTATTCCTGTAAACAGGCTTAAACATAAATCTTCTGCAACCTCTCAATCTCAGTCTGACTCTCCTTCTCACCACCCTGGAAGAGCACCAGCGCATCCCTCAACCTCGTCTTGGTCACCTCATCCTCCTCATTGAGCTTGTCCAGCACACCGTCCGCCAAATAGTCAACGTCGGTACTAGCAATCTTCCAGTCCTTCTCCATCAATCCACTCAACGGGTCCGCTTTGGCCATCTCGGCCATCCTTGCCTTGCTCGCGACAGGCTCGGGCGGGGTCCAGTCAGCCCACTGGGTGTTGGGGGTGTCGGCGGAAAGGCGAACTTGCCATTCCGCGCCTTTGGCGTAGACGGGGAGACGGCTGGTCGAGAGGAGGTCAGCCATGCAGCCCGAGAGGATGGTGGCGTGGTCGGCGCCGAGTTCGACCATGGCCATGGCTTCCCTTGCCGTGATGAAGCTTCAATGCACGTTAGCCTAATTTTGGTATGTAGGGAAGGAAGACGTACGAAGCTGATTTGATCAGAGGCTGGACTTTACCAGTCTCCTTCGCGAGGCGGTCGTAGGTGTCGCGGATGTGGCGCATACGGAATGACATTGGGTGCTGGGTCGCAGGGTCGGCGACGTCGGGCCAGAGCTCTTTCTGCACATGGGCACGGGTCTCTGTACATGTCATCAGTATTATTACACAGATAGGAGGGGAAAGGGGACATACCGTTGTAGTAAGGCGAGATGGAGAGCATGCCAGCTTGAGAGGATGCAATAGCCTGGGCGAGGGAGAAGAGAGAGGTACCAAGCGTACGGATGCCTTCTTCGTTAAGGACCTTGGCGGCTTGGACACCGGCGGTAGTGGCGGGCACCTTGATGCAGAATCGGTCACTATCACCAAGTCAGCACGTTCCCACAGGATAAGGTGAAGGGGAAGCGTACCGGGAGATACCTTCGGCCTGGTAAGCTCTGTCATAAGCGCGAGCGTGGTCGATGATGGCTTGCTTGTTGAAGCCCTGGCTAGGAGTGGTCTGCGCAAGGACACGACCTTGGATGTAGGGGAAGACCCTCTTGGCAAACCTCGCGGTCTAATTCCATCAGCTTTTGACACACATGTAGGAGAGGCAGACTTACTAGGACAGTGTGAACGTCAAACCAGCTTTTGCCCTTGAGCTCTCTGATAGTCTTTTCGACAAGGGCCTTGTTGTCAGGGTTGATGAGCTGCTCCTGGACGAGCAGCTGGTTGGAGGTCATGTCGTGGGCCTTAAAGGGGAGGTTCGCGGCGATAGCGGGGTCCATGGAGTCGGTGTCGACCTTAACACCGGCGGCTTCGAGCTGCTCGAGAAGGGTGGGCTCGGGGCGGGAGATCATTGTGAATGTTTGCTGTTGTGTGGTGGGTGAGGTGTGAGTTGAATATGGGACGGGGAGTCCAGAGCTGGAGAGGCGGGTTCTTATATATGTCTCGAGTGCCACGCTCTTTCACCGAGAAAACTACGAGCGTGTCCATGTACCCACGACGTGCTTAAAGTATTGTGCGAGAGTCTTCCGAGCACCCGATCAACAGCCTCTCCACCCGAATACCAGAACGCCCTCCACGGCGTGCGTGTTCTGCCTGGAGTAAAGACGGCCATTTGAAAATATCGATTGGGCATCCGGACAAGAGAGATGGCAGCTGACGATGGAGCTGCGATGGAGATTACGGTGAGCGGCGGAACCAAACGTGATCTCCTCCAGCATTTCGCCGAGTAAACGCCCCGGTGCTCTGTCGACGTCTCTGTCTCTGCGACGACCACAACTGTCCCGCCATTTCGCCGGATTGAGCGTCGGAATTCAGAGGGAGATGAGTCGATCGGATGCGGGCCGAGAGTCGAGTCCGAGTGGCGAAAGTGGATGCAGGAAAGGCTCGATTGCTGTACGCCTCCTACGCGGCAGGCGGCTTCTTTAATAAGCGTCCCACTCATTCGTCGTAGTGTACCCAGGGCACCTATTAGGACGCCCTCTAGTCTTTCCTTGTCCTTCATACACCATGGCGTCAACAAAAAACCCGGTGTGTCTTTCTGGCGGACGAACCAAACACGTGACTGCATGACGGTCCGCTGTTTGCCGGAATCCTTAATCCTTTCGTTCCTGCGGAATGACGTTGTGGGGTCCCAATGCGGGGCTTGCGGGGCAACATGTTTGCGTGCCTGCTTGTTTGTCTCTTTCTTTGTCCAGAGTCTGCTGAGTGCAGTCACGGGGCATCTCATTTATGCTTGCCCGCATTTTCACCGCATATCTATTTGGTTCATCCAGTCCCGAGATGCTGCTAGTCCGACTCCGGGCTCACTCCCGATCGCAGTCATATATAAGCATGCCCTCTGGACGCCACTGGGACGCCCCTTACTCACCCTCCTCACCACTTCTACCCATCCTCCATGTCTATAATCCCACCAGAATCCCCCAGGAGCGAGCACTCCTTCCCTGGGGGCAGCTCCCTTAAACCGGAGAAGCACGACATCGACCACCTCGAAGACGTTGATATCGAGGCTAGCAGAGACCAAGACCTCCGCTCGAGGAACCGCAATGTCAGCGCCAAGTAAGTCTCCCTCTCTCCTCCTGGCCGGTAGCTAACAGCTGGTTAGGATTCAGAACCCGCTAGCGGGTTTGTCTAAGGGCAAGCTCCTCGACTTGGCCGACCAGTTTACGCGCGAACACGGCTTTGAGGAGAAGCAAGATCTCTTCCGCCGAGCAGCGCTCGTATCCCAAAACCCGAACGACTTTGAGCTCATTCAGGAGCTCACGGAGGACGATCGATACTGGCTACGTCGTGAGACCACGAGTAAGTCCCTGACTCTAGCTTGTTGTTGGGGGAGGGTTGTGCTGACTCGGTGTCTAGACAAGTGGGACCAGACACGAGCCTTGTACTTTCTCGTCATCGTCTGTAGTATCGGTAGTGCAATCCAAGGTTGGGACAAGTGAGCTCCCTTCCACTTTGCTAGTCGTAAGCGCTGACTCTGTCCTAGCACAGGTGCCAACGGAGCCAACCTCAGTTTCGTAAGCCCGTTCTACATCCCAACTCCTCCCCAGCTGACCTTGAGACTACTAGCCCACCGAATTCGGTATAGTCGACAACACCTGGCTCGTTGGCATGATCAATTCCGCCCCTGCCATCACCGTCGGAACCGTCAGCGCCATGCTCACCGACCCTATCAACCACTACATTGGTCGCCGTGGAACTATCTTTGTCACTGGTCTCTTCTGTGTCTTCCCTGTACTTGGGTGAGTTCTTCGTTCGTTCAAAGGATCAATGAGCTGATGAGAGCTCGCAGGCAAGCCTTTGCCAAGAACTGGTGGGACCTGTTCATCTGCCGGGTATTGATCGGAGTGGGAATGGGTATGAAGATCACTACTATTCCTATCATGACTGCCGAAACGTACGTTCCCATTCTTTTCTCTCCTCTCCTTGACCTTCGAACGGTTCTGATCAGGTTACAGCGCCCCGGCAGCCATCCGTGGTGCATTGGTCATGTCATTTCAGCTCTGGGTCGCATTCGGTATCCTCGCAGGATTCTGTAGCAACTTAATCTTTTACAGGATCGGTAAGAATGCTTGGAGGGTGCAATTGGCTGCTGCTTTTGCCCCTGCCGTACCGCTCCTCTTCTTGAGTAAGTCCCCTCCCGTCTTCCCTTCCTTGCTAGATGCTAATCATCAGCAGTCTGGTTTGCCCCCGAATCCCCTCGCTGGCTCATGAAGAAACAACGCTACCTCAAAGCCTTCAGATCCTTCTGCCGCCTCCGTAAATCCGAAATCCAAGCCGCGCGCGACATGTTTTACGCCCACTGCCAACTCGAGGAAGAACGCGAGGTGTTCCAGGGGACGACGTACTTCACGAGGCTGGCGGATATCTTTGTGAAGCCGAGGTTGAGGAGAGCGAATTTGGCGAGTTGGGTAGTCATGCTTTCGCAGCAGCTTTGCGGGATCAACATCATGTGTGAGCTTGGGGTATGTCTTGATTGGGTCGACAACTGATGCTTGGCGTAGCGTTCTACTCGTCGACGATCTTTTCGGAGGCAGGGTATGATACCAGGCAATGTCTCTTGGCCAGTTTCGGCTTCGGTCTCGTACGTCGCCTCTCCTCCCCGCCTTGCCTCCCTGACACTTTCCCTCCAGGTAAACACAATTTTCGCCCTCCCTGCCATCTGGACCATCGACACATTCGGTCGCCGTAATCTCCTCCTCACCACTTTCCCTTGCATGGCCCTCATGCTCTTCTGGGCCGGGTCCATGTTCTTCCTCGACGAATCCAACTCTGCCCGTGTCCCCGTGCTCGCACTTGCCATCTATCTCTTCACCGCGTTCTACTCCCCCGGCATGGGTCCGGTACCTTTCGTCTACGCCGCTGAAGCTTATCCTTTGACTCATCGAGAGTCCGGTATGAGTTGGGCGGTACAGCAGAATAACATGTGGTCTGCGGTTCTGGGGCTGACGTTCCCGACGATGTTGGCAAAGTTCAAGCCTTGGGGTGCGTTTTACTTCTACGCAAGCACGAATTTGTTGGCGTGGGCGCTGATCTTCTTCTTCACACCTGAGACTGCGTAAATCCCCTTTTTCACCGTTCCGGACAAGACAAGAAGCTGACAGAGGGATGTAGTCAGCGAACACTAGAAGAACTCGACTATGTCTTTGCCGTGCCCGTACCCGTATTTGCCAAGTACCAAGCTACCACCTTCCTCCCGTGGTTCATCAAGCGCTACGTTCTCTGGCAAAAGTCGGCGCACTTGGAGCCGCTATACAAGTTGGAAGGCGTCGCGTCTGAGAGGACCGAGGTGGAGAGGTTCCATTAGGTTTTCCTTGCTCGAAGCCTTTGGGTCGGCTTCTCGTTTTTGCCTCAGAGTTGAACCATGATTGCAATGAGGGATCTGAGTTCAGAAATATACATAGCGTTTGTAATCTTTAGTCTTAAAATCTTGTTTGTAGAATATCCATTCCCCCTCGGGTATCGTGTAGCGCTTCTCCTGTTTGTAGTCGTCATGACATGTTGTTCACACACTTAACTTCAATGTCTCATCTCTAACCCGATCGAAAGAAGATCAGAAAAGTTGTTACAATGCTTCGTGGCATGTTCATGTTTTTGTTCTGTCATTTGGCCAAAATCTATTTCTATCTCTATCGTTGGAAGCGAGTGGACAGTACAAATACAAGACACAAGTGGGATGCGATCTATGTCCCACGTTTGGGAAGTCCAAGAACGATGCCGTCAAAAGCAAAGTACAGATCCCAAAAGCAGTGGGCCCAAGAGAAGGCAAGAAAAGGAGAGAAGAAAGCTAAGCTGTGATGAAGTCGAGCTTGGTGTCTTAGGGGCTGAGGAGGACGGTGGTTTAGGGCATAGACAGGTGGTCGAGGATAGTCTGGATAAATTGTCAGCTTGGTAGATGGAGAAAGAAGGAGGCGAACTGACCTTGGCGTTTCCAATCATCTTGGAGATGATAAAGCTCGCATAGACTGTATTGGAAGCATCTACAAAAGAAGCGTCAGCTCTGCCGTCGATGAATCCATAAGCAGCACTCACGGTCACGTTCCCCAGCCTCATCCTTCACAGCCTCCTCGCCCCAGCCCATGTGCAACCACTTGCCACAAAGCTCCTTGACCAGCCACTGCTCATTCTTCGCACCGGCGAATGGATACACAAAGTTTGTGAGGCCGAGCAGCGATGAAGGCATACCGGACGAGTAGGTAGTGGGGAAGGAAGTGGGAAAGTCGGAGAAGAGCTTAGAGGCTTTGGTGGGGGCGTTGATGCCAACTTTTACGATGTATTGGTTGCAGACCATGTCGACCAGCTTGGAGGGGAGTGCTGAAAAGCGTCAGTCAGTAAGAGATTCATGAAAGAGGAAAAAGGGCTTACCGTCAGAGTCTTGGAGGTTGATGAGGACAACATTATTCTCGTCGCAGACTTGCACCATAGTAGTCTTTGGAATGCTGCTTTCCGGAACGATAGGCCTGTGAAGGTCCCTCACCCCATCGTGAACAACTGTGTTTGTATACCTGTCCGACTCCCAGTCACTCTCATGCCTCACCGCAAAAGTCGGGCCCTGGATATCAAAGCCCAACGTGTCGCCCTTCAACTGAGACAAAGCCCGGTTGGCCTCGGTGAGGTTGGAAGTGTGGGTGACGTTTGGCGGGAAAGGGAAGTGAGAGTGGTGGAAGGACGATTCGGCGAGAGAGGAGGAGGCGTGAGGCTTAGGGGGAGGGGTGATTGGGAGGGACGAAAGGTGGGATTGGGTGAAGCGGCGGGTGGTGAGACTGGGGTCTCGGTTCTTACGGGGGTTTCTGGGAGTCATTGTCAGTGGTGAAACTTTGCGTTACTGATAGAGGGCTTACTGGATGACAGGAGAGCAAGAGAAAGCTCGCTCGGGTATGCGAGAGACAGAGACCCTTCGCGCAGAAGAGAAAGAAGTGCTGGGCCGAGCGAGCCGGCTTCGAAGCAAAGTAGAGGACATGTTGGTGATTTGTTGTGTATTGGTTGGTGAGTGAAGAGATGGAGACCTGAGAGTCGATGGGCTTCTTCTTTCCAGCTCTCTGAGCCCCTTATTATGGCTTCCTAGTCGCACATACCATGTGAAAGTCAACTGAGCAGCCCATGCGGTAAACGCAGCACGTTGATAGACCTGTTGCATATCGTCGAGTTACGCAAAGATACACATTGCGGTTGGCTAGAGATTCCCCACAGCATCTAATGTCGTATCGATGGGCTCTTCTATCGCCATCACGACGAGTGCCTTTCACGCGAGATAGTGCCTTGGTTAGTGCGGCCAGATGGGATTTGGAAATGAGTTAGTGCGGCACTGACAGGCTTGGCATTGAATGGATCATATGGGGTACTATTGCGGGGCGTTGGCATGCAGTCGAAACGTTCAAACAGACTAGCAGCCTTGACGATATCTTATTCGACCTACTGTTCGAACAACGTTGTTGGCCAGTCAAGTGGAAGAAGAAAAGCTGTGTCTGAAGGCTCGATGTGCTCCAGATCTATTGGGGAAGATGAGAGGCATGACAACCAAGCATTATTCAGACTAAGTGCCGTTTCTTTGGTACACGGCACCTGGTGCGGGGTCACGATTGCTCGTCCGAGGATTCTGGACCCCCCTGACGTGCCGTTCCGCTACAGTCGAAAGACTCATATCGTGTTACTCATGAGGTATGCATGGGCTTAGCCTGACACGCATAGAGAGGTGACTGGCGGTGGTAATGAAGAGTGTGTGCGTGTAGTTGTTGGCGTACGTGTCATGTTTACTGGCTGTTTCCGAGGATGGCACGTCTGATCAGCAACATTATCAGCCAAGGAATGGGCAAGACTCACCCTTTTGCCATGGCTGTCCACCTATCCATTATCCCCTCAGTCTGAATCTCTATGTCTTCTGAACCGCAACTCGACCGCTTTCAGGTACCTGTTTGGATCGAGGACAAGACCTCTTTGGAAAGCCATTTCCTGGATCTTTCGGAAGATGATGTAAGTCGCATGAACATGATTAGCCGCATCTATACGTACTGATCAGCAACGCTCAAATAACGCAAGATGTGAAGTTCACAATCGATCTTGTCTTCAGTCACAGGCCCTCCCCAAAAGTCTTCCATCCTCGTCGACGGATCTTTCGTCAACGCCTTCCCGACATACACCTGACACATCGCCGATACCGTCATCCGAATATCTTCCATCCACGTCTTGTTATGCGGATGGATATCTTGCGCCATTCCGGCGAGATCAAGCAGCTTTTGAGGGCGGCTGGTGGGTGTAAAGCGATGAGGAAAGTCGCGGTGGATCTTCATGCACGTCTTGAGGATGTTTCCGCCGACTTTGAAGATGCTGGGAGTGGTGAGGAGGCGGACGATACCATCGGGAATATCTAATGGCGCTTTATGAGCGGATATACCAAGGTGGACGGTGGGACGCTCACCATCATTAGGCCCTATGGGCACCAGCAAGATCAAGTTCCTGCCGCCAATAGCAACCATCGTCGTCCGTCCCTGCTTATACCAGCCCTGATTTGGCCCTTGTACCGCTCCCCTTTCGCCCTCTTTGACGAGCTCTGACGGATACTTGATATCCACCGCCAACACATTCCCGCCAAACGTCCGCAAAAGATCGTCAATCTCAATAAAGTCGGACGTGCAGACGAGCTTCGGTTTGGTGTGGGTACTGCCTTGGGGATCGAGTTTGTAGTCGAAGGTGGGGACTCGTGATGGACGTAAGACATTGCTGGAAGGCTTTTTCATGGACCGATTCATGCGGATAGCTGGAGGCTTCTCGGAGGGTGGTGGAGGGTCGCTCGGCGTGGTTCGGTATCGAGAACTAATGAAGGATCAGCTCTGGATACAAAGTCAATACAAGACTTACCCGATAGTGACATGAGATGAGCGGCGACTGAGAGGATGGCGCGATGACTCTCCAGCGCATCTGGCGAGGCCACGGAGATGGCAGAAGGGGAAGGTCATGTCGATGAAACGAAGAGGAAGAGCCAAGGGGGCAGATGTGATCGCTGTAGGCACTATCGAATGGTGGTTCAACGGTGTTATGAGTATACACACCTAGGTATTGATTGATGATATTTGTTGAAGAGACAGCCACACAATAAAGCGGAGGGCAGCTCAAGGCAGAGACGAGATGTGGAGGCACAATCGTCGTAATGCCGGCCGCCGAAGAGAACCACTTCTGAAAAATTCAACACTATTCTCGCCTGCAAGAAAAGCCAAAAAGCGAGAGAGTCTATTTCAGATGCCCACGATCAACCTTGCATTCACAGAACATACACCCAGTCATAAAAGGGTACCAAACAACGGCCACACAAAAGACAGAGGTCTGAGTCAATCCGGCCCATACTCTTCGTAGAGTATCGTCAACATGCTATGTCCAAGACATCAACCGTTTGTACAGACGCGCATGGAATAGGAGTGGACATTCAGTATGTAGATATGACAGGCAAAAGAATAAAAACAAAAAAGAAAAACAAAATAATGCAGTGTGGGGGATTTGAACCCTCGCTGGTGAAAACCAATCGGATAAAAGCTAGCTAACTTAAGGCCGACACCTTAACCCCTCGGTCAACACTGCAGGTTAAATTTTGCCACCGTTTCCAAACAGTATAACGTCAAGGGTTCCGTCTATATCGTGTCGCAATCGTTATCGTTTCTGGTTTGACAACTATCATTCAACCACTAGGCTGTCACAATCACTGCTCTAGGCGCAGCTCACTATGGCAAGCTCCTCTCTCATCCATACTCCTCCTCAGCCAAAACTGACATATTACCTCACAGGCCAACGCTTCTTCAAAACGTATCGCGTCAGGTAACGAGTCCGCGCTCCGAAACCTCCAAAATGGTCTCTTGCTCGTGAACGTGAGCTCCACCTTCTAGTTTCAAGGCCTTGTCCACAAAAAGATCCGTTACTAATTCTATGTCAATAGGGATCCGCCTGGATACTCCGATTCCTCCTCTCCCTGATCACCTCCCGCTCCTTGTTCCCCCGCATCTTCCCTCTCATCCTCTATATCTTGTCTACGACGGCTACAGTCTTCATTTGGCGGTGGTTCGTCACTATCGGTTCGCCGAAGAGGGGTGCGAATGGTAGGGGAGATGTGAGGGTGGGTGATGATCTTGCAGGGAAGGGGGTTGTAGAGTTGGCTTGGGATTGGTGAGTTTTGCCTCAAATCTGTGGTAGCTCAACTTTGGGCCATATCATGAGGACTGTCTCAAGGTCTGAGCTGATGGAGAACAGGGTTTATATGACTTGGATCTGTACTATTGGGAGTGCGCTGTTTGGTGACCGAGTTTGGTGGCTTTTGGCTCTTGTAAGTCTAAACAGAGGAATCTTGTACAAAAGCTAACCTAGCGATAGGTCCCCGCATTCGGCGCTTACAAGCTGTTTAACACCATCCGTCCCTTCCTCGCCATGTTCCTCCCCTCCCTCTTCGGCCCCAAATCCCCTCGCGCTGCCCAAGAAGCGGCACAAGAGCCCGAAGAAAAGGAGTCTCGAAAGCAGGCCAAGCTGCGAGCCAGGATGGAGAAGGGAGATAAGAGGGTCCAGCAGGTACAGAGACGGTAATCATTTTTGGGTTCTAAAATGCATATGCGAATTACTCGGCGTCCCTCTTCTCCCATTCCTGCGCGTACTCGCCCACCGTCTTGCCCTTCGCCTCAATATATTCCAGTACGCCATCTAATGCCGGCTCGGCCCTGTTCATCCCTGACCCTCCCCTCTCCCAAGTACCGTAGATGGCCTCCTTAACTCTCATCTGCCTCTCTGATAATGCTCTGTCCGAAGATTTGACGCCGTCCGTCTCTGACACCAGTCCCTGCGCCGAGGGCAATCTCTTGAACGCCTTTTGCGTGCCAGTATACACGCCAGCCTTGGACGAGTCCAGCACAGTACCCTTCTCTACCAAGTTCTCCATCCCTCCCGGTGGGTGGAGGGCCTGCGTCGCATGGACGGATCTACGGAAGTCCTCGTAGGTGTCGAACGCAGGGGGTTTGGTATGCCTGAAGGCATTCTCGAAGCCTACTGGGAGTTCTGTGGGGGAGTGGAGGAAGCCTGCTGAGGAGTGGTGGAGGGAGACCAGCGAGCGGAGGGTGGACGCTGAGAGGGCACGGCCGGTGGATTTTTTGGGTGGGGCATAGGAGGTAGAGGAGGAGGGGCGGGAGAGGTTGGGGGTGCGGGAGAGCGCTTTTGATAGTGTTGTGCGGTTCATGGTGGTGATTTTGGTTGTAGCTGAACTTTTGTGCAAATCATGCAAGAGAAGAGTGGGCGCGGCGTATCACTCGTGAAAAAAAAGCCACATCACCAGCAAAAGTTCATCTTCTCTTTCATCGTGATTGTTTTGATCCTTCGACTATACAAAACTTGCTCATTATCAGCTCTGGGCCAGCCACAACAAGTCCTATCAACGCGCCAAGATGGACAAGGTTCAATTCCAGCTCGAATCTACCCTCCCGGAGCTCAAGGACCTCCACGAGAAGGGTCTCTTCACCAAGGTTTGTATAGCCCCTCCCTAGATAGACCCCAGCTCACGATCGCTTTAGAACGAGATCAACGAGATCACTAGAAGAAGGACAGCATTTGAAAGTGCCCTCATCAGGAGAATTCAGAGAAAGGAAGATTTCTTCAGATATGCCCAGTACGAGATCAATCTTGAACGGTTGCGCCGTGTACGATGGCGAAAGTTGCGCTACCACATCAACCCCCCTCCTCCCTCCGCTTCCACCTACTCTATCCAAAGAAGAACACTATACATTCTCAAGCGGGCTACGAGCAAGTTCCCCCAAGACCTGTCTGTCTGGTTGACATATATCCAATATGCGAGCCGGGAAGGTATGAGGAAGGTCGTTGGACAAGGCATTGTCAAGTAAGTCTCCTATTTCCATGTCCGTGCAGAGACTCATAGCTTGTTAGGGCAATGCAATTCCACCCCACATCTTCAACCCTCTATCTTCTCCAAGCATACTACCACCTTCACCCGGCCTCTCCTTTCCCCGACTCCATCCTCCCCTCTTCCTCCAAATCACCCCTTTCACTCGAAGAACAAGATCCCGACGACGTCCCCATCTTTGCCATTGAAGGCATCTCCCCCGCGCGAACAGCGCTCCTCATGGGCCTGCGTCTCGTCCCGGCGTCACCAGAAATTTGGACCGAGTACGTTAAGATCGAGTTGGGCTGGGTGGAAGCTTTGAGAAGGAGATGGAAGGTGCTCGGTATCAACGATATCAACAGCAAGGGAAAGCAGGTGGAAGAAGAGTTTGAGGGCGACATTGACGCCCTTCGAGGTGGTGAAGGAGCGTTCGGAGAGGAAGGAGAGGAAGCCAGGAAGCAAATCCTTTCGGGACAATTGGTCATTCACGCTCTCACCTCGGCACTGAAAGCGATCAAGCCTGAAGCTGTCATTGAAGGGAAGAAGGACGGGGGTATGTGGTATCGCCAGACTCTGCTGGATCTCTTCAGAGGATACCCCAGTCCTCTGAGAGTCAAGTGTCTGGGGGTGGTATACAATGAGCTGGATGAGATTGCTACTTCCGTGTCGGAGGCGGCGTCTCAAGCTCGTATGCTATCCATCTCCAGGGGACTCTTTGAAAAGCCATACGCGGAAGGAGAAGAGCCTGTCAAGGAAGGCGAGTATGTCCTCTCCGGCGTCGAGCTCGTAGAAGAGTTTGGCAAGATTGGCAAGAATATTCGCAAATCTGCGAAAGGCGCTCAGAGTCAACAGTGGATAGAGGTCGCTGGAGAGTGGCTGATTGGGCGTATCGAGAAGCATGGAGACTACCCTGAACTTGTACGTCTTCGCCTCGGATCGTGGAACAGCACTGACAAGGCTACAGAGAGACTATCTCCTCTCACTCGCTGGCAGCCTCACAAAATCGTCTCTCCAACCCCCAGCTTCATACCTCATCGCCCATCTCCATCTCCTCTCCTCCCTTTCCTCCCCCGAACTCCTCCCCATCGCCCGCGCCCACTCCGCTCAATATCCCGCGAACGCCATCATTCAGTCCGTCCGTCTTTCTTCCGAGCTTTCCTCGGCCTCTGCCGACAAAAACGATGAGACAAGAAAGATGTGCGAAACTGTCGCGCGTTCTGTGATCCTGAGCGAAGACAAGGAGGGCGTGTTGGCTATCTGGAAAACGTGGGCGAGCTGGGAGAACGACGTTTCGTCTCCCGAGCAGCTCGAAAAGAGGTGGGAGTACATCTTGAAGCTGTCTTTGAAGATTGGCTCGACAGTCATGGGATTGCATGACCAGCTGTTGCCGGCATACATCCTCTCGCTTTATGAAAACACTAGCCAGGGGCTCGATGTCGTCTCCAAGAGCGTTTTGGGGAGGTACAGGCCTTCTCCGGTGATCTTTGCCCAGGTCTTTGAAGCCCTCAAGTCGAGTGAAAGATCACCTTCTCCTCAAGAGATGCAGGGATTCTTCCAAAGCTGGAAAGCCCTCACCCGCTCTCCCACCGACCTCTTTGAAGTTTCCGCCGCCCACTTGACGTATCTCGTTGAGACGGGTAAAGGGGCGGAAGGGTACAAACTGTATCAGACAGCGAGGAGGGAAGTTGGGGAGGGATTGGAGGGACAGTTGGAAAGCGTTTGGGTGGGAATTTTGGAGAATGCCAAAGAGGAAGAGGAGGGTTCTAGTGGAAGCGGGAGTGAAAGTGAGAGCGGAGATAAGGATGAGGAGATGAACGAGGCGTAGACGTATGTCTTTATGGAAACAGTTTATCACGGACACGCAAAACAGCTCTCTTTTTGAACTCAAGAAGTACAAAAGCGTAGGAGTGCAAGCTGAAATACTGTATGCTATCAGTGGCAACGATGTTGCCCTATCTGCTCGCTTTTGCCACGTTCATCTATCAACAGCGTCATCCTGAGCCTTGCCACCGTTTGACGAAAGGTGTTCGCATCCGGAACCTTCCTTCCATATCCCCATCAGATTATGGCCGAGGTCTACCCAAATAGTAGATACAGCTCAACGCCATATGCATGCAATTATCGACAGGCGAACCTAATCATAAGACCCTCGCTGAACTTTTAAGTAACCCTCCACTCTTCGGATCATCGTGTGTCTTATGTTGTGCCTCACGTTGCCATATGAGAATGCGCGATCATGACATCAATGCCGCGCATTGTCTCTGGTGAATCTTGAGCGAATGTCAGGAAGCTGAACTCGTCGTCTGCTGAAGGTCTTGTGGCGTTCTTTCGAAAGGGGAAGTGGCTTGCAACCGTTGTATTCGGTGGGTGCTCGATATCGGATCTATCGGTACGCACGAGGGTGATATCACCTCGGAACCTGGGCATATACGGTGCTGACTTGACGTCTTCGTCGAAAGGAAAGCTTCTACTGGCTGGATCGACCAATACTTCACTTACTGACCTTTCGTTCATGGAGGTCTCGTAAGCCACGTGATCAAACATATTTTTGAAAGACGCCAGGTCTGCGACGATCTTCATATGCTCTTTTGTGACATAGACGTCCCCCAAATACATCAGTGAGTCATCCACCTTATACTCTGTCGATAAAGGATGGAAGCAAGTAACTTCAGTTTCGATAGGTACTGCTTCGGAGGGGCAACGTACACTGGTCATGACGAGACTCCTCTCCTCATCAGAGCCCCGTTGCATGTCGTATGTCGCTGCAGGTTGCCCCACAGGGATCCCGAACTCGATAATCGTTAACGGTTGAACTTCATATAACTCTGGCATTACATCTTCATTGAGGGTTGCGTAGGAAACCATCGGGCTTTCCAGTGCGACGGTCATCCGACGAGGGTTATGGTAGGCACGAGCTCCTGTGAGCTTGTTGAAAAGCGTTCTTTCTCCGCTCGCTATACTGTTTTCGCTCGAGATTCGAGGCTGGAAGCTCCAAGCTCCTGGCCGGTACTGCGAGGTGTCTTGATGTCTTACATGATCAGGAGTTCCCGGAGGAGACCCTTCGTCGTCTTCTGAGTCATGTCTGACATCGGTGATACCGAGAACTTCCTGAATGGCGAATCTGTGAAAGATACCGGGGATCATTTCAGATGGCGGTCGTTCATCGATACCTTCTCTTGCGCTGACTGTTTGTTCCGCCATTATCGTATTCTGTGGTTGATATGCAGGTTCTTGCGTTCTAGCGAATGTCTCCTGTCCTCGATTGTCTCTGTGAAACTATCTTTGGAGAAGCGCAAGAGTGGTACGCAAGAATGGTGTGCGATATGCCTTATGTACGAAAACTTCTTGTACACTCGATCCAGGAAAAGTTCAAAACCTTTCATAGACCTGAATGTAAGGCCAATCAACGCAAAGGCGGACCGCAGTAGTGTGTCTTCACTATTCTGTGCAAACGAAAGGAATGCAATATGATAGTTACTCCGGTGGCGTACAACATGTGTATCGGCTACCGATGGATACCTAGTTGGCCGACCTGTGCCCAAGCTACGAAAATGTATGGTGGAAAAAGATGATGAGGGTTTTCCAGCGTCTCGTGTCGCATTGCCCGCGAACTCTTTCGCCTCCTGCCCGAACATTGTCTCACTGTCCGACTCGTCTGAACCGGTGCGAGAAAGAAGCGTGTATATGCGATCACCGACACGATACTCCGTTCGACTTACAAAGGAAGGTGAGCTTTGAGATTGAATGCCCGCCGTCAGCACCCCCCTGAATAGTGACTTGCAGTAGCAAGAAATACCAATCCAGCCCTTTCCGATCCATTTTGATCTCCTACAAGCATTATCACTCATCATGTCGTTCACAAACTTGCAGACTGTGATTATCACAGAATCAAATAATCAGGCTGCCGACAATGCCAGCATCACGGCATTGCCATTCGACGCGCTAATTCATAATCTTACCGCAAGCCCCTGTCCCCCTTTCACTTGCAAGTCCCTTCGTTTCGGTGAAGGCGTCGGATGGCACATGATGTTGGAAGACAGCAATGGCGGAGAAGAGGATGGGGAAGAAGACTGGGCTTGTGTCTTTAGGATCAACTTCCCAGAGTGTGGTCGCACCGCTATGGTTAACAGAGATCTCACAGGCTGTGTCTTGAGTTGGTGCTTGTCGGAGCACAGCGACGCATTCGAGACCAGCAATGGAGCCTCTGTCAGGCAGCTGGAAGAGCAGGGCTATGGGCAAGAGTGGAAGGCGTCTCTGGGTAGGGTGACGAGCGCGATTGTGGAGATGGGCGAGATGAGTGATAGCGGCAGCTTCTTCAACTCGTTCTTAGGTGACCCTGAGCTTATAGTCAATAGCAGTATGTCAGAGGAAGAGGTACACTCACTGGTAGAAAGATTCGAAGAGACGTGCGGGTCTCAGACCTGAAAAAGCTCGAACTAGTATAGCAGCTGGGACGTTGTGTTGACATGATGTATAGGCGCGTCATGATGAGTCAAGCATGCACCCAACGCGTCAATGCAAGGAGTGTAATGCATCCAAAATGAACCTATAGTACACACAACAATGTGATCATATTCAGATCTGTCAGGCCAGCCCCCTCTCTCTCTTGTCCCGGAAGAAGGCTGCAACACCTTTCATAACCCCTCCAAAAGTCTGCTCTACTTTGACATCCTCTCCTATCCATTTCGGTAACTTGTTCCGGATGCGTGGGGTGGCGTAGCGTTTGTCGAAGAGGAGAATAGTCGCATAGTCGTTGGCATGTCTGATAGCTCGACCTGCGTTGTTGACGTCAGCGAGTAGTGCAGAGTGGGAGCACGATAAAAAGATTCACCGATCGATTGGTTGACGGCTCTCATACACAAATTCTCATACAACTCTCTCCCCCCGCCGCCGCCCTTGGCCGCCCCTGGTATGTTTTCCACATACTTCATCCTCTCCTGCAGCTCCACACTCCCGACATTGGCAAACGGCAATCCGACCATGATGACACACCGCCCAAGACCGTCGGAAAAGTTGATACCTTCGGAGAGTTTGCCGCCTACGACGGCAAAGAGTAGCGCGCCGGTCCTGCGTGACTTTTCACCGGAGGAAGATGGTGCGCGGGCCTTTATGTGGATTAGCAAAATACAATCGGAATGATCTTCAAGAACGTACTGAAGATATAGCAAGCGAGTAGTCACGTAGGATAGTCTCAACATCGCCAGACGTCTGCGGCTCATAGAATAGCTGACCATCGGTTCAGCCTTGTCCTTTTTCCGAACATGCCAGACGTACCTTCTTCTTCACCTCCATCTTTTCCAACAATCCAGTCTTCGTCCATAATGTCTTGACCTTGTCCAGAAACGCATAAGAAGGGACGAAGACGACAACTCCGTCGGGGACCATATTAACAACCGATAAGATCGACGCTCCCAAGTCCGCAAACTGTCCCTGAAGGTAAGTTACTGATTCACCCCTGAAGTGAAATGAGGATACATACCAGATTGTCATCGTTCCGGTTGCCAAATTTGAATTCGAATTCTGTCCTCTTGGGGCCAGAACAGACGACCTGAGTCAGGAGATTCTGTTTTGGGATAACGTGCGCGCAGGAAAGTGTCGAGAACCTATCCCTGGGGATGGTAGGAAAGAGCTGGTTCATGAAATCCGACACCTTTCAAACCGTCAATTTCCTTGCCCCCTCATGCCCAAGAGAAGAGAGGACATACAGGTTCCATAGTACCTCCAGCCAGAACGACACTCCTAGCCTCCTCCACTACTTCTCTGAACCGCTCCGATGGGTTCAACAAGACATACTTGATGGTCACCACCGGCGCTGGTTTGGTGGCGTCTTCGAGGGAAAGGATGACTCGTCCATCGTCTTTGGCGTCAGAGAGGGAGAGGAGGAATGATTCGACGGTGTGGAAGGAGGATATGGAGGCGTGGCGAGCTGCAGCGTCTCGAGACGTTTTCGATTCTATTCACTTTCGATTAGCTCTTTGCACGATGATTCTCATACGATATGAAATCGCACCTTTCAGAGCAGCCTTCTCTGCAACATGCTCCGAGAACCCACTGATCTTCATCGCAAGCTTGCTCTCTTTCAGATACTTGACCAGCTCCAAAGGATTCACCTGATCACTCCCACCCCCGACCCTATCCATCAACTCGTTCGCCCCCAACACCTCCGTCTTTGATTTCCCAAAAGCCGGTTTCCCATCCTCGACCTTTGCTGTACCCTGTGCGTCGGCGATGAATCTGTCGCATACTTTGACGAGACCTTGGAGGACTGTCAAGACTTGTTGGATCCAGAGAGCATGGACAGATTTGAGTCGGGATTTGAAACGGGCGAGGTATTGCTCGAGTTGAGAGATAGCGGTAGACAAATGAGATGAGGTGAGGGACGTGGAATAGATACTCAACAGGGTGTCTATGAGATCTAATTTCTGTCAGTCTCTGGGCAGAAGATACTGGTAGGTCTTACTGTGGGCCTCGTCAATGACGATGACTTGGTCTTTCAAGTTGATCCCGAGGGCTTCTCGAGCGTTTTTCTGGAGTAGCAGATTGTACGGGAGCGTTACAATCTTTTATACAATCAGCATTGAGTATCTTTTGATCACGGTAGACGTACCTGACTGGACCTTACAGCGCGCCGTGTAGCATAGTAAGGACAGACACAGGCTTTCTTGCCAGCAGTTACGATATCTTCGATATCTTTGACTGTCGCCTAAAGAGAATGTAAGCGTAGGTCCATTGCACAATTTGATTGCTCACCAAGATGGAGTCTCGTGCATCGAGGAGCTTCACTTCATCCGCCTTGGCCGGCAGGTACTCACATCTCGCCTTTCCTGCAGTCCCATCAATCTCATTGGCTTCCCCGACGTTGTCAAGGAGAAGACGTACCAGACTTTTGCATATCCAAACAAGCCTCATTCAACCTCTCATCCCCACCGCTCTTCGCCATAGCCCGAACCTTGTCGTTGACACACAGCTGTTTACGACTGCCCAAAGGAACAAGGCTGATATTGATAGAGCCGCTAGGACTGCCCTCGTCGGGGGAGGAGGTGGCGGTGCCGTAGGTGGTCTTGAGGAGCTCGGATGTGAGTTGACGCAGCTGGGTATGGGTTCGAGAGGTGTAGTAGATCTGCGCAGGCGTCAGCACGCCCATTATGAAGGTTCGAGCAATGTACCTTGGGAACGTCTTCCTCTTCATCTTCTTCTACGGCTTGTTTGCTCTTAACAGGCTCGAATCTTGCCATAGTCAATATCGCCCAGGACCGCAGGAAAGGGAACTCACTTGCTCATGAGCTCCCGTACTTCTTTCGAGAGGTACATCCCATCATCTTCCGGCTCATCCCGGTCTTCAGGCAAGAAATCATCCTCTCCCACTTTCATGGTCTCACCTCCCACTTGCCCATCATACCCTACCCTAATCCTCTTCCCTCCACCTCTGAAAGCTCCTGTCCCTTCTTTCACCCTCATCTTCCTCTCCCTCTCCCTTACTTTCCCCAACCTTTCTTCCCGAAGCTCCCTCTCTCTACGTAGCTCCGCCATGCGCGATTTGACCGTATGCTCAATGACCCACGCCGGGTCGTCGGGATCTTCAGCTTGCAGGCGGGCGCGGAGGGACGTTTCAGTATGTGTATCCAAGCGGTGAGTGTGCTGGGTGAGCCAAGTGAGGGTACTGGAAAGGAGCGAAAGCGATTTGCCTGTGCCTGTGGGCGACTCGACCTGACAAAGTGGGTCAGCATGTATTCTCCCTTCGCCATTGACAGCTCACTATAGCGATCTTGCCATCTTCAATAGCCCTAAAGACGGTCCTCATGAAATCGACCTGGATACCGTATGGTGTCGGGTAGGGGAATGGAAATGTTTCCGGGGTAGGGAGGGCCGGGGCCGGAAGATCTGGTTTGAGTGTCATCTTGGGATCATGGTATGGATCAGCAGCTTTGAGGTCGAGCGAAGAATTCATGAACGCGTCGCGTAAAACATCAAAAGCTGAGGAACGCGACAGGGTTCCCACGGTCGTCCATCGCCGGGGCTCTGCTGGGATTGTATCAGTATAGCTGTCTTGTGGTGCTATCCGAATCGTTTGCAGTCTCGTGCAGCTCATCGATATCCTAGTCGCTGTTGGACCTGTATCCGTCCTGCTCCCCCATAAAATCATGCCGGGCGAAAAGGGTCCACGCGTTAAGGGTGCGCCGAGGGACGATCCCTTGATGGTGCCATGCACCGTGCAGTCAGTTCTTCATTTGCAGTCTATGTTTTCTATCGCAGCACTCATTTAACAGCGTCATCGCAGCCGTAATCTACCTGGCCACAAGACAGGAGACAGCCCCTTTACATAGTCTGAAAGTACGGGACCAAATTGGACGCGCCGCCCTTTTCGTCGCGTCGCCGATGACGCTCTCTTCCCCGTTCTCCCCTCGGATGCTCAAATTGAGGACACCACTGGCCACCCACTCCAGAACCCTACTACCCACAACACTCGCCACATTGTCGTCGCCACCCGGCCACAAAGATCTTGGTATCGGAGTATGGGAAGGACCCACCGTTTTTACATCGTAAGCGCTCCACTCTGGCCCCGAGCTAACACTTATGATGCGAGCAGTAGAAGGCCAGGAAGTGGACCTGAGACAGCTATATCAATCAGCAGCCAGTCGTCTGTCAACGACTCGCCGATCACTGTATCATCCTCCTCCCCTTCACCAGCTGTCTATCGCCCCAGAGCAGTACCCAGGTTCAACTCGCCTGCTGCCCGTTCGGCCTTTACACCTCCGCCGCTAAATTCATCCCCAGTCCCCAGAGGTGCTTCCAACCCAGCGAGACAAATCCACCCGTTCTTTCTCCAAAAAAGAGGTGCCGCTCCAACGCCCACAAAACCGCGCTACGTACCCGACTACACAAGTACCGAAGCCGAGAGTGAAAGCAACGCTAGCGCTAGCCAAAGCTCTGTCTATTCGACTGCTTCCAGCCATCGCAGTACTTCTCATGATTACAACAATACCGGGATCGAGGATCTGACCTTTGGCTTGCGCAAGATGAGAGTAGACGCCCCCCCGAAGACGGAAACCACCACAAGGGTAACGAGGTCGCGCCGGGCAAGGAACCCTCTGGAGAAGATGGATAGCATGCCGAACCAAGGCAGGGCAATGTCCACTATGCCTCTCAAAGGTCAAACGCCGCCTGCGGAAACTGAGATAGCTCCACTGCCTCCTGTCCAACCCCTTGTCCCCGTCTTCTCCCTTCCTGCCGACCCAGACCCCTCCCTGCCGCTCTTCACCTACAAAGACTCTTCAACGCCCTACACCATCAAATACACTAAATCCGCCGTGGAAGCCAATGCCCTTGTCGATACGCTCAAGGGCAATATCATCGGCTTTGACATGGAGTGGCCCATATGGGGTAAGAAGGAATGGGACCCTGTTGAGAGGAGGTATAACCCTCAGCAAGGCAAGACGGCGTTGGTTCAGCTTTGTGATGAAGAGACTGTAATTTTGATACATCTTCAAAACGGCATGGGTGAGTCCGCACCTTCCGACATGGCGATCAACTGCTGACGACCCAAACTCCAGACCTCCCTTCAAAAGTCGCTGCCCTCGTCCGAGATCCCACCAAGTACAAACTCGGCGTACAATGCAAAGGCGACGGCGCGAAACTCGTCCGAGACTTTCCCCACCATTTCCCAGCCGGCCAGGGGCCCACCTCGCTCTTTGAGCTTTCTTGGATGGCCAAAGCGGTCGACTATGGACGGATCGGAGAGAGGAGAGGGTTGATTGCGCTGGCGATGCTTACTAGGGGTTATCTGGGGAAAGAGTTGGATAAGGATACCAAAGTGAGATCCGGTAATTGGGCTGGGGAGCTCAATGCCAAACAACGAGACTGTATGTTTTCAGCACATCTTTGGATTTGGGCTGACACGAATGTTAGACGCCGCAAACGACGTTGTCGTTGCTATCCACATCTACAATACGTTGAAGAATCTCGCTCAAGAGAGGAACATCACCCTCCACCACGACCTATACTGTTCCAACCTCAACGTCACCCAAGCCCCTGCCCAGTCTCTCGGCCCCACCCAATCCCTCCCCGCCAACGCTTTCACCTCGCAAGCATCTACTTCTGCTTCGTTGCGGTCAGGACCAAAGACGATCTCTATGAAACCTGTCCCGAAGAATGGAGCTAGTTTGGCTCCTACGGCGGCGCAGTTGGGTGGTGTGAAACCTCCTACGCCTGTAAGGATGGCTGCTTTCAATGCTTTTGTGGGAGGCAAGACGTGTGAGGTGATTGCAAAGGAAAAGGGTGTCCAGCAAACGACCATCGAGTACGTCTCATTCCCATCATTCGCCTTCTTCTGAATGCTGACCGTAGATGAAGGGGCTACATTGTCGACGCTTTGACCATCCTCGGCCTGAACTCCATGCCACCCGAGCATCTCGGCCGTATCTGGAAAGAATCCACACCGAAACCATGGATCTACATATCAAGGAGACCACTGTACGACCATCTGACGACCGTGCTCGGCCCGCACCCCCAGGCTGAGGAGATTGAGGAGGCGAGGAAAGGGAGAGATCAGGAGGTGAAGAACCGGGAAGCGGAGAAGAGTGGGGCGAGTGTAGCGACAGCTGCGCCTGCTCCTGCTTCTGCCCCTGCCGCTGTAGCCGCTTCCACCCCTGCCCCTGTGATAGCTCCTATCACAGCGCCTGTAGCCCCAGCCGCGGCGGCCGTTCCCCCAACCGCTCCTACCGGCCCCACTTCTATCCAGATCATGCCCCCTCCTCCAAAGACCCGTGTCAACACCGCAAGTGCCAATAACACTGCTCCGGCTCCGGCCCTTGCTCCCGCGCCCACACCCGCTCGGGTTTACCCTTCCCCAAGGGTACCCTATCCCACCGAGGCGCAGTTGGGAATCAAACCCCCCACGCCCGCGTTGATGGCCGCGCTCAACGACTTTATGTCTGGGAAGGATTGCTGGACTATTGCAGAAGAGAAAGGGGTCCAGGAGAGTACTATTGAGTGAGTCCTTAGCCTCTTGACATTTACTGTGTTGTGACTGACTGTGGCTCAGGAGATACATCCTTGATGCAGTGAGCATTCTCGGTTTAGGCTATGTTCAAAAATCAGATCTTGAACGAATCTGGACTGAATTTCCTTCCGAGATGTGGGCTTGGAGGCCGTACGGAGTCCTTTACGGTGACATCACCGCTGTCCTCGGCCCACACCCCCATCTCGAAGAAGTCGAAGCGGCGCAGAGGAGGAGGGACGAACGCGACGCGAGTGGGGAGACAGACAGGATCAGGGAACATCGAGCTGCAGCGAGGGAAGAGAAAGCGTCGCAAGCAGCGTTAGAAAAGGAAGCAAAGGCGCAAGCAGGTAGGGCAAAGGGGCGGGAAGTTGCGAGGAATAGGGCTATTGCGCGGAACAGAGGTTCGAGCTACTCGGCGGGTTCGAGGAGGTACTCGTCGGGGTCGAGTGCCTTACTCTTCTAGTAGCAGTAACTCGGGCCCATTTAGCTGGAGAGGTGGGTATAGAGGACGGCGAAATTACGGTCAAAGATGAAAGAAGGTGAGGAAGGGCAAAGGTAGACTATCTTGTGATGTCGGTGTAAAGGTCCGTCTGTCAGTCTTGGACTGTTCGGTAAATATTCTGATCTATGGTCTTGACGATGTTGTTGATGAAAATGTGAACCCGGTTTCGTGCACGTGTATTAAAGAACAGACATTCTTCATTCATACTCAAAGCCAGGACTCCCGAGATACTTGTACAAACATGCCTAGACACAGTCGTGAACGGGAACAGATATGAAAAGGAAAATTGAATGTAAATGGTGGGTACGTTTTCCTATGGAATGATGCTAGTGAGAGTTGGTCGCTGAAATCGCTAAAAGCCCAAAGTGATGAGAAAGACTACTGGCCAGCAGTGTCGCTTCGAAGTTCGTACAAGTACACCTGGTAGGACCAGCCTGCCAGTTTTCCTGCCTACCCCCTGGTCTGTCACTTGTCCCCTATATCCTGGCCCCTGCATCATCGCATCCTAGGCAGCTGCGGGACCTTGACTTCCCGGGCCTCCTTCGCACCTCCCAGCTTCTCGCTCCCAATCCCAAGCCCATACGTAGGCATCGGGGTCCTCGAGCAACTCCGCCTCAGCTCTACATCATCGTAGACGCTTTGTATACTCTTCGGCGTAAGTGGTGCGCCATTGGATAGGGGCGAAGAGTGAGAGGTGTATGACTGGGACGAGAGAGAGGGGGTGCGGCTGTGGTAGGGACGGTACATGGCGCATGGTGGGGGCGAGGCGGCGTTTGAGTGTTGAGCGTACATATGGGAGAAAGTCTCGCAGGAAGGGGAGGGCGAGGAAGAGTGGGGTGTGGAAGCACGGCTGTGCAGATGAGGGCGGGCGTGCTGAGGGCCTGTCAGTTGAAGCTCGAGACGAAAGCGAAGAACAATGGACTCGCGTATGGCAATACCGACGGCGCCACTGAATCAAAGATAGACCACTCTCCATCCCCGTCCTTCAACGCCCTCACCCTATCAGCGCAGTGCTCTGTATTCGCCAGGTGTCGGTGGTGCGAGAACGGCGACGAAAGGTGTGTATTGGAGACAGACGGAGCGGTATTGGATCGAGGACGTCCGCGGGGAATATGGGGATGGGAGATATGGTGGGAGACGGGCGAGGGGCCTTGCTGTTGAGAGAAGGACCTCGAGGCGTCGGGGGGTGTAGAAGGGGATCGAGGGGGAATATCGTGATGGTGGTGCCCGTGTGTAGGGTAAGGCTCTTGGCGGTGTGCGTGGGCATGGGAGTGAGGAGGGTGAGATGGGTTTTGGAGTCCGTGCTGCTCTTCGGGGCTCTGGAGGGACTTTATGAGATCCCCAAAAGAGGGAAGGGTAGTGGAAGTCTTGGAGGTGTCCTCGCCAGAGGTGGAAAGTTGAAGGCTGGAGACCATTGTGATGGTAATAGACTTAGGGCCGGAGGAGGTTTGTGGGGTGGCAAATAGTAACGGAGGATGATTGTTGTGATATGCAGGATGAGATCGCAGCAATAGCAGCCACAGGCGAGTCTTATACAAGGTCGTAAGAGTCGTATCCACTGGTCATCATCGCATTCGGGCTGTCTCGCAACCGTCACCAAGCCACTTGTCCACCAGGTGCAGGCACCCAGCAACCAAACAAGCGAAGACTGCGATCCCTATGACACCCTATGATCTCTCAGCAAACCAGAAGCACTGTGAGATGCCACCCTTGGAGGCGTCAGAGGATAGTGCGATTACAGCCGGAAAGTCTCGTGAGCGTATCCTGCCGCCCCGCGTCTTTCCGACCGGGTCAACAGTTTGCGCGTTATCGTTTGAGAGATCTTTGAGGCCGGCCACCTCGGAAGGCACTCAAACGAGCATCGTACCCACCACAGTTCAACAGAGGAGCCATGGCGACAGGTAAGGCGTATCTTGGATGGTAGAAAGTGGAGTCGGAAGAGTTGTTTTGCTACGCATTTGAAGTGGTATCCGATGCCAAGAAGGATACGCGGCGCCTGCCGGGAGACTGCTGTCGATAAGCGGCATTAAACAACCGATGCTGTCCATGCTCGAAAGATTATGAGGCAATAACGTTGATAAGGCGAGTGCTTGCAGATAGCGCAGACGAGGTGCCCACTCAGGACCGAAACTTTGTCCGTCGGTCAGGGCCTTCCCCGCCTTCTCCGTATTGTTTGGTTCCTTTCGGTGGTTTTTCGACGTTTCCCAATCCCCCCATTCCAAGGGTCTATGCAAGCTCAAATTTAAGACTGCATACTAGCAGATAAAATTTGGAGGCCAGAAAGCGTGTCTTCCATATCGGGCACATAGCGAAGCAGTGCAACTTGCAAACGTAACATATCTGCATGGTGGCGTAGACTGCGGCTATGGGCCTACAGCACTTTAGACTCAATCCCTCCTCTGGTACTCACCTGCCATCTGTTATCATACACGGAAGGCGAAATATCAGCCCATGGGCTGGACTTCATGTACTTCTGGAAGTACGTCTTCGTTGAGCTTCGCGTATGAAGGTATGGGACTTTCCAGCTGGACTTTCATCCGACGAGGATGATTGTAGAGCCGATGTTCTGAGAGCATGTCGCACAGCTGTCTTTCTCCCTCCGACATACTGTCTTTCTCCCTCCGACATATCCTGTCTTTCTCCCTCCGACACAGCTGTCTTTCTCCCTCCGACATATCAATGGGGGGGATTCGAGGCTGAAGACTCCAAGGTCCGGGGCGGTATTGCGAGTCGTCATGTTCCTGCTGCTCCGGAGACGACATGCCGGCGTCTTCGGGGTGAGGCTGTGACCCCTCTTCTGGGTGGATTTGAAAGTCCGTGATATCGAGATATTGATCACGGATTTCGAACTCATGGAAAAGACCTGGGATACTGTCAGATGACAGCCTTTCTTCGAGGCCTTCTCTCGAGCTCGGAGCTGCTTGCACTTCTTCTTCAGCCATTATCGTGATTGTGGTGGTTGTTCTGCAATTGCCGTTGAGCCTCGCAGGTTCTTCTCTTATGCATTTCGGAGAATCGTTTCTTTCTAGCTGATCCCTAAAAGTCGAAACTTTGCTGGGATAGCTTGAGAATGGTTAGGCGACGTACCTTTCGATGCCTCGTATCCCCGCGCCGGGCGCCCTACAGATCATCGCTGAATATCTGTGTTCTAGTATTCTATTTACTGCCAATATGCTTAGAAATCTATCCTCGGTCCAAATCTTTTTAGCTGCCCACTTCTTTCCTTCTGTTGCGGACGATGCTGGTCCGCTCCCTTCTCCCTTCTTGCATTTACAACAGCAGCAACATCAGGTTCACCTCCTTTTCTAGTCTATGTGCGCTTTTTTTGCTGGACACCTTTGCCCATATTGCCCAAAGAAGATAAGCTTGTTTCACCACGAGTGACAAAGGGATGCCAAGATGCGGGAAAAGAACTGCTTTTAAGAAGCTCGCGGCGCTGAGTTGTGTGGATGGTTGAAGGACGCGCGATTTACATACTCAATTCATATCTCATTGTCTACTCTTGCCTTATGCGATAATATCGAAAAGGTCCTTAATCCTCTAAAATCATCTTTTCCAGTCACTTCCCTGCTGCGTCCCAGCTAGGTCGTGACATGACCACGATGTGGCCCTATCTGCCTTCTCGTTTCACGTTTATCTATCATCATCGTCATCCTGAGCCTTCCCCCTTCGACCGAAGGTGTCCCCTCCCACATCAGTTTCGTCCATTTCCCCATCATCAGAGTATGGTCGCGGTCTACAGTCCATCAGTTGATGCACCTCAAGGCCATATGCATACATGTCTCGAACTCGAACCTGTGTATAAGACCCTCACCGAACGCACTCCAGTGTTTCCATCTTCGATTGTCTTATGTTGTGCCTTACATGGCCATGTGGGAATTCGCAATCATGAGATTGATGGCGCTCAATGTCTCTGGTGAATTTTGAACGAACGTCAAGAAGCTGAACTCATCGTTGGCTGAAGGTCTTGTAACGCTCGTAAGTGGCAAGGGTTCTGTGTGGTGGGTGCTCTTTACCAGATCTATCGGTTCGCACGAGGGTCATATCACCTTGATATTTGGTCATGTATTGCGCTGACTTGACGTCTTCTTCGAAAGGAAAGCTTCTACTGTCTGGCTCGACCGATACTTCACCTACTGTCCCGTCGATGGAGGTCTCGTGAGCCACGTGATCAAACATACTTTTGAAAGACGCCAAATCTGCGACGATCTTCATATGTTCTTTTGTGACATAGACGTCCCTCAAATAATCAGTGACCCATCCATAGTCTCCGCTGACGATAGAGGATGGAAGCAAGTTACTTCGGTCTCGATAGGTACTACTTCGGTGGGACAGCGTACACCGGTCATGACGAGACTCTTCTCCAGCTCATCATCAGAGCCCCGCATTTGCATGTCGTATATTGCCGCAGGATGCTCCTCTGGAATCTCAAATTCGATAGTCGATATGGACTGGACTTCATGTAACTCTGGCATCACATCTTCATTTAGGGTGCGTAGGAATCCATCGGGCTTCCCAGTTTGACTGTCATCCGACGGGGGTGATTGTAAGCACGAAATCCGGTAAGCTTGTTGAACAGCGTTCTTTCACCGCTGTCTATATTGTCTTCGAACGGGGCTCGAGGCTGAAAACTCCAAGCTCGGCCCGGACGGTACTGCCAGGTGTTTTGGTGCTCAACATTTTCTTGAGCTCCGGGTGAAGACCCTTCGTCTTCTTCTGAGCCGTATCTGACGTCAGTGATATTCATGAATGCTTGAACGGCGAATTTGTGAAAGATTCCGGGGAAACGTCCAGATGGCAGTCCTTCATCGAGACCTTGATCTCTTGCACTGTCCGATTGTTCCGCCATTATGCCATTATCGAATAAGTGTTGCTATTGTGCAAGTTTCTGCATTCTTCGCCCCCCCCCACGCCCGCGGTCTCCTTATATGCAATCCGGAGGATCAACGTTTGCCCTTCAAGCTATATTTGGAGAAGCGCAAGAATGATACGCAATAATGGTACGACATATGCCTTTTGTGTAACATCATCATGTACCCTCGAGCCAAGAATAGTACACCAAAGATTCTCATAGAACTGAACGTCAAGACGAACTGCTATATGCTGGCGCCCACTCTGGTCAAATGAAAGGGGCGCAATATGATACTGCGGTGGCATGAAGGGTAGATGCACGCAGCTATTGAACCGGAATTGGGTCTACTGGGGAACCACAGCGATCGCTTCCAACAGAGGACAGACGCGGAGGAAATGATTCAGATAGTGATGCTGTTCGAGAACTGATGATAAGAAGAAGACTCGACTTAAGACTGTGCATCGCGGATGTTTACTTCAGGTACGAGTAAATCCGTCTGATGACGATTTTCACCTCTAGCGTTCACAGCATGACCCCTGTACCCTGTCACTCCCACTGAGTGGCCCTGATACGCGTGCGACAACCAGCCCAGAAAGAATGGGATGGGGTTTACCATTCATAGTTTCAAGTTTCCCGGATTCGACGACATGTGTGATTCTGACGCGAGACCATCGATCGAGACCGAAAGGAGTAAGATATAAATGACTAGGGGCAAGAGTCGCCAGGCCCTGGTGGGCGTGGCCGGGGCTATTGGAGTAGAGATGAAGCTCCATCAGGGCCTGACAACGAGTCAGTACACAGTCGAGACAGATTTATTGCCTCACGACAGTCCTGCTTTCACTCGGAGGTCAGAAACCCTTGTCTTGAAGTCTGAAAGTGGATTCGACACGCCGATCATGTGATAAAAGCTGACTAATAAAACGTCGTCAGCCTTAGCCTGAATGCCTCTTGTGCTGTTAAGGTACCATTGGAAAGAACAGCTTGGAGCATACCGAATCTGCGAGCAGTCATGTTTGAGTTTGGTTTGACAGCCACAGCCAGGATGAGACTAATCGCACGAGCCAGTAATAGGATACCCCATAGCCCATGTTCGATTCAAACTGAGATTGATAACAGGCATAGATCAGAAATTGTCAAATCCAGGTCTTCGATGATGATCGACAATCAGCAGACTTTGTCCGTCAAAAGAGCTGCGCAGTATTTGATGCAACAAATACCCGTCGCTACACTCATGCAAGCCCCTCGTGTAGACCATATCTTAATCAATATGATCATAACCACAGAGTCTCGAAAGACCCGATGAACTTGTCAGCCGCTCTCTTCGTTTGTTTTTTGCTTCGCTCTCCATAGCCATCCTTAAGGTCTGTTCCGGCCCATGACGGATATGTCACTCAAGATCCCGGGGGCAGTCCAAGCGAAAGAGGCAAAACAATATCCGTCATCAGCTTCAGGTCTTGTGACATCTTTCGCTGGGGGAAAAGTTCTGGCATTGGTTGTGTGTCGGTGCTGGTTACTAGATCTATCGGTTTGCACAAGGGTCAAGCTGCCTTCGAAGGAGGGTAAGTATTGTTCGTGCCAGGTGGTAACGAAGGGCTGGATGCTCCTTCCCATGGCAGCTTCTGCTGGCTCGGACATCACACCGGTCACAAATTTGCCATTCAATGCTTCGTGAGCCACATGATCGGATATATGAGTGAGCGATGCCAACTTTGAGATGACTGTCATTTTTTCTTTCGTGATATAGACGTCCATCTCATCAAGAGGTGCTGCACTCGTGCTCTGTCCGCTTCTCGGAAGAGGGTGCCAACAAGTCACTTCGGCGTCGAAAGCTAGGATCTCTTCGGACGGATACCTCAAGTTGGCCAGGAAGAGTTCGGGCTCTGTAGCGCCTTGCTGGAACTCATACGTTGCTGATGGGTGTCCGACGGGGATCTCAACATGTATACAAGTCATAGGTTGGGCTTCTTGTACACTCGGAAGCACGTCCTCATTGAGCGTAGCGTAAAAAGGTATGGGGTGCTCCAAATTGAGTCTCATTTTACGCGGGTGATGGTAGACTCGATTACCGGAAAGCTGCATCAACAACTCTTGCTCGCCAGCAGACATTTCAGCAGTCGGGACGCCAGGTTGGAAACTCCAAGGTCGAGGGTGAAATTGTGATATATCTTGTTGCTCCACAAATGGCATGTCACAATCTTGGGTGCCGGATTGAGTACCTTCATCGGAGTGCCAATTGAAATCGGTGATTTCGAGCTCTCTCTGGATTTCGAGTCTGCGGAACACGCCAGGTATGCTGCGAGGCGGCAGTCTTTCCTCAATACCTTCTCTAGCGGTCACGTTGTGTTCTGCCATCGCGTCGTTGATTTATGGATGTCGACTTTCATACAAACTCATCCTGCGAGGCTCCTATATATCAAGATGATATATTCGAATAAGGAGCGTTATAGGCTTTCTATTCCCGTCAGGTACCATAATTATACGGCTATCCAGCCAGATCCGCTCGAGAATGGTATGCGGCACCTTTCACAACAATCAGCATTTCTGATCGGACATATTGGGAGCCCGACGTAATTGTTATCGATCAGGATGCGAAGTATCGTATGATTAGGAGGTTTGTTGGAGTGCATCAGCGAACAATTGATCTTACGAACTTGTCCAGTCATAGGCGCGGCACTACTTCCTCTACTGGCATGGGCAAACCGATCTGCATAGATTTATTCTCATTACTTTAACCTCTAACCTTCCGCCTCGTATGCAACATTTCCTCTGAGCTAGATCTCAGACCCACACTGCGTGAGGATATCTGACGGGCTTGTCAGCCGCTTCCTTCTTTGATCTTCTGCTTCGCTCTCCATGGCCAATAGTGAAACCTCTTCTTGCACCATGAACTTGACAGCGCTTAGACTCCTCGGAGCGGTCCAATTAGAAGTCACGAAACTGCAATCGTCTTCGGCCGTAGGTCGTATATAACACTCTTCCGAGAAGGGAAATGACCTGCCCCCGTTGTATGTCGGTGCTCAAGCCCAGATCTATCCGTCCGCAGAAGAGTAATCTCGCCTAAAAGCTGGTAGATCGTGGGGTCTTGACCAAAAAATAACAAAATGTAGCTTCCTGGAACCTGCTACCGATCCAATCGAGTCCACAAACACCTCTTCGACAGCAGTCTCGTAAGCCGCTTGATCAAACATGGATTTGAACGGCGCCAAGTCTGAAAAGTCCGTTAAAGGCTCTTTTGTGATATAAACACCTTTCGTGTGTTGAATCAATGACTCCTGTCCAAATGATCTTATTGGCAGAGAATGGAAGCAGGTCAATTCGGCTTGGAAAGCATTTGCTTCGGGCGGTGGACAGTCAGAACGCTCATAAACCTTTCGTCGTCCCGACAGCCGGGCTCGATTCGTAGGTTGCCTCGGGGTTCCCGATGGGAATCTCAAACTCGATAGCTGTTGAAGGCTGGACTTCATGTACTCCTGGAAGAACGTCTTCGTTGAGCGTCGCATACGAGGGTATTGGATCTGTCAGCGTCAGCTTCATCCTACGGGGATGATGGTAAATCCGGTTCTCCGAGAGAATGCTCAGCAATTCTTGTTCTTCAGCCGACATCTCGGGTGTCAGCTGGGCCTGAGGTTGAAAACCTCCAAGGATCGGGGTGGAATTGAAATATGTTTTGTCGTTCCTCAACTAACATGGGGCGATCTTCAGTGCCAGGTTGAGTACCTTCTTCGTCCGAGCGCCATCTGAAGTCAGTGACATTGAGCTTTCTGTGAATACCAAACTTGTGAGACACGCCTGGGATATTGCCAGATGGCAGTCTCTCTTTCAGACCTTCTCTCGGGTCCACTTCGCGTTCTACCATTGCTTTGGTTCTTTACGAGTACTGCATGATGATGGCTCCTGGTGGACCGACTCCTGAATCAGCACGAGAAATGTGCTGCCATACCCCCCATAAATCCAAGCTTCTTTGATTGGATGTGCGTGTGGACTGAGCAAGGTTGTTCGGTCTTGCAATCTTCCATCTGTCGATCATGTGAGTGGCTCTCGAGCTCGTGGGAAGTCAAGATCGTCACTCATCATGAAAATCAGCGGTCAAACAACTTGATATCTCATGTTCGCTGCAGGTGCTTAGCGCCGTGAGGGCACAAGAAGCGGCGAGAAGTATTGAAAGGTCGTTCAAAGTTTGCGCATTGCAAGCCCTGTGCATTCCCATCTAAGTGTGTATCGTCTTTGTTAGTCCTAGTCGACTTCCGTAACGACAGCAGTCACAACAGTGATACTAAGCCCCATCAGCCCTTTCCCAGCCATATCCACCAAAAAAGCTGAAAGAAGAAGAAAACTCACTCATCATACTTGCCCCCCTTCCACCCCCACTTCGGCTGCTTCACCGCCGCCTCCTCCTCAAACGGCGTCTTCCACCCATTCGCCCCCGTCTCCTCCCCCGTCCTCTGCATTGCCGACCGTCCATAGCCTACCAGCATGTCGGCGAATAATCGTGCACGTTCGGAGGCGCGTTCGGCGTGGGAGAGGGAGGCGTTGGCGGGGTCGTTGAGGATGCGGTTGAGGAGGGTTGAGAGGGAGGGGATGTGCGAGGTGGGGACGTTGTCGGAGAAACCGTCCGTCTGAAGAAGAGTAAGCTTTGGGGGGAGGGGAGAGGAGGGGGAGGAGGAGGAGACGTACAAAGAGGGCGATGGTATCGCCTGCTTTGAGCTCGAACGATTTCACATCGGCTATGTCGGGGGTGTCGTGAATGATCTTTTGGTGGCGCATCTCCGCCGGGATCTTTGATAGTTGTTTCTGTATACCAGTCAGCTTGTCTATTTAAGGGACGAAGAGGGGAAGGACGCACGGGGCAGTTGAAGAAGTGGGTTTGAGGTTTGGAAATTTCAAAGATCTCGTCGCCTCGCAGAATCAGATATCCCGAATCACCCAGACTACACTCCATATCAGCAATTTGCCAGATTCCTCTTCAGAATAACAACGCACTTGGAAAAGACACCCTGGCCATCTTCATCCAGCCTAGCACTAACCATCGTCGCCCCGCCCCCATTCGCCCTATCATCCGCCAACGCATCCTCATACGCCTTTTTCAATATCGACTTCGGGTCCACAGAGCCCGTGCTGGACATGGCAAGGTCGCGTGCGGCTTTGGTGTAGTAGTAGCAGAGGAGCTGGGGGAAGAGGGATGCGTCGAGGGTTTCGGACCATCCGCCGACGCCGTCTGAGACTGCCAGATGCAGCTGTTTGCGCTTGTCAGCTCTATACTCGTCATAGGTATATGCGCTTACGTCGCCTCGAGTACTAGTGAGTCCGAAAAAGTCCTCCCCAGCCCCATACTTTCTCCTAACCTCTTTAATCTCCTCTAACGACGCCCTAATATCCCCTCGTCCAGCATTCAAATCCAGCATCTCCCTCACCCACTCTCCCACCTCATCCTGCTTGTGATCGAGGCCATACGGCTTGATTTCCTGCTTGGTGCTGATGAACGGGGGCGAGTACTTGGCGGCGTACGAGAGGCCCATGGCGTAGGAGTAGACGGGGGCATGGGGGTAGAGGGGGGAGACGGTGGTGGAGTTGGCACGCCTGAGGAGTGGGGCAAGGCGGTGGGCGGGGGTGATGTGTCTGGCTGAGGCGAGGAGGGACATGGTGGGTGGGGCAGAGAGACAAGGCGAGGAAAGAGATGGAGGGCAGATTCGGCCGGCTGCAAAAGTTCGGCTTTCGTGCCTGATGACGACGCGACTTGCTGATCCAACCCGTTCGAAAGTACGCCGTCACTCTTCATGCATGACTGGCTCAGTTGAGGGGGTAATCAATGCACTGCATCGTGCATGTCCAGGCTGTACGAGCGTTTGGCCTTGTGACCGGCAGACGAGGCAGAAAAAGGGGTGGCTCGAGCAGTGTGGCAGGTGGGGTTGTCGGTGGCCACCGCCCTCAGACACTGGACTTGAGAAAGCACAGTCGGGCTGAAGGCTTCGCTTGGCGCTGGTATCGTTATCTTGTCTAGTGAAGAGTTTGCCCTTACTTCATCAGTGAGCCGCACAGAGTGTCAAGGAGGAGGCGATGATGTCCAGAGTATGCCCTCGCTGCTGAGGTCAATGTTGAACGATGAGCTGGATATGGTGATTGCAAAAGCAAAGTCAAGAGCCTCTCTTCAAGACCACGCAAGATTACACATGTGACAAAGTATGATGTGATAATTATGAAGTCTATGCAAATTCTATGGTGGTGACGATCATGATTGTCCTGGGCGTTAATTTTCTTTCCTTCATTACAATAATACCAGCTCAAGCCGGACCGACGTAGGTGGAATCTGTGCCATCACAAAGCTAGTACTACGATTAGCCTCACCATCCAACAGTGTAGTGACAGCACCGGTACTCACGCTTGACCACGAGTCAGGTCCATCCATACTCTTCAGCGCATCCGGCTGTACGACCACGACCGCAAGCTAGTACGCCGTCAGTCATCTCTTCCCTTCTTTCTGGCCATTCCACCGAGAGAACGCGGACGTACCTTCCCCTCAGCCATATGCCAATCAATATGACAGTGCATCGGCCACACACCCGGGTTATCCGTCACCAGCCTCAAAACCACCCAAGTATTCCTCTGCATCCAGAACGTATCCTTCCTCAAAGGATTCTCTAGCGTCAAATTCGCGCTCGCCAAGCCAGCCTCATCCATTCTCCCAGTACCGCGCCCGATGATCTGGAAACTGTTGCCGTGCATGTGGTAAGGGTGGTCGATGAGGGTGTCGAGATTGTTGATAATCAAGTTACCGGAGCCGAGGGCGTCGAAGGAAACGGATGGGACGAGGGAGGTGTTGTAAGACTTGCCGGCGTAGGAGAGGGAGAGGAGGGGGTTGTATATTTGGTTTTGGTAGCTGACGTTGTTGAAGCCCTTTATGAGGCGGTCAGCATTTGGGCGACGTGGTGGAAGGCAGAACGCGTACGAAGCCGTTGAGAGATAGACCATTGACGTAGGTGAAAACGCCTGCTACGCTATCAAAGACTTGAGTGGTGAACGCATCTGCAGAAGCTGATTGAGAAACTCGAGGGCTGTAGTAGTTATCAGTAATGATCCTCTGTGTACATGAATGGAAGGAGCTCCGGACTCACACCAAAGGGTAGTCCTCATCGAGCCCAGAACAGGTAGCATTCCAAGCTTTCAAATCATCCCTTCGAAGCCATCAGTAATCTGTAGGCATGATCCAGTCTGTAACTCACCATGCTTGACTGGTAGGCTCGGAGGTCGAAGTATAACTGTCCGTAGAACCAAATCGGACAATAGCTTTGCCAACCTGTTCCACCCCATACGGCAAACAATAAGCCGCCGTGCCCACCCTCATCCAGAACTCCCCCTCCCCTTCTGTCCCATTGACAAGAACACTGAATCTCTCCCCATTCGACATTGCCACTTCATGCACGACCGGTCCCCAAACTTCCGTCCCATCCGTCTCCACCACTTCCAACGGATGGTCGTCGATGGAAACACGAAGCATAGCGTGGGAAGCGCCAGAGATGAGGCGGAGACGGGAGGTGGCGTTGGATGGGAGGGTGATGGTAGCGGGAGTGGGAGGGGCAGGTGGGGAGCAGGTGGTGTTGGAGGCGATACAGCTTGCTTGGCCCTGGAGGCTGGGTTAGAGATTGGTATGGGGGAAGTAGGGGCAAGCGGCTTACAATGCCATTTATGAGGGTAGCGTCGCCTTGAGGAGGTTTGTCCGTCTGCACGCATGCTTTAGCTCATCACCGAATCGATTTGAGAGGTACTTACGCCTCTGTAGCCAGCTTCGCTCGTCAGACCAGCCACGATATTGTCTGATTGATCATGCCTGTAGATCCTATCAGCTTTGCGATACCAAAGAGAGGAGAAGAAGGGTATGGGAGAGGGTTAGAAGACGTACATCCAGTCATTGACGACCACAATCTGATCATGATCATAATCTACTCCTCTCTTGAGCGTTTCGTCTGGTGAGTGTACGATCAAACTACGCCCCCGCGCATTTAGCCTCGTCATTCTTAGTACCTGTTTGGAAAGAACTCACGGTCCAAACAGCCCATCAGCCATAGTGACAGCCCAGTGAGAGTGCCACCAGTACGTGCCGGCTTGGTTGGTGATGGTGTATTGGTATGTGAAGGAGCCATTTGCAGGAATGGGGCACTGTGGACTGTAAGTGGTGTTCAAGAGGGTAGAGTAGGGGGTAAGCTCACTTGAGAGATACCGGGTACACCATCCATATACGGTGTCGAATTCTGGAATATACCATGCCAATCTACCTCTTATCAGCACCTTCACTCTCCCTAACGCACGTTCTCCCACAAAAACCCACGTATAGTCTGCGGGCTATCCAATAGGTTATTCACATGCACCACGATCGTATCTCCCGTATTCGCTTCGATGAGCGGTCCGGGGAATTGGTTATTGACGACGGTGACTTCGCGTTCAAAACCATCAGGAGAAGCGAGTGCGCGATGGATGGTCCAATTGTATTCGCGCGTAGTCGGGGTGGAGGTGATCTCAAAGTCGGGGGAGAGGATGAGAGAGGAGGAGGGGTTGAGGGTGGCTATGGGGAGCGAGGAAGAGGAGTTGGTTGTCCTGGTCGAGAGCGAGGAGGAGGAAGATAACGCGTTGTGATGATGTCTAGGAGATTGTCAGTGCGTTTGGGTTGGTAAGAAGTGAAAAGCACTCACCGCCTGTGGGACAGCCTGTGGGACGCGCCGGATACGAGAGAGAGGGAAGATATGCCCAGAAGGACAGTAAAGAACGACTTGGCGAATGACACGCGCATCATGTCCGAGGCAATGGGGCTGAAAAGAGCGTGATGAGAGCGGACTGCCAAAATGTGTGAGCTGGATGAGCATTCAGTGTTACTGTCACTCACAGTGCCCCTTGGGAGGTTAGGGTGGATATAGAGAGATTCCAGAATATGAAGGTTTGCGATGTGAAAGAGGAGAAGTTATAAACTGCTATTCAGGACTTGACGGATCAATTCTTGGGCTCGGCAGCCCGAAGGACATGTAAAAACAGCTCACCTTACTCTTTTCTCTTTCTACAAGTATATATACTCTGCACACGAGAGTCACGGCAGACGACAGATGCACGAGTTCATCCGAGCCCGAACGTACTGTAAAACAAAAGGGTGCGTGCGATGTGTACCGGGGACGAAACAGATACATCGCATTTGCGCTTGTGGCCTAGTCCAGGGCGCGAATAGTTGAAGCGGGGACGCACGGGGATAAGCTTGTTGACATTTTATTATTGAGTGCGATGGTTGGTTCGACCATACTTGAGAGTGCGTCGTAGACGTACAGAGGAAAAGGCTGCTGTACGTCGTGATCATGTCTGGGGATAGCGCCTGACGCCACAGAAAAGCAAGGCTCGCCCCGAGAAAGCAGTCACGCCCGCGCGACCGTCGTTTCCTCCGTTCTCGGCAGCGGCCTCTGCTTCACACAGCTCTCCTCCCGGCATCCAAATACCACTCAGCGGCCGCTGGACCCGCTAATGAGGCTGTAATGAGGCTGTGAAGGCGGGTGGTATGTGCGGCGTGGCTTACAAGGCACAAGGCCATCCCTAAAGTACGTACAGTCCGGGGCTCACGCCGTGTTCGCAAACGCCCGATTTGAATACAGCCGTGGTCGGGTGTCTCCGTACATCAGGAAGGGGCATATGATCGTTGGGATCCTGCATATGTATAGACTCCTACAAGATCAATCAGTATGTACATCAGTAGATCAATGGAAAGGTGCGTCAACGAACACCTGCCCCTTTTGTGTACTCTTCCAGGGAGATACAAAGTGCGGGGCGTAAATGAGGGATTCCTCGGTATAAGCAGCTGATGTCACATTCTAGCCCGGGTACCAGCACTGTATGCATACCAATCCAGAAACCGTATTCAGCGGGGAACAAAATACGTTAGGCAATATGCTGAAAAATGATGCATGAAATGCATGTGGGATCATTCGATGCCGTGATAACAAGCAGCGGGCGGGTTCCTCGGGAGATCGGGACTCGGGTTCCTTGGATTTATGGTAAACGGACCGTAGCCTTTCCTGATCGCACCTACGACTTTGTGGTGTTGACAGATAGCGAAGCGTATGAAGGAGGATAAAGGCCACGGAGGAAATATCGTTGAGGGTTGCCGAGAAGTGGCGTCTTTCTCCTAACTTCACGATGGTAAAGTGTCGTCTGATCAAGCGCTCATCGTCCAATGAGACATACGAAGATGCAAAGACTGGAAGTACAGTACGAGTAGTACGAAGAGTACGAGTAGTGTATGTGGTTCACCGGGCCGCCGCGCCGCTGAGATACAGTAGTGGGATGTACGAAGTCATGGAAGTAAGCTAGAAGCATGGCATTGAGGTTTTGGGAAACCTGTAAAGCTGTGAGCGATACGAGGCGGCCGCTCTATCCATAGAGCAGAGCAGGGTACAGAGCATCTGACGCACAGAGCGGAAACCCGCACCGGTATTCGCTTTTCGCCTTTCGGCTAACCGCGATCCGCCAGGGATAGAGGAGGAAGGGAGAGCCCGCCCAACGGCATTCTTGCAACTCTTCTTCTGGAGCTCCAAGCCACATATCCGAGACATTTTGTATGGTATGTAGCTTTCGTAATGTCACCTTTGGCGAGAGTCTACCAATCTAGCGGCTGATCGTCTCAGTTCGTACCCCGCGCAGACTACAGACTTGGTACGTAACTCCGGTACTCGTCCATCTCTACTGTCCTAAATTTCTTCCTGTCCCGTTTTGACATGTGAGCAGCCTCGTTCGTCGCGCTCTCATGCCTCTCCAGGGGGAACGACGACGACTAATCAGTGTTCGTGCTACAACGCCAGAGAACATTACTACCTTCTTTCGCCGCGAATACTCTAGCCCCTTTGTCGGCTGTCCTGAGAATGTAGATCACTGGCCTTGTCAGTGGAGCAGTACCCACCCAGCGTCGCCGATCGACAGACTTCCTCAGAGAATCTCACAATTGTCACCGCTTCCGCCCCCTCTTCCCGAAGACCGTGAGCCTCTTTCCCGGGGCGGTGTTCATTTCAATTTCTTTCGATTGCCACCCCTGTTGCTATGCTTTACGCCGGCTATCCGCTAACACTTGTACGTTACATCAACGATTTTGATCCGTCTACCGCCCAACATCAACACCAAAGGGCGAGATGAGATGAGATCTGTTTATGAAAAGACGGATAGATTCCCTATTCGCTTTACGGACGTCTTCATTATGGACTTCTATATTGCTTTGATGACATTAGACATCATGTCAAGCAGCGGGCAGGGGGCAATGCAGGCAGGCAGCGGGCGAGATCCTCGAGGCCGACGGGGGTGAACGTTACGGCCATGCGGGATCGGCAGGAGGCTGTTCTTAGAAAATAGGTCGGTATGTGCGCCGAGGATGCGTGGGAGGTGGCGGAGTATATATAGAGGGGAGTTAGACGACTTGTCTCGCTCTCACACAGGAACGAACCGGGGCTGGTATACAGATCATCTCCCTAACACACTACACACGCCTTCTGCTGAGTCGGAGATCGGCAAGACTATAATTGACTCTACGACGGAAATCAGTGAGCACTTATCGACTCTCTCCTGCCTTCCTCTCTTCCTCTATCTTTGAGTCGGGAGCGGGGAGCGGTCATTATCTCCTTTTGTCTCGCTGTCAGAGTCGTCCGTGCTAGCGCCAGTATAGATGAGCTGTGTGCTTTTGGCCGGGCTTGCCAGTGCGGAGAGTGCTTCTTGGTTTCAAAACAATGTGTTCTGTGAAAGGACAGGGGATTGAGCAGTATGATTCTCTTATGCCCCCTTTCATCTCTCTACACTTCTTCTTATATCATACTTCTCTCTTTCGCTTGCCCCTCTCTTGATCGTTTCACTTCATTTGAGGCTTCGCTGTGGATCTTTCAACGTCGACGCTTCTGTCTCTCCCTCGTCATCTACACACACACGCAAGCTGACCTACCCTCCAGCCACTCCACGATGCGCCTCTCCCTACTCGCGCTGTTTACCCCTCTCCCCCCGGCCCTCGCTCGCGCACTAACCGCCACACCAAAAAAGTACGTCCCACACACCTTCCACGTGCCCTGCGCTCAGACCACCCCAACAGCTTGCCATTACCAGATTCCGATCTCTCCGCCCGTGCATCAGATCTTGCGGTAGTCGATCCGTCCATGTTTGTGCCTTTGGCCAACAATTTTGAGATTACTGCGGAAACGGTGACGAGAGAGTATACTTTTGATATCACGTGAGCCATCGTATATCTTATCTTATCTTTCGACACCTGCTGACTGGGTCGAAAGAAACGCAAAAGCATCTCCCGATGGTTTCACCCGCAACATGTACGCCATCAACGGCATCCTGCCCGGCCCACTCATAGAAGGCAACCAAGGCGATACCGTTGTCGTCCACGTCAACAATTATCTCGACCAGGGTCAGGGTATCCGTACGTTCCTTCTTCTTTCCTTGTAAATGGATGTAGGCTAACGACGAAGGCTAGATTGGCATGGGCTGAGACAGAATGGCACAGGGCACATGGACGGTGTCCCTGGTATCACCCAGGTAAGCCCTTCCATCGCTCTTCCCTTCGATCTCCCACTCAAATTATATGTAGTGCCCAATCCCAGCAAACGGTGGCTCCTACACCTACCAATTCACCCTCGACAAACAAGCCGGCACATACTGGTACCACTCTCATTTTGGCAACACCATGGCCGACGGTCTCGGAGGGCCGATTGTCATCCACTCGCCGGATGAAGGTGTACAGGCGGGGAGGGATTACGATGAGGAGAGGATTGTTTGGGTTACTGAGTGGTTGTGAGTCATTTTTCCATTGGGTTCGGAGAGCAGGTGTTGATGATTTGGTAGGCATGATGATTCGGAAACGATTATTGAGGGCTTGAAGAGCTCGGAGGGATATAGGGGTGTAAGTCCTTCCTCATTATATCTCGAGACTTTACATTGATAACGTTTCAGAGCATCGCTCCTCCCCAAGGTGACGCCGTCCTCATCAACGGAGTCGTAAGCCCTCCTCTCTTTTCTCACCTGTACAAATGCTAAGCGGAGGCACAGGGCCAAACAAACTGCACAAACACCGACAACCCATCCTGCTTCTCCACTTCTCCTCCCGAGATCCAAGTCCCCACAAACAGCCGTATCAGAATCCGCTTCATCTCTGCCGCCGCTCACGCCATGTTCCGCATGTCCCTCGACACCCACGAACTCGAAGTCGTCGAAACGGACGGTACCCCTGTCTGGGGTCCGACGGTGCATGAAGTGCCCCTCGCGCCTGGAGAGAGGTATTCGGTCATTATTGATACCAATGGCAAGACAGAGGGAGATAGTGTGTGGCTGAGGGCTACGACGGCGTTGGCTTGTATGCCTGGAGGGAAGGATCAAGTTGGGTTGGCGGTGTTGAGGTATGGAAGTGGAAGCACTGGGAATGAGACAATTGGAGGCTTGCCGAATACAACTGCTTGGTGAGTCCTTGTTGTGTATTGGCATAGCAGAGTACTAGCAACGTGTAGGGGAGACCTTTCGGCAGATCAAGCTCCATGCCGCGGCCTTGACCAATATGAAAGTCTTTCGTGAGTGCCTTGCCCTCTCTGCTCCATGCTCGACTACAAAGCTGATGCATGCGTGAAGACCAAGGGAAAACATCGGAGCGGACAACTATGCTTTGACGACGCAAGTCTTGAACAGCGAGAGGGGTAGCTTCTTGGACCATGATGGGAACACGTTTGATGGTCAGGTACGTCACCTTGTCCCACAATTCACCTTGTATCAAGCTAATAGAAAGCAAACAGGGCTTCAACAACATCTCTTACCAGAACCAAATCAACGACCCCCTCCTCTCCATCCTCCATTCCGGCGGCTCACGCAACACCTCCCTCGTCGCCAACGTCTCTTTCCCACACATCGGCCCGGGCAACATCATCATCAACAACCTCGACTCAAACATTGACCACCCGTACCATGTACACGGGAACGAGTTCCAGACCCTTGCGAGGGGTGAGGGCAGTTTGACGGCAGAGGATGTGGATGGCGGAAAGGTGGGATTGTGGTTGGATAACCCTGTGAGAAAAGATACGCTCTGGATCCCAGGGGGTCAGTGGGCGTTGTTGAGGATCATCACGGACAACCCCGGAGTACATGCTGTGCATTGTCATATTGGGTGGCATTTGGCTGAAGGCAAAGTGAGTTCTTCTTCCTACCGGTTCTCTGACGGACGGGAAGCTGAAAATTGGGCGTAGTTGGCGGTGGTCATTGTACAACCAGATGCTATCAAGAATCAAAACTTCCCCTCTGCTTGGTACAACGTGAGTCGCCCTCCCTCTATTCTTTATTTCTGATCTCAAGACTGACGCCGTTCTTGGCAGCTGTGCGACGGCACAGACCCAGACGAGTTCGGCCCTTCTCGACGAACGCTCTCGGCTCCTACTACCGAGCCCAGATCGCTTTTCACCCCACTCACCAAGATCCGGAGTAACCTCAGTCTCGATGGTCTCAAACGGAGAATGATCTTGTTACGAGGAGAGAAGGAGATATAATAATCTTTCGATGCTCATTACGAATCTTTGGACGCTCATCACGAAGATCCTCTCTGGTGTTTATAGCGGGCTGGATTTCAAAGCCAAGACATTTTCTTCCCTTCTTCCGTGCTTTTCTTGATATATATCTGTTGGACTTTGGCCCGAGTCTCAAGTTGTGGTCAGCGGAGAGGACATTCACACATCTCGGAAAAGCTTGATGACGGTCTTCAGGGCCATGTAATTTAGAGTATTATAATGCTACACATCAGCTGTGAAATGCCTCTGCGCTCGGGGTGAGGTGAATGGACATGGACAAATCGCTAGTTGGATCAAGGTCCTCTCCTTGTTTCCTGCAAGTCAGGGGATTTCAGAACGAAGAGCCAACAAGCCGTTTGTCACAAACTTCCGAGATGCATGATCTTCAAATCTCATATAAAAACAATTATCGTGCAAACTACACCCTTGGTCAGCATCGGCTCACTCTACCCCAAAAACAGAGAAAGACTCACTTGGATATCATCAATCCTCAAAATCAACGCCACCGTCTCCGTCGCCAACTCCATAGCACTGGTAGACACCAACAACGGCTGCACCACATTCTCCTCCAAGATATTGCTGATGATTCCCTTCTTCACATTAATACCCGCGCTCTTCTCGCCCATGGCGTGCTTGTTTCTCAGTTCGGTGACGATGGCGATGGGGTTGAGACCAGCGTTTTCGGCGAGGGTGGTGGGGATGATTTCGAGGGCTTCGGCGAATGCGAGGAAGCAGTAGGCTTCTTTGCCCTTGAGGGTGTGGGCGTGGGAGGTCAAGAGGCGAGAGATGTGAATTTCGGGGGCACCACCACCGGCAATCAAAGCACTACAGATGATCGTTAGAAATGTTCAGAAAGGGTGAGAGAGGGTCGGAGGACGTACCGCTTCTTGACAAGACACCTCACAACACACAACGCATCGTGCAAACTCCTCTCACTCTCCTCCAAAACCAACTCGTTCGCACCAGTACACACAACAGACACAGTCTTTCCCGGGTTCCTCACACCAGTGACCTTGACAACCTTGGCTCCCGCCTGACTGACTTCCTCCACATGTTCCGCGTAACCCAGCTTGTCCTCCGTGAACGCCTCAATATCCGCCACCGGTTTGGCCCCGGTAGATTTCGAGATAAAGTCAATCTCGTCTCGCTCAATGTCTTTGATGACCATGATCTTGAGCTTGGCGAGGAAGTGGAGGGAGAGGTCGGTGACGGCGTCACGGAGAATGGACTTTTGGATGAGGAGGACGTTACAGCCGGTCTTCTTGATGCGTTTACAGAGGTTGAGGAGGTATTGACGCTCTTCTTTGAGGATCTTGTCCATCTGTCGGTAGTCGTTGACGACGATTTGGTTGTCCATCTGCCCTTTTCATCAGTTCTGAATACCATGGAAAGTAGGGAACATACGTCAGGCTTGGGACTGCTCAACTGGAATTGAATCAGACCGATCTTGGCCTTCTCCATCCTGGTAGGTCCACCGGCGTTGGTCATCGCAAGCTGATTCAACGCCAGACCCTCGACAAGCTCAGTGTCCTCAATGGTACCGCCGACCTTCTTTACTATTCTGATGTCGCGCAGGTCGACGTTGGTAGACGCAGAGGTGGCGAGGCGGGTGACGGCAGTCACGGCGATGGGAGCCAAAGTGGAAGAGTATTGCGAGACGATCTACAGTATCATCAGCAGTGCACCAGTCAGGACCAATATGACCCACCTTGGAGTTCAAACTCGTCTTGGCAGCCCTCAACAAACTATCACGGTCATTCAAGTCCACCGGCGTGCTCATCTCTTGCAGATACTCGACAGCCTTGGAGGCGGCGTTCTGGAAAGACTGGGCGACGGTGGTGGGGTGGATACCCTGGGCGAGGAGCTTTTCCGCAGCAGCGAGAAGGGAACCGGCGAGAACAACGACAGAGGTGGTACCATCTCCGGCTTCGATATCTTGAGCTTGGGAGAGCTCGACCAGCTGTGGAAAGTCAGCTTGAGATCCTAGCGGGATGGATATTACAGACCATTCGGGCGGCAGGGTGAAGGACAGCCATGTGCTTGAGAATGGTAGCACCATCATTGGTGATGACTACTTCTCCAGTACCGGTTTGAATCTTTGTACTCTGTCAGCGATGACAGCGCTGTAATATTTATTAAGCGCACCATTTTGTCCATTCCCTTCGGTCCCAAACTGGTTCGCACAGCATCGGCAACGGCTACAGGCTAGTCAGCACACAGCTCCATGCTCCCTGGCATACTGCATACCCTTAGCAGCGTTCATATTCGACAGTCGAACTTCCTGGCCCCTTCCCTGCAGTCAAAGTCAGCACGCGCCCCTCCCGGCGATATCTGACTGACCTTGTCGGTGAAGGAGCTGTCTGAGATGGAGGCGCCGGGGCCTGCAGAGTGTCCTGAAGCCATTTTTAGGGGATATTTTGAGGATATGGGGGTTGTTGGAATACCGTCGAAGTCATAGAACCACACCGTGTCGCGCGTCCGGAGAAAAGCAGGAAAAGCAGGAAATAATAATTACGGCCTTCCTGCGTCACGACATTCACTCATCTCTTTCATCTCGCGGCAACGTCAACAACAACCACAAACACACCCATCCACAGCCATGCCCAACGCCAAGCAGCCTATCGAGTCCGAATCAGAAAGTGAAGGCAGTGAGGAAGAGTACGAGGTGGAGGCGATCCTGGGGCACCGAAAGACCAGAGGCGTGAGTACAAGACGCGTCGGCGCGACCCGAGACTGATTGTTTCATGCAGAACAAACTGGAATGTACGGGACTACATCATGCTGAGGGGTACAACTGACACAAAACAGACCATGTATCCTGGAAGAACTACGGACCTACTCACAACTCTTGGGAGCCCGAGGCCAACGTGTAAGTCTGTTATATTTTGATGTGGCCTTCATCTAATTTTGGCTTCAGGATCCATGCGGAAGAATTGCTCAAAATATATTGGGACACGCAAAAGAAAGCAGAGTCGAAAGAGCCGGAGCCGGCCCCCAAGAAACGCGGTCGTCCCTCGAAAGACAGCGTGCGTGCGAACTCATCACGCGTCTCCACATCCTTGGTAGCAAAAGAGGACAACGAGCCAGCCCCAAAACGTTCACGGACATCAGCCGTCAATGGCCGCAAGCGGGTAGTCAAGGGTTCATCCGAAGAGCCGGAGGAGGAGGAGGAAACTGCGGCCGACGATCCCGAATATGTCGACGAGTACACCGCATACATGAAGATGAAGGACTGGGAGAATGTTGTCGAGTCGGTGGATACGATAGACATGGATGATGACGGCAAGATTATCGTGTTGGTCACCATGTGAGTCTTTCAACTACATCATAGTTGGAACTTGAGCTGATGCAAGCGATAGGAAGAAGGGGACGAAATCGGTCATACCGCGCGACCTGGCGTACGAGCGGTTCCCCTACAAGGTCCTCAAGTTCTACGAAAGTCATCTCAAGTTGGTATTCTGCACAATATCCCGCTGGTAGGAGCAAGCTGACTTGGTGATAGATGGAGCACCACGCCTGAAGATGTCTGAATACCTTGATTTTCCGGTGATTGGGGTGTGATGTTTTTCTTCTTTGGCTGGCTTGGATATGTATCGTAGATTGTACTACAGGCATAAGGGTCGGCGTACTGTGCAGGCCATTGGGGTGCAGAAGAGACGTGGACACAATGACTTGCATAGCGCTCGACATCTTATGACCATTCCGGTCCATCGTCTTTTCGGCTTGGCAAAAGTCACGAGTTGTTTCACTGGTATGTCTTTGATCTTACCCATTTCATTGTATGCTGATTCTACAAGTTCTAGCGTTTCACATCTCTGCAAGACGGAACGGAATTACAAGTATGACCTACCTCCTCTTGTGGCCCATCGCGTCTCTCCTCCTATACTGGCGCCCGAAAGACCGACAAGAGGATCTGATATTTGCCCGCCGCCAAGTGCACGTTTCCCTGCCTCGCAAATCACCAACTTCAAGGCTGCATTCTTACAACTGGATATCCTATCGTTTCCCGTCACTTTCTCTCCATGTCAAAATCCGCCAAATTGTCACACTCATCGGCATCACACGCCCCCCAGACCTAGTCTTATTCAACAAACCCGGTTCCTCACCTGATGGCCATCGAAAAAGTCTGCGAGCTGATCGATAGCTTGGATACACACGTCTACTTGCGCTTCGACCGTGCTGCCTCCGCTGTTTTCTGGTCAGATTCAACTCTTTCTCGCACAATTCTGGAGACTGCTCACATATGGGGAGTCCCAATAAAGTTTGGAAGGTCGAGAAGCCCATTGGATTGATCTTTCTGAATGGGCTCGGAAGCAAACACATCAGAAGCCGCCGCCCAAAGCTTCCTCCCATTCCCATCCTCTTCCTCCCCCTCCAAAACGAGCTCAGGCTTACTCAACTCCTCCTTCAACGCAACCTCATCAACCACCGCACCCCTCGACATGTTGACCATCACACTCCCCGGCTTCATCCACCTCAACTCTTGGGTACTGATCATGTTGCGGGTGGCGTCGGTCAGGGGGCAGTGGAGGGTCAGGACGTCGACGAGGGGGAGGAGGCTGGCGAGAGATGAATGTCGGGTGTGGGGGAGGGGTCCGGAAGGGTCTGATGTGGACCATCGGGTGTATGGAGAGGTTGGCGAGAAGATGTGGATCTCACAATCGAATGCGTGCTGATATGAACCTCCATTAGCTTTCCCCGACTATGCTTTCGCAAGAAGACGTACGTGGAATATATCAGCAGCCCGTCTAGCCGTAGCGCCCATACCGACCATGCCTACCTTCTTTCCCCGCAATGTTCGGCCGAGGTTGTCGATACTCAACATCATCTCGCCTTGGCGGAGGCGTCGGTCGAGCTCGGGCACGCGGCGGAGAAGGGCAAGGGTGAGGGACAGAGTCAGTTCGGCGACCACTTGGGAGTTTGCGCCGGGGCAGTCTGGACTAAGCCTTGGTGTAAACAATTCTCGGGAGAGAGCTCACTCATGACAGTGATACCGCGCTCTTTGCAGCACTCAATATCAATACTATCATACCCAACTCCAACAATCCCAATGCCCGCCACCTTATTCTTCCCCTTCCCCGCCTCCAGCTGCGCACGTCCAATCTTGGCAGCCCTGCTCACTACACCGTCTGCCCTTGCCCACCCTTCCTCCGCATCAACCTCATGCGACGCAAGGACACTAGCAAACCGGGTCCGGGCGTAAGCCAAGGCTTGGGGATGGATAGGCGTGGGGATGAAGACGGTGGCTTGGGCGGCTGGGAGGAGGGCCGAAGAGGGTTCGGGTGGCGGGGTGGGGAGGTAGGGAGAGTATGCCGGGGGAGGGGTGGGGTTGGAGGGGTGGGTGGAGATTTGGAGTCGGGCGAGGTCTTGGGGGATCATGGCGAGTTGTGGATTGTGAGGTGTGACTTTTTGGGGGTGCTGAGCAGGGGTAGAGGAAAAAGGCTGATTCTGCTACAGTGGCTACATTTTACCATGGGTCATATATAGTCCTCAACAGCGCCTTCCTTTTCTTATCTCACGGAAGACTCTGCAGAGGATAACCGTCTTATCCGTCCACCCCTTATCGTCGATCATCCACTTGGTCTCAATGGACACTGGAGGGCCCGATAACGGCCGCTTTTAGGAGATGAATGGAGAGCGGGTGGTTATGGCGCCGCAATGGGCAATCTTTTGAGCGGGATGGAGGCGGGATGGGAGAAAGGAGTTGAGATAACGAGGTGACAACAGATGAGTGTCGAGTTCTATTGATGTGCAGGAGCGAGAAGACTTGCGAGTGTGATCTTGTGAATGGTGACTCTATTGCGCCTGAGTGCGGCACAGATGCATGGCGACTAGTATTGTCCAAACCCTCTGATGAGTCAATAGCCGAACTACAGACACATCGTCAGAGTTCGCTCTTTTGTGCTTCATGCCATCTCTTGCAGACAGGACTCGAGGTGAGAGTATCAGAACTCACAAGATACGTTCCCATGGGATCCACAAGTCTTCAAAATATGTCAAAAAGGATCTGAAGAAAAAGCTTGACGTACCCGCCGTATCCACTAGCACACCACAATGGAAATTAGCGCGCATGCAAGAAGAACTCCTGTGAATGATACCCACCGATATCCCATTCCAAAGCTTCCATACATACTGCACCATTGTGAGCTTCTCACACTTTGAGAAGAAGACGAGAGCTTACCCTCCTCCGGGACACCAATTAGACATCTAGCGTCAACCAACGTTAGCTTTGCGTGCTCCTTGCCGCCTCATGAGAAACATATCACCCCATGACCGCCCATCATCATACCATTGCTAGGCACATATCCGATACTGGGATGATACCTCCCAATGTACATCGGTCCCAAGCCCATGCCGGGATAGGATGGCCGCAAGTACGCTCCACCTAGATAGTACCTTTCTGGCTCCGTAGAGGGCGCCGCCTGCTGCTGGGTGTTGGGCACCATCTGGGAGAGCACATGGTGCGCGAGCATATTGCGTTGGTGCTGGGCGTAGTCCATTGGGGACGAAGATTTTGAAAAGAAGCGATAGCGTGAAAAGAAGAGGAAAGGGACGACCGAATTCAGGCTGAGTTTGCTCTCGGCTTTCGGCTTCCGTGTGACCGGCAAAAATAAGTGATCACGACCCAAATAACTACGAAACAGATGTTTTGATCCATTCTGCAAAGCTTGTCAACATTCCTTCTCACCTGTTAATCAGCCACACCTCGGCAGCGGATCGCCCTTCCTCCTTGGCCCCCCCTACGTCAACACGCACGCGCCCACGCTCTTCTGCAGCACCTTTCATCGAATCATGACGACATCGTTCACCACTGCTCTGCCTGCCAGAGTCCGCGATTGCATCACTTCCATATGGGGAATGACTCTTGGACCGTATATCACCGAACCTTTCGAAGAATGGGGCGCGGATGTGAATGGGCGGCGGTGCGAAGCGTGGTTGGCCGTCAAGCGCGCGGACACATCATGGAGCGACGAGCGAGATCTTGAAGCTGTGAGGCGGCTGGAGGCGCATCGGAGCCAGAGTCGAGGGGAAATAGGTGTGTCTGACCATTTCAATCTAGGCCGTACGGTCTCGAGTGATAATTCTGGACTCTAGCTATTCTTCAGCTGTTTCTCTTAGCTTGCACCATAGTCAGAATTTTCGGCGGGTGAGTCTTGATACGCCGCTCGAGCGCTGGATCTTGCTGATTGCTGACATTACTACCAACTCCACACCGCCCACCATCGCCATACTCTCCATGAACATCTCCCTTGCCCTCGCCACTAGACGGGTGGGCGTCTTCTCGACTTACCTGCGTTGGGAAGCAGATATCATAGATACTCTCCCTCTTCTTTGCGGGCAGGCCGTGGCACTGGTTGGTGTGGTGCTGACTCTTGCTTGGTTCGTGGCACTGGCGTATCTGGGCATTGTCGGTGAATTGTGATCGGTGAGTGTTGAGTGACTATCCGGAGAGAGGAGTCGGAGAGTAACGGTTGCTGACGAGAGGCCCTCTAGAGTTTCTTCCCTCAGTCCCCTTATACTCGCCATTATGTACAATAACAGCACCATCGGCATGCGGCCATATACGAAGCCCAACATATGCATGTTTTGTATCATCACTGCAATCGAATATGTCTTCCATTGAAGATTCATGCAGGGGTATATAAAGACAGAAACGTGTGGAACCAAGATTCCTCCTCTCCCTCGACCATCCCTCATCGCAGTCTAACATTTATCTCAAACTCTCCTCAGTCTGATAAACAGGCGGCGGGCTGACAACTCCCTCCCTCGCCAACGCCTCCGCCTCGGTACCGATAGGCGGCACAGGCAACCTCCTCACCCCCTGATACTCTTCTTCCCCATACCCAGCTCCAGCCCCGGCCGAAGAAGGCCCCCCAGCACCATGCCCCGCGATCCCAGCCGAAGTCACGGAAGAAGGCGATGTGATATCATCATTCGGCCCCAAACTCGTCTTTGGCTTGCCCCGCCTGAAAGCGGCTTTTGAGATCTTGCCCCCGCTCGCTGAGGGGATCACTTGCCCGGGAAAGTATTCGCGGGGACTGGTGACCACCGAAGGCGGTGTTTGCCCCGTAGGTGTCTGGCCTTGGGGAGTCACGCTCTGAGCAGGCGGGGGGATGGCGAGTTCTTCGCTTTCGGGAATGTAGTCGGGTACAGGCGGGATCTGCGTCACGGCCTCGGGTTGAGGTGAAGCCATAGGTGTGTGGAAAGCGTCAGAATGACCTTGGCTGGGGGTGGGTGTACCGCCGCTGCGGGTGTTCCATGCCGAAGGCGGTGGGGCGAGTTCGCCGCTCGCCGGAGAAACATTGTCATGCGGGTTGGGCAGAGCTGGGGCAGGCTCGTATACCTGTGAAGGAGCGGGTTGTTGGTTTGTGTGCGAGGGACCGTCGTGGAGGGACCGAGAAGCGTGGTCGGGCGTCTCTTGGCGAGAGAGCTTGAGAGGTTCCCAAGGCGCGCCCGCAGAGATCTGAGGCGCAGGGCGCGAGTCGCTAGGGACGGGAGGGGGTACAGCACCCAACGCAGCGGCAGAATCTTCAGCTTCGGCCTGCGTTCGCCAAGCAGCTTCTTCAGCTTCGAGCTTGCGCCACGCATCATCCGCCTCCATTGCCTTTTGCTGCTCGTACTCGTACCCATGCTCCACCTCGCCTTGACCTGAAGTCTCAGCCTCTCTGTCTACCGCGGGTGAAGAGACAGCAGGAGGGATGGGAGCGACAAAGTGGGTGGGCTGGTCGTGGTGGGGCGAGTCAAAGACGACTTGGCGCGTACCGCCAAACTCGTCATACGGGTTCGCGCTCCCAGCATGTTCGTACGGGTTCGACTCAATCCCGCCGTACGGATCCGCATTATCCAACGCATAAGTCGCTTCCCTCTCTCTGCCCTGCCCAACGCCGGGAATGTCGCCCAAGTAGTCGCGGGGAGGACTGTGGGGAGTGTTGGCGGGATAGTCGCCATAGTCTGCGGCAGCGGCGATACCGCGTTCGTGCTCGTCGTGGTTCGAGTCCGTATGGGGCAGGGTAGGCGTACGGAGAGGAGCAGCAAAGCCTGGCTGGGGAAGACCGGGTGGTTTGGGCTTGTGGCTTGCTGCGTGGAATTCTACTGTCGCGAGCTGCCTCATTATCAGCTTTCTGCCTGCGACAAGAATGAGTGGGGTACGTACGCATTTGGTAGCTTCATTGACGGCACTCTCAGTCTTGTCGTACCCCGTATAAGGCGCGCGGCCGTATCCCGTCGGCGTCTCTTCCAAGGGCACTTCTTCGAGCAAGAGTTTACCGAGTTCACCGATGATACACATCTTTTCGCCGAGCTCTTCCAGCCCGCCAAACTTGTAGGAGAGTGCTTCTTTGATCGCCCTGCATTCGAGATCAGCGATGAACAAAAGAGCAGGAGGAGAGACTGACTGTCGCTTGAAATCACCCATCTTGGTCTCTTCCGTCAAGATATCCTGATCCAACTGCCTAATCTCCTGCCTCAACCTCTCCAACAGCTCGGTCTGCTGCGGCAACGCCTTATTCTCCGGCCCCATCTTGCTCAATTTCCTCTCCGCCCCCTCCGCCTTTGTCCCCGTCGTCTTTCTCCTCGACTTGAGCTCTATCAGTCCCTCCTCCCTCTCTCGTACTTTTTTGAGGGAGGCGCGCATTTTGGCGGTGTGTCCGGAGAAGGTGGTGAGGGCGGTGGTGAGGTGGTTGAGGAGGGTGGACGATTGGGTGAGGATGTCTTGCAGGTCGGGGCCTTCTTGTTGGCCGTAGGGCGGGAGGGCGGAGGAGGCTTTGGCGGTTTCGCTGGATAATTTTTCTGTACCCGCCAATACGCCCTTTTCCGATGAAATGATGCTATTCCCAAGTCAGCTTTTGTCCACCGTCCACCAAAGACGCAAACCTCGTGTCGCTCGCCACTATCCACCTCAAAGGAGAAGAGACTCACTCTTGCAACAGCCTCAAATCCTTATGCCCCAAAGAAGGCAACAGCCGATTATGCGCCAACTTGCCCTGCAGCTTCTGTCCAAACCCATCAAACCCTGCTCCACCATGCGACTCGCGGACTGGCGACGTCTCATCTTCATACCCTGACGAATTGTGTTCGACGGGGGAGGAGGGGCGGTCGACGCCGGATACTTTGCGGCCGAAGCCTGCGAGGGAGAATTTGCCGCTGGGGCCTCTTAGGGACATTGTTGTACGGTATAGAGGGGTGGATGGGAAAAGATAGAGGAGATGGGCGGCCAACACGTCATTTGTTTACGCCGCAATGCGGTGTTTTTTGATGCCGCTGCTGCTTGGCCAGGATTATGTAAGCAAGATATGGGTAGTGGCCGAGGTGAGGGGCAGTCCCCATGGGTGGGAAAATTATCAACTTTCTGGTTTATCTCTAGTAGCATGGTTCGTATGGCCTACCTGGACGGGCACTGTACCAACAGCAACGCCTTCAATACGTACATCGCTTTCCCTCCTCGATGTAAGGGATTGGTACGGACTGCTGGTCAGTAGGAGGACATGTAGTGACGTTGACATTGGAACGCAGAGTTTGGTATCAGGATTGCCGCTATGTTCTTTATGTTTTAAGGGACGAGTAGGCGCGGAGGCCAGAGGGGACTCCCGTACATCGTGCTGCGTCTTCGTTCGTATCCTTTTCCCTGCCGATGCAGTGTATTCTCGTATTAACCTCATCACCTATATCCTTCCTCTCTCCATCCGCCTATTCCAGGTGATATCTGGCACCCATGGCTAGATCCTTTAAGTAACCGCCCCCAGGTTTCGCCACCTTTACGAAACCCCTACAGTCCAATGCACGGCACTTTAGAGTCAATCCCTCCTCCCTGGTACTCACATGCCATCTGCCATCATATACAGAAGGCGAAAGATCAGCCCATGATATCTGAGATCAGTCTCAAGTCAATATAGCCCTAACAATCACAATGCAGCAATCCACAAGTAAAGAAGATCAGCAGGCGAAGATCGTACTAGGCGTTCTCAATTCTGCATTCTTCAAAGCAAAGTGATTGTCAGATCAAAAATCTCAGTTCTCAGCTAACTCTGTAGCCCGTATCCACGCCGCCTCTTCACGACTTGTGAACTCGAGAGGTGATGTCAAAGGTGTAGTGGGAGCGCAAGCTGAGACTAATGCTATCGGTGACCACGATGTTGCCCTATATGCCCTCTCGTTTCACTTTATCTATCATCATCATCATCCTGAGCCTTCCCCCTTCGACCGAAGGTGTCCCCTCCCGCATCTGTTTCTTCCATTTCTCCCTCATCAGAGTACGGTCGCGGTCTACACTCAATCAGTTGATGCACCTCTATGTATGTATGCATCTCTCGAAATCTAACCTATGTATAAGACCCTCACCGAACTTCTAAACGCAGTCCAGTCTTCCCATCTTCGATTGTCTTATGTTGTGCCTCACATGGCCATGTGGGGATCCGCAATCATGAGATTGATGGCGCTCAATAATGTGTCTGGTGAATTCTGAACGAATGTGAAGAAGCTAAACTCGTCGTTGGCTGAAGGTCTTGTAACGCTCTTCTGAGAGGGAAAGTAAGTGGCAACGGTTCTGTGTGGTGAGTGCTCTTTACCAGATCTATCGGTTCGTAAGAGGGTGATATCACCTTGATATTTGGTCATGTATTGTGCTGACTTGACGTCTTCGTGGAAAGGAAAGCTTCTACTGTCTGGATCGACCGATACTTCACCTACTGCCCCGTCGAAGGAGATCTCGTGAGCTACGTGATCGAACATACTTTTGAAAGACGCCAGGTCTGCGACGATCTTCGTATGCTCTTTTGTGACATAGACGTCATTCAAATAGATCAGTGACCCATCCATAGTCTCCACTGGTGCGAGAAGATGGAAGCAAGTCACTTCGTTTTCGAAAGGTACTACTTCGGTGGGACAGCGTACTCCGGTCATGGCGAGACTCTTCTCCAGCTCATCATCAGAGCTCCGTACTTGCATGTCGTATACTGCCGCAGGATGGTCCTCGGGAATCTCGAATTCGATAGTCGATACGGGCTGGACTTCATGTAACTCTGGCATCACATCTTCATTTAGGGTGCGTAGGAATCCATCGGGCTTCCCAGTTTGACTGTCATCCGACGGGGGTGATTGTAAGCACGAAATCCGGTAAGCTTGTTGAACAGCGTTCTTTCACCGCTGTCTATATTGTCTTCGAACGGGGCTCGAGGCTGAAAACTCCAAGCTCGGCCCGGACGGTACTGCCAGGTGTTTTGGTGCTCAACATTTTCTTGAGCTCCGGGTGAAGACCCTTCGTCTTCTTCTGAGCCGTATCTGACGTCAGTGATATTCATGAATGCTTGAACGGCGAATTTGTGAAAGATTCCGGGGAAACGTCCAGATGGCAGTCCTTCATCGAGACCTTGATCTCTTGCACTGTCCGATTGTTCCGCCATTATGCCATTATCGAATAAGTGTTGCTATTGTGCAAGTTTCTGCATTCTTCGCCCCCCCCCACGCCCGCGGTCTCCTTATATGCAATCCGGAGGATCAACGTTTCCCGTTCGGGCTATATTTGGAGAAGCGCAAGAATGATACGCAATAATGGTACGACATATGCCTTATGTGTAACATCATCATGTACCCTCGAGCCAGGAATAGTGCACCAAATATTTTCATGAAACTGAATGTCAAAACGGACTGCTGTATGACATCGCCCGTCCTGTTTAAATGAAAGGGACGCTATACGATACTGTGGTGACATGAAGGGTAGAACAGTACGCAGCTATTGAACCGGAATTGGGTCTACTGGGGAACCACAGCGACCGCTTCCAACAAAGGACAGACGCGGAGGAAATGTTTCAGATAGTGATGCTGTTCGAAAACTGATGATAAGAAGAAGACTCGCAGAATCCTGCAGCCTCAACTTCACATTAGTGAACTCGTCGGCCGCCGCGACATTGAATGACGTGTGTGATTGTTGACCGCTGGGGAAAGATAGATAAACACCTTTGGCATCTTACATCTGCGTCTCTCATCTCCCACTCTTCCTCTCAGCGTTTCGAGGCTAACAAACACCTTGCTACCCCTCCGGGGCATTCCTACCCTCACCTCTCTTCGCCCCTCCTTCACACCCTTCAGACTCACTCGACCGGCCTTTGCGCTCATCATTGCCCCTTCCACGACGCGTACGACAAGCATCACGTCGATACCTCATCACCCCATCACCCAGCGCCACCATCTCCCCACACCTTAAAATCTGGAAAGCCGCTCAAGTGCACAAACAAGAGAAAGAAGTGCTTCGGACTACATCTCGTCATTCTGGCTTCTTGAAGTATCGGCTACAAGCAAGTATACGTAGAAGGGTGAAAGGCTAATGAGGAGGGCAATAGGGAGAAGGGCTGGTTTTAAGGATCCAGTGATCAGATCCCGGGCGTGAGTTAACAAGTCCAAAGACCAACTGTCACACGTGGTAATTCCCTTTCTTCATGCGATAATACCGAAAAGGTCTATTCCCCTCCAAACTCACCTTTTCCAGTCACTTCCTTGCTGCGTCTCAGCTAGGTCGTGACACCAACATATGCATTATGATTCCGGAGTTGGACTTGTAATGCAGTGGCTTTTGCTGCTCATTCGGTTGATTGATCTTACTTGGTATTTAGGTCCTTTACATTGGTGAGAATTAGGATATCGGCAAGGTGAGTTCATTAACCCCTTCCGTCGCGAGTAACAACCTAATGGGAATTTGGAAATTGATAGTTGAAGACAAAGGAAGAGCTTTAGGCGGAGTTTATGGAGTTTATGGGAGCGGAGAGTACCCTCGGATGGTCATTGATGAGTCTTCCTGCCACAAACGTCAGATGTGGAAAGACTGAGGAGGGTAGGGAAGCCGTAGTATTTTCGCAGTACGTACAGATAGAAATTGACTGGAAAGCGGAGAAATGGGTACACCTTCGGACCTCACAACGACGGTAAGAGAAGAGTCATCTAATTAGATTTCTCGTTGATACATTGCACACTGGCATTGTATATGCATACATGCTATGATAACTTTCTTTCCTCTATCCTATCTCGTCAACTCTTGTGCTGGGAATCCTATTCCCAATCCTGATCCTGCCATTCCTCGGCTAAAGATACTCTGGACTCATCCACAGTCTGGCGTTTTGCAAAATCTCGATATTTTTTCGACACCGTGTCTGGATCAGTCATGGTGTCTCTGTCAATCTTGAGCGGGGTCTCTTTCACCCAGACGGAAAGGATCTTCCCCTCTGGAGCCATAGCTCCTGACTGTACAGAAACTGCCTTCTTAAAGGTGTTCTTGTAGTCTTCATAGATACCGGCAGTCTCCATAGTCTTGCGCGTGACTGTTCCTACGACCATCTCGTTCTCGTCGGGATTTCCCGTGGAACACCTAACGGCAGAAATGGCGCATCCTGCGCAAAGAAAAGTAGATTCCCCGTCTTCAAACGTCACGAGCTGAACGGGGTACCCAGGGGTAAGGGGTGTTCCCGACCCGACCCATTCACCCACCGAGTTTCTGGGTGCCGAGAGGTCAAGGTGCATGGGACAGTAGCACATGTGACCAGTGTAAGCGTTGCTAGAGTTTCCGTGGCGGCTGTTAGGCGGGAAAGTAGACAAGTCGAGCGATATGGTTGCTTGAAGGAGAAATTGAGATGCTATTAATCTAGCTTACTTGTAGCTGTTGCAGGTATGCTTGAGCGAGAGATATGAAGAACACAATGCTGTATATATATAGTTTTTGGTCTATCGGTCTTCAGAGTCATTGTTAGAAGATCACTTCTCAGAACTTACGCTGACTGTAGCCATACAACACCTTTATCACTTCTTCAACCCCGAACTCCGAGATGACTCCCGCTCCCTTGACGCGGCGGAAGGCGGTTGCTGAGAATATGTTATGAACTTAGGATCCTTTTTCCTTGCACTGCAAGATCACAGTCTCTTAATTCATGAGAAACAAAGGCAAGTCCATATCTTTATCTGGGCAGTACGTTATAAATCTTAAGTAATATCACACTCCTTTGACGCTGCAAGTTGCCAGACCGTCTCTTGAAAATGGTTCTGCACTTCACCACCTTCTTGATATTGCAAGGAGGGTCTTTCTCGACAGAATGGTGCTGTGAAGATGATGCTGATCTCCTTAGATCGTCAGCAATGACAGCAGTATGTGGTTACAAAGCATGAGATACTTTACGTCGCTCCGGAGAATCGAAGATTGCTCGGATACGCCATTCTTGCTCCGTACATGTTGCTGGCAATGATGTTCATATCTAAAGTAGAAGGCAACAAGTATCCCCCCCGGCCTTTCAAATACGGTGCCATAATATGCAGTCAGAAGCTATAAGTCCCAAATCAGCATGGCCATGCCTCACTGAAACGAAGATCTCATGCAATTCATGACCCCTTGTTCATTCCACAAGGTGTTCAAGAACATATACATCTGCTACAGCTTACTAGCAATAACGGGTCACTTCCTACTGGACTAGCCTTTGAGCGGCACTTCACGTTGTTGTTCGACACTCTGACCAATTCCAACTGTAGCTAGAAATTCTCACTGCGTGGCTCTTGTCATCATCACTGGTGAGAGTTGCCCCATCGATTCACCCATTGCTGATATATATTGAACCTGGATCCACAGTTTTGGATCAGATAAAGTCAGAGTAATCTCTCAGTTACCGCGGCTGTAGTAGACGTAGAGCTTTTGTCGATCATGAACACAGGGTTGCCTACAAACAATTCTACATCCTTTTCCGTCAACGGCAGTCGATCTTTGCAGATGTATAAGAAGATTTCCATTTAGAGAAAAAGCACGGGAGCGATATGGATATCTCAACGAGCAAGTATCATTGGGCCAAGTGTTATAAATGACGTGACATATACTCAATAAAGAACACTGTCGCTTCTAGGATAAGCTACAGCTCGAAAATCAGCAAGCGATCGTAGTCCGCCAAAACCTCCGGAGTCCCGACGCTTTGTTTGACCTACCTTGGGCACATATAGTCTGTATCTACCACCTTTTTGATCTTCTACTGCGATCAAGGGAAAGAGAGCGAAACCATTCAGCGTATGTATGCATCTCAGCATCCGACGCAATCACTGCTGGTTCAAATCATGTTGTTCAACAATGACGCAGACCTCAGAACGTCTGAACCGCTGTCCCTTCTTGATAGACACTCCACAGATAGTCATTCCCATCGATGATTTCCTGTCGATGCCTTGGATCATGCATATTTAACAAACACTGAAACAAAGTGAAGGAATGCATGTATACGCCGCTGCTGCTTCTTTCTCGTCACACCCCTACTACCAAGCTGCTACAGCTCTCGCCATATTCTCAGCCGTCATGCCTGTTGATCATTTCATCACGGTGTTTGTCATATTGGTTGGTCATTTCTTCGTAGTGGGTGGCCATTGCCTGAGCTATCACGCCACGTAATGGGTCTATTGGATGACGTTGGTCGTACTCTCGGAAAGCGCTCGCCAAACTGGCTCCATCTTTAAAGGAGTCTTTGTCGACCTCAAAGACGGGGTTCTCCATTGTCCATGAAAACAGCTCTCCATTTGGATGTATTACAGCACCCACCTTGATTGACGCCGCTTCCCGGAACGTGTTTCTGTAGTCTTCATAGATACCAGCCGTCTCCATATCTTCTCGTGTAACAGTCCCAAAGATTTGTTCTCCTTTCTCAGGTTCACGATCGTCCACAGCAACAATGGCTGCGTTCAAACCGCAGCCCGCACACATGAGAGTGGACGTGCCATCCTCAAAAGTCACGAGCGAGACGGCTTGGCCGGGAAGGAGAGACTTGCCTGACCCAACCCAGTCTGCCACGGACTCTCTGGGTTTTGAGAGGTCGAGGTGCGTCGGATCGTAGCACATGTGACCCACAGAGGAACTGTTGTCTGTATTACGGAGACGGCTGTTGGGTGGAAATCGGGACAAGTCTTGGGACATGATGGCTTGTAATCGTCTTTAGTTTAGTCGTGCGCAGACGCTATGCATCAGAGGCGTATTGCAAAAGTCGCTGCGTATATATAATTGACTGGTAATGGCAATCCTTTGCCATCTGGAGTATTTCGGGCGGCGATTGAAGAATGTCTATCTACACGCGGTACGTAGCCGTTTTTAGTTGTTCTGTACTGAATATGGAGAGTCATGTTGCCAGCTTCCGACACATAGGCCACCTCGTCATGAGAGTCTACATGACTTCTATGCTCCTTTTGCCACAGCCCGACCGTCGCTAAAAAAGGTGTGTTTTGACGCCAGAATGCCATCTTACTTGTTACCTTCATACGTTATGGCCTATTCTTGAGCATCGTGCTCGGCGTGCCAGTTTGGAACGGCAATGTTGCATTGCTCACCGCATACCCCTTGTTCCCATTCTCTGTTGGCAGGATTGGCCGGCGTTCCACTGACCACAAATCAACGCTCCATTCATCGTGCTGCCATTGTTGTCCCCAGCTTACTGTCCCTCTTGGCTCCAAGGGTCCTCCCATTCTTGCTCCCACGCTCAGGTATGCTTTGAGCGACGGAGCTGACGGCGAGTTTTTCATTGAACTATCGGTAAGTCCTCTATCAAGGCAGTATTTTTTCTTGGTATCTCTGCTCAAACCGAGATTCAAGGCCACCCTCCATCAATGGATTGAAACTGTCCAGTCGCATCCAAGGCGGTGGGTCCCATGGTGAAAGGAGTCTCGGAAGGACTTTGTGTACATGTACAGTCCCGCCTCAGGGTTCATCTGCGCGAAAAGATGACGATTTGCGCGTTGTGACAGTGCTAATATATGCGTAATTGGGATTATACAGAGGCCGAGAAGGTAGAGATGCAAGGGTCAGTAACACATGTGGCTAGTTGGAAAGGGCAGTCATGGTCCCACAATCATACGCCGACTACAACTCCTGGCCAGCTCGTGCGCAGCGCCACACTCACGCGATGCACTTACGTAAGACACACGGGATGATGTTGATCGACGCTTGTGCTGTGCATGGTGCGTGCACTAGCCACGGGGTCATAGTCATGACGACGGGATGATGGTGATGACGTGGAGGGGAGGCCCAGCACCCTCGGACCGGCGAGGGGGATAGCCGGGCAGGAATGGTGTGTGCACACATCCCTTTGTCCTGGCCTGCGTTGTTCTCTGCCGGTTGGCGAGTCTCAGGGTGAATCCTATTGTCCCATCACCCCCTCGTCCCCGCATTCCGAATACCTGCCTCCCATAAGCCCCTCAAGCATTCGCATCTATTCTTCCATCCACATCTCTTCCTTATTGCGCCCGTTCATACCACACACACACCGTCGACAAGCAACCACTCCGGACGGACTCGCAGACGATCCATCCCCCCCCTGCGCTACGACGACCTAGGCCTACGCACTCGCCACCTTCCCAAACAGGTATATCTACCTCTTTGGGCAACTCTTTTCCTCCTCGATCGAGACACGACGACCCAGCGCAGCCTGCCTCCCACGCGACCGTCGCCTGCTCCACTCTCTCGCGCTTCGCACAGAGCGCTCTTAAAACACTCCTTTCCTTCTACTTTTGCTTGCGCCTTGCTCTCCGACTGCCGACGAGCGACGATTACTCCATTGCGCATCCAAGCGTCGTAATTACCTAGCCACTTTTTACATATATATACCATGGTTAGTTCCCAGCCTTCTCACGACGAGAGAATCGACATTAACGTACGTTTCCACCCTCCCCCTTCCTGCCACTCATCCCACCCCGCCGACCATAACCGCACCCGCCTCCCCCGCTCCCCCCCACCTTCCTCCAAACCCCACCACATCCACGCGCACCACAACCCCCTCACAATGCTCACCCGCCCCGAACTGCCCCCCCGCTCCGAACTCCCCTCGGACCACCCCAAAAACCCCCACTCGCGCGTCCGCCTACCCGAACGGCCGCACCTGTCGCAATACTGGCACGACGCCTACCCCCCGCCACCCCTGGACGACGACACCGTGCTCCCGAAACCGCCCTCCAAAATCAAATATATGAATACGGAATGGCAAAAAAACAATCCGAATCCGAAATCGCGCGATGCGGTGAAGGCGTACTATGGTGGTGGGGGGATGTATCCCGGGATGGGGGTGGGGGGGATGTACCCTGGGATGGGGGGGATGATGGGGGGGATGGGTATGGGGTATGGAGGGATGGGGATGGGGTATGGAGGGATGATGGGTGGTTATGGGGTGCGTCTCTTTCTCTTTGCGATGGGCTCTGCTGACGTTGTCGTAGATGCCTCGATACGGCGGTGCCGGGTAAGCCCCTTCCCTCTCCCTCCTCTTCCTCCTTCTCTTTCGCCCTCTGCCCTCTGGGAAATACTAACGATAGCAGGATGTACGGCGGCTACGGCGGTGGCTACGGGTATGCCGTCTGTGCCAAAAGTATGCGCTGGGAGCTAACACCTTCATGGTGACTATAGCGGCTACGGCCCCGGGTACGTCCCCCCCTCCTCTTACTCTATCTCTATCTCTCTTCTGCCGTGGAAAGAAGCTGATGATGGGCTCAGGATGTATGATCCGATGATGGGAACTTATGGTGTAAGCCCCCTCTTCCTCTCTCCCCCTCTCCCCTCCCATCTCCCCTCCCCTCCCCTTCCTCTCCCTCGGCTTCTCGCTCCCTCAATCTCGCATGCAAAAGAGGCAAAGCTGACAGAGACCGAACGGTAGGCGCCGGCGTCAGCCAATTTCGTGGACGATAATGTGGATGCTCATCGGTAAGGCGCAAAAATCAAGATCAAGATGGTGTTTTCGAAAGATTGACTGACTTTATCTTTGCGCTTTCCTCCCTCCCTCCCGCCAACCACTCTTCCCCTACCTTCCCCCCTCGCCTCCTCTCATCCTCCTCTCGACATCGACAACGACGACGACAACGACATGACGAAAATCCGACGAACCGAAAAACAGCATGGAACACGCGTTCCGTCAATCAATGCCAGACTCGTACGGTGCCGGCATGGGCATGCTCCCCGGCGGGATGGGGATGAATACGTTGCCTGGGAGTAGCATGATGTTGTATGGGAGGGGGATGCCTTATAATGTACGTTCCCTTTCTTTCTTTTTTTTTTTTGTCTTCGTCGTGGTTTGCTTGGTTTTGGGCTGATGTGGGATAGGGCTGGTACGCTTAACCCCGCCATATCCCGCTCCTGCACCCACTCCAGCACCAACATCACCCATCCCTTCTCTACCGACGACACTCAAGCTCAAGCTCAACTCATCAAACCCTTCTCCCAAGAAGGCGTGTTATTCCCTGTCTCACTGTCTTCTTTTTTTTGCTTTGTGGAGAAAACCTATGGTCTTTTCGTCGTTGTTATGTAGATGTAGCCCGATGTTTCGTTTTCGTCCTTTTTTTTTTTTTTTTGGCTCTAGCGTTGAGCCCTTTTGTTTTTCACCAGTTACGAGAGAATTTTATTATGAGCAAAGAAGAAAGAAGATACATGCAGGATACTATTGTTTATTCAGAGAGCATACAGAGAGCATTGGGGATGGGGCCATATGCATGTAGAGTACTCTACGATTTGACTATGAGATAGTTTTGGTGATGACGCTGCAAGAGGTGGAAGGGGTGGCTGATGTTGGTCTTCCTTCTCCCGCGCCCATATGCGGCCAAGCATATATGCGCCTGAGGCAACAACCAATACGGAGATGATGGTGTGGTGGAACAGTCACGTCACAAGCCGGCTGTCGGATGCAACAGATACGAGCGGTACTCTGAACGAGGGAGATCGTCAGTCCAAGCGTCGTTGAAAAAGTGGACTCATCCACATTATTCTTCTTCCTCTTCTTCTTCTTCAACAACAAAAGCAGCATGTCCCCTCAGATATACCAACAAGCCGCCCCACCTTACCTCCTCCCCCGCCCCCGCACACCCCCCCGCGAAGGCCTCCCCGCACCACGTACCTCCCATCACTCAAATCCTCGTCCGCTCTCCCACCCACTCATTCCTCACTCTCATTCCTCGAAATCACGCAGTGACGCCTACCCCCTCCCTCTCCCTCCTCCACCCCCCGACCCTTCCTCCCCGGTACTTCTACCTCCAAGCTCCTTCCCCGGACTCTGCGCTAGTTACACTACTTCTATAATAAGGAGCTTTGCGGGCGAACCCGCTCGAAGTAGGGAGGATTAAGCAGTGAGAGAGTTTTAGGCGGGGGATGAGGGCGAGGGTACTGGGTTGTGGGTGGGGGTGGGGGGGATGTATGGTGGGAGGTGGCATCCTTGTATTGGGGTGGTTGGGATAGGCGGGGTTGGGGCGGTTGGGATAGGCGGGGTTGGGGCGGTTGGTTATGGGGTGGGTTGATTTTGTCTTTTTGTTTTTGGGTGAGGCGCGTCGCGTCGGACGCGTCGGGGGTGGAAGGGGAAAGGAAGGCAGGGGGTGCTGACGTTGGATTTGGCGGGATAGCAACTCTACTCGTACCAACCTCCTATGTACGTTTTCCCTTTCTACACTTCGCTGCTGTTTATCGGCAGGTATATTTCGAGGTGGGTGGGTTGGAGTGGCTGACGTTTTTCTTGGTAGGATGTACGGCGGCTATGGCGGAGGTGGGCCGGGGTTTAACGGTGGACTAGGATTCGGATTCGGGTACGTTTCAACGATCCCCTCCCAAGGGGCTGTTGTTCAGAGGGCTGACGTTGTTGTTGGAGGATAGAATGACTCCCGAGTATGCTTTCGTTTCTGGAAGGTAAATGGGGAGGGAAGCTGATGGGTGGGGGTGTTTTAGGATGATGCAGCCTCCCAAGACTACGAATACGCGTGACGTGAGCTCCTCTTCTTCTTCTTCTTCTTCCTTCTTACACTTCCGCCCCTCTCTCAACCCGCCTTCCACCTCCCAGCCTTCCCTCCTCCCGCTCTTCCCCGACAACCTCTCGACAGACGAGAGAAAGACGAACACTGACCTCTTTTGACGGTCGGTACGATAGGACAAGAAAGGCGCCCGGACCGACCAGATGGGCATGTACCCCCCCGGACTGGGGCGAGACTTTTGGCCGGCGGGAGGTGGGGTGACGAGGTATTATTATGGGGGCGGGATGCCTGCTTATGTGCGTTCTTCTCTTCTCTCTTGGTCTCGCTCTCACTTCGCGTGGTGCTTTCGAGGAGCGGCAAATAGCTGTGCTGGGGACGAGGAAGAGGATCGCTGACACTATGGCACTTTGACAGGGCTGGGCCGCGTAAACCCGATGGCCTCCATACGCCAACGACACAAGATTCAAGGACATGACCATACACGGCGATCCATCCTCACCCAACCCTATTTTCCTCACCGGCTTGCACGTTTCCAAGAAAAGTATACTATCTTCGCCGTAGCCGCAAGCCCTCTTTTCATGTTTCATGTATGGTATAGTCGAGCTTGTGCTGTACACTGCTGTTCTATGGTCGCCGTGTTGAGGGACGAGATGGAACAACAAACACATGGGGTCGTTCCCTGCTGTTCTGGTAAAAATTCTCCGCGGAGACTCGGAGAGTGATCGTCCGGTTTCCAGAAGGACCCCCGGAATATGTTGTTTGTTGAGGAGTCGGAACATCTCGCCGGTTGGCTTTGGTTTTCGATACAAAAACACGGACAAGTGGAGATAATTCGGAAAAGAGGGGAAGAGGGGAAAAGGGAGAGGGGTTGACAACGACGAGCGCAGCTCGATGAGGGTCAATTTGTTGGCGTGGCAACGGAGGAGGAGAGGAGCAGCTGACGTTTGGTTTTAGTGCGAAAAGAAAGGGTATTTCATCTTGGTCTTTTCTTGTTGTTTTTCTCCGCCACCGCCAGACACAACATGACTCCATATCTGCACACCACCCACACCTCCACAAAGAGCCCCAGCACCCCCCACAGCACCTACGCACCCCTCCCACGGCCGCTGTCGACCACCCCTTCCTCCTCTTCCCACCGCTCCCACTCTTCCGAGGCGCCCACCACCCCTCCCCAGAACCCCAACTCTCTCATCCGTATCCCTTCCCGTCAACACCTCGCCCAAGCCCATCTCGACGCCTACCCCCCTCCCCCTCCCTCTGCTTCATCTTCATCTCCATCTTCCTCACGCCGCAGCGGTGGAGGAGGTGGAGGTGGGCAGCAGCAAGCGACAAGGCACGTACCCAAACCCGCCCCGGAGCGGGTATGGATGGACACCAAGTGGATCCGGGAACATCCGAACCCAAAGTCGGCGGGGGAGGTGAGAAAGTATTATGCGGGGGTTGGTGGGGGGTGGACGGGGGGCGTTTGGCCGGGGGGTGGTGGGATGGGAATGGGGAGGGGGGTGGGGAGGGGGGTGTATCCGGTGTATCCTGAGGCGGTGGGGAGGGGAGGGATATATCCTGGTGTGGGGTTTGTTGGGGGGTATGGGGTGGGTAGGACGGCTTATACTGTGAGTTTCTTGTGCTCTGCTCGTCTGGTGGTGATTGATATGGGGTACTGTGTGCTGATGCTGGGCTGGCAGATGCCTTGGTACCATGGGTAGGTTTCTGGTTCGACCAACTAAGTCATTGGTAGGGCGGGGGCTGATCAGGAGGTAAAAGGTTATGGAGGCGGTTATTGGTAGTTTTGCTAGGAATCGAGAGTCACGAGGAGTTGTAGTCGGCGTATGTATTACGGGACCAGGAACTGCCCTTCCCAGCTAGCCATATGTTTTACTGTCCCTTGCATCTCGACGTCTTGGCCTCCAAATAATCTGAAGTATGCATATAGCACTGTCACAACGCGCAAAATCGTATCTTTCGCGCGAGATGAAACCCTGTTGATAGAGGACTACCGAGAGTTCATTGAAGAAACTCGCCGCCCCATTGGCTCAAGTCGCTCAAAACAGAGCTTACAGCGTGAGGAGAAAGAAACGGGAGAGCTCTTTCAGCCAAGTGAAAGAAGCGAATATGAAAGAAGCCAAGAAGGGAGAGAAAGCTGAGAACAATTAATGGCTGCACGATGAATGGAGCGTGTCGCATGATAGACCATCAAGTACAGTGTTTTTTCTTTGATCGCCTCCCGAAATACTCCAGATGGCAAAGGATTGCCAGTATTAGTCAATTATATATATACAGCGACTCTTGCAATACGCCTCTGATGCATAGCATCTGCACACAACCAATCTAACGACGATTCAACACCCATCATGTCCCAAGACTTGTCCCGATTCCCACCCAACAGCCGTCTCGGTAATACAGATAACAACAATTCCTACGTGGGCCACATGTGCTACTGCCCAATGCACCTCGACCTCTCCACACCCAAATCGTCCGTAGCAGACTGGGTCGGCTCAGGCCTCTCTCTCCTCCCCGGCCACCCCGTCTCACTCGTGACTTTCAAGGACGGCGCGTCGACTCTTTTGTGTGGCGGCTGCGGTGTGAACGCGGTCAGTGCTTCTGTGGGCGACCGTGAGCCTGAGAAGGGGGAAGCGATTTTTGGGACTGTTACCCGGGACGATATGGAGACCGCTGGTATCTATGAAGACTACAGAAACACGTTTCGGGAAGCAGCCTCAATCACAAGGGGTGCTGTAGACCCAAATGGAGAGCTGTACCCATGGACGATTGACAACCCCGTCTTCGAGGTCGACAAAGACTCCTTCAAAGACGGAGCCAGTCTAACTAGCGCTTGGCAAGAGTACACCCGACATCATCCGGTAGACCCATCGCGTAGACAGATCGCTCTGGGAATGGCCACCCACTATGGAATGATGACCGGCAGGCGTGGCGGCTGAGGATATGGCGGGAGCTGTAGATGCGATGAGCTTTGGTAATAGGGTGTGACGAGAGAGAAGCAGCAGCTGCGTATACATGCATTCCTTTCACTTTGTGTCAGTGTTTGTAAGATATGCACGTCGTCTGGACAGATACTGCCTTGATAAAGGACTTACCGAGAGTTCATTGAAAAACTCGCCGTTTGGTTCAAGTCGCTCAAAGTAGAGCTACAGCGTGGGAGAAAGAAATGAGAGGGCTCTTCAGCCGGGTGAAAGCGAGTATATGATATCAGCCAAGAAGGGAGAGTAAGCTGAGGGCAATAATGGCAGCACGATGAATGGAGCGTTGGTTTGTGGTCAGTGGAAGGCCGGCTGATTATGCCAACAGAGAATGAGAACAAGGGGTATTGCCGTGCCAAACTGGCACGCCGAGTATGATGCTCAAGAATAGGCCATAACGTATAAAGGTGCCAAGTAAGGATAGCATTCTGGCGTCAAAACCCACCTTTTTTAGCGACGATCGGGCTGTGGCAAAAGGAGCATAGAAGCTTATGTAGACTCTCATGGCGAGGTGGCCTATGTGTCGGAAACTGGCAACATGACCCTCATTATTTGGTACAGAAGAACCAAAAATGGCTACCTACCGCGTGTAGATAGACATTATTCAATCGCCACCTGAAATACTCCTGATGGCAAAGGATTGCCAGTACTAGTCTATCATATATATGCAGCGACTTCTGCAATACGCCTCTGATGCATAGCCTCGATAAGACAACAGCATCATGGCCGAAGACTCGTCCCGATTTCCCCCAAACAGCCGTCTCGGTAATACAGACAACGGTTCATATGTGGGTCATATGTGCTACTGTCCGAACCACCTCGACCTCTCAAGACCCAGAGAGTCCGTGGCAGACTGGGTTGGGTCAGGCAAGTCTCTCCTTCCCGGCCACCCCGTCTCACTCGTGACTTTTGAGGATGGCACGTCCACTATAATGTGTGAGGGCTGCGGTGCGAACGCAGTGCTTGCTGCTGCGGGCGATCGCGAACGTGAGAAAGAAGAGCAAATCGCTGGGACTGTTACACGCGAAGATATGGAGACCGCTGGCATCTATGATGACTACATAGCCACGTTTCGGGAAGCGGCCTCAATCACAACGGGCTATGTAGACCCCAATGGAGAGCTGTATCCAAGGACAATCGACAACCCCGTCCTCAAGGTTGACAAGGACTCTCTCACCGATGAAGCCAGTGTGGTGAGCGCTTGGGAAGAGTACAAACGACGTCATCCGAAAGACCCATCGCGTGAAGCAACAGCTCTGGGAATGACCGTCCAATATGGACTGATGACCAGCAGGCATAGCGGCTGAGAATATGGCGAGAGCTGTAGCAGCGATGAGCCTTGGTAGTAAAGTGTGACGAGGAAGAGAAGCAGCAACCGCGTGTATATGCATTCCTTCACTTTGTTTCAGTGTTTGTCAGATATGCATGATCCAAAGCATCGACAGGAAGTCATCGATGGAAAAGACTATCTGCGGAGCCTTCATCAAGAAGGGGCAGCGGCTCAGACGTCCTGATGTCTGCGTCATTGTTGAACAACATGCTTTGAACCGGCAGTGATTGCGTCGAATGCTGAGATGCATACATACCCTGAATGGTTTTGCTCTCTTTCTCTTGATCGCAGTAGAAGATCAGATAGCTGGTGGATATAGACTATATGTGCCCAAGTCAGGTCAAACAAAGCATAGGAACCAAGTCTACGTACGCGCGGGGATGTCGCTAAAACATCCGGGGGGTTTTCTTTTGTTTTCTTTCTACTATTTCGACGTCATTTGGAAAGATACTAGACTGCCTTGATAGAGGACTTATGGGGAACAAGAGGTATGCGGTGAGTAATGCAATATTGCAGTGCCAAACTGGCACGCCGAGTATGATGTTCAAGAATAGGCCATAACGTATAAAGGTAACAAGTAAGATAGCATTCTGGCGTCAAAACCCACCTTTTTTCTTAGCGACGATCGGGCTGTGGCAAAAGGAGCATAGAAATTATGTAGACTCTCATGGCGAGGTGCTCTATGTGTTGGAAGCCGGTAACATGACTCTCATTATTCAGTACACAAGGACTAAAATCGATTCTACCAACAGAGAATGGGGAACAAGGGGTATGCGGTGAGTAATGCAATATTGCAGTGCCAAAGTGGCACGCTGAGTATGATGCTCAAGAATAGGCCATTACGTATAAAGGTAACAAGTAAGATATCATTCTGGTGTCAGAACCCACCTTTGTTTTAGGCGATGATCGGGCTGTGGCAAAAGGAGCATAGAAGTTTATGTAGACTCTCATGGCGAAGTGGCCTATGTGTCGGAAACTGGCAAGATGACCCTCATTATTTGGTACAGAAGAACTAAAAATGGCTACGTACCGCGTTTAGATAGACTTTCTTCAATCGCCACCTGAAATACTTCAGATGGCAAAGGATTGCCAGTACTAGTCTATCATATATATACTGTACAGCGAGTTCTGCAATACGCCTCTGATGCATAGCCTCTGCGCACGCCTAAGCTAACGACGACTGCACGCGTACACGCTTGTCGCTAAACACAAACGACATTTGCCTACTACCTCGATAAGATAACACCATCATGTCCAAAAATTTGTCCCGATTTCCACCCAACAGCAGTCTCGGTAATACAGACAACGATTCCTATGTGGGTCATATGTGCTACTGTCCGATGCACCTCGACCTCTCAAGACCCAGAGAGTCCGTGGCAGACTGGGTTGGGTCAGGCAAGTCTCTCCTTCCCGGCCAAGCCGTCTCGCTCGTGACGTTTGAGGATGGCACTTCCACTCTCATGTGTGATGGTTGCGGTATGAGCGCAATCAGGGCTGCTGTGGGCGATCCTGAACCTGAGAAAGAAAAACCAATCGTTGGGAGTGTTACACGAGAAGACATGGAGACCGCTGGCATCTATGAAGACTACAGAAGCACGTTTCGGGACGCGGCCTCAGTCACACCGGGTGCTGTAGACCCAAATGGAGAGCTGTATCCATGGGCAATTGACAAACCTGTTTTCAAGATTGACAAAGACTCCTTTACCGATGCAGCCAGTGTGGCGAGCGCTGTCCAAGAGTTCAACCGACGTCATCTGGTAGACCCATCGCGTGAAAAGATAGCTATGGGAATGGCCACCCACTATGAAATGATGACCAGCAGGCGTGGCGGCTGAGAATATGGAGAGAGCTGTAGCAGCGATGAGCCTTGGTAGTAGGGTGTGACGAGAGAGAAGCAGCATCCGCGTGTACATGCATCTCTTCACTTTGCTTCAGTACTTGTCAGATATGCATGATCCCCAAGCATCGACAGGAAGTCATCGATGGGAAGGACTATCTGCAGAGTGTCTATCAAGAAGGGGCGGCGGCTCAGACGTCCTGATGTCTGCGTCATTGTTGAACAACATGGTTTGGACCAGCAGTGATTGCGTCGAATGCTGAATTGCATACCTACGCTGAATGGTTTCGTTGTCTTTCCCTTGAACGCAGTAGAGGATCAAAAAGGTGGTAGATACAGACTATATGTACCAAGATAGGTCAGACAAAGCGTCGGAACGACGTCTACGCGCTGGGATGTCGCTGAAACATCTGGACATCGCGAGAGGCTGATGGTCAGTGCAGTGAACATGTATTGTGATGTATATAAGCAGTGGCGAGAATCTGCGCCTTAAAATCATGTCTCGGTACGGCCTTGGCCAAAGAGGTCACGTCGGTCAAGTCCGCCGCGTACTGCCCAAGTAAGAATGACACAACCAGTAATCGCACTCGTACATTACGTGGCGCAAGGGATATAATCCATGATGCATTACGATATCTACGTTGGGTCTCTGAGCCGCCGTCTTACATCCTCTCAATAGGAGTCAAACTCAAAAGCCTCATCGCGCTCGCCAAAACCTCCCTGGTAGTGATGTAGAAGAACAACCTCGCCTTCGCCACTTCCTCCTCCTCCCCAGTCACCCTCACCGTCTCCCACGCCGCGCCGACCAAATGCGAGAGCCTGAAACACCAAGTGACCAACTGCGACGGCTCAGACTGCACGTACGCGTTGCGCAACGCGGTGGGGTATAGGGCGAGCTGCATGAGGATGTCGAGGATTTTGGGGTCGTTGAGGAGGGAGACGTTGATGTCGTTGATGGAGGTGGGGAGGGGGACGTTGGGGTTCTTTCGCTGGACGGAACAGAGTCGGACGTGGGAGTATTGGATGAAGGGGCCGAAATCGCCTTCGAAGGAGGTGCAACGAGACATGTTGAAGTCGTAGTCGTTGATCCTGCGTCGAGTTAGCCTTGCATCATTAGGAGTATAGAGTACTCACCTCCTACCGGCCATGTCTTGGATCTTGACGGCAGAAGTACCAATGATGGCACTGGTCTCTTCAGGGTTCTCCACCTGAGCATACTTGGCCTCATTGCTCTTCATCTGGTCGTGCATCGTCGTCGTCGCCTCCTGGATGATGTCCTCGAGGAAGACGACGGTGCCCTTCCTGGTCGACATGCCCTTCACCAAACCAAAGGTGACGTGCTCGAGCTTGTCGGCATAAGGCTCGCCCATGAGCTCGAGGGTCTTGAAGAGCTGGTTGAAGTGGAGAGTCTGGGCGGCTTGGACGACGTAGATGTGCTTGTCGAAAGCGTATTTTTGGTACTTGTCGTAAGCGCCACCGAGGTCTCGGGTAAGGTAGATGGATGTACCGTCTGCTCAAACATCAGCGCCACCATTCAACAGCACGAATAAACTTACCGCCCTTCCTGACAATAGCCTTGTCCATCTTGAACTTGACCAAGTCGACCAACAACGCTCCCCTGTCCTCGCACGTCAAGCCCTTCTCCTGCACAATCCTCACGGCTCGCTCCATAGACTCGTTGGACACTTGAGATTCTCCCCAATAGACGTCAAATTTGACGTTGAGCTTTTCGTAGGTGCCCTTGAGCTTTTCGATGGAGAGGTCTCGGAATCGGGCCCATTGGGCGATAGCCTTGGGTTCGCCTGCATGAATGTCAGAGATTGGAACCAGAAGAAAAAGAGGCAACGTACCATCTTCCATGTCCTTGAAGACCTTCTTGGCCAACAGGTGGATGTTCTCCTCATCAGGGATAGTCTCGCCGGCATCAATCTTTTCCTTCTGCTCCGCCTTGGCATTGTTGATCTTGACATAGACCTCGAAAAGGTGCTTGACCGCATCCTTCTGCAACTCCTCCTCATTTCCGTACTTGTCGAAACCAATGCTCAAAAGCCCATACTGTGTTCCCCAGTCACCGAGGTAATTCAGCCTGGTAACTTTCCATCCATTGGCCTCGTAGAGGTTGGAAATGACGGTACCAATGATGGTGGATCGCAAGTGACCGGCGTGGAAGGGTTTGGCAATGTTGGGGGAGGAAAAGTCAACGACGAGGTGTTTGCCGGCGCCTTCGGTGGTGGTACCGTAGGCGAGGGTAGGCTCTTCGGGCTTGGCGAGGGCAGCGGCGGAGGTGAGGTTGACTTGGCGGAGGATGTGGTAGGCGAACGCGTCTCGGCTGGGACGAGGTCAGCCTTTTTCTTTTCGGCAAGATGCATGGGTGGCTCACTTGAAGGTGAACCAGAGGAACTTGCCGTCAGGGCTGGAGACTTTGGAGAAAAAGACGCTGGGTTGGAACTATGCACGGTTAGCAACAGCCCAGACCTCAAGGGACCCTACTCACCGATTCAGTAATCTTGTTCAACCAAGGCAAGATGTCCGCAGGCTTCCCCCTCTTGAACCTGACAACAGCAACGCTCAAATCGGCTCCCTTCTTGCCCAGCTCGACAGCAGGGAAGATCTTCTCAATGTCCTCCCCCCAGGCATCAGCGACGACCTTGGCAGCGGCAATTCGGAAGGCCTCGACGACGCTCCTGGTGGGGTCGACACCCTTGATTTCGGGCAGGACGGGGAGGGCAAAGTGCTCGGGCACATCGGCGCCTTGTAAAGAAGCCATGATTTTGAGGTAGTTTCGGAGGGGCGAGTGGGCGGGGGTGGAGTATTGACGGGGACGATAAGCGTATAAAGTGGTACGTGGGATGAGGATACGATGGAGGAGCGGTCGAGAGTATTTGAGGACGGATATGGTGGCGAAGACCGAGTCGATAGTCGTTGAAAGAGCGGGGCTGGTTTTTGGAAAAATCGACTGGAAAGAGGAGAGTAGTAGCGGAGCGGGAGTATTTTGGCAGTACGTAAGCGGTAATTTGGTTCCGTCGTTCAACTTGACGGCCGGAGCCTGAGTGACTTGCCTTGGACTTGCCAGTCTCGCTCAGACCCTGGACCTAAGCAGACCTACAAGAGCAGTGAGTCTAGATGTCTACAAGGGTTTAATATTGTTCTGATATCTTTGCCATCATCGATGAGACAGACTTGCTTACAGAAACCAGTAAGTCAAGTTTACGGCACTTCTGGGCAGCTTCTGGGCGCTACTGTTGTCAATCGACATGCATCATAGCGCTCCCCACTAAACCCACAGCTTTGTCACACTATTGTCCCCTGTCCCTTTTGGGTGAGCGTTTCTTCCAAACTTGAATCCTCCACTCCTCGCATTCATGGAAGTGAGACATGTCCACCGGCTGGCTTTCTGCAAAAGGCATTCGAGCTCTTGTCTTGATTGGTTTTTGGTGCGTATATCCACCTAAAATTCGGGATCGCTACCCCAGTATGATTGCAGTTCTCTCTCTCTGAGCTGATAGCTCCCGACTGCACTGAGACCGCCATTTGGAATGTGTTTCTGTAGTCATCATAAGTACCTGCCGTGCCCATGTGCTTGCGTTTTGCAGTCCCTATGACCTTCTTGTTGTGATCAGGCTCAGGATCTCCCAAGGAGGACCACACTGCGGAGATACCAAATTTTCCACAGAGAATGGTAGATGTCCCGTTTTCAAACTTGACGACGTTGACGCCGGTGACAATATTGATCGGTTTGCCCGACCCAACCCACCCGGCCGCAAAACTTTTCGGTGCGGGGTGGTCGAGATGCAAAGAGCAGTAGCACATGTGACCAGTGTAGGCGTTGCTAAGGTTACCGCATGAACATGTAGACAAGTCGAGTGACATATCCATCTTAGTTGCTGTCGCAATAGTGAGCGGGTATGCTTGAGCGAGAGATGCAAAGAAGATAATGCTGACTGTACGAGTATGTGGTCTTTGGGCTACTTGTCGATGTGAGACCTCGCGAAAAGAGTTCACCTGGGAACTTCTTCCTCTGGTTGCACTCATACCTTGACTTCTATACAGATTCTAAACCCGACCGCGAATTCGAGGACGACCACGCTCCCTTTACTCGGCGAGTTGACGGTTTGTTTACTGAGAATGTGTTCACAACTGTTACCCTTCACCATTACACTGCGAGAAGGTCTTTTTCAGCTCTATTGTAAGAAGGAAACGAGTGAATGGCCAGTAGCAGTGACATCTGGTCAGCAGTGAGTATGAAAAAGCTACCCCGAGTGTGAGGAGGTGCGTTGATGGTTTTTTTTCTTCTCCAACATACAGACTGTCAGTGTTGAAAATTGAGGTCTATGATCGTACAAGGGGACGGCTGACGTTCTTTTCCCTAAAACTGACTGGAAAGCGGAGAGAAGAGTACACCTTCGTACCTCACAACGACCGTAAGAGAAGAGACATCTAGTCAGCTTCCTCGTTGATACATTGCACACTGGCATTGTATATGCTACAAGCTATGTTAACATTCTTTCCTCTGTCCTAACTCGTCAACTCTTGTGCTCGGAATCCTTTTCCCAATCCCGATCCCTCCATTCCTTAGCTAGAGATAGTTTGGACTTATCCATAGTCTGGAGTTGTGCAAACTCGGTAAATTTCCTCGACACCGTGTCTGGATCAGTCATGGTGTCCCTGTCAATCTTGAACGTGGTCGCTTCAACCCAGAACGGAAGAAACTCCCCCTCTGGAGTCATAGTTCCTCCTTGTACAGAAACTGCTTTGTTAAAGGTGTCCTTGTAGACTTCATAGATACCGGCGGTCTCCATGGTCTTGCGCGTGACCCTCCTACGGCCCGCTCGTTCTCGGCAGGATCTCCCATGGAACATTCAACGGCAGACACGGCGCATCCTCCGCAAAGAAAAGTAGAATTCCCGTCTTCAAACGTCACGAGCTGGACGCCGGTTCCAGGGGTAAGGGGTTTTCCCGACCCGACCCATACACCTACTGAGTTTTTGGGTGCCGAGAGGTCAAGATGCATGGGACAGTAGCACATGTGACCAGTGTAAGCGTTGCTAGAGTTCCCGTAGCAGCTGTTGGGCGGGAAAGTAGACAAGTCAAGCGACATGGTTGCTTCGAGAAGAGTTTTAGATGATGTTAACCTAGCTTAGCTGTTGCAGGTATGCTTGAGTGAGAGATATTAAGAACACAATGCTGCATGTATATAGTTTCTGAGGTAGATCTCTCGGTTCTCAGAGTCGTCAACTAAAGAGGCCTTCTGAGAACTTACTCTGACTGTAGCCATACAACACCTTCATTACTTTTTCCAACTCAACCCCGACGCGCCGGCGAACTCCCTTTGTATGATACTACTTGTACTTTCGATATCTTCCCAGTCCGACCACAAAAGAAAGGGCTTCTTTTCTCTTGGAGTTCAGAGAGAGATCGCAGAGTACCAACATCTGTCGGCAAGGCTGGTGGACATGATACGCTGTTTCTCCTTCTTTCGCTCGCCGTCACACTGTACTTTGTGGAACTTTTGCGATTTCTTCGGGTCTATGCTTGATGGAATCATACTAGAAGAAGACCCCTGGCTAAGCTCATCTCTTTTTGAATCATTCATGCATTGTTTGTGAAATATTCGAGCAGCGTTATGTGTACATCCCCCTTGATCATCATCATGCGCGAGACGCTTCTGCGATCATGCTGCCATCGCCTTCAGCTTACTCTTCCTCTTCGCCGCTCTCATGTTCACTGCTGTCGTATTCGCTGCTATCATCTTCGTTTTCACTTGGATGAGAATCCTCCCATTCTTCCTCCCACGCCGTAGCTTCGCTCAGAGCGACTGGATCGAAGGTGAGGCTTCTAATGAACTGTTGGAAGTCCGTTATCAGAGTTTCACATGTATTGGTGTCTCTGTCAAACTGAAACTCATCGCCACCCTCCATAATCGGATAGAACTGTCCAGTGGGGTTCAAGGCGCCAAAGCGGACAGAGACAGTCTCTCCGAACGTTTTCTTGTATTCCTCATATATGCCGGCAGTCTCCATAGCCTCGCGTGTGATATGACCTATTACTTCTTCCTCAACTTCACGCTCACATGCTTCCAGAGCAAATCGGATGGCACTCCCTCCGCATCCGTTATGAAGAATTGTGCTGGTGCCATCTTTGAAGGTAACAAGGCTGATAAATTCTCCTTGATGAAGAGGCTTGCCCGATCCGACCCAGTCGGCTACGGAATCTTTAGGTGCCGAGAGGTCCAGGTGCGCGGGACAGTAGCACTGATGCTCAACATGATCATCTTGGTGATTGCCCTGAGTGCTGTTAGGCGGAAATCTGGAAAAGTTGCTTGACATGATGATGGTAGTGATCCGGGGATTAGTAATCTTTGTGGTTTCTGTGTATATCAATAGCGATACTTTACGTCTGAGCACATTCAGCTATATATATATAGCCTGGACTGGTCTTGTTGGCGGACTCAATGTGTCGTGTGTCATGGTGAAAGGAGTATCAGAAGCACGGACAACTCGGTGTGTAGCTCCGAGTGCGCGAAAGGTAGGACCGCGACGTTACAGTACTATATGCATACTACCTGACTATTCAGGGGCCGAGAGGTCAAGATGCATGGGACAATACATAGCACATGTGTATAGCGTTAGCACCTCGGGTGACGTGGCCGTGTGTTGGATTCTTGAGTTCAGTACGCTGGACGCTGTAGATAGTAGACGTATACGGTAGACAAGTAGTTACGTAACGTAGCGGGACCAGATGCCCAATGTGGCGGCACGAGGTTCAGGGACTGCAGCGTGGTGTATTGTGGAGCCTGTTGTGCTTTCTCCATCTCTTTCATCTTACCAGGTGATAGGTGCTGAAGACTGTACAACAGGTATGTAATGCATAGATCTTACCAGGTGATAGGTGCTGAAGACTGTACAACAGTATTCAATACCGTGTCACCTGCTGGGTGAAGAATTGGACAAGTCGTCGCGCAACATGATGATGGTGATCTTTGGGCAATAGATGTTGATGTTTGGATTTTGACAATCAGTATCTCAAGTCATGATACGTATCATCTTAGTAGGCGAAGAATCCCCGTCGGCGTATCGTATGGGACAGAGTGGGATATAAAGCCTTCCTCCGAGGTTTTGGCGGACCAAATTGGGATAGGTGGTGTTTTGAAAGGGGTCCGCGAATGCTTGTTGATATCTGGTTGATATCCGCCAACCGCGAGCGAGATGTAGCTCACTTTTGAAGCGACAACAGTGTTTTTTACTGAGTTTATGTTACGTCATTCATGATACTTGGCCCGATAAAAAACTTGGCTCGTTGAGATATCCATATCGCTGCCGTGCCACTTCTTTATATGGAAATCTTGTTATAGTAGCTGCAAGGATCGACTTCCGTTGATGGAAAAGGATGTACTTGTAGACCGAAAGATGCACCAGTCGCCGGTGGTGCCTTCCTAGCATTGACAACCTACCAATGCAGCACCCATAGCGTGACGTGGAGCAGTCACAAATATGAATGAGCCTGCGAAAGAACCATGCATGCTCTTCCATAACGTAAGCAAGATAGAAGCTGAGATGCAGTCGTCTCTTCAGAATGCCCTACGGCCGGCTCAGCATCTGGCTACTCTGCAAGCAATTTGAGTCCCTGTTTGAACTGTCATATGTCTGCGACTCATCATGCATACCTCACAATGCATTAGAACAGCGTAATGTCGATCACCACCCTGACTACTACTAAGCCAACGACAAGACGGTCCTCTTATGCTGCCACCATCCTCAGCTAATCACTCCTCAGCTTCTTCTCCGCTGCCTTCATATTCGCTGTTGTCAATCTCGGGATGAGATTCAGACCATTCTACCTCCCACGCCATGGCTCTGTTACGAGCGACCTGGTCAATGGGGGCGTTATCGACAAACTTTTGGTACTCTTCAAACACAGTAATTTTCGTCTCGGCCATTGCTTCTCGGTCAATCTGGAATTCGGGGTTACCCTCCAGAACCGGATCGAAATCTCCCGTCGGATTCAAGGTGCCAAGGCGCAGAGAAACGACCTTCTCAAAAGCTTTCTTGTAGTCTTCATAGATACCCGCAGTCTCCATGTCCCCGCGAGTGGCATGACCTAAGACTTCTTCGCCCGCCTCGGGCTCTTCATCTAGAAGAGAAAGGGCAACTGAGCTGACACCGCAGATGCTGTGAACGACCGTCGAGGAACCATCGTTGAAGGTAACGAGGTGGACTTTTTCTCCTTGATGGAGAGGCCAAGCCGTTCCGACCCATTCGGCTACAGAGTCCTTGGGTGCCGACAGGTCGAGGTGGGCGGGGCAGTAGCACATGTGGCTGCCCTGGTCGTCTTGGTTGTTGCCTTGGCGACTGTTGGGCGGAAAAGTGGAGAGCTCGTCGGTTGACATGATGGTAATCTGGAAGCTGCGTACGGTGTGGTTCTGCGTATGCTACTAGAAACTGCGATATACTTTTAAGATGTAACTGCAAGCAGTCGCCAGAAGTTTGTTTGGCTATATAGCCTTCCTCGTGGCTATTGTTAGACCTGAATCGGCCAGTTGCGACGGAAGGAGCTCGAAAACGCATTCGGTCGTGTAATATAGGTCAGTATGCCTTTGTGTCGCGAAAGTTAAGATCGTCGCTGATCATACACGGTCTAAATATGGACTTGTCACTATTCTGAAGTTTCACCATACGCTGCGCCTTAGCTTTTCATCATTACTCATCCCCTAGCCCAATCGGCTTTTGCATTGACCCAAATGTGAGCTTCAGATTCCATAGTAAGTACTCATTACCGTCAAATGAGCTTCCAATAAGCTGCAATCCTGTGCTTCCATATATATGGCCTTCCACGACTGCCGAAGTGAGGCCGAGAGGAGGCCGAGTAAAGGGGCGGCTGACAACATTGGTTCTGAGAGCCGTGTAATCAGTAAGGTCATGATCAGTGGATCCGTCGGCAGGCCATACTGTCTATGGTGACTCTCATTTCTGGCCATGAGCCATGTCACCCCCTTGCGACCCCGTCGAGTCATCGAGTCATCGTTGCTGAGTCGATGTTGAGTGATCGATAAGTCGAGTCAAGTGGTGACGCAATAACGCGCGAGCTTTCGGCTGTGCCCGACGGTACGCCGAGCTCGTCGACTTTTCAGGTGCGATCACATGGGCGCTCATTTTTATTCTTGCTTCTTCTCTCTCTTTCATTTCATTCCCCTGAATCAAAAGAGCTCCAGCTCACCCCCCTAATTCATGTCCTACCCGTCCTGGGCGACAACCCTCGCCCACGAGCCGTGGTCCTGTGACAGCGTCTGGACAGGCATAGATTTCAGCCCCTGCTTCAAAGAGCGGTATGTATCACGCCATTGACTCGAGAGAATCATGCTGACCCACCTCAGATACCTACAAAATGCTCCCTACGCCTTGATTGCTCTATCTATCCTCTACCTGCTCGCGACCCTCCCGTCCCGCTTATCGTCCTCGCACAAGCCGCCCTTATCGACGTCGACTCTTGTGTCTCCCACAAACTCATCAGACCTTGCCAAGCTTGAGTCTACCGTCATTCTTGAGGCCCTTGCGACGAATCTCCTCCCCACGACACCCACGTCCAGCACCAACAAGCCCACCGAAAAGTTAGCCGGGGGTGAATCGGAGGCTATCATCGAGGACTTTCTGAGCGGGGCGAGCAAACGGAGAGATGTCTCTCGATGGCAAGGGGCGAGGTTCTGGGTGGGATTGATTGGAGCCGTTGTGTGGTTTGAGGTGGAGCTGGCTAGGGTTATTGTGCAGGGGTCATGGGCGAGCATCGTCTTCCCGGCATACATCTCAGTCATTGCGATTATCCCCGGCTCCCATATCACTCCCCTCGTAACTTTCCACGCCATCTTATCTCTTCTCCTTTTCCGATCGCTCGTCATCTCTCCCAACCCCTCTACTCTTCACATCACCGCCTACGCCGTCGAGATCGTCTACTGGTTTGCCTTGCTGGGCTTGCCGTACCACGAGTCCCTCGACCGCCTCCTCTCTGGGGGCAAGTCTGCTCGCGGGGGTTCCAACGGCTCCTACGGTAATCAGCTGCCCAAGCATTGCGAAGAGCCTGCTTCAGCATTTTCCCGAGGCTCCTACAACTTTATGCTTCCTCTTCTCTTCAAGCACTATTTCAAACCTATTACTCTTGAAGAGATTCCCGCTATACGCGAGGATGATTCTTCTGCCGCGGCAATCGGAGGATTCAGGGCCTTCCAGGCGAGGAAGGACGGTGAATGGATCAAGAAGCACAAGCAGGGCGCAAGGAGGAAACATATAGGTGTGGATCTCCTGTGGTTTTTCACGCCGGACGTTCTCTGGCAAGTGGTGAGTTCTAATTACCTTACCCTTGTTTGTCTATGCTGACACACCAACAGATGTATTCCATCTTATTCATCTTCTTCCAATACCTCCCCCCTACCGGACTTCGACTTCTTCTTCAATTCGTCAAAGAACGCGAGACAAGACCCCAGCCTACACATGTCGCTGTCCTCTACGTCGGGATGATGGTCGTTGGCCAGTGCACATCTGTCATCTTCCTCGGTCAAGCTCTTGCTCTGGGTCGTAGGATTGGCGTGCGTATTCGAGCCATCATCGTCTCTGAAGTGTTTGCCAAAGCGCTGAGACGAAGGGATCTCGCCGGGGATGTCAAGAAGACCGAAACGAAGGAGGGCGAAGAGAAAAAGTCGGACGTGGCGGGAGAAGGCAAAGTCGCGAATATGGTCTCTGTCGACGCGTTCACTACTGGTGAAGTCTGCGCGTACAGCTACTATATCTTCTCATGCCCCATCGGTATCACTGTCAACTGCGTCCTCCTCTACCAAACCCTCGGTGTCGCCTCTATCGCCGGTATCGCCCTCCTCGTCCTCCTCATGCCAGTGCAGTATTTGGTCAGCAAACTTTACATGTACTGCCAGCGCATGTTCATGTCGGCTACCGATGCCAGGCTGGAAGGTGTGACAGAGGTCATCTCGCATATCAAGCTTATCAAGTTCAATGCGTGGGAGGGCAAGTTTTATGAGAGGATGATGGATACGAGGGAGAATGAGCTCAAGATGCTCAGGAAGAGGTTTGGCGCTACGGTCCTTTTCCAAGTGCTCGTCTGGAGTACTCCAGTCATCGTCACTGGTGCTGCTTTTGCTGTCCACACGGCATGGCTCGGCAGGCCTCTTACCGCCGATACCGCCTTTGCCTCTCTTATACTCTTCAGCATGCTCAAAGATCCCCTCGCTCTCAGCCAAGACATCACCACGCGTCTTATCCAGGCTTACACGTCTTGTACGCGTATCCAGGCGTACCTCGACGAGCCTGATACGCTCAAGTACCGCCAGCTCTCTGCACCTGGACCTGGAGATCCACAGATTGGGTTCAAGAATGCTACGCTAGGCTACTTGACGGTGGAGGAGACGAGCAAGCTAGGTGACGACCAGGCGGATCCTTTCCAGCTTTCCAACCTCAACCTCTCTTTTCCCGTCGGCAAAGTCAGTCTTGTGTGCGGACCTGTCGGTTCGGGAAAGACTACTCTCATCCTCGGTCTTCTCGGTGAAAGTCTCCTTCTTGATGGGCAAGTATTTATGCCCGACGACCACGCCAACCGAGATATCTGCCTTGTCGATCCTACCACAGGCCTCGTCGACTCTATCGCCTACTGCGCCCAAACAGCCTGGCTCGTTGGTGCGAGTATCCGCGAGAATATCGTCTTTGGCTCCAAGTGGGACAAGACGAGGTATGACGCGGTCGTCAAAGCTTGTGCGTTGGAGAGGGACTTTGAGATCTTTGAGCTTGGAGACGAGACGGAGGTTGGGGAGAAGGGGACGACTTGTTCGGGTGGGCAGAAGGCTAGGATTGCGTTGGCGAGGGCGTTTTACTCTTCGGCAAAGACGATTGTCTTGGACGACGTCTTGTCGGCGGTGGATGCGCATACGGCTAGGCATCTTTACAACCATGTCCTACAGGGACCGCTTGTACAGGGAAGGACTGTCATTCTCGTCACGCATCAGGTCAGTTTGGTGGCGCCCGCTGCCGAGCTGGTGGTGTTGCTCGATAACGGCGGTGTGGCGGCTTCGGGTACGCCCTCTGAACTTCAGTCTTCTGGCCAGCTCGAGCTGTTCGAGGAGGAGGGGAGTGAGAAGGATGTTGGTACTAGCAATGCCGAGTCGTCGTCGTCCACCGCTATCGAAGATGAGGTTGTCATCGAAGAGCAGCTCGACTCGCCCGCCGAAGAAGAACGAGCAGAGCAAAAGAAGCTCGTCGATGCCCACGCTTCGTTCGATTCTCCTACACCCGCTCCTGTCGGCAAAGACGCGAAACAATCAAAGCAGCTCGTCGCTGCCGAGACGTCCTCGCAGGGTACTGTCGAAGGCAAGACGTATAGCCTGTACTTCAAGGCCATGGGCGGTCTGGCGCTATGGGCGGTGATGTTTGCGTTCTTCTTTGGAAGTCAGTTCATGCAGGTCGCGACGAATGCGTGGATCAAGGAATGGGCCAACGCAGACGATAGGGCGGTCTCGTCCACTACCACCGCCGTGTCTGCAGTTCATCATCTGGTCGACCAATCCACCTTTGCCCTATATCAATCATTCTTCAACGTCCGCGACACTGCCCAATCAGCGTATACCGAAGTCTTTGAGAGGCAACACGGTACCGCGTACTATTTGACGATCTACTGGTTGATCTCAATCTTCTACCTGGCTTCTATCGCGGGCAGAGTTGGAATCACGTTTGTCGGGGCGCTGAAGGCGAGTAGAGGGATGTATGGAAGGCTGCTTTCGAGGATATTGGGAGCCAAGATGAGATTCTTTGATTCAACGCCATCGCAAGTTCCCTCATTCACTTTCCAGAGTGATGCTAATGTCTCATAGGGGTCGAATCTTGAACCGCCTGAGTAAAGACATGTCATCCATCGACCAAGAGACAGCCGAAGTCTTGATGTACTTTGTCAACTCTTGTCTGTCCGCTGCTGCCATCTTGGTGGTCGTCACCCTCTCTACCCCTGGTACGTCCAGCTCGTCCCGAAAATGTACAGCGCTCATACCTAGCAGCATTCATCTTTGCCATCGTCCTCATTTGCTTCCTATACTGGGTCGTCGGCTCCCTCTACGTCACCACCAACCGCGAAATCAAGCGTATCGACTCTGTCACCCGCTCTCCCATCTTTATCAGCTTTTCCGAAGTCCTCGTCGGCATGTCTACCATTCGATCCTACGGCGACAGCGCTCGATTCATGCGTAAACTCTTCCACGAGCTCGACCAGAACACGAGATGTTTCTGGTATCTCTGGCAGTGCAACCGTGTTTTGAATAACTGGTCAAACTATGTGGGAGCGCTGGTGACGATTTTTGCGTCGCTGTTTGCGTTGAAGAATGAAAAGATGACGGCGGGCGCTGTGGGTTTGAGTGTTGGTTATGCTCGTGAGTAGTCGAAAAGATGCGTGGCTTGGGCCATGCTGATGTTGTTTAGTGTCGTTCACCGAATATGTGCTTTGGGTTGTGCGTATGTACGCGGCGGTGGAGATGTCTATGAATAGCGTCGAGCGTGTCGGAGAGTGTGAGTCTTGGAGACCTTTTTTGGAATACTCTGCTGACGTTTTTGATAGATCTTGACCTGGAGGTGGAAGAGGAACCTGATGCCAAGGGACGCGAGCCTCCTGCCTACTGGCCGGCCAGTGACGGATCTATCGTTGTTGAGAACCTCACCTGTCGATACGCCCCCCAAGTGAGTCATTCTAATTTTGATAACCCAGCGTCGACTGACATGGCCCCAGCTCGACCCTGTTCTCCGGGACGTTTCTTTCACAATAGGACCTAAGGAGAAGATTGGTGTCTGCGGCAGGACTGGTAGTGGAAAGAGTAGTACGTGTTGGCATTTGGTGTATTTGCTCAAAGCTGACCCGTTTGATAGCACTCGCATTGTCATTCTTCCGATTTCTCTTCCAAGAGTCGGGTCGAATCCTGATCGACGGCGAAGACATCTCCAAGCTCAGCCTCCACACTTTGCGATCCCGCCTCACTATCCTTCCCCAAGGTATGTCCGACGTGGGCCAATATCGTACGCCGCTGACCCCAGGACAGAGGCCCAGCTCTTCTCCGGCACCGTCCGCGACAATCTTGACCCCTTCGACCAACACTCTGATTCCGACATCTGGGAAGCTCTGGCGCAATGCGGACTTGTCGGCAAATCTCGGTACCCCAGTCGAGTCGTTAGTCGTATCGGCTCCCGCACCGATTTGAGGTCTGCCGCACAAGCCGCCGGGGGTGAGGCCGATTCACTCGTCAAGACTGTGCTGAAGAAGAAGTTGGAAGACGCCAGGGATGGGCAGGGTGATGGGGAAGGAGAGGAAGAGGAGAGGGTGGTCATCAAGTCGCTCGAGGAGAATGTTGCCGTCGGAGGCAAGAATTTCAGTACGTCCCTCCACCCCAGCCTCACACTCTAACTGACGTTGTGGTTAGGCCAAGGTCAACGACAGCTCCTCGCCCTCGCCCGTGGTCTTCTGAAACTCCGCAACTCGTCCTTCCTCATCATGGACGAGTCCACCGCCAACCTCGATCATGCTACGGACGCTACTATCCAGAATGTGCTGAGGACGGCGTTGGAGGATGTGCAGATGTTGGTGATTGCGCATAGGCTGATGACTGTCTGTGGGCTTGACAAGTGCGTCCCTTCTTCATCCTCATGATTCATAAGCTGACGATGAAGTAGGATCTTGGTTTTGGACCACGGTAAGGTCATGGAGTACGGTACGCCGTGGGAACTGTTGCAGAAAGAAGGCGGATTCTTCCGGGATCTGTGTAAACAGAGTGGAGAGGAGGCGCAGTTGTGGGAGATAGCAAAGAGCGTGCATGACAAGAAGACGGCGTAGATGGGATTGAGAGCAGATCCTTGGGATTCTATAGAGTTTTCCAGCCATATATATAACCTTGCACATTGCAGCCAGATCACGATAAAAAATCTATATACGTGTTCTGAAAGTTCTTTCCACGTCACATCTTCGTTACCGGCGGAGAAGGAGGAGAGAAGAGGTGAAATTGAATCCTTTTTCGATTCATCCGTGCCCACACCTCTCCCCCTCTCACTTCACTCAAGACTCTCCAAGAACAACTGTCATTGTCGACAGGTTTGGACATCGCTGGCGGGCTTGACAAACAGACAAACACGGTGTGTGTCGATTGTTGATTGAAACATGTGTTTTGCTTCCGTCGTCGACTCCTGGGCCTCGAGTTCTGTTTCCTCTATCACCACTCACTCATCCCCGCTCCGTCCCACTTCCTCCACCAGCGCCATTGCAGCGATGCCTCCCCGCCGAGCAAGACGCGGCCGTCCCCAAACAACGACAACTGCGGCTCCTGACGCCGGCCCTAGCGATGCCGGCCCTAGGGACGCACGGCCTATCGCCTCGTCTGCAGCCCCTCCCAACCCGCTGTTGAACCTTCAGCAGTCATTGGTCCCCTCTCCCGACACGCATTCTGGTCCCATTGATCCTTCTGGTGCTAGCTTGGCCGCCGACCCGGCCGACATTGTCAGCATCGCCGACAGTGGCACCGCCACCGAGCTTGGTCACCCTGCCAATCGCGACCAGCCATACCCTCTCAATCTTGTCCCGTTCGATATCGCAAACCCTCTCCAGCACGAAGAATCTCTGGTCATCAGACCCTACGACGACATCGTCTGTTGTTACAAGCTGAGGGAGTACTGGGTCAAACAGTACGAGGCTGGGCGAATCGAAGAGGGAGTAGAGTACGAGGACCAATTCGTTTTTCCGTATCTGCGTAGCTTTTACCATGAGCTCGAAGCTATTCAAGGTCTGAAAGCTTGCCGAGGCGAATGTCTAGAGATCTTTCCGACGGTTTTCACGACTTCGGTTCGGCTGGACCTGGACATTTGGTTTCGACCGGGAGATACGGTCAGAAATACGCTGGATGGTAATGGTGTGGAAGTGAAAGAAGCAAGGAAGAGAAAAGGAGAAGAGGAGGTGAGTTGGTGTGTACTTGCCTCGCAACACAGCTGATAGACATCAGCAGTCTGCCTCTATAGTAACCTCTACCATCTTCGAGACCCATTCGCCAGACGTTGGTTTGGTCGGCTATCACCTCGAGCATATCGCAGAGAAAACGTCTCGAGCGCCACCAGGAGAAGAGCTGTCTACGAAACGATCATCAGGAGCACAGATTTCGACAGGGCGTAGTGAACGAGTATTCACCATCTACTCAATCAACCACATCAAATGGTCGCCCATGGTCGAGAATGTGCGCGACGAGGCAGAGAAACGGCATTTGGACGACATCAACCTTCGCTATGCCCGCCTAGATGCGCTTTTCCAGACTCTATATTACCTCCACAAAGCCTACCGGGTAGCTGGATGTCGCTTGGCGATTGCTTGGGCAAACGAATTCTTCACTCGCATGGTCAATGTGACAGGCAAGTGTGGTCCGCAGAGAATCCTGGTGGAAGCTTCGCCCAAGTCCATGTCGATGTCATCAACGAGGCTACCCAATTGCGCTGCAGAAGGCCTGAGCCTTGATGATCTGATCACCTTGGTTCATGATGACGATTGGGAGTCGCCCAACGCTCTCATTCGAGACCACGACAACTGGCACTACAACGAAGAAGCCAAATATCGTCTGGACGCGACCATCCTGATGACTCTGGCTATCGCTACTCGTGCTACGACGTTCGGTGACGTCGTTGCTTCAGGTGGATCGAAGAGAGGAAGAGAGGTCAACCACGACAAGTACCACGAGTCATGCCTGCCCTCCAAACGGTCGAGATATGCTACGCAGGGTGTGGAGGATGGCAGCTTCGTTGGTGAGTACTTCGATCGATTCTCTTCGTGTACATTTTTGACTTTTACTTAGGGCCCGTCAATGACTCTGAGAACATTCTGCGAACCCCCTCACGTCCTGCTTCATTACCTTCCGTTGCCTCCTCTGCGATGTCACCCAACAAAACGGACGCCACGGACAGCGTGATCGATGAAGCCTTGCTCGAACTCGAATTTCCCTCTGAAGATTGGTCGCATGGTGACTATGCCGGTGCTCTGGAAAAGACAGGGACGAAGGTGGTGCTAGTGGGCCCGCAAGAGATGGATGTGCTGCTGGCGCGGGCCGCCGGACAGGGATGGGCCGAGGCGCTCAAGACGCAATAGCCTGCGCGCTCTGAAGCGTCATTGCGAATCTCTCTGCTGTACCCTAAAACCCCTTCATTCAACCCTTTGCCGTATCCACCTTTTCCCGTTCCTTCTCCCTGCCTCCTAGCTCTAGAAAACATCAGTACGTCGTCTCCCCCGTCGTACACTTGAACTGACACTGCTTCAGGCCAGGGTCAACGACAACTACCTCGCCGGGTCCTCGCCTCCGCAACTCATGACAAAGACAATTCACCGCCAACCTCGACCACGATACCGACGTGACTATCTAAAAGGTACTGGGAACGGCGATGGCGGATGTGCAGATGGGAACGCCTGGGGGATCGTTGCAAAAAGAAGGCTGATTCTTCTGGGGACTGTGTGAATAGAGTGGAGAAGAGGCGCAGTTATGTGAGATGGCAAAGAGCGTGCATGATAAGAAGACGGCTCCCCTCTCACTCCACTGGAGACTCTCCAAGAAAACTGTCAATGTCGGCAGGTTTGGACGTCACATATCACGGGCGGGCTTCAAAAACACACACGGCGTGTTGATTGTTGATTGAAACATGCGTTTTGCTTCCGTCGTCGACTCCTGGGCCTCGTATCACTGTCGCATACGAATTCCGTTTCCTCTATCGCCACTCTCTCATCCTCTCTCTGTCCCACGTCCTTCACCAGCACCATTGCAACGATGCCCCCCCGCAGATCAAGACGCAGCCATCCCCGAACAACGCCAGCTGGGGCGCCTGACGCCGGCCCTAGTGACGCCGCGCCTATCGCCTCGCCTGCAGCCCCTCCCAACCCGCTTCTGAACCTTCTGCAGTCATTGGCCCCCTCTCCCGACACGCATCCTGGTTCCATTGATCCTTCTGATGCCAGCTTGGCCGCCGATGCCGACATTGTCAACATCGCCGACAGTGGCACCACCACCGAGGCTTGGAATATGCTTCCCACCTCCGAGCTTGGTCACGCTGCCAATTGCGACAAGCCATACCCTCTCACTCTTGTACCGTTCGACATCGCTCATCCTCCTCAGAATGAGACATCCCTGGTGATATTACCCTACGACGAGATTGTCGCTGAGGATAAGCTGGGGCTGTTCTGGGTCGAAGAGTACAAAGCGGGCAATATTCAAAACGAACGTAGATACGAAGGGTCATTCGTTATCATCTATCTAAGGAGCTTCTGCCTTGACGTCGACGGTCTTCGCGCTCGCAGATATCGCCAAGGCAACCGACCTTATGTGCTATATCCAACGGTCTTCGTAACCTCGGTGCGGCTGGACGAGGGATACTATATCGAGACAGGTGAATACAAGGCTCTGCCGGCGGTGAGGAGTGTGATTCAGAATGCCTTGAGGAAGAAAAAGGCGAAAGCAGCGAAAAACGCAAAAAAAGACAACAAAGCGGTAAGCTCATTTCTTCCTCAACTTCAAGCTTGACTAACAGCCGTTAGCTGCCTGCCACCTCCCAACTCACGTCGAATACGATTGGCGGGCTCATGCCAGACGTTGGACTGGAGGGACTCTACTTCGAACAGTCTCCAGAAGGAGGGTCTTTGGGGAGCTCTGCTCACCAACTTGTCAAGAAGAAGATCCTCTATTTTGTCGCCGAAATCAAGTGGGGGAAATTGGCTAGGCGCGACCTCGAAAATTGGCGAGAACTGGACCAAGCCATCCTCCGATATGCTTGCCTAGAGGCCCTCTTCCAGGCGGTATACTACCTCCATATGGCGTTTACAGTGTCCAGGACGCGCATTGCTATCGCTTTGGCGAACGAGTTCTACACTCGCTTGGTGAACGTGACGGGAGAAGAAGGAGGTCCGCAGAGGATCCTAGTCGAAGCTCCGCCAGACGTTGTATCGGCATCGAGAGAGCTGGAATCCTACGCAGACGGCATGAGCCCCGACGATATTCTCAAGTTGGCCGAGGATGACCATTGGGCAGCGCCCAACTCTCTGATCAAAGATCACGACAATTGGCGCTACGATGAAGCGGCTAAATATCGCTTAGACGCAACCATCCTCATGACACTCGCCATCGCCACCAGGGATCCCAAGACTCTGGAAGACCCACTTCCACTCAGCCGCTCGACCGAGGCTTTTAGGTCTAATGCCATGGACGCCAACGTGGTGGAAAGCAGAGCCTATGATTGGTTGGAAAAGAGAAACCTCATGAAAAGTCGGCGCTATGCGAAACAGGCAGCTGGGCAGAAGGAGAAGCCGGAGGTGGGCAACGAGGACCAGGGCGGCCCCAGTGATGAAGGCGGCGACGATGATGAGGCAAGAGGGGGGGAGGATGGTGATGATCAGGATAAGGGTGATGATCGTGGTGGCGGTGGCGGTGGCCTTGGTGGCGACGGAAGCTCGAGGAATAACCAAGGGCGCGACAACTCCCGTCGCCGTGACAAGGACCCCGACCCAGAAGGCGGCCTCAGGAGGTCCAAGCGTCACAAACAGTCGCATGAGGGTGGCAAAGACAACAATTCGTTGGGTAAGCCCTTGAATGGAGTATGCGGGTGCTATCCTCTGACCTACATTGAGCACCTACCGAGAAGAGTCACCTCCCAACCCCGGTACCATCAAATACGACAAATTCCCCCGCTCCCAACTCCGCCGCATCTACTTCCGGCAGTGACAAGAGAGGGACGATAGACTTGTCCGACCTTGGTGTTTCCTCCAAAGAGGACGACGAACTCGAGATGGACAAGATGATTGTTCGAGTAGTGCTGGTCACTCCTGAAGAGATGGACGGCATTGTTGCACAGGCGGCAAAGCAGGGATGGGCCGCGGTCCTGAGGATTGGAGATAGGCGGTGTCAAGCAGATTGAGGAGAGGGAATGTAGCGTGCTAGGCGCCTGCATGCCCCATGGACTCTTTTAGCTGAGCTCGCCTTCGTCTTCGATACTGTTACTCGTTCCCGTTCTCTTCCTCTCTTCTAGTGAGGCTGTCCGACGTACATCGACAGGTCCATATTTGCTACCCTTACCTTCTTCCACCCGTCTCCTCTTCCTTATTGTCTTCAGCCTTTTTGTACGCTTCGTTGGCCATTTTGTACCCTGATTCGCTTTGTACCGTAGTTGTATCACATAGTCGCTCTGTCAATCGTCTTGTCACTCATTCATGTATATAAGAAAGGCTAGGTGTTGGGACAGAGTCTTCAACAAAGAACTCTTTTACTCTCTTCTCTCCCCTCCTCTTCTTCTTCAGCCTCTACTGCTCCCTTCAAAGACCTCATCCAAGCACAACTGTGTACTTCTCTTCGCATACTTTGACTCAACCCTCAATTACACGTGGTATATAACTTCAGCTGTCCCGCCAGAGTGAAGAAACGATGACGCCATCAATTTACTGCAGAGCTCAAGCCACATCGATTCCAACTAGATCATTCTCACTGCCTTTTGACTGCCTTTTGACTGTCCTCCCCCGAAAGAATTCGTCCCACAAGCGTCAGCCTCTCCTCAGCATCTTCTCGCACCAATGGCCGCGCCAAATTACGCCTCTCGCGCTGGGCCACCTGCGCCTGTCGCCTATCCTATCGCCTCCCCTATCGCCGCTCTCAACCCGCTATTGGACTTTCCACAGTCACTACGTCCCCGTTCCAACCCCCATACTGCTGCCTCTGATCCTCTCGATACCAGCTTGGCCGCCGACTCCGCCGACAGTGGCATCGCCACCGGGGCTTGGAACGTGCTTCCCACCTCCGAGCTTGGCCACCCTGCCAATCGCGACAAGCCCTACCCTCTCACTCTTGTCCCGTTCGATATCGCAAACCCTCCCCAGCACGAACAAACTCTGATCATCAGACCCTACGACGACATCGTCTCTCGGTACAAGCTGAGGGACTACTGGGTCGAAGAGTACGAGGCGGGGGGAATCGGAGAGGGAGTACAGTACGAGGACAGATTCGTTCTTCCGTATCTGCATAGCTTTTACCAAGATCTCCAAGCTCTCAAAGGTCTGAAGGCTCGCCGAGGCGAACGTCTACAGATCTTCCCGACGACTTTCACGACCTCGGTTCGGCTGGACCTGGACATTTGCATGCGACCGCAAGATACGGTCAAAGATACGTTGGATGGTAATGATGTGGAAGCGAAGGGAGCAAGGAAGAGAATATGGAAAGAGGAGGTGAGTTGTCATGTACTTGTCTCGCAACACAGCTGATAGACATTAGCAGTCTGCCTCTATAGTAACCTCTACCACCGCCGAATCCCGTATGCCAGACGTTGGTTTGGTCGGCTATCACCTCGAGCAGATCGCAGACCAAACATCTCAAAAGACACCAGGAGAAGAGCCGTCTACGAAACGATCATCAATGGCACAGATTTCGACAGGGCGCAGTGAGCGAAAATTCATCCTCTACTCAATCAACCAAATCAAATGGTCGCCCATGGTCGAGAATGTGCGCGACGAGGCAGAGAGACGCCATTTGGATGACATCAACCTCCGCTATGCCCGCCTAGATGCTCTTTTCCAGACTCTCTATCACCTCCACAACGCCTACCGAGTAGCCGGATGTCGCTTGGCGATCGCTTGGGCAAACGAGTTCTTCACTCGCATGGTCAATGTGACAGGCAAGTGCGGTCCGCAGAGAATCCTCGTTGAAGCTTCGCCCAAGTCCATCTCAATGGCATCAAAGAGGCTACCCAACTGCGCTGCAGAAGGCCTGAGCCTTGATGATCTCGCCACCTTGGTTCATGATGACGATTGGGAGGCACCCAACGCTCTCATTCGAGACCACGACAACTGGCACTACAACGAAGAAGCCAAATACCGCCTGGACGCGACCGTCCTGATGACTCTGGCTATCGCTACTCGTGCGACGCTTGGTGACGTCGTTGCTTCAGGTGGATGGAAAAGAGGAAGAGAGGTTGATCACGACGAGTACCAAGAGTCGCCTTTGCCCTCCAAACGGCCGAGATATGCTAAGCAGGGTGTGGACGATGACGGCTTTGTTGGTGAGTATTTTGATCGATCCTCTTCGTGTACATTTTTGACTTTTACTTAGGGTCCGTCAATGATGTTGCCTACCTACCTACTCAACCTGAATCTGGGAACATTCTGCGACCCCCCTCACGTCCTGCTTCATCACCTTCTGTCGCCTCCTCTGCGTTGTCACCCAACAAAACGGACGGCACGGCCAGCGTGATCGATGAGGCTTTACTCGAACTCGAATTTCCCTCTGAAGATTGGTCGCATGGTGACTATGCCGATGCTCTGGGAAAGACAGGGACAAAGGTGGTGCTCGTCGACCCGCAACAGATGGATGTGCTGCTGGCGCGGGCCGCCGGACAGGGATGGGCCGAGGCGCTCAAGACGCAATAGCCTGCGCACTCTGTTGCGAATCTCTCACGGGAAGGTCATGGAGTACTCGCGGTACGCCGTGGGAATTGTTGTAAAAAGAAGGCGGATTCTTCCAGAATTGTGTAAACAGAGTGGAGAAGAGGTGCAGTTGTAGGGAGTTAGCAAAGATTGTGCATGATAAGACGGCGTAGATGGGGTCATTCTCTGTTGAGGGGTTTTCCTTGTCTATTCTCAGCCCTGTATATTTGTAACATGCAGCCAGATCACAATTGAACGCCGTTGAGGCGAAACCCGTTACATTCTTCAAAACCCTCTATATGATGTGTATGGAAGGCAATATGCTCAAGAACTCTATGTTACATTTTTTTAACCGGAAAGAAGAAGACAAAAGCACCGATGTTGAGATCTCGATCCCTTTTTGACACCCTTCCACCCCCCTACGCCCTCTCTCACTCGCCTAGAACAAACCCTCGATATCGCCAGTCTCGGGGTTCAAGTCGATATCATAGAACCCCGGCCTAGTCGTCAAACCAGGCATGGTCGACATATCCCCCACCAACGGATAAACAAAGCTCGCTCCCGCGCTCAGCCTCACATTCCTGATCGGCAGCGTGAACCCCGTCGGCACCCCCTTCTTACTCGGGTCGTCCGAGAGCGACAGCGCAGTCTTGGCCATACAAATCGGCAGCCCGCCATATCCCTGCGCTTCATACCTCTCCACCTCCTTCTCCGCCTCCTCGCTGAGCTTGATGCCGTCCGCGCCGTACATCTCTTTCGCGATGATCTCCATCTTTTTGACGAGCGGTTGGTTGAGGTCGTAGAGGAAATCGAAAGTGGAGGGGGAGGCGCAGGCGTCGATGACGGCGTTGGCGAGGTCGATGGCGCCGAGACCGCCGCGGGCCCAGTGGTCCGCGGGCACGGCGTAGTCGGCGCCGACGTTGAGGGCGTACTTTTGGACGAGAGCCATTTCGGCGTCGGTATCGTTCCTACCCACCAAGTCAGCTCTTTGTTTTTGAGGAGGGGGAGGAGGGGACGTACGAGAACTTGTTGATAGCCACGACGACCTTCAGCCCAAACTTCTTGGCATTCTCGATATGCTTGCCCAGATTCGCACACCCCTTCTCCAACAGCTCCAAGTTCTCCTCGACGTAGACGGCATCGAGGGGCTTACCGGGCGTGACGGCGGGACCTCCACCGTGCATCTTGAGCGCCCTGATAGTCGCCACGAGCACCACCGCATTCGGCTTCAACCCCGACACCCGCGTCTTGATATTACAAAACTTCTCCATCCCTATATCCGCGCCAAACCCGGCCTCGGTGATGACGTACCCGCTCCTGCTCTCCTCGTCGCCCTTCTCCACACCAGCGAGCTTCAAGGCGATACGGTCGGCGATGATGGACGAGTTGCCGTGCGCAATGTTGGCGAATGGCCCGGCGTGGACAAAGACGGGGGTGCCTTCGAGGGTCTGCATGATGGTGGGCTTGATGGCGTCCTTCATCAGGACGGCCATGGCGCCGGCACAGCCAATGTCTTCGGCCGTAACAGGGTCGCCAGCCTTGGACGACGCCACGACCATCCTCCCGAGCCTCTGGCGCATGTCCGCGAGGTCCTTGGACAAGGCGAGCACCGCCATGCACTCGGACGCGACGGCAATGTCAAACGCCGTCTCGCGCGTGAAACCCTTCTCCGTCGGCGCCTGCCCGACGGTGATTTTGCGGAGGTAGCGGTCGTTCGTGTCGAGCACGCGGTTCCAGGTGAGCGTGGAGGGGTCGATATCGAGCCGGGCGAATTTGGCGGCTTCAGCCTCGGTGAGGTCGTTCGGGTTGGTCTTGTCGATGCCCAGCTTGCGCAGACGCGCCAACATGGGCTTGCTGAACGTCCTCACCCCCTTCTTCGCGGGGCAAAGACGCGTAAAGAGGCCCTTGTCGGTCTGGGTAGCCTCGTGGAACATGCGCGCGTCGATAGCCGCCGCAAGCAGGTTGTTGGCCGCCGTGATGGCGTGGATATCGCCCGTGAGGTGGAGGTTGAACTCGGTCATGGGGATGACCTGCGAGTACCCGCCGCCGGCGGCGCCGCCCTTGATGCCGAACGTGGGGCCCTGGGAGGGCTGGCGGACACAGGCGATGGCGTTCTTCTGCAAGTGCGCGCCGAGGGCCTGGGCGAGCCCGATGGTGGTTGTGGACTTGCCCTCGCCGAGCGGGGTGGGCGTGATGCCCGCGACGACAATGTACTTGCCGTCCAGCCTGTCCTTGAGACGGTCGAGGACGGAGAGCTCGATCTTGGCCTTGTAGCGGCCGTACGACTCGACCTCGTCGGGGTGGACGCCGATTTCGTCGGCAATGCCGGCGACGGGCTTGGGGGTCTGCGCGACGGCGATCTCAATGTCGGAGGGGACGTTCTCCTTGAGCTCGAGAGGGAGGGGGGTGAGCTGCTTGGCGCGGCGGGCGGTGTAGGCGCGTTTGGCAGCTTGGAAGGTGTTGTTCATGAGCTCGGCGACCGTCATGGGGCCGACACCCCCAGGGACGGGGGTGATGAACGAGGCGACCTTGGAGGCGGACTCGAAATGGACGTCGCCGACGAGACGCTGGCCAGACTTTTTGGACGCGTCGGGGATATAGTTTGTGCCGACGTCGATGACGATGGCGCCTTCCTTGAGCCACTCGCCCTTGACAAACTCGGCCTGGCCGATGGCGGCGACGACGACGTCGGCGCGCTTGACGATGGACTCGATGTCTTTCGTCCTGGAGTGGCACTGGGTGACGGTCGCGTCCTTCTTGCGGAGGAGGGCGCAGACGGGGGTACCGACAATGTCGGATCGGCCGAGGACGACGACGTTGGAGCCCGCGAGCTTGAAGCCGGTGGACTCGATGAGCTTGATGGCGCCCGCAGGGGTGCAGGGCGTAAAGTAGGGCTCCGAGATCCGGCTGGAGAGGAGACCGATGTTTTCGGGGTGGAAGCCGTCGACGTCCTTGGACACGTCGACCGCATCGACGACGCTCTTTTCTTCTTGCTTGCCCGCACCTTCGAGGGGCAGCTGGACGAGGATACCAGACACCTTTTCGTCCTGGTTGGCCTTCTTGACGGCTTCAAGCACGGCCCTGACACCGGACCCCTTGGGCGCGCCAGACTCGGCGTCGGAGGGGACCTTGATGTGCTCGACGGTCATGCCGGACTCTTCGGCGGCCTTGAGCTTCATGCGGATGTAGGTCGCGGACGCGGGGTTGGACCCGAGCTGGAAGATGACGAGGTGGGGCTGGTGGAAGGTGGGGTTGGTCGCCTGGAGCTCGGCGATGGATTGGGAGATGGAGGTGCGGATGTTCCTGCGGGGTGTTAGCTGGGTCGCGAGAGAAGAGGGAAGGGACGTACTTTGCGATGGCAGTGCCGTCGATGATCTTTGCAGTGGCCGAAGCCATCTCGACGTCGGACATCTTTTGGAGGCGGGCAGTAGTAGCGAGCAGGCGGGGGGCAGGGAGAGCAGTGGCAGTGCGCAGGAGGGGGTGGGGGAGGTGGGGGAGGCGGGCTTGGAGTGCTCGGGGCAGGGTCGGGATGCGCCGGGGGTGGATGCGGGCGCGGGCGAGCATGAGTGTGCGTGTCCAACTGAGTTCCCCTTTTATTTATCGTGGCAGCAGCGCAAAATTGGAAAAACATCTCGGACACCATCTTTTTCCATTTTTTCACCCCAGGCACAAGTAATTACGCCGTACTGCCCAGGCACATCCTTATCGTTTTCCAATACGCGCGAGCCATTCCAGCTTTGGACGGGATCGCGTCAATTCAAGCAGCAATCAAGTCGCTAAGGGGTTATTGGGGAGGAAGAGTCGTGGGGACAGGCAGGCGTCTTGAGACTTGAGCGTGGAGGACTGTAAGATCTCGAGGTATGGATGTATGCACACGAATACACGATCACATCACCCCCGGCGGTCTGCTTATCGTCGGATATCCCCGGGACAACATCTAGACAGCGGGTTCTCGGCCTCCCGATGAGAACGTCAGGTGATCACAAGTCCTCTTCCATACCAAGTTTATGGCGCCCTGCCACAGCTCGGGCGGGGTAGAGTGCCCACTCGCTTCATATGACAATGAGGCGGATTGGGAATCTGGGATGTGGGCTCGCGGGAAATGTTCAGGTCTCTTTTGCAGTTATCTGTGTATCTGCAAGGCGGCGCCTTCTCTCCGGCTCTCCGGTATACATGAGGCTGGAAAAGGATTGTCATGCACGATGCTCTCCGGCATCGTGCTGGCTAGAGCGACCATGAGTCATACATAATTCGTCGTCGATAAGCAAGGATGAAAGTGTTGGAAGAAACCAAAGTCGGTGATTGCTAGCCAGCGGCTCAACTTCCTTGTCCACAGCAAACCATGTATCCATGAAGTTTTGCCCCTTGATAGACAACAACAGGTGCGTACGTGCGTACGGGGGCAGGAAGGAAGGGCCGTGCCGATGCAGGTTGATGATAGACATGTGGGTCGCTAGTGGGTGTGCGTGGGATTTCTGTGCATTGGGTCATTTGGGTGGGTGCTTCCCATCGACTCTGCGCACGAGGCGCTTAGCCCGCAGGTTGAGAACCGCACTCGGCCCGTCGTTGTAGATACACGACAGGCGATAGACTTTGGAGTCGTACATTTCCTGGATCTGTAGATGGGTGGTGATTAGGCCTGCTCTGGGGTGAGGGGGTAAATCGAAGGTTGAGAACAAGTACGTGCAGAGGAGTATGTAGTTGTGCTCGGGTGCTTGGATGAGGTCTTGGAAAGGAGTCGTAGAGGCTAGAGAAGAAGAAGGGGGGAGAGAGGAGAGTCGAAGCGTTTTGTTGAAGTTTCTGTCCCAACACCCAGCCTTTCTTCTGTACATGACCGAGCGACGAGACTGTAGACGGCGCTACTATGAGACGTGACTACGGCACGAACGAGGCGAATGAGGGTACAAGTCGACCAGCGAAGCGTACGAAGAGGCTAAGGACAATAAGAAAGAGGACACGGGTGGAAGAAGGTAAGGGTGGTGAACACGGGCATGTCAATGTGCGTCGGACAGCCTTACTAGAAAAGAGGAAGAGAACTAGAACGAGTAACGGAAGCGAAACCGAAACCAAGGCGGAGGTGAGCAGAGATAAAAGAGTCCATGGGGCGTGCAGGCGCCTAGCACGCTACACTTGGCCAAATCAACTGAAGTTGAGGATACCACCTAGCAGATGGACGAGTACCCGCGAGGTTCCCGAGAACCAGCAAGGCGGGTGGCTAAGGATAATGTTTTTGGGCCTGGCATCGAGGAATATAGAAGAAGACTGCCAGCGATAGGCAAATTAGGTCCGCATGGGCAAAAGGCGGGTGTCTGGCCTCTTAGCACTGGGATCACCCCTCGGCAAAAGTCAAATGATCCTCCCACTCCTCCCCCGCCCCTCCCCAGGCCTCCCAACCTACACCACCCTCCCCAAGAACCCCGAACCCCTCTCGGTCCCCGAACGGATCAGCACTGCACATTCGAAACAGGTAGCTGTCCCCAGGCCGAGACGGGCGCAGAGGTGGTAAAAGTCAGAGAACGTTAACGTGCTGCTGAGAAGGGAGCTGGAGGCAGCTAGAGCGGCGATGGCGCTGGACCAGGTCACCAGGGGAGGTCGGTCGCAAGGCGGTTCAGAATACGGGTGGGGGGTCTATATGATCCCGAGTGTAGGGATGATGACCGTGAAGCGCTGGAGAAGAGGAAAGAAACAGAAGAGAAGAACAAGGGGGATCGGGAGAAAGCGAGCTCCTGAATGACGCGTCGGGGCGCAGTCAAACGAGCAGTGAGCATGCCTACAGAAGCCTAGCTAGGACTTTGTGAGATTTGTAGTGCATATGTATCATAGCTATGGAGTCAATGCATGATACGGGTTCATGGAGATTGCCGCGGATACAACACATGGCGGAGCAATTTGACGTCTCTCCGCTTTGGGGAGGAGAGTGCGATAGACCGTTGAAAACTTGTTTTTCTAGGCCGCCGAATTATCCTACCACCTCACTGCACATTATACACAATCAACCATCCTCAAACACAATGGCCGACACAGCGCTTCGCGCTAGGCTCTATTTATTTTCTAAAATATCACCTCATTCCAACCCAGTGTTGACGGTGCGGGCGGCGGCAAGGTGTGATTTCTTTCCGCTTCATCGTTCCGTTCATTCGTTTGTATCTCGAAACACTACCTTCCAACAGCATCATTCCCCTAACTTTACTACGACATACTTAGCAATGTCCACCACATCCAACGCTGATGCCGCCAACGCCAACGAGATGGTGGACACAAAGACGAAGAAGGAGTACAAGATCAACTCGATACACCGCTCCGGCAATGTCCACTTTATCACCACAGATAATGTGCTTTTCTCTTGCGACCTCGACCGCCTCGCAGAGGCGAGGTGAGTCCTCGAATCTTTCATGAAACAGCGAACGGACAGAGCTAAAAACAATTCATCCAGCTCCTTTTTCCGCAACCTCGGCGAGATCCCGCAGTCCCCTGAGGCTGGTAAGAAAGCAACGACAACCCACATATCCAGCCAAGAGCTCCGCGATCAGCTCGTACAGCTATCAACCGAAGAACAAGAAGACATCGCCAAACACATAGACGCTGCCATCACGTTTCCTGAGTGCGGCTCGCAAGTGCTCGATCCGTGGTTGGGCCTCCTTGTGTTTGGGGGAACGGACAAAGGCAACCTGTGCAAAATCAGCACCACTATCCCGCTGGAGGGGTGTAGGCAGATGTACGTGTTGGCGTACAAGTATGGTTGTGACGAGGTGGTGATGGAGAATATGCGCTGGCAGATCGTTGTAAGGGAATACAGGACCATGTAGAGATCAATTGACCGGGGGGGGAGCGAAAGCCGTTGTATCACAATTCCAACCCTGGAATTATAATGCATATGTTGGTTTGGACATGTGAACTCGCGCACCGGAACCGGACCACTGTATCCTTACTTTAGTATCCTTGTTCAAAAGATTTTCGGCAATGGAAGTATTCATCTTCGCATCGCATGTGGATGACATGATGCTGGGTACGAAGGTGCTCGACTTCATCACAGATGATAGTCTCTTTGAGAGAGAGGTTTCATGGGCGGATCAAGAGGCTTAGCGGTCCCTGGGGTTTGGCTGTATACCGGGCAGTCTTCGAGGCGGAGCCAGACATCAGTATTTGGGGTCGTACGGTACTTACATGAGAACCTTGTAGAGCTAGTCACGGGTGTGAAACCTCTGTGCTATATCGATTATTCTGAGTGGAAGGAGGCTCTTTCGGTATCTCTGTTTGGCGACGTGAAGCTGTAACGTAGATGATTCGTCTGCCATGCACCACTTACGAGGTGTTGCTGCCTGATACCATTACTGCATGATTAGTGCTACAAACTGGTAAGGGTCATTGTCCATCTTCTTCACCCGATGACAAACTTGAGGGATATATGGATGAACGAGGCAAAGAAACCTCATCACGCAGCAGTCGTAATTTAGCACTGATCATGTGAATGGGAGCGCGAAATGCGGGATGACGTTGAGAGCGGCGGCAAGGTGTGAATTTTCCTCCTCTTTCATTATTCAGCTCATTCGTTTGTATCTCGAATCACTACCTTTCAGCAGCACCAGTTCTTTAGATTTTACTACAAACTTCTCAGCAATGTCTACCACATCCAACGCTGATGGCGATGCCACCAACGAAACGGTGGATACGAAGACGAAGAAGGAGTACAAGATCCACTCGTTCTACCGCTCTGGCAATGTCCACTTTATCACCACAGATGATGTGCTTTTTTCTTGCGATATCGACCGCCTCGCAGAGATGAGGTGTGTCCTAATTTTCCTCCTGAAACAGCGAAACGACATAAGCTAAACGATTAATCCAGCTCCTTCTTCCGCGACCTCAGCGAGATCCCGCAGCCCCCTGGCAAGAAATACATGCGAACCCAAACGTCCAGCCAAGACCTCCACGATCAACCCGCGCAGCTGTCAATCGAACAACAGGGAGACGTCGCCAAACACACGGACGCCGCCGTCGTCTTTCCCGAATGCGGCTCGGACGTGCTCGAGTGCTGGTTGAACCTCATTCTGCTTGCGGGGATGAGCAGTGTTAACCTCAGTATCTCACTGGAAGGATGTGAGAAGCTGTACTCTTTCGCGACGTGAAGCTGTAACATAGATGATCCATCTGCCATGCACCACTTACGAGGTGTTGTTGCCCGATATCACAATTGGACATTGCAGCTGTCTATCCCGAGTGTAGCGCGAACTGACTTTTAGCATATTACAGCTGGCTATGAGAGTCTGAGAACACAGATGATGACGATGGAAAAGGAGAGACCTAGAGAGTTATTTGTCTTTGGATCACAAATGGACGACAAGGTTTTGGAGAAGTGGATTTTCAAAGATATTAGTGCAGGGCAATAGGGTGGCGGGCGTTGGGGTTGTCAGGGGTGTAGTAGCCACTGAGAGTCTTGGGATCTTTCGCCCACTTGCCTATAATGCATTGTCATACTGAGGCAGGTCACAAGGGCAACAGCTTGGCTCAGCTCCCCCTCAGAAGAGATAGCGACGCCAGGCCTGATTGGGTCTGCAGATTCCACATTCTGACGTATATGTCCGTAGTCGTCTTTGTATCAGGGAAGGTGCGGGCTGACAACCGGCGGCTAAGGATGACAGTCCTCGATCAGGGATGCGAGCGACAATGCAGCAATGCCACAGCCTAGACTCCAGGGGCAAATGGGTTCTCTCTCCAACGCCACCTCACAGCACCTCCATCTCCTGCTCCGCGCCGCACCCGAAACACCTCTGAACAACCTTTGTCGAGCCTTCTTCCTCGTCATAGACCTGTTCGACGTCTTCGTATTCGTGTACGTGCTGCGCGTCTTGTTTGCGTTGGTAGAGATTATTTCGTGTACGTTTCCGTAGACTACCTTGCCATCAGCAAAAACCGCCCAAACTCGAGCGATGTAAGATAACGCACTCTCTCAGACCAGCTTCAAACTTTTCCTCCCTCTTCCGCTTCTTAAACTCTTCCCTCCTCTCCCACTCTTCATCCAGCCCCTCATCCCCACCCCATTTTTCGTATGCGACCTTTTCGACTTGGGCGCGCATGAAGAGCATCATGTTGCTGTAATTTGAGGCGTAGGGATTGGGGCGGAGGAGGTGGGGGATGAGGTCTTCGTCTCGGAGCTCGGGGTCTGTTAGGAGGTAGTCCTTGTCGTTCTCGTCAGTCCGGACGAAGAAAAGGGGAGTGTGGGAAGGGAGGGGGACCTACCTCTTTACACTCTGTCTTTGTCAAAAGCGAATACTTTTCCGGCTTCTCCTTCTGACACTTCCGACACACCCTCACCCCAAACGTCTTTTCGAAAACATGATCAATCTCCAAAGACCCGCAATCCGCGCACGTTGGTGACCTCCCTGGTACAATAGCGGGCTCTTCGCCCTCGCGGATTTGGCGTAGTTCACGTTCTTTTTCGGCGGCGAGCTCTTTGAGGGATTTGATACGGTCGCCGGTGACGTCTTCTTCCGTCAAGAATCCGCCTCGGGAATTCTTCATCTTTGATAGATCGTATTCAAAGTATTTGCCCTGCCTTTTCGTCAGCTTGCTGCTTGGAAATCCATCTTGAGAGAAGGGGGGCTTTACCAATCCTGGATCCCTCCTCATCGGCATCTCTTCCCCCTTTCCATTCCCCTTCTCCCCATGGTTATCCCCAGCTTGGGCTTGATGCTCGACCATGTTTCTCGCCGATGTCGGTACATTGGCCGGTTGGCGCTTGTTGACATACTGCACCCCTTGCCCGGGGGCGGACGCGGGGGAGGGGGCAGAGGCGAGTTTTTGTTTGGCTTTGAGCCTGTTTAGGGCGGCGAGGCGGGATTGGGCGGGGGTGAGGTCGGACATGGTTGGGGTGGAGAGGGGAGGAGGTAGATGAGGGGAGATGTCGATTTGGGTGGCGATCAGAAGTCCGAATAGTGGAGGTCGTCACGTGACGTAATCCTATGTTTGGTTACCTTAAGATCGTGAACCTCCTCATGAAGCCAAATGGTTCAATGCCTTACACTCCATAGTCTTCATATTCAGAGCTTATGACCATATAGCTAGCCCACTTACGCGGGAGGAGGTTGGAGCTGATCAAAAAACCACCGCCCATCTAGCAAGCCTTGTCGTCTTTGTTGCAGGACAGTGGAGGAGTGATGAGTAGCATATATGTTACTCGGGTGCAGATAACGCTTAGGGATCTGGAAGTCCCAGAGAAGGCCCTTTTCCCTTTCGTATGCACAGTTCTTTTAACTGTACTCCGTCAAGTACTCAACTGTCGCTTATGTAATCACCCGATCGATGATGCAGGAAGCCAAAAGTCGTGAAATGTAACCTCTACTCCACATCCTACTGCACCCACAGCCCAAGTCTTACCTCCCCCTACCCCACCCCGACCATATATATGCAACCCCCGCCCACCGCCAACATCACACAACACACAACACCACCACAAGTCCTACACCCCTCCGAGCTCGACCACATCATCGACGATGACTTTGCACACCTCCGCCTCTCCTCCCCGCATAACAAGTCGACTGGGAGAAAGTCGCCGGGGGGGAAGAAAGATGATAAGGGGAAGGGTGTGATGCAGCAGGATAAGTGGAAGGGGAAGGGGAAGGGGAAGAAGAAGGTTGGGGAGGGTGGCGAGTGGTGAGTTCTGACGCGCTCACGAACGTGCCGATCTGACGAATCTGATAGCCATCTGTTGAACCTCCCCACCGATGTCCTGCACGTTCTCCTAACTCGGCTTCCTCCCAGATCGCTCTTGAGACTGTCAGCCACTTGCACAGCGCTGCATGCGCATTGCAATAACGACACCGTCTGGCGGCATTCGTATATCAACCAATACTTTGGTGTCGGTGTTTCGAGAGATGCGGGCAGGAGGAAGGAAGTGGAGATACTTGCGAGGGGGTGTACCGGTATTGGAGAGAGGGGTTGGAAACGAGAATCATTGGAGCGGCTAAGGATGCTTGAGTAAGTCTACCATCTCAGCCTGAATGACTGTAGCTGACTCGAATGAAGGCGATGGCAGATCTCCAAATCCAGTATCGTCGTCCACACCCCTCCCACCGGGTTGATCCACTCCATCTCCCTCTCTTACCCTCCCCACACGCCTGCACCTTCCAAAGGCCTCACCGTAGGCAAAACGCGGAACAAACTCTCTCCCAAGCTTCCCCCCGCCGACCAGCCTCACCACACCCGTCAACGGCACGACACTGTACCGCCGTCCGTCACCCGGTCCCCGCCTTATATGCTTTCTGCCTCTCTGTTTGCAGGGGGAGTGGTCCGGTCCGACCCCATAACGGGTAAAGTCTCGAAAGGCTTCTGGGGTCCCTCGCGCGATGCCAACTTTCACCTCCGGCCCACTATCGATCCCTCACACGAACCTTCTTCCGTATTCCTCCCAAAACGCTCGGGGGGTTTTATCATATGGGGCCTGAAGAATGGAGGCGTAGTGTGGACGAACGTGCAGACGCGACAGAGTGGGCAGGGGGGCAGGGGAGGGAGGGCGGTGAGTTTGAATGTGTACTCTGACCCTCGGGCTGGGCATGCGGGGGAAGTGAGGGATGTTTGGACGGGGACGGGAGGGCAGGATGAGGATGGTGCGAGGTTTGTATCAGCAGGCGAAGATGGGCTCGTCAAGCTTTGGTCACTTGTCGTGCCCCCGGGAACGGGCAAGGGCAAGAAGAATACATTAGTGGAAGGTTCTCTCGAATGCCTCTTCACCTCCTCCCCGGCACCTTCGCTTCTCCCCAATCGGTCGGAAGACGTCAAGCGCCGGCAGAATGGTAAGCCCGACGCAATCGTCTTTGCGAGGTATACGTCCCGGGGCGATATCGTAGCGGGCATCACAGCCGACGGAGATCTCCGCGTCTTTTTTGCCGCTTCTACGGCGCCAAAGGAAGTGAGGCTGGATTTGGGCTCGGCAGAGGCCGAAGGGGAAGTAAAGATGATGGAGATGGTTGCCCATATCTCCCATCATACCTCTGAGGGTGGGGAAAGTGTAGCGTCTGTTGTGGTTCATCGACATCGGTCGAGTGTTGTTACGCGATACGACATCTCTTTCTCTGGGACCGTCGCATCGACGACTTTTGTTTCGCCGAGCCAAGCGCCTATATCTTGTGTGTATACAGGGCTGCAAGCGGAGGGGGGGATATCGTTGCCGAAGAGTGGGAGTCTGACGCCCATGTTGGCAAGGATCGTCTCGCCCTCGCCCTCACCCGTGCCCACGCCCGGGGCTATGTCCGACCTCGACCTCTCTCTCGGCTCCGGCTCCGGCCCCAAGCCATCCGAAGCCGAAAAGGGTCAATTCATCCTAGCAGGCGACGAAAACGGTCTCCTCCATCTCTGGTCCTGGGACTCTGACGTCCATCCCGGGGAGAAGGAGAAGGAGAGGCAAGCATTGAAATCGTGGATGGTGCACGAAGCCAAGATCACTGCTTTGGACGTTTCGTGCTCCATCTTTGCGGTGGGTACGGCAGACGGGTATATAAAGATACTCGATCCCCTCCCTTCCTCCCCTCTCTCATCTCCATCTTTATTCAACGACGAGAGCGATACCCACATCCTCCGTGCCTTTCACGCCTCCCACCTGTCCCCCGCCGAAACGCTCATAGCAAGCACAGACGAGCCAGACGCCCGGTGGTATACAGTAAATAAAGTGGGGGTGGAAGATGATATGGTGGTGGCAGCTGTGGGGAGAAAGGTTTTTGGGTGGAGGGCTGGGGTTTTGAGGGGTAGGAAGGGGGAGGGGGAGGGGAGGAGGAGGGGGGAGGGGAAAGGTGGGGTTAGGGGAGGTGAGTTCTCTTTTTCTTTGTTCTCTTTTGTCTTCTCTCTTTGAGTGGAAGAGTATGGCGAATAGGGCTGATGGGATGAACAGGTGCCAAAGCGTTACATCAAGACTATGAAGATTACGACCAAGATCTCGATTCTCCCCATCCTCTTACCCACCATTCCCCCTTTTCACAAAATAGACCAGCCAAGCCGCACGAGCTGTTGGAGAGAGAAGCGATGGAAGATATAGGCCTGGACGATCCGGAGGATGCGTTGCAGTATGCTTTGATGTTGTCTATGGAGGGGCAGGGGCCGGGCGCTTCTGCTTTTGCTTCTCAAGGTTCTCGAGGTGGGGAAGAGCGCTTTGGCTCAGAGTATGAAGCAGGTGATTTTGGAGCGGAAGGGGCGTCCGGGTGGGATATGGAGGGGATGGATGAAGAGACGGCGGAAGCTATTAGACAGGTTGAGGCGTTTGAAAGAGCGGAAAGAGTAGAGGAGAAGCGGAGGAAGGAGAAGGAGGAGGAGGATGAGGAGATGGAGCGGATTTTGGAAGCTATTGAACGGTCAGAAAGGGGCGTATGATATAGATCGTAGACACATGAACAAGCATAGGCATCTTGTTATGTATGGCAAGATGAACGAGATGAAGGCTATACAGATGGTGACTGCATCATGCAGACAGGCGCTACTCGCCATCACTATCCCCTTCCACCAACCCCCTCCTCCTCCTCTCCTCCTCCTCCTCCTCCTTCCTCCTCTCCTCCTCCCTCTCCTCCCTCGTATACTTTCTCAAATCAATCTCTTCCACACCCTCTTCATACAGATTATCATCCTCCACCACCGCCGCCTTGTTCCCACTCTCAAACAGCTGTTTACCAGTTAAACGGGCCTGGCGTTTCTTGTAGTCTTCGCGCTCGCGGGGGGGTAGGGCGCGGATACGGGCTTCCTCGGCTTTTTGGCGTTTGTCTGCGAGTTCGCGGCAGAAGGCGAGACGCCAGGATTGGAAGGCTGAGGGTGTTAGGGGGGTACCGCGGGTTCGGGCTGCTTCAGCCTTTTTCCCCATCGTCAGCTTTATACGTTCAGGATTTATAGGTGAAAGAGGGCGGACCTCTTCGTATTCCCGGGTTTTACGGTCGTCTTCTTCTTTCTCCCATTTGATACGCTCGTCGATGACGACCACGAGGGCTTCGCGGGCGGCGGAGGCGAGGGTGAAGCTCATGGCCATGCCTATCGACTCTTCCGCCTTTGAATTAACCGTTAGCTTTTTGGAATAGATCCCCCTTGTGTAGAGACGGAGAAAGATACTTGCAATGGTGGTGAGCTCTGCGAGCACTTTGGCGCGTTCGGATTCTGTGAATTCGCCTTCTGCTTCAGAGATGGATTCGAGCGCGATTTCGGGGATGGCATCGGGGTATGTTGGGGGGTATGTCAAGACCAGATTGAGGGTTACTATGCTTAGGATCAATGATGATGTGCAAGTATAGTGGAGGGGAAGCTTACGGGGGTGGGCAGAGTTGGGTTCTTCGGGCTCGATACGGATTGAGAGGGAGGTATCGCTCGTCCCTTTACACAAATGTCAGTTTGTTGTCTAGTTAATCTTAATCGAAGGTGATTTCTATGGCTCGACGTACTCTCAGTCTCATCAGGAAAGATAGAGTCGAGGACCTATACACTTTGTGAGTCACAGTTTGAGGTCAGAAGGGAGTGATGGGTACCTCGAACTCTTCGTCTAGGATTGCTCTGTAGTCTGCTTTGGGTCAGCAAGGGTTCAGAGTGAGCTTGTGGACTTGCCAGCCATGTTGTATTATTTGTCTGGTACTCGAGAAATGAATGACTTCGTGCAGTGATTTGAGCAATTCACAGCGCGGACACAATATATGTCCGTGTCCCGTGTCCATGTCCGCTCTCGCTCTACACAGAACCAAACTCACCTTCTATCCTCTCATGTATCCCCACCACCATGTCCGACCCCGACCCCTCCAAGACACCCCCCGAAACATGCCCCCTCTGCCCCCCCTCCGGCCCTCCCCAGCCCCCGCCCCCAGCCGCCGACGACCTCTCCGCCTCCCCCTCGGCAGAAGTCGACCTCGTCTGGATCGCGTGCAACAAGTGTGACGCGTGGTATCATTCGGCGTGTTTGTTTTTGAGTGGGGGGCAGTGGATGGAGACTGTGCCAAGCCGGGTAAAAGAGGAGGTGGGGGTGTTTGGGGAGAGGGGGCCGTGGGCGAATTGGGTGGATTGGATTGGAAAGTGGTGAGTCGCCTCTTGTCCTTTGCTGGGGGGATGGGGGCAAGGCTGAGAGACTGTAGGTATTGTGCACCGTGTATATCAAAGTCTACCGACCCTTCCAACCCCCGCCCACCTCGGAACGCTCTACATGCCACGTTGAAACGGAGTGGTATCCAGCCAAAAGATGTCGAACTCGCGTCCCGGCCTCTCAAACGCGCCGCTTCTTTGCATGACATCAAACCGCTCACCAAGAAGGCCCGGACTAGCACGAGCACGAGCGTGGGTGGGAAGGCGGAATCGATCTCGACGAGGGCGACAAGGACGCCAGAGACTGTTATCAGCGGGGTACATGGAGGCAGCGAAGTAACCGGCGCGGGTGAGGCCGTCGGGCAAGGACGGCCAAAAAGAAAAGCAGCACAAGTGACGGATTACAACAACTTGCACAACTCTATCGCTACGCCCACAGCCAAGTGGTTGCAGATCATCGCCAACCCTGAAGAGTATGGCCGGACTATCCTGGATGGTAAGCTGCCTCTTCACTTCGATCAGAAAGAGAGAGGGCTGATGGGGGTGCTACGTAGCGGACTACCCAACACTGCCAGGCCATCTATTAACAAAAGAATGGCTCGAATCCCTCCCCCCTCCGACCCCTCAAAACCCAATCCCCCAAGCCCCACCCAACATCCCCTCCCCCAGTATATTCCACGGCCCCGACAGAACACCCCTCATCATCCGTCCCTCCGACGGCGGCTTCTCTTCCCTCGGCGGTCACTTGCCTTCCTCCATCACTGTCAGAGATATCGCCCGGCTCGTCGGGCCGGAAAAGCTGGTGGATGTGATTGATGTGGCGTCGCAGCAGTCGGCTTCTTGGCCGCTCGAAGCTTGGGCAGAGTACCTTGCGCCGCCAGAGACGGAGGAGGGGGTGAAAGAGAGGGAGAAGGAGAGGCGGAAAGTGTATAATATCATCTCGCTGGAGATTAGTGATACGGAGCTTGCAAAACTTGTGAAGCCGCCCAGGATTGTTAGGGAGATTGATTGGGTGGACAACTTTTGGGACTTTGGCCTGGGGAAGAAGGCGAAAGGGAAGGGGAAGGCAAAGGCGCAGGCGCAGGCGGTCAAGGTGGAGGATGGGGATGGGATGGGGAGGGAGGAGGAGGATGATATTGCTAATGCCAAACGAAACTCCACTGTGGACTATCCGAAAGTCCAGCTTTACTGCCTTGTACGTCCCCTTCTCCCTCCACTTCTCCATCTTCCCCTCCTCCCCTCTTCCCCTATTGGCCTCTTCCAGCTTCCCCGCTTCTCTCTCCCCTCTTTCCCTCTCCCCTCTTTCCCTCTCCCCTCTTTCCCTCTCCCCTCTTTCCCTCTCCCCTCTTTCCCTCTCCCCTCTTTCCCTCTCCCCTCTTTCCCTCTCCCCTCTTTCCCTCTCCCCTCTTTCCCTCTCCCCTCTTTCCCTCTCCCCTCTTTCCCTCTCCCCTCTTCCCCTCCTCATTGTATAGGTACTGATGAGTCGTGTAGATGGGCATGAAAGGCGCCTGGACAGATTGGCACGTCGACTTTGCTGCCTCCTCCGTCTATTATACGATCCATTCAGGAGCCAAAGTGTTCTTCTTTATCAAGCCGACTGAAGCCAACCTCAAGGCTTATGCTAAATGTACGTCCCCCCCCCCCTCTCTCGACATTTAGCCTTTGGAAAGGCTGACACTATGAACGCGCAGGGTCGGGAAGTTATGAAGAACAGTCGAATACCTGGTTGGGCGATTGGGTGGATCATGTTTATCGGGTAGAGTTGCGGGCTGGGGATACCATGTACGTCCTCCTTCTTCTTCTTCCTCTTCTCTTCTCTTCTTTTCCCTTTTTCTTCTCTTCTTCCCTCCTCGTCACATCTGCCTTTCCGTATTCCTTGATGTGTTTGTGACTGTGCAAGTGTACGGTGCTGACAAGGATGGGGTGTAGGATAATACCAACGGGGTATATACATGCGGTGTATACGCCAGTGGATACGATCGTGTTTGGAGGCAACTTTTTGCATTCTTATAATCTTGATACTCGTACGTCCTTCTCCCACTCTTTCACTCCCCCTCTACACATCTTTTACTTCACCTCTCCAACTCTCCCACTTCTCTCAATCTCGATTTGGGAAAACACGCACGCGAATAGGGAGAAAAGGGGAAGGGGGAAAAAGTGAAAGGTGAATGTTGGAGAAAGATGGCTGATGGTTTGGGGAATAGAATTGCAATTGAGACAGATTGAGATTGATACGAAAGTACCGCAGAGGTTTAGGTTTCCAAACTTTGATCGGTAAGTTCCTGCTCTCTTTCGCTCTTTGCTCTGGGGTGGGCGGGGAAAAAGACAAGGAAGGTGATAGAGAAAGGAACAGAGGCTGATCTGGGAAATAGGTTGTGTTGGTATGTCGCTATCAAACACCTGAACCTCTTCCGCTCCCTCCACCCCCTCCGCCCACCCACTTCTTCCTCCTCTTCCTCCCCCTCAACACCCCCGCCAAAAGTCCCCCATCACACCATCCTCCAAAACCTCCTCCACCTCACTTCCTTTCTCAACCTGCAGATCAAGAAACTTAGAGATGATGGACCAGGGGGGGTTACGGAGAAGACGAGGAAGGCTATTTGGGATAGAATACCGCCCGAGTTCAGGATGGGTGGGGAGGCGGGGATGGCGGAGGGGTTGGTGAGGGAGTTGGGGTGGAGAGTGGCTGATGAGCTAGACGCTCTTGGACTTGGGTCTGGGGGGTTTGCGCCGCGGATTACTGGGAGTGTGACGCCTCGAGTTGAAATCAGAGACGATAAGAGCAAAAAGAAGGAGAAGGAGAAGAAGTCGAACAGGGTAGCCAAGGTGTTTGATCATGAGCCCGCTTCGCGAACATGGCATTTCGACCCACCGTACGTCCCCCCTCTCACCGTCTACCCAAGCATTTGCACGAGCTTTGGCAGCAGAGCAGGACTGGTGGGATGTCGAGCGCAGGATATTCGGCCCGGCCCGCCCCGCCCCTGAATAGCCAACTCGACCGTTCTACCCCAACCCTGCTGCCAGAGCTCGTGTGAACGCTCCCCAACGACGAGTTCAATACTGACCGTAGATCTTCATAGGCCATGGCAAGAATCGACTTCTATCCCACATACCGAAACCCGCCTCGTCCCCCTTCCCCTCCCCACTCCCCTTCCCCTGCCCAGCTCCGCCAACGGCAACGCAGCAAAAACATACTACGACCCAACGCCGTACCTGGCCGAACAAACGTCCTCGGTAGTAGCGCAGAGCCGGGTGAGGGTGAGGCAGATGGAAGGAGGGGTTGTGGTGGAGGAGAAGCAGGCGACGGAGTTTAGGGAGTGGAAGACTGTTTGGGGGCGGGGTGGGGCTGGTGGGATGGGAAATGGGGGAGGGATGGGGGGTGGGGCTGGGAGTGGGAGTGGGATCACAGGTCCACAGGGAGTATGGGGGTGGGGCGGTCATGGGGCTGGTGGACATGCTGGACATGCTGGGCATCCGGGGCATCCGGGGCATCTTGGGAGATAGTGAACTGTACTTGACCGGTGCTTGTACTGTAGTTCCTGAGACAATGTTGCTATGAACACGAGGGGTTGAATCGTCTGTGGACTTCTGTAGGGATGCACTATATGATTCATGACACACTAGTACGAGTACATGTAAAGTCCGTGGATTTTTCATATACGCTCCTCGTATTCTTGAGCGTTTTGGCGTAGTCGTAAATGCAGAGAACAAATGTGGGCTACAACTTGGCTTTGGAAGCGGGTACCGGCTTCCACATCTTTGTATGCGTCGCAATAGCAACCACCCTCCCAGTCTTCATATCTCGGATCTACACCCATCTATCAACCTCCTTTCCATATTCGCATCAAGCGTGAAAGAAACTCACCTCACACCGCAAACTCGCCACGCTTTTAGAACACTTGACGATATCAACAGTGACCACGAATTTGCTGCCAAGCTTGGCTGGGGAGAGGTATTCGGTGTGGATGGAGAGGGAGACGCCGCCGATCATGGGGGGACCCCAGAAGGTTGGGGTGTGCAGGTATATCATCGCTGCTGAGGAAAGGCTTGAAGAGGTTATCAGAGGGGTTTTTGGGGGAAGATGAGGGGGGCATACGTGTCGACTAGCCATACAACTGCTGCGCCATGTATGCTTCCAATCAGATTTGTCATCTCTGACCCCAGCATCAGCCCTTATCCTCATCTCGTTCCAAGAGTGCCAAGAACTCACCATCAGTCACCACCCCCTCATAGCTCATACGCCATCCATCGACCTTCCTGATACCCTTCTCATCTTGCTCTGGGATGTCGTCCATCTCGAGGATACGGATGGCAGGGGCAAGGGAGGGGGCAAAGCCGCAGTGGGTGGATATGCGTTGGAAGGTTTGTTGTTGTTCTTCCGTGGGGGCTGGCATCTTGAGAGGTGGCTGACAAAAGTGATCTGGGGCAGTTGGTGGAGATGCTTGCAGAGAAGAGTGGTGGAGAGATGTGAAGAAGAAAGACAAGGATGAGATGCAAGTGGACGAAATAGTTAAGGGTGGACACTCCCCGCGGCCCATAGCCGAGAACCGGCGGGGCCCTCTTCTCCGAGCTGTCTCTAGTTGAGCGAGCCTACAGACCAATATGTGTCGTGCAGAGACAGCGAGGATCCTTCTTGAAAAAGCGATAGCTGAACAGTCTGTAAGGAGCCCGGTAGGGTGTAGACTATTTTGCAGCCGAAATGTCAAAAAGTATCCCGCGTGGTTGTTGTAATACAAAGGCTGTCGTCATCAAGCAGGAAGACATTTGCATCGTGATCCTCAAGATTCAAAGTTGGGTATGGGTACTGGCGGTATGTATAGCAAGTCTATGTATGCATACTTTCTGGGCGGAAATCATTGTTGGTTTCCCACCACTCATGTCATGTAATACGGTCTGTGATGATAAGAGGTCCTTCCTCGTTCTATTTGGGAAGAGGCGATCCTGTATACGATTCGCATCACAAGCCGACACCTTTCACAATCTGAATATCATAATTTGAGTACCACAATCAACCATACTCGATATTACAACAACCCCGTTGGGAATGACAACGATGGTCTCCTTTTAGAAATCTCTCCCGTTCGGGCCTACAATTATCGTTGCTTTCTTTCTGGGGTGACTATATAGGTACGTGGTTGTACTGATGCCTAGACCTTCTATCACCAACCAGTTGCTACGCGCACTTACCGCAACAGCTATCAACACCACCGAAGAAGCTGCCTACGACCACCATGTCACTCGACTTGTCCAGGTTTCCACCCAACAGTAGTGCGGTATTGCATCAGTCGGATTTGGTCTGCAAGTTGAACAGCTTGAGCCGGAGGACCGAGTCAGCAGGATTGTTACCCGCGAGAATATGGAGACGGCGGGTATCTATGAAGACTACAAGAAGACATTTGGGGAGACGGTTTCCGTGCAAATGGGTGCTATAACCCCCGAAGGAGATTTTTCGTCGTTTTTCCGTGGTAACCCCAAGTTTGTGGTTGACAAAAACACTATGACGGATTCGTTGATCGTGTTGAATGACTATGAAGAGTTCCTCAACAGTCAAGAATACGACATGTCCACTGTAGTGGATGCGAGAGAGTGGGCTGAAGCGTGGGATGATGACTCTTCTTCTGAAGAAGGATATGGAGACAAAACACCAACGAGTTGAGATTGCTAAGTGGTGCTGTCGTTCATAAGAGGAGGGTTTGGGATGAATAGGGGCGACATATCTTTCACATGGTCTCACCAAGCTATGCATGACCTGCGCCTAGAGACGAACAAGTAGATGTAGCTGATGTCTCTTTGAAAGGCGAGGGACAAGCACGCAGTGAGCTCTTACTTTCTTATATCCGAGTGGGCTCGATCATGAAGTGAACCAGATGCTGGGTCGCTAAATGTTGCATCACTTTGGTAAGAAATGCATCATGCATAGACAGTGTTGGGCTATGTGCGGACCGAAGCATAAGCATCGGGGCAGAGCATAGACTATTTTGCAACCAAAATATCAGAAAGGACGCAAACAACTGATACTCTTGTCGTTGTCATCACGGTAACTGTTCATGCATGGTCTGATAGAATCATCTACTTCCATTCCAATGCTCAGGCAAGCATACTCCATTTAACTCTTCATTCCTTTGAGTTGCTGATGCCTTCAGCCCCCATGGGATGAGTCGGAGAATTGATGACGATATGTTTCAGAGCGGCTAGTCTGGTCTCTACGTCAAACATAAAAGCGTCCGTCTGTCTCTCAGTCAAAAAAGGGAAGCGTATTTCTACCTCTTCCTTCAAGCTCCTTCCATTGGCCCAAGTCACTCGAGAGCGCCACTCCTCGTCGAGAAGGGTACTGTGAGCAGCCTTCGACTCGCCTTCGAGATAGTTGAATGTTCCTCGAGATCCCTCGGGCCCTATGAGAGCTGGAATTTTGATCGTGTAGCTTTCCGTTTGCGGGTTATAGCTCCAGTATAGTGATTTCTGTGTACCCCGGATGATGGATGAAAAGAAGGGGTTCGAGGGGTCCGGGGGGCCTTCGGTGAAGGGTGCACTAGGGTCGACGTAAGACCTGGCGAGGACAGTTTCTTCGTTGCGATCAGACATGTTTTGCAAATGTATTGGGACTGAAGATCAGTTTCGTGAGTGGGATAGTGAGATGATGAAGAGTCAAGTGAGGGGTGGATGATAGCCCAGAAGTGTTGGATTCTTGAGTTCAGTACGCTGGACGCTGTAGATAGTAGACGTATACGGTAGACAAGTAGTTACGTAACGTAGCGGGACCAGATGCCCAATGTGGCGGCACGAGGTTCAGGGACTGCAGCGTGGTGTATTGTGGAGCCTGTTGTGCTTTCTCATGCTCTTTCATCTTACCAGGTGATAGGTGCTGAAGACTGTACAACAGGTATGTAATGCATAGATCTTACCAGGTGATAGGTGCTGAAGACTGTACAACAGTATTCAATAAGAAGGAAGAGCTGTGTTGCCTTATATACGCGGGTGACCATTAGCCGTACTGTCCATCCTTTACTCTGCTGTCACCGCGTATCCTTTCAGCACGTACCCAGACCTGAAAAGAACAAGAAGTCTGCCAATGTATACCACCACATATGATTGATAGACCCAAGCATAGGTCCGTTGATTAATGGCTGTCGAGGCAGCATTAAAAAAGGAGCTCTCATATGGGACATAGGAGCGTTGAACGGTCGTCGTCGGACTCACGAAGTCATGAGTAGGAGGTAAGCACCAGTTGAAGGGAGAAACCATAGCATCCTTGCAAACGAATTTTAGGGGTCAGACTTCCGTAGGGATACAACTGCTTTGATTCTCAGTAGTGAATGAGCCATTGATGATCTTTTTGAAAGGAGAATCATGCCAATCTTTTCGAATCATGGCGGGGGAACGTATATTAGTATCAGACATGTGCGATCAACAGATCCCCCACCAAATAGACAACACCTATCAAACCTCACAATTCAGCAAAGTTGAAAGATAAAGACAGCAAAGGCGCTACTAGAGAAAGAAACCATGGATCAGTACCTTCAGAACCTTAGGCAACAGGCCAACTCCTACTCCGCTTCCTCCGCCGGAACAGCAAGTAGTAGGGCGCAGCGTGGTCCATCAACGCCTGCGGAGACGGCCACCGGAGAGTGTATCACAATCCGCTTCAACAGTCAGCAAACGGGCAGTACCACCACCGCTGGATTTCTCCCACTCTACCCTCCCCGCTCTCGACAGCAAGCCGGTGAATCTGAATACGTTTGGAGCGTTGGTATCACTCGTAAAGGAGGTAGATCTGTCGCGGATGATAAACAGAAGATTCCGTTGAGTTTCGCGATTGAAGAGTGGTTGGAGCCGGCCGATCAGGGAAGGCGAGATACGCTGAACTATTTGATTGAAATTGATTTGCAGAAATCTTTCGCTACTGGTCAGCGAGATTTTGACCATACCGCTCAGAATGAGAGGGGGCAATGAGATGTGGAGACCTCTTCTAGTCGACAGTAGATTTTGTAATGAGAATGAATTAGGGTATGAAGAGGAGCATCATTTTCAGATCTACAAACGCCGCTTTGATTTCTGTTCGCGGTCAAAGAAGCGCTGAGCGTCCTGATGCGAATCTGTTGCGGCAGGACGATTCAGTCAACAAAGTTGCTGCTTACCTACGCTCTCCTACAGCAGGAGTTAATCAGCGTCAATGTCGTGTCATCATCTACAGGAATCACAATCATGTCACTCGCAAAGCGATATACGACAGTCGTTTATTCGGCAACGTCAGGCATACAAGGAATCTCAGTCTCAACAATGACAAAGGTTTCGAACGAATGTTGAAAACGTTGGGCTTCGTTCGTTTTTCGGACTTTGGCAAGTAGCAAACAACCCTCTTAAATGAGTTGCACGACCGTTCTCGGCCATTTATTAAAGACAATCCTGGTTGGGTCGACGAATACAATCGACCGCACGACCGTGAATGCCCGGAACCATTGGACGACGACCACCTATTACCGACGACCATCATAACGTCGTCTCGGCTTTCTCAGACGGTTCGTCTGTCCAGAGTGATGCCTCTCACCACGACCGACCTACTCGAACGAGCAGTAGGCACAGTCTGAGGGTTGAAGCTGAGGACGAGTCCGAAGGTAGGGATACCCCATCGGTTACCGGCGAACGCACCCAACTGTTGGGAAGAGGTGGTGATGCAGCGCCAGAGGTACGATCGCCCCGTCTTGCAGCGGCAGCCAGTATGGACATGGATTGTCCTCTGATCTCGAATATATCCAATCCAGGGGTCACGGCGGGTCCTTTGAGTCTTGGCAATGCTCAATACCCTTTCGACCCTTCTTCTTATTACGATGGTGATGGTTGGTCAGAAGAAGAAGAGGCACCAGTGATTGCTTCTCGCAGCCCAAGCTCTTTTCAGCTGGACACGACCACCGGCAGATTGTATGAACCTTATACGTTCATGTTCTCATCAGAGCAGACTGGCAATGGACATTCAGATTTACATCTCAGAGCTCCCCCACAAAGATCATACCAGAGTCATCAGGATTGGATCGGGGAGATAGAGCGTTCCGGCGGAGTGTCCCGGGAACATCTAGGACCGAGAATGAGTTTGGATGATGCTATCACAACCTACATTACACCTGGTAATGATGATCGACAGGCAACTCTACGACAGATGATTATCAGCAGTCTGGAGCAGAGTTGGCAATCTGGTAGACGATCTTTCAACTTTGCACGAGATGGCGACGCGTAAGACCTAATGGCATGATGTCCGGGAGGAGGTCATTGAGTGAATTGCAACAATGCCTCAACATGCACTTCTTCATGACTGTCACATATGTACTTCCACACTACTTGTTATGGCTAGGGTAAAGTCAAGGCCAGTCGTACTACATCCAACAAGATGGCGGCATGAGATCGCTCTTCCTTATTTTGTTTTAGTTTCGTCTTTCACCCTCTGGCTGCTAGAACGAAGAGTTCTCTCAGGCTGCTCGCACCATTCCAGTGACGCATTTATTCTTTGAAAGTCCCCAGTGGACGTAAATGAAAGGATTCAATCTCAGCACTGCCCCTTCGTCATGACATGTACTATGATCAGCACGGCGACAAAAGAGGAGGAATATTGGATCTGGCGACTCATACTCCCATCAGGGTATACTTACCCACGAGTAGGACCTAAACCTTCTACGCCAAAAAAAGAAAGTACTTTGGAAGAGCAATGAGACATCCCTTCTGTAACTAGCCTACTCATTGCATGGCTGGTCGAGGTCATTATGAGTGGCGCTGACTCGGAATTTCGGTATTCACTCCCCGCTTGTTAAAGCCTTTACTCAAGGCAATACTGCAGCCCTCACCACGCATTGGACTGTCAAATGGCAAGCAAAAACTAAACCATGTCCAATCGTCATCCCGTCACATCTAGTCCAGCGCTCGACGCACGAACGCACCTTCCGGAAGAAGTCGTATGCGATTCCATTTCAGCCGCTATCGAAGTCTCAGTATTACTGCGACTGCAGGAGGCCTAAGCCAGCATCAGGATCTGAATCCTTTCCAGTCACCGGTAGAAAGCGATGACCACTACGAACCATCACTGGACGAGACGGAGGGGGATGGCCATCTGCATCGCAACCGGGACGAACATCTGCGACCTAACGGAGAGGAACATCTGCAACGCAACCCGTCAGTTGAACGCGTATCCGAGAGGGATTTCCCCCGTGGTATCACCTTCTCTTTCAGCGAATCCCTAACCGGCACCTGGGACACAGGTTTGACTCTCATACCACCAGAGTCGAGGCATAATCTAACAATGCAGCAATGGACGGACATGGTGGCCCAGCAAGGAGGATCTTGGCCTGATGGGAGTCCGACTACAATGGATACCGCTATTGATGTGCGCTTGTATCCAGCTGATGAGGAGAGGCGGAGTGTAATCTGGGGGCTCATGCAACGTGATCTAGACCAGGCCTATGAGGTAGGGACAGATGTTTTTGAATATACTACTGGTTCGGGTTCGAACGGTGCTTAGAATGCATGATATTGCCAGTTGATGTTCTGTTGTTCTGTGGTAGCCCGCAGCCATCATCGCGCAACAAGAGGAAAACGTTGGGAAAATGTCGCGCGAATCCTGCGTTACTGCATCATTCTGGTAAAACATTGTGGTGTGATCTAACTCAAAGGACCCTTTTATAGCGCCAAACGGTCTTGCATAACCACAGCTCTGGCAAAACCATAGCATGTCATTGAGGTATCTAGGGAAGGGTACATCAGTCGTGCAATCGCCTACACCACCACTGCACGGCCGGCGGTGTCTTCTATATTACAGGTGTCTTACACAAAGTCCACTTTGATTGTCCCCTGTGCATCCGTCCAATAATAGATGGCTTTGTATGTTTGGGCTTGAAGACAGCTGCGGTGTGTGAAAGGAGGGTTGTCACCATTCATCTCAGACCATCTAGTCGGTATACGATCGTGCCAAAAACGTGCCCCGAGAAATGTCGGACACGAGAAGCCAGGATGCACCTTTCACGCGTTGAGATTTCAATGATCAGGAATGAAGATTCCAGGCTCCGCCTGCCCAGGTTTATAAGCAAAGCCGATAATCTGGGCTGTCAAAAGCCCCATTACAGAGTGCATCACTGCAAAGAAAAAAAAGAGTGCTATCGATGTCTGACAATCGCTCCACCAGATCTGACAGCCTAGCGCTTGACGCGGGAACGGAAGTTCGTCAAGAAGAAGTATCATACGATTCTATTCTCGATGATGGTGTTCCCGGCAGCACCGCAACAGCCGGAGGTCCAAGTCAAGAGCAGTTGGAAAATCCATTCCATCAATTGCCCGAGGGAAGTGATGAGCAGGATGAAGAGCAAGTGCCAGAGCGCCGATTCCCTTACGGCATCACAATAGCTTTCAGTGATTACCAAAGTTTGCTGCCCGGGGACCGATGCGTCAACCTCATGACACCAGCGTCAACAGCCAACCTCACTTTGCAGGAATGGACCGAGAAGATTAAAGAGGAAGGAGGCAGGTCTGAGATTGGCAGCCCGATAAGCATGGAAAATGAAATTCACACGATGCTGAGTCCTGCAAACCAGGAGAGGCAGAACGCTATCATTGCTACCGTTCGTCGTGACCTGGAACGGGCTTATGAGTACGGAACAAATTTCTTTGATCACACTACGGGAGAATTCTTTGAGCACTATCTTGACGTAGTTGATGAGGAACCGGCTTGAATGAAATGAATTGTAGTAGCGTGTGATGCCCAGTGCTGCGTCTAGTTTCTGACAGAACTTGAGAGCAACATAGAACAAAGTTGTTTTGTCTGGCTGTCACACGTAGTTATCCCTGAAGTGGCATGGCGCTGAGTTGTGTGGATGGTTGAAGGACGCGCGGTGTACATACTCAATTCATATCCTACTGTTCTGCTCTTTCTTTATGCGATAATACCGAAAAGGTCTTTTCCCCTCCAAAAACACCTTTTCCAGTCCCCTCCCCTGCTGCGTCCCAGCAGGCCGTGACACTGGCTCACTGCTGTCTCATCAAATGTTCATCGATCCATCAACGACCGCAGTGATTATCTCTTATCTCGAAGCACTCAAATTGTGAGCAGTGTCTCGAAAGGCTACAAAGAAGTGAGATTCCCGCGGGAAGAGCAGCATACTATACCGGTGGGTGGATGAGGTCATTGTTCAACTTTGCGCGATATGGCGCAGCAGGAGATTTGGTAACATCTTGAAGACTCGTTCAGTGGATCGAGACACACGATGCAAACATGTAATCGCGTCTATCTGTTCTTGATTCTGAGATGTAGCGTTCGGCCCGGTCATCATATGGGGGGGGGGGGGGGGGGGGGGGGGCCGGGGGGTGTATCGATATACTGTGTGGATTCACTTGAGCTGATGATCCGCCTCGTAGCAGGCGGTGACGATCTCTTCTTTAGAGGAAGATGCTCATACTAGTAGCTCCGCCACTACGCTTTGGTGGACTCTGGAAGTGGCCCTAAACAGCAGTTACTTGTCTCACATAACGTCATTGCACCGTTGTATCTGGAGAGAAAGGGCACTTGAGTCAACCATGTACATAGTAAAGTACTTTCGCCACTGCGCACCGGCGGATGTCTTCTGATAACAAGTGTGCAATGTGTTCTCACCCAAACACCACGAAAATTGTAGCTCGGGCATCCGATAATATGACCAGGTTTTTTGAGGCTAGACGATATGGTATTAGTGCATAGAGGGAATGATGTTCCAATGTCGCCTTCTCAATACCTCTTTTGGTCATTTCAGTCTACGATCACGTCGAGCAATGCGAGAGGAGAAATGTCAGACATGAGGTGCCATACGCTGACTTGGGTACATTGGCCATCAAGAGGTCACTACACCTTTTATACCTTACGGAGTAGTGCCTGGATGTCGGACTCTGCTCTTCAAGGTAGTTTCATCTCCGCATGCCTAACGCTGAGATTTGTGCTAATCATGAGGAAATGAAAGTTTCAGGCTCCGCCTACCCAGTTTATAAACAGAGCCGACAATCTGGCCTGTCAAAAGCCCCATTACAGAGTGCATCACTGCAAAGAAAACAAAGAGTACTACCGATGTCTGACAACCGCTCCACCAGATCTAACAGCCCAGCACCTGACGCGGGAACGGAAGACCGCCAAGAAGTAGTACTCGTGTACGATTCCGTTCTCGCTGACGATATTTCCGGCAGCACTGCCACAGCCGGAGGCCCAAGTCAACAGGAGCTGGAAAATCCTTTTCGTCAACCACCCGAAGGAAGTGATGATGATGAAAACGAAGAGCAAGTGCCAGAGCGCGAGTTTCCTGACGGCATCACATTCGCTATCAGTGGATACCAAAGTTTGATGCCCGGAAACCCGAGGCTCCACCTCAGAACACCAGCGTCAAGATCCAACCTCACTTTGCAGGAATGGACCGAGAAGTTAGAGGAGGAAGGAGGCATAAATTGGCGCGATGGCAGCTCGAGGAGTTTGGAATTTGGAATTGTCACGATGCTGTATCCTGCAAACCAGGAGAGGCAGAACACTATCATTGCTATAGTTCGTCGTGACCTGGAACGGGCTTATGAAGACGGAACTGATTTCTTTGATCACACTTCTGAAGATCCCGATAGTACTCAAAGCTAAGATCTACATAGACAAGAGGGCTGATTGGAGCACTATCTAAACCCGTAGTCGATTGTAAGGGATCGGTACGGACTGGTCAGTAGGAGGAGATGTAGTGACGTGGACATTGGAACGCAGAGTCTGGTATTAGGGTTGCCGCTATGTTCTCAGGGACGAGTTAGGCGCGGAGGCGAGAGGAGATTCCCATACATACATCTGCCGCGTCTCCATATCCTTTTCCTTACAGATGTATTCTCAACGTATATTCCTCATTACCTTTATCCATCCTCTCACCATCCGCCTGTCCCAGGTCGACATCTAGCGCCCCTAGCTGGATCCACTGCGTAACCGCCCCTAGGTCGCGCCTCGCCTACCAACCTCATACCGATGAGGAACCGGCTTTTGAATGAGATGAATTGTAGAAGCGTGTGATGCCCGGTGTTGCATCTGCTTTTTTATAGAGCAAAAGCAGAACAGCAACGGAATAAAGAGTTGATCTGTCTGGCTCGTCGTTGTCTCATCAAATGTTGATCGATTCGTCAGCGACCGCAGCGATTGCCTCTTATCTCGAAGCAGATAAAACGTGAGCAGCGTCTCGAAAGGCTACAAAGAAGTGAGAGCATCCCGCGGAAAGAGCAGCATACGCTACCGGTGGGCGAATGGGGTCATCGCTCAACTTTGCGCGATATGGCGCAGCAGGAGATTTGGTAGCATTTTGAAGACTCGTTCAGTAGATCGGGATACAAAATGCAAATATGTAATCGCGTCTATCTGTGTTCGATTCTGAGAGGTATCATCCGGCCCGGCCATCATATGAGGGCGTGTACCAACATAGTGTGTCGATCTACTTGAGCTGATAATCTGCCTCATAGCAGGCGGTGACGGTCTCTTCTGGTAAGGGAGATGCTCATAAATGTGAGAGTTGAGTGGCGCAATATACATCCAAGGAGCTGCTTGCAGCCCTAAACAGCAGTGACTTGTCTCACATAAACTCATTGCACCATTGTTCTCGAGAGAAAGGGTACTTGAGTCATCCTTGTGCATACTACACTCGCCACTGCGCCCCGGCGGATGTCTTCTAATAATAAGTGTGCAAGGTGTTCTCGCCCAAGCACCACAAACATTGTAGCTTGGGCATTCAATAATATCACCAGGTCTGTTGAGGCTGGACGTTATAGTAATGTATGAAGGGAATGCTGTTCCAATGTCGCCTTCTCAATACCTCTTTTGGTCATTTCAGTTTACGATCACGTCGAGCAATGCGAGAGGAGAAATGTCAGAAATGAGGTGCCAGACGCTGACTTGGTGACATTTGCCATCGAGAGGTAACTACACCTTTCAGACCGAGCGGAGTAGTGCCTGGATGGCGGACTCTGCTCTTCATGTAAATTTCAGTTCCGTATGGCTGGCGTCGTGATTTGTGCTATTCATGAGGAAATGAAGATTCCAGGCTCCGCCTACCCAGTTTATAAGCAAAGCCAACAACCTGCCCTGTCAAAAGCCCAAAAACGCATTACAGAGTGCATCAGTGCGAAGAAAACACAGAGTGCTACCAATGTCTGACAATCGCTCCACCAGATCTAACAGCCCATCGCCCGAGGCTGAACCAGAAGACCGCCAAGAAGAAGTAGTGTGCGATTCCATTCTCGGTGATGATGTTCCCGGCAGCACTGCAACGGCCGGAGGTCCAAGTCAAGAGCAGCTGAACAATCCATTCCATCAAATGCTCGATGGAAGTGATTAAAGGAATGAAGAGCAAGAACTAGAGCGAGTGTCAGAGGAGCCCGAGTTTTGGGACGGTATCCAAATCACTTTCAGCGCAGAACAAACCGGTTCCTGGGAAGGAAGCTTCACTCTCAGACCACCAGCATCCAGAGGTGATTTCACGCTTCAGGAATGGATTGAGAAGGTGGGAGGAGGAGGGAGGAACATCGTTGCTCGATGGAAGCCGGACCAGAATGGAGTTTGACGTTGATATGCGGCTATACCCCGTGGGCCAGGAAAGGCGGAGCAATATGCTTGCGCTCGTCCATAGCGACCTGGAGGAGGCGTATAATGACGGGACATACATTTTCATACATCTTTGATTGATTACACTTCTGCAGGTCGCGATGACACTTAGAGCTACTACGACTACGTCGCCGTACTCGAGTACTATCTTCACGGGTACCTGTTGAGAAGCCATCACAGAGAATATGAAGACTTGACGTTCTTCATAGCTACAGTGCTTGTTCTGATGAACACAGCCGCACTGAAAAGCGGAAGAACAGAGCCCATTCGTCGGTCTTCTATGCATCAACCATCTGCCAACTATCAACCTGTTCTAAACTCTCAAACGACGCGTCCGTCGGTCACGTGCCTAGATGCAACAACAAACGCGAACTGAGCGCGTCGGGTGCCATCTCCTCTTTCATTCTCCATTACCACCGCATCACCCCCTATATCCAACATGGCGCCACAGGGGCTGGTAATCTCGAAGCTCGGGGTACAAGCATCTGCTTCGGGTACTGACGTGACAGGGCTCATTGCTCTCAAGGTTTGTCGCTCGTAAACGGTAACGAAGGGCGCTGATCAGATGTAGATTTCGTTGCCGAAAGATATGGGGACCAAGTCTGGGGCGAGATGGATGATTTTCAACTGTATGCCATACTCCACCTATATATGGAGGTCGCTGATATATAAGCAGCCACAGCCACGCCCCCTGCCATCACTTCTCGACCATCGATCCACCCTCTACCCCTACCCCTCCCTCTATCCTCCTCCTCTCGAGAACTATCTACAGCTTGCAACCTCCTATCCATTCAGCCAGCTCCCCTATACCCACCTTCACCTCAAGGAGGTACTGAACCTTATATCGACGTGTCGAGCACGACGGGCAAGGTGTATGTCGTGGTCGACCCAGCGAGCGGAGCGGCCAAGCAGCGGAGAGGAAGCTTCAAGGGAAAGGGGGCGGAAGATGGCAGGCGTGATTGGCTGGTCATACTACCCTTCTCGCAGCCGCTCGAAAAGGAGGAAGACGGGCTGTCGAAAGTGTTGTTGCCGCTTCCGAAATGTCTGGACAATGTCATCCGCTTCCGGATACTTTCCCCTGATGGAGGACAGAAGGAAGTGAGTGAAGTCAGTATTCTGACAGATCCAAAGCTGCTGGCGCTTCCGGAAGGGACTTTTGGAGAGGAAGGAGATGAGACTTTTGATACAGTGGACGAAGATGAGGGATCGAGCTGGCTGGAAGGGAGATTCCAGAGGTGCGTCCCTTGGGTTTCTTGTTGTCACAAAGCTGACCTATTTCCAGTACGGACGCTCTTCGCCTCGAATGGTCATTCACGCCTTCTCTTATAGACCCTACGACACCCTCTCTCTTCATCGCCCCAACCCTCCATCCCTACCCGCAAATAGCACTCCAGTTCTCCGCCTGCGCCTCCACACCCGAATCTATAACTTCACTAGAGGCTCATATCCCTGCAGGATGGGTCTGGGAGACTCTGGAGATCGAAGGGGATGGACTGGCATATTGGAGAGGCATCGATAACGACTGGGGCACCGTAGACGACGAAGAAGACACCCTCGACTACTCCCAAGACGACTCCTTCGCCACAGTCCGCACCACCAAACCCCGCCCGACTTTACCACCCTCCCTCCGGCCGGCGGGGAACACGTACTTGCCCCCGCCGGCGTCGGGCTCGTCGGTGAGCTTGATGAGGCAGACGTTGCCGACGGCGGAGGAACTGGGGGAGTTTAGTTTTGAGATGAGTGGGGAGCAGAGTCCGGTGCCGAAGCGGCCCAATACGCCTCTCGGTGCCGTGGGCTCGCCGGCGCCGAGCACGCCGGGCGGGAAGAGTCGGCTTATGGCTTCTGCCGGAAGAGAAGGAGATGGAGAACCGATAGCAAGGGGGGGAAGGTTGTTTGATTTGTACTGGCAAGCGGGCAACGAAGAGCGGGCGTTTGTTTTGACGGGGGTACTCGTACCAGAACCTCTCACGCTTGTACCAGCTACCCTCCCCCAGCCTGTTCCATTGTTCACCTTTCTCTCCCCATCCCCTCCATCGACATACAACATCCGATGCCCTCACGCTTCTTATTCTTCTTCCCAAATACCCGTGTCGACGTCGGATTCTCAGCTCGTTTCTTTGAGCGGCCAAACAGCTGGAACCTTTGCGTGGCATGACGGGGCTCAACTCTCAGCACTCCGAGCTCGAGAAGCCAAAACGAAAGTCGGCGACGTCAAGATCCGCCTTCAACGGGACGTTTGGGGTATGTTGAGAATGAACGTCCTCTTCTCCCTCTTTTCCCGGCAAGAACAGAGGGGGTTCCGCCTTTCTGCTACTGATGCCGATAGAACGAGGATTGTCAGGGCGTCAGTAGACGGGCTCGCTGTGCCTAGGTGTATACTGCCTTCTTCGGAAGGGGTGGAGGTCAGGATAGGGAGGAAGGAAGGTGGTGGACGGGGTGAGGGTGGGGGTTTGGCGGAGATTGTACTTGAGATTGGAGGAGGTGGGACAGAGGTGGGGTTGCCCGTGTTCGAGGGGGAAGGGGAGGGGAGAGTTGAGCTGATCGGGGAAGGGTGGAAAGGTCAGTTCAACGATACGTTTGATGTCTGGCAACGCTGACGATATGACAGGCGTTCAATTCACAAAGGCGAAATCCCTCAACGCACTCTCAGCAGCGACCTTTGCATACCCCATCTCCACCCTCAATCCACCAACCATCACCCTTTCCCCTCCTCCATCAACATCAACACTATCCTCCTCCCCTCTCCGCACCCTCTTCTCCCTATCCACACTCTACCACCTCTTTATCCTCTGGCTTCTCCTCTCCATGGGTTCCCAGGTCCAAAGACTGCGGAATGAAGTTGCCTTTGTCGCGGGGGAAGCAAGAGATCTGAGAGGTGGATATGGGTGGTATACAGGTACTGGGGAGGAAAGGAAAGAGGGGGAGAGGGTGGAATTGGAGGGGTGGAGGGAGGGCGATGTTGGGGATGCGGGTGCGAGGATAGCATCCGACCCTTCCCTTTCTTCACCTTCTTCACCTTCCTCTCCCGAAAAGCTCCCCTCTCCTCCAACGGATATATTCGCTCCCGCGCCGGCACCCATATCAGTCAGGGTATGGCAGGAGTGGCCAAAGAGGTTGGGCAGACATCCGACGGTGAGGACGTTGGGGAAGGGGGTGAAGTGGATTTGGGAGGCGGTTGTGTGGTTGGTCTTGCCATCTGGGGCCTGATTGTGGGGAATGGACTTCTATACGCTTGTTTTCATTTGTTTTCCTTGGGGATGCTATACTAGTGCCATCTTGGGACTTTGGGAGTGAGCGTATGCAGTGAAAGAAATCCGATTGCATCAGGGTGCAATGCGATGAAAAAGGCTCAACATCAGCGAAGGTTGAGCTCGTCGCTGTTGACTGCGCTCCATCTGCCATTCTCTGATAGTGATTGTAAGGCGTAGTAAGCTTTATTCACTTCAGTATGTCAAAGCAGCGGTCAACCAGCTTCGTCCACAAATCCCTGGTGAAGCTTCGACAACTGGCTGCTGCTGACGCGACTCGGCGCCGTTGTAAGCCCGATTGCAAGGGGACGCCAGCCGTCCCACATAGATGATATCTGTAAGCGATCTTATTGATCAAACGCCTTCGCATCCTCTGCTGTCCTGGTGGCATGCATATGCAACAGTCAGAACCAGATACTAGTAGCGAGCATGTATCGACGAAAGCCCCCCGCGACGCGGCCCTCTCCGCTTCGCCACTGTCAGTTTCGCCGGCTAACGCCGCCGCCCTTCTGAGCGTCCACCATTCGCCTTGACCCGATTTGACGCTCGCAGCACCAGCCACAACCACCTACTTCCCGCCAATTCGCCCACAATGCCCCTCAAGGAAGTCCACAGAGAATACCCCCTCATCGACGCCGACCCCCACTTCAAGAGGGTCGTCAGCTACATGCGACCTAGCGACTATGGAGTGTGGGCGGGCGCGACTGCTGCTGGACCGGGGTTGCTGTATCTGTATGGTAAGTATGAGGGATCGGAGCTTGGAATGGGAGGGTGGGGCGGAGTAAGATGGAGAAGTTATGAGCTCAGGAGGAATGGCGGAGGGGAAACACGAGTGAAACGATCAAGGAGGAAATTAACGAAACGTCGTAGAACGCGTCGCTCCCACATTGTCCAACCCCGCCAGCTTCAAGGGTGCTCTCCGAGTCAGCGGTATCCTCGGATTCATGGCCGGTTTCATGCTCTCATACCAGAACTCTTCTTGTACGCCCCGCACCCCTCAATTTTCGCGGGAAACGTCAACTTACGACATTTGTAGTGAGATTCTGGGGATGGAGAGAGAACGCTGCCGAGGTCGCTAGGGATCAGGCCGAGCTTTCTCAGCTTGCCAAGGAGGGCAAGCCTCTCTATGGCGAGAGTCAACTGAATCCTTATTTGCAAGGTGTGGGGGCGAGGAATTCTACGTGGTCTCAATTGAAGTTGGCCGCTTTCCCTTGGTGAGTACGGATCTCCTCGACTGGAGTCGGATTCTGTGGGATGGGGTATTCGGGGATGGGAAGAGCTGTTGGTGCGAAGATTGGGTGACTCAAGTTGAGCCATGTCGGGTGCCCGAAGCTCTTGCGTCGGACTACTCGTCCCCACCTGCCACTTCTGTCAGACTGTCTCGACATCCCCATATGCTGACATTCTATACCAGGTTCAACGTCGTCAATCACAACTCCCACGGCGTCGACACCTCAAAATACACCTCCGAGTCCGCCAACCAACCGTCATAATCTCCTCCCTCCCTACCTCTTTATCACCCCTTTCCATGACGACGCCACATCATCTCCCACCCCTTCTTTCCCACTGCCCGAGAAGCTTTGAACCGCATGAAAAATATTTGTATTGATTATAAGGAGAAAGGGATACCGGGACAGGAGGCTCGGGTTGGTGGAAAGAAGGGAAAGCATTGTTTCTCTCTCGTTCATGGCAGATGCATAATCTAGAAACGCACATGGCTACCCAATGACTGACTTTGGAAGTACTCCAGTACACTGTTCATTCATACTGCAATGCGTGCATGCTGAGATAATTGTACAATGATATGCCTCTATTCGTTACTACACATAGCTGACACAACGTTCAAGATGCTAGCTTCTACTCGTACGCTTCAATCCAGCTCATCCAGCGTATTGGTCCTCGTCGTCGTCGAAGCACTCGTCCCCGCCGCGGCCGCCAGCGGGACTTCTGGAGCTTGCGGTGCAGTAGCCTCCTGAGCGCTCCACGAGGGTTTCGTCTCCACAGCTACACAAATTCATGTCAGACTCTGTTCAAAGTGAACAATGAGAAGGGGGAGAGGGAGGACACACCTTCAGCTCGACAAGCAGGACACGAGTTCCTCCCCTGGGTCAACCAGTGATCGACACAATCTTGATGGAACGCATGTCTGCACGCGAGGATACGGCAATCTTCTTCCGGTTCGTAGTCTGACAAACATACCTATGTATCTATCATCAGCAATCTTCTACCAGGGGAAAGAGAGGGAGGCAGCGCACCAGACATCTTTCGGCACAGCTCTCCAAAACTCGCCCTGCTTCGCCTTCTTTCTTCATGTCCCCGCCCTTCACGACACGTAATCCGCTCTTCTCAATATCGCCCTTTGCAACAGTCGGCGCTTTCACCGGACCCAGAATATCGCCCACAAGCCTCAACTCTTCATCACTCATCTCCCCCCCATGTACCAGGGACGGCATACGAAGAATCGGATGCGCAGGGGGATAATTGGCGCCGATAATGTAGATCAGGTAAGTATTGATTGTCGCTGCGGTATTCGATGTTGAATGGGAGGAGGTGTTGGGGGAGGTAGAAGGGGAGGAGACGGGGATGATTTGGGGTCGACGGAGGTGGGAGAAGATACGTTCGCGGAGGGATTGACGTGCCGGCGGGGCTGAGCTTGCTCTCGTCCGTCTTCCCTCATCTCTCCCCCCAACACTCCCATCTTCTTCCTCTGCTTCTTCAGCCGCGTGTACCGTTTCTCCCCCAACCGACCCTCCTTCTCCTTCACGTAAACTAGACCCAGCCTCGGCAGAGACGTCTCGTGCGGGTACTTCGCCGTTCACGAATGGAAAGTTTGGGTGGGAGACGAGGTCTTCGGTGGACATGAGTGCGTCGTGACGGATGTTGCGGACGCCGACGAATATCGTGGGGATAAGCGGTTCGGGCTGGGGTTGCGCATGTTCTTGAGCATTGCTCGAAGACTCTGCCTGACCTTCAGATGACGCATTCTGGGGGTTATTGGGAGAAGCAGCACTAGAAGAACTCTGCTCGCCCTGCCCGCTGGGCTGGGCACCAGCCCCACCCCTTAAAGGCCCCTCAACAGCTCTAGCGGTATACGCATCAATAGCAGGAAACATGTGTGCCCTGAAAAAGTTCATCCTCCGAGGAACACCATCGTAGCCGCCCGTCACCGCTTGAGGCGCCGTGGGTCGGGTTGAGGAAGAAGAAGTGGAGGGCTGGTTTTGGGCGAGTTGGGGGTGGAATGAGGGGATGGGGGGTTCGGAGGAGGGGGGCGGTCGTGGGGAGGTGGGGTTGGGAGGGGTAGAAGTGGTATCGTGGACGGGCTCTTGGTCGATGTCCATACTCGCCTCCGCTGTATCTTGTGGCCCCGTCTCCTCACTTGCTTCCACATTCGGTGCCACCGGTAAAGGTCCCGCAAATTCTCTGACCGCCACAGCAAGATCCACCTGCAGATCCTCCAAGAACCGCTGGAAGCCGGAGGAGATGGCCTCTTCTGCTTCTTCCGCAGACTCGTTTGTATTTGGTGTGCTTTCTGATGCAGAAGTAGGCTCTGAGGCCTGCGTCGGAGGGTTGGGTGACGTCGCAGTCGCGGACGGTGAAGATGACGAAGAAGTCGACCCAACACGATTATCCCGCAAGACATTCCTCAAGTACGTCCCCAAACTAGCTTCCACACTCTGCGCCCTATCCCTTTCCTCGACCTCCTGCCTTTCCGCTGCTTCCTGTCGATTGGGTCGGATCCGGTGCAGTAATGATTCGAGGGTGGACGAAGGGGAAGGGCGGGGTGGGGCGAGGGCCGAGGCGAGGCTGGGGCGGTTACCGCCTGGGGCGAGGAGGGTTGTAGCTGTGGCTGCTGCTGCGACGCTGTAGAATCATTAGCGACTGTAGAACAATTTACTTGAGGAGAGTACTTACGTGAGAAGACCACCGATCATGCGGGCTTGGGATTCGAGAGAGGCGTCTTGTCGCTCTTCTCGAGAACCTGACGGTGGACGAGAATCGCCTTCGGATGCTCTTCTCTCCCTCGGTCTTGCCTGTGCCGGGGTATCTTCATCCATAGCAGTATCCCTCAAAACATCATCTTCGATATCTCCATTTCCTGATCCGGGTGCTTCTTCGCCGACGCCTTGGGTTTGAGCAAGACCTTGGATGACGAGTACCGCACCAGTCGGCACCCTGCGTCTCCTCGCTCCTCCCGTATCCAGCCTCTCCCTCGTCGCGTCCAGCTGACGCTCCGTATCCCTCAGCTGACTTCGCGCATCATTGAGCCGTCGATGCAGATGACGCATCATCCCTTCCCTCGAACTGCCCACCGCCGGCGCCGGCGCTGGACCTTGATTTGGCGTCGGAGCCTGCGAAAGCGAGGCCGGGCGGGAAGATGAAGAGGAAGGGCGGGATGACGATGGGGATGGGATACGGTTGAGTTGTTGGGAGAGGGTGGCGATGCGGTCGGCAAGCAGCTGGGCTTGGGCCGTAGCCCGTTGGAGGGAGGCCCGGGCTTCGGCGACGTGGGGATCTGTGCTGTCGTGTGTTCGGAGTACGGACTCGCCGCCGATTGAAGATGACCCGGTAGGAGGGGGTTGGGAGGGGCCGGAGGAGAAGGAAGAAGGTTCTTCGGTCCTGTTGGCCAATTGACGACGAGTGAGACGCTCGACCTCGGCTGCTGAGGGTGTATCGGGCAACGGCCAGTCCGGCCCGAGGGTAGAGCGGATGGTGTCTATCGTCGACATACGTTCTTCTGCAAGAGAGTCATGGCTGCCCACAGGGGACATGGGGGCACCACCGGCAGTGGAGACGGGTGGTGCAAGGCCGGGTTGTGGGTAAGGTTCGGCAGGCTGGGGGGTGTTGTACTCGCTCGCGTCGGCCATGGATACGTCCCCGCTTGACCCCGCCTCAGCTTCGCCCACCCTCGCCTTCTTCCTCTCCGTCTCATTGGTGTGCCCTTCTGCAGTACTCCCTTGCCTTGAGCGCTTGCCACCGCCGCTGCTGGTTGTGCGCTCGACTTGCATGGGTTCGCCATCGGAAGTGCTGGTGGAAGCGTCGGGAGAAGGGCCCCGTCTGCCGAGGGTCGAGAGGCGGCGTATGGAGGATAGGGGGTTGTTGGAGCGGCGTCGGGGAGGAGGGGGAGGGCTGGGAGGGGATGTTCGAGAGGGTTGGGATTGGGAGGAGCCCATGATGCTGATGATTGATCAGCAGCAATTAATTGTGTACACGCAGATGGACTTGCAGTGATCACAGCTGCTGTCTAAGATGATACGCAGACAGATGGGCGAGGCTCTCCGAGAGGATAAGACAGCTGATGAAGCACACCTGGTCGCAAGGTAAAGGCCTCCCGACGTGCTAGTAGTGGAGTCTCGGGGGTGAGGGATGCGTATGTGGTGGGCGGGAAGGACAAGAAGGGGTGGCGCCAAGGGGATATGTCGGTGTACTCGCAGCTGGTGGAGACGTGAAGGAAGATAAGATATGAATGAGACCAAGAGATGGGGAAGGAAGATGAGAAATAGATGATGTGCGCGGCGATATGGATGGAAGGTGGAGGAATCACCGACTCCGTATTCCATCTTCTTGTTTGGTTTCGCCTTCCCCTCGAGAACTCACATCGCCGCTCAGGGTCATATCGGGGGATACACGACCCATGCCGAGCCTGCATCAAGATTTCGAAACACCATGCTGCAGATTGGCTGAGTACACCTGCCGAGCGGCGTCCAATGTCCGAGTATATCGCCACCCACTTCTTTCTCATAGGCACAATCATATATACTGACTGTTCGCCCTAACGTCAACTAGCTGACCTGATTCCTGCTCTATGCTCTCGTGCTCAACAAGCGCTGAGCGTCTTCATACTGTACGCGCGCGAGTTGAAAGGATGCTGGTAATGCTGGGCAGACTGTGTGCTCCCGTGGATGCTGTGTCCACATTCTGTTTCCTCGTCCTTATCACACCCAAGGGCAGTCCTGTGGGATGCATCGTTGACTCAACATTCACCTTCAGTCTTCCGACCCCTTTACGGACTCGCTGATATATGAAGGATATCTCAAAGTCAATCATCGCCTTGAACAATCATTCTTCAAGAAGACTGTCGAGATGCGCGCAACTTATCATGACCCAACACCTCTCAACCTCACCCCTTCCCTTTCCCATACCCTTCCTCCCACGCCTCCCACTCGCATATATTCGTCAACTCCTCAAGTATCCGAATCGGGACAGGCGAGTATACCGGCGGAATATGAGAGGTGGTTCAAGACGTGGCGGGGACGGACGATCAAGAAGGTCGTTGGCGGAGGGGGATGGTGTTGTGATGAGCTCGAGCTGGAGGTAAGATGGCTCGCTTCGGGTCTTTCCATACGAAAAAGCTGATTCGAAAATCTAGAGACAAGAGTCAGAGGTACGTCGTACATGTGCTTCACCGAGGATGTCTGCTTACGATGCCAAAGTATCACGTTTTGCGTATCGGTGAGTCAACAGACCACGAAGATTTATGCATCCTTACTCAACTCGCCATCCATCGTCAGCTCAAGGATGTAAGTCTTTATACTGATATTGGTTCATCATTTAAACGCTCATGGCGCCACAGTACCATTCCCCGCCGCCGTGTTCAAAGCTCTCAATCTGCCGTCCAGCTATGGTCAGCCTCGTGTATTGGAAGTGGGTACCGTACGTCTTTCTCTTTCTTCCTCAACCGAGTAAAATGCTAATGTATTGGCTATAGGGAACTGGAATGCGAGTCACTCCGTCAGAGAGGCCTGAGAAGAGAAATAGTCTGATACAAACGTAGATGGGCGATTAACATGGCCGATATGTTTCCTCAGTAAATATCTACTCCCCATATCTACGATTAGATGATACTGATATCTCATAGTGCGGAAGTCATTGGGTGAGCTTTGATCTTTGTAAGACAATTCAACGCTAAGCACATGCGACAAGACTCGATACAGCCCCGATCCAAAGCGACTATGCTCCCAAGAACTGCGAGTACGTCATCCCTTCCCCCTTCCCCCTGCCTCCTCTCCCCTTCCCTTCCCTTCCCTTCCCTTCCCTTCCCTTCCCATCGTTCAGCACACTCACTGACACCCCACCAGCTTCGACATCACCTCATCCCCCACCCGCCATATTCACCCTCATCCACCTCCCCTCGCCCGCCTCCCAGCCGGGCCATCCGTGGTTGAAGACGGTAGGGGATCTGAATGTGTTTTATGGGATGTTGAGGCCCGGGGGGTGGGTTGGGGTTGGGGATTGGTTGGGGAGGCCTTTTGTAAGGCGTGATTCTCCTCCTTTCGAGCCGGCCGGGATAAGGCGGGGTAACGATGAAAAGGAGGTGGAGGAAGAGGAAGAGGCAGAGGAAGAGGCAGAGGAAGAGGTGCCGGTGGGCACGCGAGCGTGGTACGACGCGTACGACAAGAGCTTGAGAGTGATGATGGGACATTCCTTCGACATGGATCGGCTGGAAGCAAAGCTTTTGAGTACAGAGTATGTTAGGCGGGAGGTTGTTGTTCCTATTGGGGCTCATGGAGGTACGTCTTGACAACCCTCTCTCCCCTTTGGTACTTGGATGTACGTAAGTTTGAATGGAAGTCGAGCTGATGGCGGGATAATAGGAAAGCAAGGGAGTGTGGGCCGGTTACATCTCGTCAATATGCGTGCTTTTGTAGAGTCGGCGAAATTTGTGTTGGCGGAGTATGGGAGGTATAGTGATGCCGAAATCGAGGTTTTGAGTAAGTTCATGCTTCTCTTTTGACACTAGTCACTACTTCTGTTCGAGCGGCTGACGACATGTCATCGTAGGTGATGCGTATCTGAGGGATATGGAGGTGAACAGGATGTTTATGCGGTATAGGAGTTTGTGGATTATGAAGCGGTCTTTTCAGTGATGCATATTGTCTTACGTTGCTAGCGCACGTATACGCTGGACACATGCATCTTCATTCTCTCAACAAAACGCCACACTATTGGATCTCGGTACTGGCACCGTTGGGGGTGGGTGCAGACCTAAAGTCTATCGTCATGTCCTCGTCCAATACCTCCGGCACCTCGTTACTCAACGCATTCTCTATCTTTGACCAAATCAGAGGTGTTCTCTCTCTCATCGGGGAAAGCTGTCCCCTGATAGCGTCACCCGCCATCACCTGCTCTTCCTCATCTCCCTCCTGCTCAGACAGATATCATATCCATGGTATCGGTCCAAAGCATTGACCTCTTCTCCATCGGGATTCGTGGGTGAGGTAGATTGGAAGAGCGTCACCCTTTGGTCTTCTTCATACCATCGGTTGATGCGTCCAGTGTCGGCGGGGGAGAAGATGAAGGTGACAGAGTGGCCTCGGGAGGCAGTGCTGCGTTGATGGTCGGCATCTGTGAATTGTTGGCGGTACTCCTCCGTTCGGGGGACGTCTTCAGGTGAGCTGAAGTTGAAATCTAACTCGTCTTCGACATGATCATCTCCGTAAGGATCGTCTCCCGCGGGAAGACGGTCGAGGCCTCTGGCGTGGTGGCCGTCCATGACCTGTTGTAAGCCTTGAAGGCTTCGAAGGATGTTGGCAGCGGATGCGACTGAGGATGACGTTTCTTGAGGATCTTGGAGAGAGGAAGGGGTGGATAAGTCCCCTGTGGGCGAACCTTCTTTGGAACTGAGAGACATTTGTCGTTCGGTGGGGCTAATTCAACGAGCAGATGGGGAAGGATGAATGTTTGCTGCTTGAAGCATATATAGCGTCGAGAATCTAGACTGGTTTCGCTTGGAACATCTTGGCTTCGATCATCTCGCAGGACTGTATGACAATACAGGAGGACATGTTGAAAAAGGGCTCACTGACAAAGGGCGGGGGTCCAGAATAGCATGGTAATACTGGCGGTGTTGGAATCGAAATGCTCAGCTATCGCTCTTCCCCATTCCCTCCTTTTAATTTTATTTCTCCTATAGTACGCCGCTATCTCTTTTGTTGGCAATATTCTTAGCGTTCTGGTGTGTAGATTGTAGGCTGTATGGTCAATTTGAGCTGGGAATCTCGACAACGCAACTGTGCATGGCGTAAACAACACACGTCTCATTCTATATAGACCTTTCATTTGTTCGGCACTACTAGTTACTTGATATCTCTACTGACCAGCTCCGCCCCTCATATCCAAGGTCACATCATCCACCAAGCTCTGTCCTCTGAGGCTAATCAAAGCGCTCTCAACCATTCTTGCTAAATCGCTAGCTTTCCCCTCTGTAGCCGGTTGAAGCTGTGATCCTATCGCATCGTGAACTGATATGGTCTGACCCACATCATAGTCGTTGAAGCTGTAGTACCTGTCCATGACGCTCGTCTCCTCCTCGACAGGCTCGGACGGTGTAGATCGGAAAAGTGTCAAAGATTGGACTTGTGCGTCGTGTCGAGAAGTGTATCCAGTCTCGTTGGAGGAGAAGAGAAGCGTTACAGATGGGCCTTGTGTGTATGTGGAATGAGGGTTGTTGAAGCTTGGTTGAGAGAGTTCGTTGGTGGGGGAAGGGGCTGTTGAACGGCCACCTCTTTGCCTCCCGTCGTGACTCATGTCGTCCTCTCCCATTGAGTCATCGTTCAACATCTCGTCGTCGGACGAGTCACCACCATAAGGACGTTGATCTTCTTTATCCTCCTCTTGGTCATTCAGATTCATTGCTCGGTCAAAGGTTTCTGAGTCGATTTCCATGTTGTCTGCCATTATGTCCATTCTGTGTCGTGTGAGATCGTTGTTGTCAATTGGACTTCAATTGGCGGGAAGAGAAAGCGATTCTGTTGATATTTGTGACGTGATGGGACTCGACATTCCGCCAGCTGCTTCATAGTCGACATTGGTTAATGAAGGGTATGAATGTCTCCACTCTGGTCGGGGGCTCGAAGCGGAGCATACATTGAGATCAATGGGCCATGGAGCCCTTGTTGAAGCTCCTTTATAGTCTCGGCAGTACATAGCTGCTCGGACCTGCCCCTCTACAATATAGCGTTGTATATACTTGTCCGAACCCGCTCCGAGACTTACCCCGCGGAGAGAGTGAAGAGGTGGCAAAGGAAAGTTGAACGATGATTGGAAAAACGATTCAGCGGTCACTTGTTCCGGTGTCGTCGCAGGCGAGGATACCATCAGGCCCTATGGCTGTAACGGGGCAGGATGAACGCTTAGTGTCATATCAAAACCAGTATCATGTATGCGTATCAGGAGAAACACGTCTTTCAGTACTTTTAGTTCATAAATCGATTTTTCCTATAGATCACGTCAATTCATTAGTTGGTAAGCTACTTGGCCTTCCCCTCAACTCCCTGCTGGACCCAGTCTTCGAGCGAGAGTGATCCCGGGTGAATCTTCTTTAGAGCTGCAACGTCAATCTGAGTAAAGCCTCGATCTTTGAAAACTGCAGCGAACGATGATCATCAGCAATTGTTGCGAGGTACCGGCGGGACAAGCCCCAACTCACATTCAGTCATCCTTCTGTAAGTCACCGACAAAGTCAACCACACAACTTTCCCCTCCGCCCCTTGCATCCAGAACCATCCTTTCCTCCCAGCCTTATCTGTCGCCTTCTCCCAATTTTTGACGCTATAAACGCCAGAAAAGAGGGGGATGATTTGGTTTTTGAAAGTAGGGGAGGTGGGGTTGAGGAGCGCGAGAGCGGCGAAGTGGCCGATGTCGGTGGTGGAGATGAGGGCGAGGGGTTTGGGGGCGAAAGTGGAGAAGAAGGCGCTGACGTTGATTGTTTGGGAGGCGGATGTGATTTGGGGAAAATTTTCCTATGAATTCATTAGCTTTTCCCATTGGATGAGAGTTTGTGAAGGAAACGTACCATAAATACCACTGGCCGAAGGATAGTGTGAGAAAGGCCGGACTCGATCAGAGCTTGTTCGATCTGAGGATGGTATAAGCTTCATGATGTCCCTGAGGCAAGATCGGCAAGGCGCACCTTGTATTTGGTACGAAAGTGAGGCACTGTGCTCGCCACATCCGCATCGGCGACACTCGCGAATACCACATGCTTGACGCCCACTTCTTTCGCAGCTTCAACAAAGCGAATACCCATTTCAACTTCCTTTTCTTCCCCGGCATCTTTGTCTGTGACTAGAAAGGCGACATCGATGCCCTGCAAGGCCGAATGAAGATCGTCGATGGAGCTGAGGTCGGCACGAATGGAGGAGGCACCCGATGAGGCCAGGGCTCGGGCAGAGGGGGAGGAAGGGGACCGAGTGGTGAAGCGGATAGTGGGGGAAGTGAGACTGGGAGAGAGAGATGCGATCTGGGAGAGGAGGGCCTGTACGGTAGCGCCGCCTTGTTTTCCGGTGGCCCCGACGATGAGGATGTTGTTCGACGACATGGTGGGATAAATGGTGCATGTATGGGCATGGCCTCAGTATTACATACCCCCCGGAGCTGGCTGAGCAATCGTGACGGGCCATTGACCATGGGAACCGTTTTGGAACTGTTGGGCGTTTGTAATTTGTATTCGTTATTGATTGTTGACAGTCAGCACAAGATAACATTTACGTAAGGCCGACGGGCATACGTAAAGCCGCCGGGCGTACGTAAGGCCGGCGGGCACTTTAAACTCTGTTCCTCGGTAGCTTATTACGTCGCTTATGACATCGCTGACAACGCGCGTTATCTGAGAATATTATTAAAGACTGAGATTGCCGCCACGAATACGAGTATAAAGCCCATCTCCATCTCTTGTCCATTCGCATCTCCATATCTATCACTATGTCCCCCAACATCCTCGTCGTCGGCGCTACGGGCAAGCAGGGAGGCAAGGCAGCAGCCGCCATCCTCGCAGCAAAGTCAACCAACCCCGATCTCAACCTCACTTTCATCACGCGAAACCCCGACTCGGGCTCTTCCCAGAAGCTCGTGGCCCAAGGTGCTACACCCATTCAAGCCGATCTTGGCGACAAAGCGTCTTTGGTCAAGGCTCTTCAAGGTATTGACAGAGCGTTCTTTGTGACTGACGCGGGGGTCGGAGAGGAAAAAGAAGCTCAGCAAGGTATTACTTTTGTCGATGCCGCTTTGGAGGCGGGAGTGAAGCACTTGGTGTATACTAGTGTTGGAGACGCCGACGTTGCTACTGGAGTGCCTCACTTCAGATCAAAGTACAAGGCGAGTTTTGCACATACTCTCGGTTGACTCTAGCTGACGGACGGAGCAGGTCGAGCAGTATCTCGTTTCGTCCGGTATTCCATTCACCATCCTCCGTCCTGTAGCTTTCATGGTGAGTCTTCCCATATCATATAGTAGCATCAACTGATATTGGTATAGGACAACTTCCCGACCGAAGCCGGCCTCACCCGATTCTTCGTCATCGGCTTCTTCTTCTCCTGCGTCGGCCTCAAAAAAGTCGACCTCATCTCCACCTCCGACATCGGCGTGTTCGCCGGTAAAGCCCTCCTCGACCCCGAGGGTCCTCACTTCCGCAACCGTATCCTCCAACTCTCCGCTGGGACTTATGGGCTGGATGACTTTACGAGGGCGATTGAGAAGGTGCAGGGGCATACGCCGTGGTTTGCAAGGTATATGACAAGATGGGCTAGGAGTGCGTTGCCGTTTGATTTCAAGCAGATGTTCATCTGTGAGTGTCTCTTCCATGTTTCTCAAAAAGCATTTGACTGATTGATGATAACAGTCTTTGACAAGTCCGGATACAAGCCTACCGACGTAGACGAGCTTCGACGTATCCACCCCGGGCTGTTGAGTCTGGAGGATTGGTTCAGGGAGAACACGCCTGAGGATAAGAGGGTGGTTTGAAGCTCTTCTTCTGCGGTGGCTCGGAGCAGTCTGGATGAAGCACGAGCAAGTACGCGATAGTATCTGAGTGAATCCATGAATATGGTGGTGTTGCCTTTACCTGTCCAACCATACTAACGCGCATGGATAGAACGCACTCTGTTATCGAATGTTGGATGATGATCTGTACAAGGCAATACTTATTGTTTGTTCAACGGGGCAGAGTGACGTAAGGTATGACAATGCGAGCAGATATTTATACATCGAATCAAGCCTCTGATCATTTGCCATTGGCGTCTCGATTACGATAATCATAGACAGCATGCCTCTCACTTCCCCCTCCATCACTGAGCCCCTCACTAACCAACGCCCTGATGACTGTTCTATGCCTCCTCTGTTTCGGCGCAACTTGCATCTCGATCGCCGTCTCGGGGGATATCTCATCTTCAGTCTCGGCCATTTGGCCACTGTACTGCTTAAAGGGGTCTTGAGATCCCGGTGTGGAAGACTCGTAGAGGGTGAGTCGAGTCGCCCAGCTGTTTCCGGATTGTTTGGGGGAGAATATGAATGTGATGGATTTGCTGTCCAACGTCGGCTGCCATCGTGAGCTCGTGGTTGTATCGTTATTCTCGCTAGCCATTATGGGACTGCAATGTATGCAGGGGTGGTGTAGAAGAAAGTGGCGACAAAATCTGGGAATGAAGGTACGCTGACCGGAAATATATAGCACTGTATGAGAGCGGCGGTACAAGTAAAGTACTGGACTCCGTTGATCCATGTCACATCGACATTCTTTGATCCTTTCATCAACATAATCTTGTTTGGGGTCGATTCTCATTCCTAAATCGACAGTGAAACTTTCACATGTCGCGGAATTGTACAGAACAAAGGTCCCGTTCGATAAAGACTCTGTAAAGATAAGACGATGTACGTCAGGTGGATGAGAGATGAGTGGGATGCCGTGTGATTTCAAGCAGATGTTGACCTGCAAGTCCTTTCTCTCTAGTTATGGGAGGTGATAAGGACAGTGCTGATGGAGGCGGGCAGTCTTCGATGACCCTGGGCATAAGCCTCCCAACGTAGGCGGGCTCCGACGTATCCTCCCCGGGCTGTTGAGTTTGGAAGATTGCTTCAGGGAGAATACGCCTCAGGATAATGATGTAGTTTGAGAGTGTCTCCAGTAAATATTGGAATTCGATATCATTGTAGACAGTATAGTACACGAACAGGGTGGCGTCACGGTGAATGTTGTTGAATGAAGAAATGGATCTATGAAATTTAGCAATACTTGTGTCGTGTACGTATTACAGTAGTGCCATGCCTTTCCGGTCGACCGATGGTATCAACTGATAGATAATGCTGACTTGGGACATTCCACCCCGGAAGTATGTACTTTCAACATACAGGACACTGAGATATAATCTGAAAAAGCCTAACTTCAATTTTGAGCCGTAGACGATGACTACATTTGCGAGATATCCTTATGGGGGTTGATCCGGCGGTGTTCATCTTGTTCTGCCTAGGGATCAATGGATACTTCCTCCGAGTCTTTCGGTTTTCGGTAGAAAGGCAAGTCGATGAAAGGCTGTTTCCATGATCAATAAGCATACAATACTAGGTCGGCGGCTGGTGGAAATCCGAGGAAGATGACTCACTGTATGGAAACCTTTCAGCCAACTCAATCAATCGAACAGAGGAGTAAAGCCAGAGATGATGCAGCTCCGACTATTTATTTCATTTGAGTGCTTTTTGGAAATAATAATGCTTGCTGTCCGCTGTTTGTTGTTCATTCATGAGCAATGGAACGAAGGCGAACTTAAGCAGAGATATTGTCACGGCCTGACTGGGACACAGCAGGGGGAGGGACTGGAAAAGGTGTTCTTGGAGGGGAAAAGACCTTTTCGGTATTATCGCATAGAGAAAGAGTAGAAGAGTAAGATATGAATTGAGTATGTACACCGCGCGTCCTTCAACCATCCACACAACTCAGCGCTCATGCCACTTCAGGGAATATCTACGTGTGACAGATATATAAAGCAACCGACTGGCACTCAAAGAAACGCAATTTATCACAGTAACAACACATACGAGTCCAGCAACAATAGCAGATATGTCCCAATTTAACAATCAGGATGTCTACAACCCTCTAGATCGATACAGAGAGTTCCTCGACAGTCATATCAGAACGATCCAGAATCGGCGAATTACCTCAGAAGACCAATCGGCCGAGTCCCGAGGAGCATCATCCGTCTCTCCCTCCGTCGACATGAGCCCTGTGGCAAGTTTCGATCCAAACGATATCGAAGAGAACGTGATTGAACACTGGGTGGATGTCGAAAATGCCAATACTCCCTCGACCGTGATTCTGGAGGATGAGGATCTTGTCGGAGATGACGAGAACAGGCCCCCTACCTATGATTTTGGTCCGGCAAGTAATTCTGCAGCTCACCCCACGATGCTGGGGTTTATGTTCTCGGAACGACAGACCGGGATCCCCGGAGAAAGTGTCGTAATCCTCTGCACCAACTCGTCCCCTCAAGGCGCGTCTTACGCCAGGTGGATGCTTGACCAAGTGGATAGCGGGGGTCGTGATAGGCTATGGAATAGGATCAGTATGGATGACGCCATCACGCTTTATCTGGGTGATCTGGATGAGGACAGGAGAGATGCTATATCGGGCTGGATGTTGATAGGGCTTGATCAGTTCTGGAGGACGGGGCAGTCCATGTTTACTTTTGGACTTAGAGGCGCCTCGGTGGACGAAGATGCTGCCCAGAACCGAGAGAGATGACCAGCGATATTCCCAAGGTGGTGATACATACTTGCATATGTTTTCGAGGTGGCACTGTAACCTCAGGCGCTATATGAAAGCTATAAAATTTGATTTTACCTGACCTTTAGCCACAAATCGCATTCAAGCGAAGATAAAGAGTCATGGCGACCCCTTGATCATCCTCTACATATACTATCCTTTCGACTGACTCTTAATCACAGATCCCGAACTGTGCAGACATAGCGGATATCTCTTTTAGAAGACGTTCACGACGGTGAAAGGTTGTACAAATGACGAATACAGGCGGAGATTATACTTGAATATATCATATATAGCTCAACCTAATTCTACCATTCGAAGATTCATCACTTGACCCAACAAACATAAAGTACTTCAGCCGGAATGTCTGCTCGGAATGACACAGACACGATTTCTGACCAGGACGGTCTCTTTTCTCAAAGGGGCATAGATAGAACTCGACAGATAGCTACGGTGTTGGCGGCACGAGAAGGTATACCGCATGAGCAGTTGAAATCCGATCTCAACACATTTGTAGACTTTCCACGTGCGGCTCAAATGGCAAGTCGGGTTGGTGCAAACGCCGAATCTGAAGACCTTGAGGTCAGCAAAGGTAGTAGACCTTCTGCCTCTGCCGGTAGCACGACCGGAATGGTTGACACAGGGAGGATGCCTTTCAAGTCAAGCTCAAGGCTTGTGCAAGCTTATGATCCGCTTTCTACGCGCTCGCAGCACTCTCCCATGAGGACGACGACGAGAATAGAGCTGCTTCATCAATCGGCAATGATGACGGAAGCGGGGTTATTAGAAAGCGCTTACATAGCCTTCTGGACTGTGTACGTAGACAATGAGATGCCTCACCAGAAATTCAGTCTTGGGTCATTATTGTTGAAAGGTTTCAGCAGGAGAAGGATCACTAAGGAAGCTATTATGGAGTTTACGCTTTTCTTCCCAGTTGCTCGTCATTCATGCACTCCTTCGACTCATATCACCTGGCATGCTGAAAAAAAAACCAGAACGTCCAACAGCATCCCTTCACATTACCACTATCTGCTCTTATTTACATCTCGTCTCGGAGTCCCTTGACAGCTACTTGTTGTATTGGCGCCACATATATTCATGCTATTAGGCTATAACTGGCCATTCTCATCGCGATGCCCGAAGTCATACGTTCTACGGTGGGTCGTCGTCGTCTCGGCATACACCCCCTTGTCGACCAGAGACTTGATGACTCCCCTCTTCGTCGCATCCGTTGGGGCAATGGCCATATCGATTGCCGTCTCAGGCGATACCTCTTGCCTGTGAAGGTCCGACGACCGACGACGCAGTGTTGCTCATAGAGTCGGCATATTGATAGCATAGAGAACATGACTACGGACAATGTGGGATATGTATGGAAGGTGACGTTACGTAAGAGAGTAGTATCAATCAACCATTAAGTAGACTCCGACACTCCCCCTTGATCACTACTCTCTTCTTTAAGAAACGGAACAACGTTGAAAAGACAAGATAGAAAAGTCCGTTAAAAAAGAAAACAAGAAGAAGAGTCCTTGACAAAGAAGAAAAAAAGCCCTTGACAAAGTCGTGTTCCCCAGCAGCAATAAGTCGCCTCCGCTTACTCCCTCTCGACAGCTCCCCAGGCCCAGCTCCCCCAGAACCACAATCCGCCACAAACCAATCCGCCAGACAATTCCCCTCCCCCCACGCTCAGTAGGCAGACCCGTCAGAGTCCCCTTCTTCGTCGACAGTGGCCATGGCTGCCTCTGCAGGAACAGATGCATTTCGTCGAGGGCACTGCTGGGACCAATGGTCCGGCGCTTTGCAAAGCCGACAGGGGTTTTCGGCAGAGGGACGGAGCTTGACCCGGCTGGCAACTAAAGCAGACTCGTCGGGAGGGCCGAAGGAGCGGGAAGACTTCTGGTGGGCGGCGAGGCGGCGGATGGCAGTAGAAACATCGGTGGGGGTAGGTCGAGTGGGATTGGCGAGGACGTTGTAGACATAGTTTTGATACTCGCCGCTGGGCAAGCCATGTAGGAGCACGTTGACAACCGTGTCCTCAAGGGTCCACTTCAAACCCTTGAGCTCCTCATACCTCGCCATCACTTCATGAGTCCACTCAGCAACATCTCCTCCCTCCTGGCAAGTACTGCCCAACAATTCTCTTCCTTTGTCGAAGACAGATTGCGCATCTGCAGCGCCATAATTGAGGACAATGGTATCGTAGACCGTGGATGATAAGGAGGTCGAGGAGGTTTCTTCGAGGAGATGGAAGAGGGATTGCTGAATTGGAGAAGAGGTGGTGAGGAGGATGCTATACGCGATTTGCTCGTCGCGAGCACGCCACGTTGCGTCGTCCATTTGAGACTTGTCATTCTGAATGAAGCCACGCGCACCAAGGGAACCCAGGTAGAGAATGAGAGAGGTTTTCCACTTGGGGAAGTTTTCTTTCCCAGTGAGGACGGGGACTTTTGCCATGGCATTGTGGAAGCCTGACCCAGGGATAGAAGTAGTCGCCATGTGGGGAGGTGTGTCGTTGGGAAGCGATGGTGTTGACATGGTAGGGACAGTGGTGGAAAGGAGTGACGAAAGGAGGTGGGAAGGGATTTCGGTAAGGAAACGAGAGTGGGGAAATTCCGAGTGTGGCAATGCCAGCAAAGGAGGGTGGTGGAATAAAGGGGGTTGCTGTAACTCGAGCAACACGAGGATGCTACCGCCAAGTAGGCAGCAGAGCACTGTAGGGACAGGATGGTGACCAGAGGTATACGCACTCATCAATCACCCAGACCATGACTCCAGCGAAAAATTCCTTCCACATACATCCAGCAAGTTCACCAGTTCGACAACTTGCGTCTGGGCAACGCATGTCAATCCAGCAGCTCCAAGTCCCAGTCCTATCCTAGGAGCATGGCGAGTCTGAAAAGCTCTGACTGAGATCGGGCCTGCATGTCAAGCCAGCAGCTCCAACTCCCAGTCCTATCCTAGGACATGGCGAATCTGAAAAGCTCTGACGGAGATCAGGCCACAAAGACCAAGGGTCGCAAGTGGGAAGTTCAGGGGTAGTGAAGGGGAAGACGATGTTGGCGTATTCGCTGGGTAGTGATAAGTCGAACCGCAAGGCCGAGGCTCATAACCTGTGAAGGTCCGACGACCGACGACGCAGTGTTGCTCATAGAGTCGGCATATTGATAGCATAGAGAACATGACTACGGACAATGTGGGATATGTATGGAAGGTGACGTTACGTAAGAGAGTAGTATCAATCAACCATTAAGTAGACTCCGACATTGCCCACTATTGGAAAGCCCAACATACTGATAGCACCGATGTGAGTACTCAGTTCGAGGTGCCGAAGACCCGTAAAGAGTCAGGCGAGTCTCGGTCTTGTGACCAGTTTGTTCCGCAGAGAACAGGAATGTGATGGACTTTCTATCGTCGTCGAAGAACTGCGACCCCTGAGAGACGCTCCCGTCGAATTGTCCTGCGGTACTATCGTTTCTCTCACTAAACATTACGAAGATCTTGCCGGGTATGCACAACATCACCAGGATTCTGATGGCTTTTGTATCGATGTTCTTCGCCTACGAAGGGGAAAAATATATACACACGCTCTTTTGTTCAATCGTTCTGCTCTCACCATAGACGCGATGTGCGCTTGTCACACTTCGTGTTTCTGTTCACACATCGAAGCTAGCACTGTGAGAGCTCCTCGAAAGGATGCTGTATATTCTGGTGTCCACTGATTCGAGAGGTGAGAAACCGGAAGTGAGCGTCGCGGCGCGGTGGTATTGATCTATCAGGAGAAGCTCATCAACACCGTGATCAACCTGCTGTAAGTAATGTATCTACTGCTGGAACAGTATTGTGTCGATATTTGTCATATAGTTGCGTTGGCATTGGCCTATTGTGATCCCTGCTGGACTTTGTGTATTGTTGTTAAAGCTGGTCATATGAAAGACACGGGCCCGGGCACGAATTGTCATTGAGCCATCATCGTTCTGTATTGCTTTTTTTCATGCTGGAAACTCGTCGCAAGACCCAAGGGATGCTTGACCGACCCCCGGGACACAGCGTAATTTAGTACCATCAAACGCTCCGCTGGTGGATTAGTGAAAATGAGATGTTGCGTACACCTTCGTCACTGCTGACGATAATGGAATGCCAATCAACTACTGACAATGTACAAGAATGCGAGCTGCACCCGGCGGAAGAAGATGCAAGTTCATCATCTCTACTCAGCAGCGTTGACCGACCTCGCATATACACGACATTGTATATGGAGGGAACAGTGCCGCCAAGGAATTCAACTCCTCTCGAGAATATTGTATCGCATGTGGGCCGAGATCAAAGGAATCCGGATAATCAAGAGCGCCGGTAACTAACGTCCTTTCAAGCTGCTCGCGCTCCTGTGAGTCCCAAAGGCGTGATGGTGTGCCTCCCAGCCGGAAACAGACCCATTTGTCTGCTTTTCATCATCCGAAGTCCGAAAGAAATGCTTCAGGAGGAGAGAACGGGTCCGCCCTCAGCAGCCCTAGATAAACACTCCAGCTCTGCTCTGACATTCTCCCAAGCACAAGCACATCCTTTCGGTATTATCGCATGGGAAGAGTAGAACAATGAGACATGCGGAGCCAGCCCGGCAGCTTCAGCGACCGAAAATCCTGTCTTTTCGGCGTAGGCGACAAGAGTGATGGTTTTGCCTGCTGCTCTCTGGAATTTGACGGCTTTATCGTTGTCGAAGTTGATCTCGTCGGGGTTGCCGTCGTCGTCCAGGGTGAAGGGCGTAGCGAGATTTTGGTCAGGCAGCAAGGGAAAGGAGGGCTAAGGAAAAGGTAGGATTGTTGCAATGAATTGCGTATGTGCACCGCGAGGCTTTCAACAATCCACAATACACGCACCCCGCCACGAGTCCCCGAACCTTCCCGTGCCACATTGGGCATTATGTCCCGCTACGTTACGTACCGCTTGACTACTCGTATATCTATACTCGCAGCATCCTGCGTACTGAACTCCAGAATACAACAAAGAGTAGGTTGGTGATGGTGCGGAAGCGATTCTTTGGGATGCATTCATGCTAGATGAGTTGTCGGATTCATGTACATCGCGGGCACCACTCTACAGCGCGACACTTTTTGCCCACTAGCACCTAGCTTGAGCTCACACTTTCGTCGACGCATTCGGTACTTTCGATGACCCCGCTTCCGAGACACCACCCCTCATGCCAAATCCCAACCACCTGTCCTGGGCTGACGCCTACCAGTGGAGGATCGAAGATAACCTTGACGCTGTGAAGAGTGGTCAGCCCAGTTCCCGAATAGAATCAGATTGGCGGGGTGATGGGCAAAAGATAGGAAGACACGTGAAAGATGAAGAGAAAGGGAGACGCACTCTGAAAGGTTCTCGCCAAATTCCACCTTTGCCGGCGTAGGTTCCATCCGATGTCTGACTTGGACCATCACGCCCGCCGGTCTTTCCTTGATGATGGCTTTCGCCTCCTCGCCTCCATGGATCCAGATGAACGACGCAGTGCATACCGAAGAACAAAGTAACGCCGGATGACCCCTACGCGCCCAAGTTCATCAGTCAACAAGTCTCATACAACGAGAGGGAAGGGAGGAGACACGTACGCAGGAACAACCACGATATCCTGCCCCTCCCTCCCCACCCCCTTCTTAGCAACGAACAACACCTCCTTCTGCCCGCCTAAGCGCGCTTTTTGCCCGATAGTGTAGTGCCAGAGGCCTTTGTGCTGCTGGAGGGGAGTACCGGAGGGGGTTGTGAAGAAGCCTGGGGGTGGGGGGGAGGTGTATTGTGCTTTTGGGAGTTACTTGGGATATAGGAGGGAGAAGGAGGAGAGGGGGAAGGGGACGTACAGATAAAGTCCCCGAATTTACCGCGTTCGCCGATAAAGCAGACGCCCATACTCTCCGCCTTCTTCGCATTCGGTAAATCCCAATGCAGTGCTAGTCTTCTAACGTCCTTTTTCAATAACCCGCCGAGAGGTAATATCGTCTACTACCAGGTCAGCGAAGGCACTAAGGAAGAAGGACAGGGGGCAAGGGGCAGAGAGGACGTACGCGGGATAGTTGGTATTCGGTCATCTGGGAAAGGTAGTAAGTCTGATCTTTGGACGTGTCGGCGGCTCGGAGTAGACGTGATGGGGACGATGGGAAGTGGGATATGCGGCCGTAGTGGCCGGTTGCGAGGAAATGACGGTCGTTCTTTGGCAAGACGTCGAGCAGAGCTCCGAACTTGATCTCTCTAAAACATTCATAAGCCTACACTCTAGCGGATAGTGAGGAGAGAGACATGCCTGTTGCAATCGACATCAGGATTCGGCGTACCCCCACTCTCCCAAACGCCCACAGCAGGCTCAAACACCCGACTCCAGTACTCCTTGCTCAGGTCGACAAAGCGGACTTTGGCCTCGGGCACGCCGAGGTGGGACGAGACGGAGAGGACGTCGGTGTAGTCGCGTTGCCATTCGCAGGGAGAGAGGTTTGGGGTTTTGGGAGTTGTTGAGGAGGGGGAGGAGGGGGTGTAGGAGAGGGATGTTTGGGGAGCAGGGGAGTCGGAGTCGGGTGATGATTCGGAGAGGAGGGGATCCCAGTTGCGCATGAATATGACGTCGAGGTGTATGGGCTATGCCTGGTCAGCTCAGGTCGACCGATTTTCCTTAAAGGTCACTTACAAAGTCTTTGAGTATACCAAGCGTCGTGGCAGAGTCGACCCCTCCGGACATGCCTACTGTGACTGCTTATGATCAGCTCGGTCCAACTCCAAAAGTGAGTGACATACCATGATCGCCTTCTCTCAGCCCCAAGTTCTCCATGGTGGGGAGTAGCCTCTTGAGCTCGTTGGGGGATAAAGTGTGGGATCTTCGTATTGAAAGTCTATAGTTTGAGTTGCTGTGGCGAGCGTTTGCGCGAGGGGAACATCTGAAAAGCGTGGGGATATGGTGAAGGGGGCTTATTGATGGCACTCTAGAAAAGGACATGGCTATTATAGATATCTATACAAGACTCGAATCGCTCGAGAAATGGCAAAAACAAAGAGGACTCTGAAATATTCGGCGGCGGCCGGAGCGAAAAGAAAATAACCTGAGAAATCAACTTAAGCGTTGCGCCTTCTTGGGGGTTGACTACATGAAATCGCGTCGACGCGTCTATCTCCTCTTGCTTTTACATCTCTTCTTGCCCCCATACCCCACCACCCTGTATATCCCACCCGCCCCTCGCACATACCCCACAAAGAATGCCGCACCATAACCCAGCTGCGAGCGCATCCGATGATGAAGACTGGGTCCCTCCGTGCGTATCCTCCCTCTGTCTCTTCTTGGCATGAGACACAAGCTGACATAGGCTGTGTGTGTAGTACAGAGGAAGAGTACAGGGATCTGAAAAAGTACAAGTACGTACCCCCATCACAACTATCCGAAAGACGTGTGACTGACCGACTCGGCGCGTAGATCATTCATTAGTGAGTTCCCACCTCTCAACCATTCTGACGCGTCACTCAACGACCGATAATTGAGTAGTGCCTATGGATACCCCTTATTCCATTGGTGAATTGTACGTCCCGCCCTTCTTCCATATGATGAGAGAGGGAGCTGATATGGGAGTAGTGTGTGGATGCACCATGACAAATGCCGACCCTTGTCCGACTCGCCCCCCCGCCCTGCGCCAAGGCGCGTACGCCCTTCCCTCACACCCTCGCAATCTCAACGCGAAGGAAGCACCGCCAGCCTCGCTCCCAGTGCGGCCACAGGCGAAGGTTCGTCCGGCGCCCTGGTCAGCGCAGAGGAGGAGGAGAGGCAGTGGCAGAGGAGGGAGGTGAATAAGATGTGGAAGGCGGGGCATTGGATTGGGAGGATCATTGAAGTGAGGGCAAGGGGGAATATGTATGTTTGGATGTGAGTGCTCTTTCTGAAGGAAAAGACGGAGCTGATGAAAGAGTAGGAAGATAAGGTGGATGTGTAGGACTATCAGCGAGTTGAAAGAGCAAGATGTCAAAACCGGCTTGTACGTCCCCCTCCCCTTCTTCCTCTTCTTCTTCCCCTCGCTAATGACAAAGAAAGACCGCGTTCAAAACCCGCCGGCCGCGAAATCTTCATGCTCGGCCCAGAATACGACGCCATACAACCAGTCGGCACCGTCGAAGGCCGCGTCCCCGTCGTCCTATTCGACGAGTCCAACCCGATCCCGCCGGAAGATCAAGAGATTGATGAAGAGACGATCTGGTATAGGCATGAGGCGAGGATGCCGAATGAGATGGAGATGGAGCTGCTTCATCCGAGGGCGAGCGCTGGGTCGGAGGCTGGGCCTGGGGGCGGAGGTGGGAGGGGTGGGAGGGGTGGGAAGGGGAAGGGGAAGAGGGGGAGGAGCGAGGAAGTGCATATTTCGAGGCATCTTTTCGCAAGTCATCTATCATATGTAGGTGGAGAGAGCTGATAGAAAGTAGCCGTATCAACCAACATCGTGCTACTGCGGCGACCCCTACCTCCCCATCGCCACGAAACCAGAACTCATGGCGCTTTGTCCCAACCCCGGTACGTCCCCCTCCCCCCCCCATCTTCTTGTTGGATATTGGAGGCTGATGGAAAGCAGGCTGTCTGAGATGGTTCCACCTCGGCTGCCTGGACTGGACCGGCCGAGGGCACGACCACCGTCTGCCTTCCCTCACGCCTTCCTCTTTGGCCTACATCCGCAAGTCGGGGCTGGCGCTGGCGAAGTATATGGTTGACAGTACGCCTGCGGGTTCGGGTTTGCCTGTGCCGCCCATGTCGGCTTCGACTGTTTCTTCTTCGCCTAGCCAGATCAACGGCAGCGGCCATGTCAATGGCCAGGGACAGACGCAGACGCAGGCGCCAGAGATAAGGACCTCCCAAACAGCCCTCCGCCGCGCCCTCACTCCAGCGTGGTCCTGGGCAAACCGCCACCCCCAAGCCGAAGGTCTCCCAGCCGATACCCTACCGTCGCCTACCGACTCTCAAGCCCTGTTGGAAGTCGGGTTGAAAGAGTCGCTTTTGCTGGATTCTGAAGCTCGGGCGAAGGGCAGGGGGCGGAGTGTGGAGGGAGAGGGGGAGGGGGAGGGGGGGAAGGAGGAAGGGGTGGATATGAGGCTTGGGGAAGAGGTAATTGCTGCTGCTGAGGGTGTTATCGTCCGAGGTAAGGGTTATGGCACCGGGGGGAACGCGAGGAAAATACTGTCGGCGAGGTGGATCGTGCATCAAGCTGCCCTTTCGCCGCCTTCCCCTTCCCCTCTTCCTCTTGTCTCTGGTTCTGGGACATCAGGCGGAGGACAAGGAGAAGACAGGATAGTGAGGTTGGTGAGAGAATGGGAGACAAAGTGGGGTGGGGTGGAGGGGTTGGAGGTTAGGAGGTGTGTTTGGAGTTGTCCGGGGTGTGAGAGGTTGATGTAGATTATCTCCTTCTCCTTCTTCTTCATCTTCTCCTGATTTCTTTTCCTCTTCTGGTGATGAGGTGTTGAAGTGGGGAGGGTGAGGGGGAGGGGGGGATGAGTGTTTGGAAGGTTTCTCTTGAGAGGGATTTATCTGTAATAGCATGTATCGTGGTCGCGTATCCCAACCACCTGGAAAGACGAGAAGAGAGAGGGAGCTGGAGGGCGAGTATGACCTATATCTTGAGATCTCGAACAAAGAAACGATAGCGAAAGACAAGACGGGAGAAGTGAGAGGGGGTTTGGAAACCATTTTTTGCATGTTTTCTGCGATTCTATGCTATGCTTTGCTTACTCCCCGCCCACCCTCCATAATCATGTCCCCCTCGAGAACGACGGGAAACTGCGTTCCGAAACATGGAGAGACATCCTGCTCCATTCGTCTATAACACACACATTTTGAGAAGAAAAGGTTTTGGTTTGTTGGAGACGTGGAGAGGGAGAGGAAGGTGGAATGATGTGTGGGAGAAGATGAAGAGGAAGGCGAAGCGGTAGGTGAAGATGGAAGAGATTGGAAGGAGGAGAGGGGGGAGGGGTGGTCTAGGGCTGCCTCTTGACGCGGTCTTTGACTTTATCACTAGCATCCTTGACTTTGCCTTGGGCATGCGTCGCGGCTCTTGTCAATCCGCCCTACGAGTAAACACCTGTATTAGTTTCTCTCCCGGGATCCAGAGAAAAGGGGAAGGGAAATGAAGAGGAATGAAGAGGAAGAAGAGGAGACGTACCTTCCCAACCCAACCTTGTTTCGTCAACCACCCGACAAACTTTGGTGTCCACGCCACCGTCAACCCGGCTCTGAAAGGGAGAAGCAGTGTTTTGTGGATGGTGTATGCTAGGATGACCTCTGCCCAGAAGGTCCGTCCGAACCACTTGTTCCTCTCCCCCTTCCCCCCATCCTTCTTTGCTTCCCGAGATTCCTCCTCTCTTGCCCTTTCGTCTTCAGCTTTGAGGCGCAAAGCTTCCTCCTCCCCATACCGTTTGGCCCTATACCACCCTTTCCCCTCGTCGAGGAAAGGTTCGATCCGCTCAGCGCCGACGGCGTGGACGAGGAGGAAGGTGGCGGAAAAGTCGAGGGAGGAGAGGAAGAAGTACATGCCGATGGCGTAGTAGCCGTATTTCTTGGAGAGGGCTTTGAATTTGGCGTAGGCGGAGGTCGGTTCGGGAGCCGAGGGGGTGGGGGAAGGGGTGGAGAAGGGGCGGCGGGGGAAGGAACGGGGATGGTATGGGGGAGGGAGGGGGCGGGGGGGGAGGAGAGCAGGGAGGCGGGGTATTCTGAGGGACATGCTGGGTGGATTTAGAGGGAGATGGAAAGAAAGAATTGTCTGAACGAAAGACGTCAAGCCTCCGAGTTGCGTGTCCTCGCCGGCAGGGGTTTACGTAAAGTGGATGACCGGCGGGCTTGCTATGGTGATGTGAGTTTGGTCCCACCGCGCACTACTAGTGTGGGGAGGGGATTAGAACTGTACTGGGAAGGGTTTGTAATGGATAGGACAAGGGGCTAATGGGCCTGCCAAGGGGAGGGGGCGGGAGGACGCGCCGATGTTTGGACCCCTGCCAAGCACCATGTCTTGGCGCCCACAACGCTATATAACCCCATGCGCCTCCTCCCATTCCTTCCCCCAGCAAATAATCTCCCAAGATGACCCTCTCCACCCTCCTCCCCCTCCTCCTCGCCCTCCCCTCCGCCCTCGCCCAGGTCACAGCCTCCTACCCCAACGGCCCCACCAACCCCGACGCCCCCGCGTTCTACCCCGTGGGCTCGTACGTCAACCAAACCTCGTTGAGTCGCTTGATCTCGCTCAATAGCGTGGACGATTTCTGTCTGTGGGGGCCGCCGGAGAAGGGGAGCGGGGTGGAGACGGAGATTGGGACGGTGGAGCCGGTTGTGGTGGCGTATTGTACAAAGCCGAGGAATGGGGCGAGGTTGATCCCGGATGGGGCTATCACTGGTGCTCATGTACGCTCTCTTCTTCCTTTCTGCTGGTGTAGCTGACAAGAGGATAGTTTATCAAGACGGACACCTACGTCCAAGTATGGGGCTGTACGTTCATTCTTCCTCTTTCCGCGTGGTTACCCCGCCTCTTGGCGCTCCCTACTTGTATGTGTCACACCGCACTGACCCCCTCCCCTTCTGGAACACAGTCTGGGACGGTACGAAAGTCAACATCAACGAAGGCGACGACGGCGGGGAGCTCGACCCCCACGGCGCCGAAAACCTCGGGAACCCCATCGGCGGGAATGCGACGTCCAACGTGGAGGGGAAGGATGTGTTTTATGAAGAGTGGATGTCTTTTGTATGTCCCCTTTTTCTTCTCTTGTCTTGTCTTTGTTTTGTTTTGTTTTTATCTTGGAGGAGAGCTGATAAAAGGGGCAGATTTCGTATGACCAGTTCTGTTTGAGGGTGTGCACGGCCGAGAAGGACAATGTCACGGCGGCGCTGCAGTGCGAGCATGAACTGGATATCATGGGATGTCGATTCGTCATGGCCATCGAGTACGTCCCTCCCCCCCCTCTCCCCTCCTCTTTTTCCTCCCTCCTCCTCTTTCTCTCCCTCCTCTTCGGGCAAAAGCTGACGTGAGGCTAAGCAACTTTTACGCAACAAACAACTCGTTCTCGTCGTGCGAAGGCGAGCCCGCCGCCCCTCCCGGCCTCTACCCCCTCTCCAACGGCTCCACCTCCACTTTCCGTCAACGCTACACCGGTACCTGGTCGAACGCTGATGAAACGGGAATGTTCACTGTGGGGCAGACCGTTACGCCCAGTAGTGTTGCTTTGTGAGTCTTCTTTTCCTTCTTCTTTTGTCTTTTGTTTTGTTGAGAGGAAGTGGGCTGACGTTTTGGAACAAGCTATCCCAAAACATCCAACTGCATAACCTACTCCACCATCTCGAACGGTATCGACACGGCCAACTATGCAGTCACCGCCACGCCCTCGCTGCTCGTCTCTGGTAGCACCGTCGCGGCTTCGTCTGTCGGCACCACTTCGCAAGAGGCGCCCAGTGGGATTTCGACTTCGAGTCCGACTAGCACCACCGCGGCGTCGGGCTCTTCTGCGGCGAGCGGGGCGGAAGCTACTGGTTCGGGTTCTGGGAGTGGAGGGGATGAGGAGGCAGCTGCTTCTGCTTCCGGCTCTGGCTCTTCTGGCTCTTCGGCCAGCGCTGCTGGGAGGGGCGTTGGCGTGGAGGGGGTGGTCCTGGCTGGGGTGGTGGGGCTTGTCGGCGCCGTTGTTGGTGCTGCCACTTTGCTCTGAACCTAAACTCCCGGCCTCGAGGCTCTGGTCTCTAGCCTCTGTTTCGAGCTTCCTGTTCGTCTGAATGATTTCATACTCTGTAGGACGCATAGCATGCTTTTTGTTTACCACTCTTCCTTCTTCTTTCTCCGTTCTTCCGTTTTCCGACATTCCGAGACATAGTATGCCCGACCCATCTATTCAATCTGAATCCACCTTCAACCTTCTTTTTCTATACCGCGGACTATACAAAAAACCCCCCTCATGATATTCTTGAACTCTTTCCAGCGCCTCGCCTTGTTGGATATGAGTACTCTTTTTTTGAATCTATGGACGGCATCTGCAGACATGTATCTATTGACCGGTGACCGAGTACGTCGGAGAATGGTGAAAGGGGTGGGGGAGAGTACAACATACATTATAAATGGCTCTCTTTATTTGTATTGACCCTTCTTGCTTGATATTGTCCGTTTCTTCACCCTCGCAGATCGACATCTAAAGGACTACACACTGCTTCTTCTTCTTCCTAACCCCTCCCCTCCCCGCCCCTCCCCCTCCTCCCCCAGCTCCCCCTCCAGAACCAGAACCAGAAGGCGGCGCCAAAACCCCCCTCACAGCCAGGTCAAAAACCTCCCTAACCCCCCACCCCGTCTTTGCCGACACCTCCCTGAATCCCAGCGCTCCGACTTCCTTTGCGAGAGCCTGGCCTTGGGCGGGGGTGATGGGGGCTTGGTTGCGCGAGGCGAGGGTGGAGAGGGTCGGGGGGTGGGAGGAGAGGTCGGATTTGAGGGAGAGGAGGAGGAAGGGGGTTTGGGGGGCGTGGTGGTGGAGTTCGGGGAGCCACTGGTGTTTTGTTAGCATTGAAGGAAGAAGAAGGGAGGGTGACTCACTTTCTAGGTACGATCAATAAATGCACAAACACGGACGCACAGACGCAAAAACAGCAAAGTTAGCGGGAGCCTCCACTGTAGATGACCATCCCCCCTTTGCTGCGGGAGAGGGACGTACAGACTTGATATTCTCGAAAGATGCTGGGGAGACGCAAGAGTAGCAGACGAGGAAGATGTCGGTTTGGGGGTATGATAGCGGGCGGAGGCGACTATGCCCGAGAATCAGCTCCCACTACCCAAGAAAGAGAAAGAAAGAGAGACGGGACGTACTCGTAATCCTCCTGCCCAGCCGTATCCCACAACCCCAAATTCACCTCCCTCCTGCCCCCCTGCCCCAGCCCCAGATCAACCGACATTTCCGCAGAGTAGTTGTCGAATACGGTGGGGACGTATTCCATGTTTGCGGGGAAGGTGGAGGAGGGGGAGGTGTAGGCGATGAGGAGAGAGGTTTTGCCGGTGGCGCCGTCGCCTACTATCACGCCTGCCGGGGGGTTAGCTCGGGGTAGAGGGGAAGAGGAGGGGGGGAGGGGGGAAGGGGGCGTACATTTGATGCATTGGGTGGCCATGATGCGGGGTGGATGGGAAAGACGCGCGGGATGTGGGGAGATGACGAGATGGCTTTCGGGGGTTCCGAGTGATACGACCGGGATGCAGATAGTATACTTTTGACGCGTTTTTTCACAATCCGAGTGGTCGGGAGAGTCGTTTTCTGTCAGGGGATGCAGGATACCCCTTTGCTGTATTGCTGTAGACGTGATAAAAAGCGAGGACGGGGTATACCTCTGGCTCGACGCGTATTTTCTCGAGGCGCAACGAGAGGCTAGAAACGGAAGCTAATCCGCGCCTCTGGGCATAACGCCGCATTTCCCCGTGCACCAGCGCTGCCCCGCCTATCATCTCTTGCGCATTTGGCCCCTGACCTATAAACCCACAAGCATGTCCCTCCGACCACTCTTACGACAGACACAGCTCAGGAGCGTGGGCGTGAGGAGTATCCAGAGCTCGGCGCCGAGGAGGGGGGCGCATGGCGGGCATGGGGCCGAGGAGGACCAGAGTGATACTTATACCAAAGAATGTGCGTCATCTCCTCCCTCACTCGAGCACGACTGACGAAGGGGTAGCATTCCTGAACCCCAAGTGGCGCAACGCCTTCCTCCTCTTCACCACCGCCGCCCTCATTTTCCCCTACCTCCCCGCCCCCGCCAAATCCAACCTCTCCCCCTCCCTCTCGCCGGACGCGTTCCAAGAGGCCAGGCGGGATGTGGAGGGCGAGCTGCCATGGTTGACGAGGTGGTTTGTGAGGGAGACGGAGAAGGCGGAGGTGTGGAGGGAGAGGGCGGATAGGCATTTGGAGTTGACGAAGGAGGAGGCGGATAGGAGGTTGTTGTTCCAGGAGGCGGAGAGGCCGAAGGTGTTGAGGATGAGGTATCCTAGGTGAGTCTGCTTTGAGCTTGGAGGAGGGAGGGGGAGAGGTTGGATTGGGACGGGGTGGGAAGTGCCGCGGTTGACTTGACGCAACCTCGCACCTCCTCTCTTCTTCATGCCCTGCTCCTGTTTCTCTCAAACACCATCTCTCGTACGGATGATACTGACATACATGCTAGCCGATTCGAACAAGCCTCCCCGTTCAACATTCCCGTCGGATCCCAAGTCGACCTTTCAGACCTCAAAGTCCGACCTGCTGAATAGACCTCTCTCCTTCCCCTCCCCTGACTCTCTCCCTCTCTCCATCCAGCCGATTGTCGTCTTTCCGCCCCCACCTTATCCCTCCGAGCCCGCCTTTCCACAATTTGTATAACAAATACTATTCGCTATCCGGGGAGGGACGACTGTCGGTATGCGGGGGGAGGGGGTGGATAGAAGAGAGCGTAGATGGGGCATGTAACGAAGGCTATGCATAGTTTGGAAATTTCGCGAAACGGGTTTACACTTGTGATACGTCTTGCGAGCGGACATGGCATGGGAGAGGGGCGAGGTCGTAAGGGGGCCGGCAATGGTTGGTTGCGATGTGGTGATTGGGGAAATGGAGGGCAGCTGAAGCTTGAGCTTGGGATTTGGGCGTCCTGGCCTCTCCCTCCTTTGGCCTGTCTTTCCGTTCTCAATTCACGAGGTCCTCAAGCTGTTGTTGGTGGGGGTTGAGCTGAGAGGTTGATTTTGGGCAAGCGGCGTACGAAAGGAAGAATGGAAGCGAGGTTGGTTGAGTGGTCGGCTGCTTTGGCGAGTAACGGCCATTATGCGGTACCAATAGCAGACTCTTCGCGATCGTCGTCATCTCCATTTCTCTCATCACACATCACCAAACAAACGCCCTTTCAAATTATCTTTCCAATCCGCCAAATTGATATACCCCCCCGCATCCACATCCACCCTCTCCCTCTCATCCCACCTCCTCCCCGATATATGCGTCTTGTCACACTCCACCTTCAACTCCAAATTTGGATCTTTGTTGTATAATAACGCCTGGTATACCGCCAATGCCCATGTGTGTTGAAGTCTGTTGATCTTTTCAACACATCCTCGTTGAAAGAACGTCCCATCGTCCATACTTTCCAGAACATGCCTGCCTAGAACCCTGTCGTCCACCTGCGAAGCGAATATGAACAGCTCCCAAGGCCGGGTCTCATAGTCATCAGATATCTGTGAGCGCAGCGCTTCGAAACCGCCCATCCTCAAACCCATACTTGTCCCGTGCATCTTACAAGGAAACAGAAATCCCCCTCGAGAAGGGCTATCGACGACAGAGCAGGGCTCGTGCATTCGCAGCGACTGTGAGGTGCTCGAGGAAGATGCTGAGAGTAGACGTAACCAGCCACTAGGATGACTAAATGGTAATCCGACAAAGGGGGTACGTGATACTCACGTCATCGATGTCTGAAGCACCCTCACGCCCTGCGTCCAGTCAATTCGTATACCGACTGTCGACTCGAGAGTGCATAATGTCAAAACGGAAACGTTTTCGGCGCGCGATGGCACGTAAAGCGGGTTGGTCAATCCCCATTTTTCCCAACATATCCATCATTTTTACCACTTCCGGCCACGACATTCTCCTCATATCGACCATTTCTCATCAAGCCGAGACTGGTGGCGAGGCAGCTGGCAAGGCGAAAGAGTATACGGTCAACACGATATACTATGCCAAGGGCAACGTTCATTTCATCACATCCGGCAATGTGCTCTTTCCTTTCCACCTCGATCGTCTTGCGAGAGTCAGATCAGTATCTTCACCTCACTATCGAGATCATGAGGGAAGGGCGCTGTAAGAGGCTGACCTTCTCAAAAGCTCATTCTTCCGAGACCTCAGCGACATCCCGCAGCCTTCCGGCAAAGAGGTCGGAGCTCCCGTTTCCGGCCAAACCATTCTCGATAAACTCAACGAGCCAGAAGACATCTCTACGCATACGAATTCTGTCATCATGTTTCCCGAGTGCGATGCAAAAGGTCTTCAGCCTTGGTCGAATCTCGTCTCCCTTGGCGGAGCACACGGGTTGGGCTTGAACATTTCTTGCGAGGAGTGTGATACGCTCTATACCTTGATGGACAAGTATGGGTGCGACGAGAGCCTGTACGAATGTCTGCGTTCCCAGATAACGTTCATGGCGAGAGAGAAGGAATGGGAGATGTTCATTATGGCTTCGCATGGGAACGACAGGATTTTGGGGAAGCGCGCTTTGGACAAAATGGATGACAAAACTTTCTTGGAGGAAGGTTTTAGCAAAAGAATCAGACGTCTCAGTGATACTTGGGCATTGGCTGTCTATCAGGCGCTTTACACTAAAGACCCAAACTTGAGTCCCGAGACTATCTGCCCTGGGAGTAACGAGTGGACAAGTGGGAAGTGGCGAACAGAACTTTCTCGTGCTGTAGATGTGGCAGCCTCTGATTTCATCAATCTATATCATTGGAGAAAGGATCTCCTGGCTACTTTGTTTGCAAAAGATTGAATACGTTTTCCTGGCATAATCTAGTCATTGGCGATCACATTGAGGAATGAATTAAATGTAGACATGGTATCTGGTCTGCTTATCGGCGATGTTTGATTGTTGATAGCGAGGTTGCGCGGGTGATGCAATAATTCAAGATCGCCCTCTTGTAGGCATGGAGATGTCAGGTTGCTTGTTCTTCTCATACACGTACAAATGCAGATTAAATGTATGAACGGTCATCTTGGGTCATGATTTCATGCCATCTTTCAGTATATACAACTACGTTTGATAGAATTTCCAAAAGCAAAGGTCATACAACTATCTCGTTTCTAGCGTATCGCAATAGAGCAAGAAAAGAAGGCCTGGAAGAAGTTCAAGGATCCAACTCCCCATGCCCACTCCCCGGCAAAAAAGCCCACACCGTCCCACCAACCATCAACACCACACTCCCCGCTACTAGGACCCACTGACCGAGGGCGATGGTGCGAGCACGGCGGGCTGCGGAGGGGGAGGAGGGTGGGAAGAGGGTTGGGGCTAGGCGGAGGTGGAATATGAGCTTGGGTTGCAAGTGTCAGCTTTGTTGAGATGGGGATAGTGAGGAGGGAGGGAAGGGGAAAAGGGAAGGGGAACGGGAAAGGGAGGGACGTACGGGTAAGATAATACAAATAACAAAAGCCGAAAAACTCCCCAAGAACGCCATCACCCTCCCAAACCCCGGCAACACCACCGCCGTACCAACGCACACTGCCGTGACCACAATCCGGGAGATGACGCGGTATGTGGCTTTGCGGTCTTCGGTTGATTCGTGGAGGGCGAATTGGGAGGGGGTTGGGAGCGATGGGTTGAGGTTGTGGGAGGAGTGGGAGGGAGAGGAGGGGCGGTGGAGAGGGGATAGGGAGGGTTTGGAGTGATATTGGTCGTGCTCGTGCTCGTGGTCGGCGACGCCGCTGCTGCGGGGCGTTCGAGAAGAAAGAGAAGAGTTGAACCCTGATTCTCTTGCGTCAAGAGGCGGGGAAGGAGAGATGCCAAGGATCGTTTCGAGAGTGATATTCAACTTCATTCACTGATCAGCTATGCATCCCCGTCGCGGGGATATGGAAGGGGACGTACGGGTCGCGAAGAAAGCCCAAATTTGGTGAGCGGGTTGATGACAATCATCCACAAAGCGACAATGTTGAGTATGCGTGGGTAATGATACTTTTCTTGCATCAGATCTTTTGTAATCTTTTCCCAAACGTCAGCGTTAATGAATATCATAAAGAGCGAGAGGGACTTACCTCGTCAGAGACGGTGGATCCGATCATGAGGTAGCCTGAAGCGCCTGCTATGAATGAGATACCTGTGGCTATCGCCTACGCCATCGTCAGTTTTCCCTCTTCGGGAGAAAAAAAGAAGAAGGAAGGAGAGGGACTCACAAAAGCCTTATCAACAACCCCCTCAAACATCTCCGGCCTCCGCATATCCCTCGCCAAACTAGGCATCACCGCATGTCCCCCAAACCCCGCCAAAACCAGCCCCACACCTCCCAACCAGTTCCCCCCGGTCAGTTCTGGGGTGAAGCTTGTGGGCATGGGGTGGAGGAGGGAGCCGGGGGAGGAAGGGGAGAGGAGGCCGTCGATGAGGAGGACGAGGATGAGGAGGAGGGAGGAGAGGGAGGAGAGGAGGGAGGGGAGGGAGAGGATGTGCAGGGGGAGGAGGGCGGTGGGTGCGATGCTGTACGGTGTCAGTATGGGGAAGAAGGAGAGAGAGGGGGGCGTACATGAAGAAGCCGATGAGTTTCCAGGTGTTTGCTGGGACGTGGGGAAAGAGGACGTTGAGGGTATCGCCGAAGAGGACGACGAGGGCGACGCCGAGGGCGAATAGCTCGAGGCAGAACCTGCGAATCGTCAATATTGGCCTCGATGGGGTATGGATACGTACAGAAAGTTGATAGCGATGCCAGCCGACCTGCCGAAAGCTTTCTGACCGATATCGGTATAGCCAGTCAACCTCATATCGGCGCGTATGATTCGAGAAAGAAGTTTGGCACTGCATCACCTGTCAGCGGACCGAACATGTGGAGATAGAGACTCACGTATAGCAAGTAATCCAGCCAAAACCAAACAGCAAGAGACTTCCGCATATCCACCCGGCATAGGCAAAGGCAAGTGGGAGAGACAAGAGGCCGATACCCACGAGGACTGCTGTGGCGTTGAACAGCTGTACATGTGTCAGACCTGAAAGCGGAGAGATAAGGCAAACATACGGTTTGACCCTCCGTACTCTGTCCTGCTGGGACCCGTACTTTGATCCTCGCTCGAGCCCGTCCACCGCCACCGTCCACCGAGTCGTACACCTGAGCCCGACCGTCACCAAGTAAAGCCGTCGTCTCCACCGTACCAGCAGAGGCAACACCTTCCGATGATCGCTCCGTGAAACCACTAGTATCACCCGAGCTTTGCGTCTTTTTTCTCAACACCTTCCCCCTGACATGCGGAGTATGAGTAGCCGATGAAGAGGTCGTATACGACCCTGGAAGAGAAGGGAGGGAAGGGCGGGGGGAGAACATGCCGACGGATATGAGGGCTTTGTTCTGGGATGCCGGAGGGATGGGCATACTGGGAGGTTCCGGTCGGGCAGTAGAGAGGGGCATGCCGTCGGCGTGGAAGATGGAGGGTTCGTCGGATACTCTGCGCGAGATGTTTGAGCCGCCGGGGTCGTCTTCGCCGTCCTCTGCCACTTCTTCCACCCATGCTTCGCCGACCAGCCGTCTAGTACTATCCCCAGCACGAGCTTCAATGTCGTCCCAGTTGTTCGAGACGTGTCGCTCCACGGAACTGTCTTCGCCGTTGTCGAGGTCTTCGTCATCCTGGAAAGAGTTGTCGTCGAGGAATGATGGGGCGCTTAGGGAAGCGCCATAGCGTAGTTGTTGGGATCTCGAGTCTGTGGAATGTTAGCGCTTGTCGATTGTAGGAAGGGTAGGCTCTTACAGCTGCTGAAGACGAGTTCGAGGGAGCTCTGGAGTACACCGCTGCGGTTCTTCTTGTGTTCCCGCTGGGCATTGGGCGGGATGGGGACGCTCTCGCGCTGGGGCGGGGGCGGAGACATGGGGAATGCACAGTACGGATACAGACAGAAGAATACAGAATACCAGTCGATACAAAGCGAGATGCGCTGATAAGCGGGGAGATGCGATGGAGCTGATAAGAACACCCCACGTGGCGACCACGTGACCGTCAACATCTCGTCCCATTTCGCGACTCTCCTCTTTCATTCCACTCCATTCAAAGCACCCCATGTCCACCACCGTCATCTCCTCCCCCGGCAAGGTCCTCGTCGCCGGCGGCTACCTCGTCCTAGACCGCGCCTACTCGGGCCTCGTCGTCGCTACCTCCAGCCGCTTCTACTCGTCCGTCACATCCCTCCCCTCGGACGCCCAAAACGCCACGATCTCGGCCCGCGCTGGTCAATTCCCTAAAGAAAAGTCTACCTGGAACTACAAACTGTCACTGCATTCATCCCCCGACGAACCCGTTTTGACCTTGTCGCAGACAAACGAAGCGGAGGTCGGCAGGAACAAGTTTATCGGTATCGCGGTCACCAAAGTGCTCGAGTACGCTTATGAGAGTATTCTACTTTCGACGAAGGATGAGGAGAAGGCAGTGGAAGAGCTCTTGAGACGGATAGGAGGCGGACTGGAGGTGGTAGTCTTTGCGGACAATGACTTTTACTCGCAACGCGAGCAGGTACGTGCTTCGCCGTCTTGTCTGTACGCCGCTGATGGCATAGCTAGCTCGCATCCCTCTCCCTCCCAGCTCGCCTCTCATCCCTCCCCTCCCTCCCCCCCTTTACCCCCCTCCCCCGCCCAATCCCCCAAACAAACAAAACAGGTCTCGGCTCCTCCGCCGCCCTAACCACCTCCCTGACCGCCTCCCTTCTCGTTCACCTCGCCATCGTCCCCCAATCCCCCCACGGCGAGATCGACGACCAAGGAAAGGATGTGGTGCATGCTGTTAGCCAGTTGGCGCATTGTTTGGCGCAGGGGAAGGTGGGGAGTGGGTTTGATGTTTCGAGTGCGGTTTATGGGTCGCATGTTTATACGAGGTTTTCGCCAGAGGTGCTGGCGCCGCTTATGGACCTTGCCCCTTTCTCCGCCCCTTCGCCTCTGCTCGAGCACCTCGACCCCGGCAAGTGGGACTCCAAAGTCAAGCCATTCCGACTGCCGAAAGGCCTCCGGCTCGTACTCGCCGACGTCGATGCCGGGACAGATACCCCGTCTTTCGTGGGGCAGGTGCTGAAGTGGCGAAAGGAGAAGCCGGAGGAAGCGGGGGATGTGTGGGGCAGGCTGGATGGGGCGAATAATGCGCTGAGGGAGGTTTTGATGGCGTTGGTTGGGAGGGAGGGAGAGGGAGAGTATGAGGATGTTTTGGGTCAGGCTCACGCCTGGACGCTTGCAGATGTATGTCACCCCTCCCCTCTCTCTTCATTGTCCCCTTCATGACTGACACACACTCTAGCTCTCTTCCGTGCCCTCCCCCTCCCCCACCATGACACTCCTCAGAACCCTCGCCGAATCGCTCCTCAACATCCGAGCGCTGCTGCGCGAGATGTCGGACAAGTCGGGGGTGGGGATCGAGCCGGAAGAGCAGAGCAGGCTGTTGGATGCTTGTGGGGAAGTGGGGGGTGTTTTGGGAGGGGGTGTCCCGGGAGGTGAGTCGTTCTTTCCTCTTTGCGAGATGTCTTGATCTTGTTCTTTCGCTTCTCCATCTTTCGAGTCTGAATTTCTAACCCGCTTTTTTCTCCAACCCTTCTCTTCATTCTGTACAACTATTCATCGCTGACAATCATCAAAAGCCGGCGGCTACGACGCCCTCTACCTCCTCACCATCGACCACCCCGCCCCCCTGACCGCAATCGATGACCTGTGGGCGAACTGGAATGAGATGGACGTCTGCCCGCTTGGGTGTGCGCAGAGTGATGGGGGACTGAGAGGGGAGGATGTGGGGGAGGTGAAGGGGTTGGTGGAGGCGCTTGGGAGGGTTTGAGAGGGTTTGAGAGGAGGGGGATACGATACCCGGCATTTGTGTATACCGATTAACGCTTCCACGCCATGCAACATGATTATAGTTCGTAGTGATGTCGATAAAGGCAAATCGATATTTACAACGGTGCATAGAGACTGTAGTGCAGAGAGCAAGATAGACAACGATATGTAACAGCGAGAAGGATGGGATGATGAGCGAGACTAATGCACGATGTCCTCTGCGAATCTCGTCAGTAGGTAGATTGAGATAACGATAGTAGTAGACATACCCCAGTTACGACCTTTCGTCTCTTTGACGAGATCGTCCGTCATTTGCTTCTTGGAAAAGTACCCCGCTTGGATCTATCCAACCATCAACGACTGCACATACCCCAACGAATGAACAAGACATACCTTGGCATCAATCTCGACCTTTCCATCCGCCGGTATCAGCTCTTCCGGAATCTCATACCTATTCCCAACCGTAATCCCGCTCCCAATGATGGCATCATACTTCATATTGCTCATCGAGATCAGGTTGTGGATATGCTTGATACCGAGGAAATGGAGGACGTCGGGCATGAGGGCTTGGTGCCGGGCGTCTTTGACGCCGGCGACGACTTCGGTGTTGTTGAAGTATTCGGCGGCAGAGTCGCCGCCGCGTTTGCGGCGGTTGTAGACCATGTATTTGACGACTTCGCCGAGGGCACGGCCTTCTTTCTGTTCCATCTTCAGCAAGAACACGAGGTGTAGAGGGAGAATACTTTACTTGAAAGTAGATGATGACTCCCACACCACCCCTCTGCGCACATTTCAAAGCCTCCGCGATCCCAAAGATAAGATAAGGCCTGCACGTGCAGATATCCGACCCAAACACATCACTCCCCGCACACGAATCATGCGGCCGGCACGTCACCTCCGTCTCTGGATCTTGCAGTTTCGCAGGATCGCCCATAATGTAGACTGTCATACCGCCGATGGGGGGCAGGAACGTTTTGATATCGGGGCGAGTGAGGAGTTCGGGGTACATGCCGCCAGTGTCTTCGAACAGGGCGCGGCGGAGGGTGGATTCTGCGATACCGAGGCGTTCGGCGACGCCGGGGAGGTGCCAGACGGGGTCGATGGCGGCTTTGTAGGTGTTTACTTCGATACCTTGGTCGACGCCGGGGAAGGCGGGGAGCTCGGGAGATTTGATGACGATATCGCCGTCGCAGGGGAAATCGCCCTTCTTGAAGAGCTCGTCGAGTTCTTGGATCTTGATGTGGGCTTTGGTTTGGGAGATGGTGGGGCGGACGTCGAGGCCTTCGGCGTACTCCTATGGGTGTGTCAGCAAAGTATAGGAGGTGGGGGGAGACACGTACCTTGGCCCAGATCTCCTGCGACATCGCACCCCAAGGATCAAACGAGACAATCTTATTCCCAAACCACCCCTGCGTCGGAGGAAGCACAAACGGCGGCTATTCCAACCCATCAGCCCTTCACCCTCGCTTACAGGTCAATAATGAGAGAGACGTACGTGGGTATTGGTCAAGTCGGGCCTCCAATCGGGTCGGAGCTGGCCCATACCGATAGAGAGAGCGCGGTAGATAGAGTACGAACCGGCGTGGGCGCCGATAGCGTTCCGAATGAGGAGGTTGGACTTGATACGGGAACATACGACGGGGCCTCGTTCTCGCGCAGTAGCTTACAAAGTATTAGCACGACGGCTAGGGGGCGTGGGAAGAGAAGGTGGGTGGACTCACGACCGGCGCCCCAGTTGAGTGGGGTAGGGTTGATACCATGCTGAGTCGGGTAGGCTATCACCAATCTTATCAGCGCACGTTCTTATCTCGCCTTCCTGAAACATCTCCCATGAAAGGAGATGAGACGTACTAGTAAGAATCACACGACTGGGGTACAACCCCTTCCCTTTCTTCTCATCCGTCTCATTCTTCTCGGGGGGTAAGAGACCCCCAGGCGCACCCGCCCCCCGGGCAGCAGCGTCCAAGCTCAAGTTGCCATACGGCGTCCCGGGCGTGACTGCCCCGTTGCCATTGCCGTTCACGCCGTCAGTGCTGGTCAAACCGGTGAGAAAGTTTCGCGCAGTAGTCAAAGGCGACGTCGATAGCCCGTTGAGGGAGGACATGGAATTCTTGCGGGAGGAGCGGAGGGCGTCGATACCGCCTGTGTGCGCGATGGGGGAGTGAGGGGGGGTAGCGTTGGGGTAGTGGGTCACGCCCTGTTCGGAGATGGAGGAGGAGTGGTTGCCGCATGTGCAGGTGTGTTGTTGTTGTTTGAGCTAATGCAGGGTGTTAGGAGGATGGGGAGGGAGTGGGAGATAAGAGATGCGTTACCTCTTCGGCGAGAGCATCTTGCTTTGCTGTAAGTTGCTGGAGAAGCTCGAGGACTTGTTGTAGTTCAGCCATGATAGTGTGATGGTAGAAGGGGGAGAAGGAAGGAGGAATACAAGTAGACAGAGACGGGTAGAGGGGGCTTTATATAGGACGCTGGGGAGAGATACGAGTCCGGGCAAAAGACCGGTGATGCCGGATGTCTAACGGATGAAAGCGACTTGGGGTCTTCCTCTATGAATGGAGTGGGAGATGGGGGCAAGCAGTAGCAGAGAGCGGAAGGCGCGGCGAGTCGACGGGATGAGCGTGTAGATGGACGGCGTACACATCCGCCCCAAAAGGATCCAACAACGTGTTTGCCACCCCCCCGGCCTGCCGAACATCTCTCCCTATCAGACACCGGCCATCTCCGAAACACAACACAACATCATTACATAAGCTTGTTCAATCTATCACTATCGCATCGCTGGCACCTCCTCCACGGTTCGCTAGTCTCTCTGGCGCGCGGATCTGCCCCTTGTCTACGTTTTTGGGTTCTGGCGGGGCTACGATAGTGTCGGGGATAGGGATAGTGTTGATCAAGGACGAGTAGGCACGGAGGGTGGGTAGTGATTTGATCGGGAAACGGGTTTTGCACATCAAGCAGACAGGCCGGGGCTCGCAAAAGACTATGCAGCGTTGGTGAAGATCGTGGAGGGGGGGAGTATGGACGTACTGCTGAGACAGACGCTGCAGACGAAGCCGACGTCGAGGGTGTTGTGGTGGCAGAAACAGACTGCGCGGAAGCCGACTGCGTCTTGGGGAGGTACGGCGAAGGGGGTACGGCGGAGCGATGGGGGTGTGAGGTATATATTCTGCATCATTGTCAGTTCTAGGACTTGCGCCAAATAAGATCACGTACGTGTAGATACTGTAGTAATCCTCCGCGCCCGTTCCACTGCCAGTAAACGCCTTCCGTCAGATGCGCTGCTTGCTGTAAGAAGATCGGCGGTGTGGGGTCTATGGTCGGTGGGGGAAGGGAGAATACGTCGATGGGGACTTTCTGCACCCCAGCTAATCAGCTCGGAGATGGCACGGAAAGAGGGCAGACGTACGGCTTTTTGCGCGGCAAAGACACAGTTCATCAACCCGACGTATCCGCCTCTCATCTGTCCTCCTCCTCTCGGCGTATTCCCACTAGCCCCATCACCATTATTATCCCCATTGACAGAATCGGTTTGAGAGCCGACTGCCGATCCGGGGGTTGCGTTGATGACGAGGATACGGGTTTCGTTCGTATCGGGAGCGCCCGATGGTTGGTCGGTGGTTGTTGTGGAATCGGTGGGTATCTGGCTGGTAACAGTATCTCGTTTTGTGATGACTGTATAGCGGTATCAGCACAATAATTAAAGAGGGAGGAGGGACTCACAACAAAGCGCCTTTGTCAAAGCAGAAACGATCGCCGACGGCTCATTCATAAACCCCAAATCATCCTGCCTCAGCCGCCGACTCTCCTCCTCCACCATTTCCCTAATACCCTCTTCTATCCGCCCATCCAGCACCTGGAACGGTCTATACACATTCGCCCTAGCCTTTGACGGCTCGCCTCCTAAAGCGGTAGAGGGATATATCAACTTTGCCCGTCCGGCGCTGGCGGCGTAGACGACGACTTGGTTGCCCCAGCGCATGGCGAGGTGGGAGTTGAGATAGACCATGAAGGTGGTGAGGAAGGAGGAGAGGGGGGTGGGGGATGATTTTGCGAGGTCGATGGCGCGGATGTCGGACGGAGGGGCGGGGGGGAGGGTGGTGAGGAGGGACCATGATACGGGGTGGATGTCGAGAATGACGATGAGGGTCGATGGCGGTGTGGTCCGGGGGTACTCTTGCGGCTGCATGCTGCAGATATGGTATAGGCGTGGATCATACATATCTATGTCTCGCGATGTCAAGAAGAGTGGAGGTGTGACTTACGTAACTCAGTGCCTCCACATGTAATTTTGACGACTTGGCTATTTCGCTCATGGGGTCTCTCGCTGCACAACAAACAGCAAAATGGCGACAGTGCCGCTCCACCGGATACGGTTCTACGACCACAGCCCCTCCCCCATCGCCGCCCTCGCCTTCCCCCCCCAGCCCCTCCCCGCCCCAGCCAACCCCGCGCATGTCCCCGCCCAGTCGGCTCGGCAATCCAAGGAACAGTTTGGCTCCCTCGTCTTGGCCAGGGAGAATGGTGAGGTTGAGATCTGGGAGTATGTGAGGGATGAGGAGAGGAGTATGTCGAGTAACTGGGTCCTGCAAAAAGTGTGTATGGCTCTTTAAGTGCTGGGACATGACTGACGACTTGCTAGACCCTTCCCCCGACTTTGACCCACCCCACCATCTCCCAAATCGCTCTCGTCCTCCGGTCTCCTTCTTCATTCGACTCCAAACCATACTCTGTTCCCCAAATGCCCGACCTTCGTCTCTTTACAGCCGGATCCGACTCTTCCGACTTGGTTGAGCGGTGTCTCGACTCCGGCCGCGTTCTGCAGACGTACCAGATCCCCCAAGCGCCCCTCTGGAGTTTGGCAGTAGCCCCGACACAGGATCTGCTTGTCATGGCTACGACTTCGCCAAACCTGCACTTTTTGTCGATACCCCCCGCGACCATGTTTGACCCGTCCCCGGCTCTTGCGCCCCCGCCCTCGCACCTTCTCCGGTCTGACGCGCTTCCGTCCAGGACGAGGACGGTCTCGATCGCCTTTGCGCCGCCGTCGCTGGTGAGAGTGGGGAGGGAGCAGGATGATGAGTGGGAGTGGAGGAATACGGGGTTGGTCACTGGGAATTCGGACAGTTCGTGGAGGAGGTGGGAGATTCCCCCGCCGAATGATGGGTCGAGGATTGGGCCGAGTCGGGTTCTTTTGAAGGGGCGGGCGGTGGTTGAGAAGCTGCAGAAGAGCGGGAGGGGAGGGAAAAAGGCTGTTGGCGGCGCTGGTGGGCAGAAAGCGACTATCGTCTGGAATGTTGGTGTTTTACCGTGAGTCTTGTTTATCACTTTTGAGCGCCAGCTGAAGTCGTATAGTGACAATTCTGTCGTAACGACCGACTCTCTCGGCAGCATCACCTTCTGGGACCCCATCACCCTCGCCCAAAAACAAACCTTCCGCGCCCACAAAGCCGACATTATGGCGCTCACCATCGGCCCCCGCGGCGAATCCATCTTTACCTCTGGCCCGGATCAGCGGATCTGTCAGTTTGTCTTGTCGGCGGAAGGGCAGTGGGTGATGGTAGCGGGCAAGAAGGTGCATGCGCATGATGTCAAGGCGCTCGCAATCTTCCCGGCGTATCTTCCTATCGCCAACAATCACCCTCTTGCGCCGGCGGCGATCAACCCCGCCTACGCCCCCGTGCTCGTCTCGGGCGGTCTTGATATGACGCCTACCTTTACTTCTGCAGCTTCCCCTTCGAGCACTGTATTGCGCTCTGCGTTGGGCAAGCCGAAACCGGGCAAGCAGGCGGTCACGTTTGAAGAATCTTTCCCTCGGCGGATGGGGTATCTGGGTGGAGGACCGATGGGCGGGTATGTGGCGCTGAGTAAGGGGGGGCGGTTGGTCGTTGGGAGGAGGGAGAGGAGTGTGGGGATTTGGAGAGTGCAGGAGGATGAGAGTGGGTGGGAGAAGGTGTTGGAGATGGAGTTGAGGGTGAGTCTGGTGTTCGAAAAAGTGTAGGGTGGAGCTAATGAGGCTGTAGCTGAGAACGAATTTGATCTCGTCTGCGATTTCGGAGGATGGAAAGTGGCTCGCCTTGTCAGATCTGTACGAGACCAAGCTCTTCTTCCTCGCATCTACTGTACGCCCCTTCTCTCCCTCCTTGGGCTTTTGCTAATCCGACTATAGCCCTCTGGAACGCTCAAACCACAACGCATGACCACCTTCATCAACACCCTCTCCTCGTCTTCCCTCCTCACCCATCTCGCCATCCCATCAAAAGGCTGCGGCGCTACATCCCTCCTCTTCACCCCCGACTCTCAACGGTTCATCCTCGGCCTCCGATCATCCGGCCAAGTGCTCGTCCTTGAGCTGCCGCAAGTAGACGTAGACGATGCCGGTGTCAAGGAGAAGGAAGTGGGCGTCGTCAAGTGTTTCGAAAGGAAAGAGAGGGTTGTGGACGGGAGGGTCATCAAGGGACGGGAAGAGATAAATGGGGTGGTTAATAGACATGTGGATGGGGATGTTTCGATGAACGGGGATGAGGAGGAAGAGGAAGAGGAGGAAGAGGAGGAGGAGGAAGTGGTTGTAAAGAAGGAGGAACTGCAGGCGTGGGTGTCGAGTTTGGCGGCGAGTGCGGATGGGCAGTGGTTGGGTGTTGCGGATTTGAAGGGACGGATCAGTGTTTTCAGTCTCGACACTCTCCAGGCAAGTCTTTTCTATCTTCTCGTGATTATAGCTAACATTGATGTAACAGTTGTATGCTACCCTCCCCACCCTCCCCTTCCCTCCCACATCCCTGTCATTCCCCCCATCCACTCCGTTACTCGCCATCCTCACCCCCACCAACAACATCTCATTCTACCACCTGGAACACCGCCGCCTCCTCCCCCCCTCTCCCGAACTCGAAAGGTTCCTCGGCGCCTTTGAGAGTCTCCACACCCCCGCCCACGGTATCATCTGGACATCCTCCACCTCTTCCGCTTCCGAAGGCAAGGACGGTAAAGCTGTCAAGGCCATCGCGTGGGGCACGGATTACCTCGCGACTATCAAGCTCGAGGTGGAGAGTCTAGTAAGGAGGCGGAGGGTGTCAGAGTCGCCGTCGGTTTCTACGGCGGGCTCGGTGGGTAAGGCGAGTCGGAAGAAGCGCGCGAGGGAGGCGAGGCAGGCGAGGGAGCATTTGTCGTCGCTTACGCCTTCGGGCTCTGCACCTTCGACGCCTGTGTCGGAGGAGGTGAAGCATCTCGGGGGCGAGGGGAGGGAGGATTATTACAATATAGTAACGGATAGATTCAGGTCGATCCTTGGGGTCGGGTGGTTGGGAGAGGAAGGGGAGGTGGGGGTGGTGGAGAGGCCGTGGGGCGATTTCGTTGGTGATCTGCCGGGCGTGTTTTGGAGTGCTGGGTATGGGAGAAGCTGAGAGGCTGTGTATGCATTTACTTGGATTATGGGCGTTGGGCATATGCTACATGGTTACATCGTTTCAAGACATCAAGATCTCGCCTCTGACACTACGCCCCTCTTCCATACCCGCCGAACCCACTCGCTCCTCCAAATCCAGCTCCCTGCCCCGGCCCAATCGGCTGCCTCACAAGACCGCTCCCCCCGCCTTGACTCGGTATGACGCCCCCTCCAGCAACGCTAGGATTCGAATGTGTTCTTGTCGGAGGGCGAGAGTGAGAGTTGTACGGCGACGCGCTCGGAGATAAGGATGGGGAGGGGGAAGCGCGGACTTGGGTGGGGACGAGGCCGGCGAACGGTAATGGTTGGGGGAATGGTTGATGTGTTTGGGAGGGGGGATCTTGTCGGCGAGGCTGATTGTCTTGGCTTCGTTGTCTCTGGGCCAAAGTCGCGGGAGGGGCAGGCTTGCTCGATCCCGATCCCTCTACAGCCCCCTCTGCGCCGAATATCCTTTCTCTCGCCAGGCGATACTCTTCTTGTCTCTCTTCATAGCTCTTCACCTTGTCGCCCGTGGGGGATGATGTGCCGGATGAGTTGGGGGAGGAGTGGGAGGGAGTGCGGCGGAGGAGCTGGACTTGGGGCTGCGGTAAGATTTGGGGGGAGAGGATGGATGGTGTCTTTGGTTTTGTATTGCTGGCGAGGCATCAGCAACGTCAGCACCATAAGGGCAGTGGCAGAGGGAGAGGTAGAGCTCACGCCGAGTCCCATATTTGCCTGTTATTCTGTGGCCGCCGATCGCCCCGAAACCAATCGTCCTCTTCACCTTCAGCGACGCGCTGCCGCTGCTGGGCTGGGAGATATGAATACGAAGGACCGGCTGGGATTTGCGGCGGGCCCCATGTAGGAGGCGAGGGGCGGGGGGTGGGGTTGAATGTGTTTGCGGTGGGGCGAAGGATCTTTTTGGGGACGATATCAGACTGTGAGGGATGTGAGACGGGGCAGGAAGAGAAGGCGGATGAGCGCTTACGGTCTCCCAGTCGTCGTCAGTATGTATGGACATTGCGGGGTGGTAGATGGCTGAGAGTAGAAGAAAAGAACTGCCGAGGACAGCAAGAAGCAAGGATACCGAGACGACAACAAAGGCACGTGACTTCAAAAATGGTGGGTCCAATGTACGTTCCACATCACCGAAACGCGCCGGTATCGTTGTCTCACGAACCTCTCGATACATAGTACAGCAGACGGAAGTAGCAAGCCTGGAAGCTGTCGAGATTCTTTGTTCTGCATTTTTTATTCTACATCATAGCCTACCCGCACCCAAACATCTAAGGGCCCAGGACCCCGTGATAACCTCCATACCGCCTCCGCCTGGGACCACAGCGCTGCTGTTTGTTCTCGTTTTGTGCTCATCCATGCCCCTATCCGCCATCGCCTATCTCCTCTCATACAACCTCGTGCACCACTCCCCACTTTTCCATGGCCAAAGCAGGCTCCTCTACGCAGACGGGGGAATCGTTCGCTGTCCCGCAACCGTGAGCGCCCGGTACTGTCTGACTTGATTACATTTTAATCGTCGTTCAGAGCGAACCAAACCTCTGCCTCTATCGATCCGCTCTCAGGGATCTTGCGCTCCATCTGGGACGTCCCTGCCGTCGCTCTCGTTGCGAATCCTCCTATCGGCTCTGCACCACACAAAGGCAAAGCTCCCGCAGCCCCTCCCCCCTCGCAAACTTCTGTCCCCGACGTGTACCCCTCTGATATCGGACATCCCGCGAATGATATTTTCGGAGGCCCTCTGCGGTTGGTCCCGTTCAACCTTTCAAAACCCCAACGCTACCCCCACGGATTCAGGATCAACCCATACAGCGATGTCGGCCATCGTATGATGGGTTCATTCTTTACCGAATGCTATCCCAGGATCCCAGATGAACATAAATTCCAATACAACCATCTTCTCCGCTATCTCGGTAAATTCTATGGTGATCCCGAGGATGTTGAATATAAAACTAGCTGGGAAACAAATGTCAACTTTCACAGCAATCGTTTCTATATCCCGCTGGGAAAGGGAAAGAAGTTTACGGATTTGGAAATTGTGAGAGCTGTCAGAGAACATGACCCCGAATTATTGAAAGTGAGTAGTCTCGCTTGTGCCCCGGATATTGTCGCTGATCAGCTTCTACGAAAGGGTACATCCCAGGGTACATCCGAGGTTACATCCGAGGTTACATCCCAGATGTCAACAAAGTTTGGCGGCATCAAGCCAGATGTCTGTCTAACAGGGTATCACATTGGAACATTGGCGGAAGGGACGTATCGACAAAAGCCCGAGGGCGGCAGGAAGTTCAGAGAAAGCGATCGCCCCAAAAGAGTCCTCTACGCTCTCGTCGAGAACAAGTGGCTACCTTGGCCGCGAGCGAGACATATCGATCTACAGGGGAAAATTGATCTACACCTCGACAGCCTCCAATTCGCAAACGTGGAGGCTATCGCTCAGACAACCTACTACAGCCTACTTGCTTATGACCTCTCAAAGTGTCGTTCAGCTATGGCATTGGTCAACGGGGATTTCACTCGTATCCTGAACCTGTCTCATCTGGGGCCAGAAGGAAAAGAGGTAGTTTTGGGAGGCGTGACTCGGGGAGGAGACGGTGGCCGGAGAATCTTGGTTGAAGCCGATCCAGCTCTTGTCACCGAGTTGAGGCGCCGCGGCCTTCATTGCGTGTCTCCAGAGCGATTTGGCGTACTCGCGGCAGGAGATCCTTTGTTTGGTATGCAGTGGAAAGCACCGAATTCCCTCATCGCAGATTTTGAGGATTGGACTTTGGATCGAGAGGCTAAGGAGCGCCTTGATGCCACTGTATATCTCAACCTTGCCCTTGCTACCCATCATCCGGAGACCGTCTCAGATCCTCCCATCGACAACCATTCCCTCGCGCACGTCATCGATGCGAACACCTCCGAGAAAGTGGCATATCAGTGGCTCGATGTCAGCGAGAAGATGAGAGGACGCCGAGAGGAGGAGGATGAAGAGGATGAGGATGAAGAGGATGAGGATGAAGAGGAGGAGGATGAGGATGAAGAGGAGGAGGAGGAGGAGGATGAAGAGGAGAAAGACGACCACGAAGGGAATGAGGAGAACGACAAACAGGGTGGCAATAGGCGAGATGAGGACAATGGGAATCCTGATGTTAAAACTGGTGGTCCCGGTGGTGGTGCTCCTGGTCCTGGCGGCAGCCGGTCCCTTCGAACGAGAACCAGGAGCGATCACCATCAGGAGTTGTCTAGTAAAAGGCAGAAAATGGCCGATGTCTCTGGCGAGTTCTTGGTTTTGTCGCTATGGTGCTCTAGGCTGACTTGAATCCAGGACCGACCGAGTACTTGCCCCCCACTCCTGAATCACTCATTGCAACTCCACCACCCTCGCCGTCTTCGTTTTCGACAATATCCTCACGATTCGAAATTGAACACCCCGTCAGTGTAGAGGAATGGTGTTCGTCTGTCAAACAACAGGCTTCTACCGACCGTACCTTCGTTAACACGGCCCTCCCTGATAAGCCTATCATCTACACCGCTGCCGAGAAAGTCCTTCCTTTTGGATACTGGACTCACGCCGAGTACCTCGACTAATTCTCGGGGCTTGGGGTCAGCTTCGTGCTGGTCACGCCCCTCGAGGTGGACGTGTTGCTCGCGCGGGCGGCAAGATTTGGCTGGGGCGGGTCGCTGGGGAGGGGGTAGGTGTCGGGGATGGGAGTGCTGGGTGCTGGCGGTTTAGTGACATGTAATTTATGGACATTCATTTTTAGTAACATGTAACTTTTGAACATTCCTTCACTCATGGATATCAGGCTTGTCTGATTGCAGCGTGGGTTCGGGGTCGGCCTCAGGCGTCTTAGTGTTTCACTATGGTGTCGGGGTCTATGGAGTCTGACCACAGAAGCGCTCGAGAAGCAGTAGCCAGCTTGTGAACATAATGGAAGAACGAGTAGAGAAGCCAAGTTTGCACGAATGGTTTTCATGGTCGGTATACGGATCTGCACATCTGCCTACTTGCCCTCCCCCGCCCCTTCAGCACTGGTTCCCTTCCTAGGAGTCCCAGCAGCACTACCCCCCGTCTTGCCCCTGTTCGCCAGCAAGCCCTGGAACTGCCAAGTCTGTCAGCTAGACGTTTCAGTACGTTCGGCGCGGGACTTACAAAGTTGTGCAACGCTTCGTTAGGCATAGCAGGTGCCGGCGTCCCCGGCGCAGCTTTCCCATCCTCCTCCTTCCCATCATCTCCCTCCCCAATCGACCTTCCATCTCCTGCATGACCTTCTCAACACCGGGCAAGCTCAAACGCTCGGCAGCACCGCCCATAGGCCCGAGGGCGGCATTGTTGAACCCACCCGCGCCGGGGTGGGTAGCAGAGGGAACGTTGGAGGATGAGGTGGCGGAAGAGGCGTGGCGGACAGATCGGCGGGGTTCCCGGTCGGGGTTTTTCATGGGGAGGTCGAGTTGGCTGGAGAGGAAGTTTTGGAAGGGCTCGGTAACTGTCGCAAGATTGGCAGGAGATTGCGGGGGAGGAGACGGGCTAACCCCGCCTAACCCCCGCTAACCCCCCGCTAACACCCGCTAACACCGCTAAGCTCCCGACCCGCCTAACCCGCTAACCCGTACGTAACCCGCCAACCCCCTAACCCCGCTAACCCCCGCTAACCCCGCTAACCCTAAGGTGTTCGGATTTCCTCTAAGACAGACCATCAGCACAGTGAACCCTAGCCTGCGCTCCCTGAGCTCAGGGGATTAGCCCACCTTGGGAAGAGGCGCTCTCGAAACTGTCTTTCCCTTTCAAAACATCCGTTGCATTGCCATTGCTCTCCCTGTTTTTGCCAACCTTATGCCCAACGGTCCTATCCGCTGTCTTGGCCCCACGCCCGCTCCCGCGCCCGCGCTGACCGCCTTCCTTGGTAGCACTCGAGGTTGTAGCAGACGGACCGGCCTGAGCGGCCCGGCTTCTTGTGGCGCGGCGCTCCTTGGGCCCTTGCCCACCGCCGCCAGGGGAACGCGAACGATTGCGCCGGATTTTCGGAGCAGGGTCGTTGACAGATCGCTGCTTGGTCTTCCTTCCGTTTCCTTTCGGCTTTTTGGGATTGTCGTCGGTCCCTGGCTGCGCGTCCGCATTCACTTCAGTCGACTCGGCTCCCTCTGGAGGAGGAGCCACAAACTCAGAGTCCTCTGCCCTCGGCCCACTTTCAGCATTCCCCGCAGACGCAGATTCTTCCTTGCGTTTGTGCAACTCTCTAAGTTGAGCAATCTTCTTTTTTGACAAACGCGCCGCTTCAAAGAGCGGTTCGGGCTCAGTCACGGCATTTTTGATCGTGGCAGTCTTCACCCTGTCCCTCAAGGCTGTCCATGTCGGCCCCTCGGGGCTGGGAAGCCGCTTCAAAGGCTGGCGATCGCAACGAATTTCCTTGAGCTGCTCGATTGCAGCGACAAACAGCTTTCTAATGTCTTTCACCAAATCCTCGTCCAGCCCTTTTTTGCCTTTTTCATCTCTATCTTCGAGAAGGAGGGACCTTCCAACTTCGACACTGCCATCTTTCAACCCTTCTGCCAGCAGGTTGAAGTTCTCAAAAACCTCTACTCTGTCACTGGGGCCTTCGAAGACGATGGCATTGTCCAAGACCAGAAGGCGATACGCCTTCGAACCACGACCTGCGTAACCGTAGCTGGTTCCACAGACATCATGTAAGCCTCCAGCATAGCATGAAATCTGGCCGATAAGGTGCGTCTCGGGAATGGTTGGGGGCTTTATTTCTATCACAATGCAGACGATGTGATAGAGCACCTGGTTGTTGTCCAGCTCGTACTGGGTACGAAGACCGGCTGACACGCGGCTAAAGGACGCCAAGGACTCGTTTGGCTCCATGACAGGCTCGCTGCTGTTGACGAGGGTAGGCATGTCGATACCCTTGAGGCCATACGTCAGTGCGGCCTTGCACTGATGGGAGTTGAACTCACATCAAATTTGCAGACAACACTAGCAGAAATACCCCCATCTGGCTTGATGATCCCTTCTCGAGCTCCAACCTTGCCTTCGGCGCCTTCGTCGAAGAGCTTTGCGTTCTTGCGTGACCAATTGACGAATCGAGAAAAGTGTGTGGTCTGCCGATACGTCTTGTCCCGACCATCATCTTCCCGTACCCTGGCATCGTAGAGGGAAAGGGATCCACCAGCAGTGTGAAGCTCACTAAACCCTTCTCCAATTTTATCGCCATCGACGATATAGTTCCATTCCAGCAATCGCTCGAGGAGAGCTACGTGCGCCCTCACTGTGACCGCTTCGGTGCGTTCGTTCTTGCGCGGCGCCAAGTCAAAGGAAGCGATCGTGTTTTGAAGAATCTTTCGGTTCGAGAAGAGGGCGGACACGGCGTCTGTCCCCTCCTTGTCCCCGAAGGGCAGTATCGATGTCGAAGAATGAGCCGTAGTTCTCAGGTGGACCAGGTTGGTCCTCGTCGGAGAGAAACATAGCAAGATTGCCAGATGTCAAGTGCAGGTCAAGTGCTGAAATGATTGTGCTGGTGCAGACGCTGACGAACGCAGGTTTGATCCCGCGCAGGACGCCTGTCGACTTTAGGCACGCGACGCGATGAGCGCAGTTACGTAAATCAATGTCGTCGTCAGCAGTAGATAGCTGTAGCATCAACAACAACAACAACAACAACGAATTGACAACAACTTGACAACAACAATCATGGGACAATCAGTATAGCCCCTTCACCGGACGAAACTGGGAAAGCGAGTAGCTCCAAGTGCTATTAACATGGCTCTCATGGGTAGAGACATGGGCACCCGAGGCAGGCGAGAGGGGTGAGGTAGAAGAGCTGCAGAGCGACCGTAGGTCAACCCCATCCTCGAAAGATTCATGAAGGCTGACAACGAGTAGTGCAATCATACTTGCAGCACTATATCGAGCCGTCACCCGCCAATGTTGGTACGACCACGTATGCTGTTGTCGGGCCTCAGTTATCACTTGGCTCTGGTACTTCAACGCGTTCGTCCTTTCCCAACTTCACGCGTTCGAAGCACACTGACGATATCACAGCTCAGGAATTCCTATCATTGCGGTTTGCATGAAGGCCTATCCCATGGATAATGCTGCCGAGGATGTGGGAGTGAAAGGTAGACACGGGGAAGAATAGACAGATCGAGCACAGCAGGCACTGAGCACTGTCTGTTTGGCCTGTATGTTCACCCCATCTTCATTGACTATCATACTGATCATCGACTTAGATGGCGCCGCTCTGTTTTACATTGCCCCTACCCAGCCTACGACATACGCTCTCCTGAAGAGCTATCTCCTGAAGAGCTATCTCCTCCACGGACTCTATACCGTCCCGCCTCCACCGAATCCGCCACCAACCTCCCCAAACACCGTATCGGCACCCGCCATCGTCGGCTCCACCAAAGTCCCCTTTAACCACCGAGCCAACGTGCTTGACAGAGATGCTGTCATGGTACCCAGCGGATGGGATAGTTGGGGCAAGATCAATGTTTTGAGAGATGGTTTCGACCCCGCACAGGTGGAGAAGAATCGGAAAGTCAGCTTGGGCAGGTATATTGCCAAGTCTGCGGGTCAAGAGCCTGAAGAGGATGGCGGAGAACCTCTCGAAGACTTCTGGCAGGCGCTTCTCCGCCCCTTGGACCCCCTACGGTAACTTGTGCCGCAACCGACGGAGAGAAGCATAAAAGGTCTGAGGATTGCGGGGGAGGCAGAACGCA